AGAACAATCGCGACGGCGATGACGGCCTGTTGGCAAGGAGGAGTGTCCATCAAGTGGCCAAACTTCCATCGACAGTTCACTAAGCATCTGCGCCTGGTTGATCTGCCTACGTACGCGTTTGATCTGAAGGACTACTGGATCGAACCTGCCGCACCAATTGTGCAGCAACGTTCAGCAGCTGAGCCTTTGCGTCCCGTTGCCGTCCCGGCTGTGCCAGGCTTTCCCACTACGTCTCTTCAGCGAGTCCGGGAGGAACGTATCCAAGGTGACAATGCAGCGGTTACATTTGAGTCGACTCTGTCCCACCCGGACTTGATGGGGCTTATCTACGGCCACCGAGTCAACGGAGTTGAACTGTTCCCGGCTAGTGGTTGGTGGGATATGGCATATACGGCAGCGAAATATATCCATCACCGGATTCAGCCCAGTGGGGGGGCTGTGCCTGGCCTTTCCATACTAGACTGCTCAATAACCCATCCCCTGATGCCCAGTGCAAGCGAAGATCAACAGAAGCTCGTCATCATAGTGGCTAAGAAACAAACTGGCAGTTCCGTTGTGGAGGTATCGTTCAAGTCCCAGGAAAAGTCTGTCGAGCAAGATCACGGAGGTTGCAAGATTCGCTTTGAATCCAAGGCGGACTGGGAGGCGGAGTGGTCCCGAAGCGCTCACTTCATCAAGGCCGCCAAGAACAACGTGGTTGCGAACGCCACCCGGCCTGGCGGCAACGGCCATAAGCTACCTAAGCCAGTGGTTTACACGCTGTTCTCTAACTTTGTCAATTACAGCGGCGATTTCAAGGGGATCCAGCAAGTGTACTTGAACGCTGATTTCCAGAGGGAAGCTGTCGCAGATGTGGTTCTTCCTGCTGGAATGTACAACTTCAACCTCAACCCGTACTGGTCGGACGCCCTCATCCATGCCTGCGGCTTCATGCTACACAGTGATCCAGACCTGCCCAGTCAGGACTGTTTCCTCTTCAACGGCTTCGAAGAGCTTCGTTTCCTTACGGACAATCTTCTACCAGGCGTATCATATACCAGCTACGTCTTCATGCACGATACTAATAGCCAAGAGGTTCCTGCGAGGCGCACTAGGAACGTCACGGGTGATATTTACATATTCCAAGGCGAGAAGATTGTAGGCACTGTCAAGGGTGTGGTGTTCCAAAGGTTGACCAAGAGAATTCTGACCACAATCCTCGGAAAATCTCAAGGTCACCACAACAGCAACGAGGGACGGCAGGGCAATGCCACCACACACACCAACCCGCCCGCTCATGCTACTACCCAACCGTCCCTTGCACCACCAAGCACAAAGCCAGCGGTTGCATTCAGCAGCGTTCCTGCTACAGTGGGCGAAGAAATGGCTGAAGCAGTTATTGCCAAAATTCTTACCAAAACCGGCGCCAAGCGAGCCAGTCTATCAGAGTCGACCACTTTCGGCCAGATAGGCCTTGATTCTCTAGAATGGATTGAACTTGTTAGCGATTTTAGGAGTGCTCTCGACATTGAAATTCCCGCGTCCTTCTTCTTTGAGTACCCTAAAGTGCTGCTTCTTCGTCAAGCAATCGCAGAACTCCCGTTGGAGGGAGAGAAAGAAGGAAGCGGATCGAGCAGTCCCTATTCGTCTTACGGCATGCTGACCCCGTCCATGGGTGGAGTTACTCCTATTACTCCTTCTAGATCGACCCAGAATTCTGATGGCCCAGCCAACTATGCCAATATCGTCCTTGACATTGTTCTTTCCCAAACTGGCTTCGATAAAGATGATGTCCTCCCATCCACTAGATTTGACGACATGGGATTAGACTCGCTCTGCACAATGGAGGTTGTGAGTCTCGTGAGAGAACAGACTGGTCTCGATCTACCCGCATCCTTCTTCCACCGCCACCCTACTGTTACCGATGTGCGAAAGAATCTGGGTCCAAACACGGAGGACACGTCTGAAGACAGTGTCAAGGCTACTGCAAGCATTGCAGTGTCAGAGCAAGACACGGAATTGGTTGTTGTGGATCATCCTGGCAACTCACCAGTGCCGGAGTTGCTTCCGATTATCGACGAGGATCTCAAAAACTATCACTGCGATTTCTTCTTAATGCAAGGTAGCTCTGATTCTGCAAAAATCCCCATGTTTTTCCTTCCTGATGGAACTGGATATCCCGCCGTTCTTCTGAAGCTTCCGCCTGTCTTCAAGGGTGATAATCCTCTATTTACCTGCAAATCACCACTGCTCCACCGTGCTGAAGGTAGAGAAGTTGCTTGCACTATTGAAGGCCTCGCACTCAGTTATGCAGAGGCGATCCGTCGAACAAGACCACACGGGCCCTATCTTCTAGCCGGATACTCGCTCGGAGCGGCATATGCCTACGAGGTTGCGAAGATCCTGGCAGACGCTGGCGAAATTGTGCAGGGACTGTTGATTGTGGACTTCAACATGGCTGCCTCTGTGGGCTTAGAACACAGAGAGCGAAAGCCAGTTCCGACAAACTTAAACGTGGGTGTTATGGAACAGGTTGGCTGGATGAACGGTATCCACAACGATGAGAAGAACTTCCATATTCCTCCCGCTCCGCCCAAAATCAAGTTTCACGCCCTGAGTGTATTTAAATCTTTGACACGGTACTTCCCCAAGCCCATGACACCCAGTCAGCGGCCTAGAAACACATATGCCCTTTGGGCTGGCGCCGGAATGGAGGACCTGCTCGGTCCAAGCAACGCTGGTTTCCTGCCTGAATTCGGCATCATTGATTGGCAGATGGGTTCTCGCAGAGAGAACAACGGCCCAGCGGGATGGGAAAACTTTATTGGTGGCCCGGTCAGATGCGCTACCGTGCCCTGTGACCATTTGTCCATTATGATGTCTACTGACTGGGTAAGTTTTCAATCGTGAGGTAAGATAATGATTTGCTAACTCGGGCATCAATAGGTTGGAACTACGGCAAACATCATCAAAGATCTGATCGAGGATGCACTCTCGAACCCTGGCACGCCCTGAACCCGGCCAGTGTTTTCTATCCATGAGAAGGGACGATTGTAATTACTTAAAGGACTTGTAAATGTTGTGAATATAAATAACTAGACTTAGACGATAGACACTTGCATACACAGTTAACAGCAATACAAAATAAGGCTGTACATACAGTACTAGCCGGAAAGCCTGAGCTATAATCCCAAAACCCACCAAAAATGGCCTTTTTGCCCTTCTAACACTTCAAAAGTTATCTATATTCCTACAACCTATATTATAATCCCTTTTAATATAAGATACTTTCGAAAGTAGATACCCTTTTACGTTTTTCAATTTTAATTAAAAGGTATAGAATATAAGGAGTATATCTACAAAATCAAGGAATTTTAAAAAATTCTACTTTTATTTTAATTTTATATACAAATTTAAACGAATTTCAAGAAAATCTAATATATTATATATATACAAGTAGTGCTAAATAACCATTTATAGTTAAAAAAGGGCAACATAGCGATTTTTGGTATGGTTTTGGATTATAGCTCAAACTTTCCGGCACCCACTGATAGTTCCTGTCGATGCGTTACTATAGCCCCAAATGCTGTTTACTATTTCGACGACAGAACACTAACTCGGTACATCCACGCCATCACAACGATCCCTATGGGGACGGACATAACGGTGACATATATTGATCCCACTATGGCGCGACAGGCGCGACAGGATAATCTAGGTAACTAGGGATTCAACTACACTTGCAGTACTTGCAATAATCATCCATCGCTAACAGCCGAATCTAATGCGCGCTTGGCGCAGATCGACTTATTGGTCAAGTTGCTTAAGACCCAACATAGTTATCATCATAGTACAGATGGGAAACGGGTAGCTATGGCCTTGACACTGATCGTTCTCATCGAGCAAGAGAGATTATATGCCGCGTTAGGAGAATCATATAAGTATGCTGCTCTTGCATATGTGGGTAGAACAACATTATTACCTCTTGCTCATGCGTCTGTGGCTGTTAAAATCTAGTTGGCCAATATCACACTCCGTGTGGATTTTGCGTAGAGGCCATCATGATGGTCAAAGGTAAGCAAAGGGTAAGAAAGCGAAGGAGAAGAAAACGAAGGACAAAAAGGCGTAGGTAAAGGAGCTCGACCAATCCGTATTATTTGCCGCCTTATAAGGTTATAGACACAGGGATATAAGAGGGAATTCGCAGAATATAGACCAAATTAGCTCCCAATTAACTCAGAGGCTCTCCCTATAGCCACATACTAGAGCAGACTGCCCCGGTACTCCTCGCGGCCGTTACTTATGTATAAAATTGGCATTAAACTTTTGAAGTGTTTACGTCGAGTTTTGCTATAGAATAGGCAATACACTTTTAGGGACATACTATAAAGCGACTTTTTTTATTGCCTTTGCACTTAAATAATATACACTAGCAATCTAGGAATATTATAAAAGTATATAAAACTATAACTCTTGTAAAAATTTTCATGAAGTATGAAAGGGTATATTTTTAAGTATTTTATTCGATTAATTCTAGGGGGCGTAAAGCGGTTGACTTTTGCGGTAAATTAGGCAATACGCATAGACTTTTAGGGACCCGCTATATAGTGGGTTGCGAATGCTTCTCGCAGACCGTAAAACACCTCTTGCTCTCTTACGGGTTCTCTTATATTTTCTCTCGTGGGTTCTCCCAGCTCTTTAGGCCCTGAAACACTTCTTGCGGACCCTGAAATCGCCGTTCGTTGTGGTACATTAAGTAAAAGTGTTATTACTATAGTAAGGGAGTTTTCAGAGCTTTAAGAGCTTTTCAAGAGCTTTTTAGGTACGCGTATTATTAGACCACTGCACGAAACCTTATTGCGAGAGTTGTGAAAGAATATAGTCTCCCCCCAGCTAGGCAAAGTTAATAGCACCCATACAAGTCCTAGGATCGGCGTATCACGTGGAGAGAAAGTAGCGGCACTAGGTCGAGTCGAACAGCATCTATTAAGAACCAATGAGGAGACAGTAGCACAAACCTTTTATATAAATTCAAATAACCAAGCATTTTCTTTGAAGACAACAATCGCTTTTGAGGCCGCATACGACGGCATTGCGTCTGAGTCGCTCTTGAAAAGAGCGGCCTGGACGCAAAGGCCAATATTTTGTCCTTGCACTCCACATCCGGGATAGGGAAGCATAGTTTCCTTGTTGAATAGTTGTCCTGGCTGATACCTTAGCACCTTGTAAAACTCTTCTTCATCAAGCTTCGTGTCGGCCTTTATTCTTAACGGATACTCAAATGCTTTCTGAATGTGTATGGGCGCATCCGTCTCCTGCCACGTGTCGGGAAGGCAGTTAAAGAGCGGACCTAGAATGGCAATAAGTCTAGCGGCAAGTTCCTTTGCGCCCTCGGTAACTGATCTACCTGTATCCGCTAATCAGTAGGAGTATTGCGATGTGGCTTTGAGCTACTTGCCACGCATTTTACAAGATACTCCAACTGCGGCTCGAGGAGAGATTCTCTCTCTCGGACCCATATCAAGATAGCCGATGTTGTCATGGCCTGTATAGCGATCCAAAGTCGGAATTTCAAAAGATGATCCATTGCCGGTGGGTTATAGCACGGCTTTATTGTTGTGTCCCAGCACTTGCCTACTAACTTCCGGAGCTCTTTCTGATCGGGTCTGATTCTCGGCTTAGATAACCATGCCTCGCTGTTTGGGTCTGTAATCTGCTGGACTTCGTTGGACATATAGGAATAGTTGTGAACGATAGTTGGCCCTTTGGTGTCACACTGTTCCTTCGCTTCTCGCAGAGAAGGATATAGGCGATCCTCTAGCACACGCTGGCAAGTAGATTCTTGCTGAAGTTGGCAATTCCGCTTCCAATACGCCGGGCTACCGCTATCTGAGGGACCTCGCTTCCGCTTGGCAGTTGGCCTTCCATTATCACTGCCCTGCATTGTTTTGTCATTGCCTAGCCTGCTGCCACGAAAAGGACCGCTCTTCCTGTCCGTCACTCTTCGACTCGGCTGTTCCAGCCCCTCATCCTCGATGCTTTGTTGCAGTGTATTGCAGTTCCAATCAACGCGGCTCCCTTCCTGTTCGTTGTCGTCCTCCGAGTCACAGAGCTACGCGTATTTACCAATGTAAAGACGAGAGAGAGGCCGGCGAGTTTCGGATTTACTGTGATTGAAGTCTTTTTCCACGCGTGCTTGGAATTACGGGCTCAATAGCCGAAGACCTCCGACCGCTCGGACGATGTAAGCTCTTTCTCCAAGGGTGTCTAACTTGTAGCGCTCTTTTAGAGTATTCCAGCTAATGTCGAGTAATAGAGCGCTTCCTGTGACTTTGTACTACCGGAGAACCTTCTCTAATTCTGCAATATCGGGAATCCAGGCCAAAGGAGGAGGGCGGCGGGGTAGATTGTAACAGAGCTCCTCTACCACGCGGTAACAGACCAGAGAAACGGATCTGCGATAGTATCTCCCAGCTGTATATTTGGTAATGGATTTATACTTGAGGTCTGCCAGAATGCGGCGCTGCTAAGAGCTTAGGGCGGCGCTGGTCGTGCTGCTCACCCTGCTTAGGTAAGGGCGGGTGATTGGGTGAGGCGGGTGCAGCTCCAGCAGGTTTCTGCCACTTAGCAAAAGACCCTGAGATGTTCGAGTTGGCATGGTGGCGCAGCGTTAGAAAATATCAATGAAGAATACGAGGTTATGGCCTTTGCCCCTTGCATCCCCTCGACTCTCGTGAATCGTCCCTGGTTTGGGTATCTAATCAGTGCCGCTAACCTGCATCGAGATCGGTCCGGTCTGCCCTTATAAGTGAAGTGGGCGATCGTCATACGCGTCGCATCTATCCACTGTGATACTATTGGTGACGATGAACCAGATATCCGGACGGAAGTACTTACCTACGTACCTAGGTAGGTTGCGCAACCAGCGCAACGATAAAATCTTTCCTTCCTCTCTCTCTCTCTCTCCTTATACACATCTAGATGTGTATAAGAGACAGCCATTAGCCAACCCACATTCGTTTCCTAAAGCTGCTGGTTATCTACCCAAATTGTCCTCCAGAGCGTCGTAGCCGCCAATATTACAACCAGGACTCTATCCTACCCGCGATATTGAAGAGGCCTACCACCACCCTGATAAGGATATATCGTTCGTTACACTGGCCAAGATGGCGAGCAGATACAACTATGAATCCCCTGACGGTTATGAGATGAATGGCCCGCCAGCTCCCAAGTACGAGGTCGACCGCGCCGGAACTCTGGCGCCAAGATGGTACGAGTACAAGCACTGGAATAGAAGAACCTGGATTGGAGTTGGTGCAGTGGTAGTACTGGTAGTGGTGATAATTGTTGCGACGGTCGCTGGGGTGGAGGTGGCCAAGAAGAACAATAGATATCCGGACTATTCGAAGTTGACTTATAAACTGAGCGATACATGTGGGCTTCTATCTTATGATATGCCTACTTATCTAAATACTAACATCGACGCAGATTCAGGAGAAAACTTCTTCGACCAGTTCGATTACTTCACCGGCTATGACCCTACTGGAGGGTTCGTCCACTATGTTCCAGCGGAGATGGCGAAACAATACAATCTAACCTATGCATCCCCTTCCTCCGCCATCGTCCGCGTCGACACCTCCGTAACGCCCGAAACGGTCCCAAACGCATCTACAGGTCGTTTCTCAGTTCGCATCACATCAAAGAAGCAATACGGAATCAACAACCTCTTCATCTTCGACGTATCACACACTCCCATCGGCTGTGGTACATGGCCTGCTCTTTGGCTCACCGACCCCGCAAACTGGCCAGAAAATGGCGAAATCGACGTCATGGAGGCCGTCAATGTTGTTTCCTCGGCGGCGAATCAGATTGCGCTACATACTTCCAGCGGGTGCAGTATGGGGGGCGTCAAGCGGAAGGAATCTGGGAATTCCCTCAGCAGCTCCTGTGTGAATTCTACAAACGGTAATGAAGGTTGTGGGGTTGATGCCGGGACCAATACCTTCGGAAAGGCGTTTAATGATCAAACCGGCGGTATCACGGCCATGGAGCTACGGAGTGCTGGTATCAGGGTGTGGACGTGGGCGCGCGCCAGCATTCCAGGTGATATCAGCAGCGGCAACCCCGATCCGAGTACCTGGGGTGAAGCCACTGCTGATTACCCAAATACGAAGTGCAACATTGACAATCATTTCCGGAACCAGAGTATTATCGCCAATATCAATCTATGTGGAAGTTGGGCTGGGGATACGAATGTGTATTCGAAAACTTGTGAGTCGCCTCCTCTTTCCTCTGATCAACCCAAACTTCTCGTTCTTCTCTTGTATCCTTCATCATTAGAGTTAAATGGTGGAGATAGAAGGATGGAACTCGAACTAAATAAGCTAATCACAAAATTCATACAGGCTCCGGAGACTGCAAAGACAATGTTGCCAATAATCCGACCGCGTTCAAGGACGCGTACTGGGAATTCGGCTCATTCCACGTCTACTCTGCTGCAGCATAATCGTCCTCCCTTACTTGCCTAGCCTGTCTCTCTTTTCACATGGAAAAATTGCAACATAGCCGAAATTAAAGTGACCTTCTCCATTTTTCCTTTTGGCGTTGGGTAATTTTCATGCGGATGGACACTATATAATTGGGACTAGGGAGGATCATTAACGAAAGGATAGACCCCACGGCGTTTTTTGATGTCACGTTTTGGAAAGAACCTGTTGGTTCATACTGGTAGTGCCTGTTAACGAGTATTCAACGAAGACTTCTTGTGAAGTGCCTGCGAAGGAAGGGGTGGGGTAATCAGTACTGCTATTTATATACCATAGCACGGGTATTTGCCGTCTATAGGAAAAGCATAATCCGAATAGTGACGTGAAGGGTGCTCGCAATCCGGAAGTTACGTTGTGGGTTTTGTGGATGAAAAGGGGAAGTGAGCGTTGAGGATGAATCAATCCTCTTCCATTTCCTGTACTTATTATAATATAACACAATGTAACAGGAAAACATTGTAGCAATAGTCGATGTTATCAACCCATCTTGCTGACCTCCTTTCGATCAACGTAATGCAAGCTAGAAGTCATTGGGGAAATTGTAGATATAAAGGGTTAGCAAAAGGAGATGAGGCCCATGAAAATCCATTCGCGTGCTATATGCAAACAGACAGCAAGACTCAGTTCAAGGCTAAAGAGCAGGAAAATGCATAAGAGCAATGTTACATTCATTGCAACCAGCATGAATGTAATTGTTTGTTTGCACGGCGTGTATACTATAGAGGTTTCAATATGCCTAGCACATATGTCCTGGTTTCATATCCATACATGCTCAACGCCATGTCCCATGCATTAGCCCACCCGCGGAAGGATAATTTAATCTTCATCCTCATCTATCCGCGCCCTCTTACTCGCCCTGTCCTCCTCCCCGGCCTGCAGTCCGAATTCTCTTTTACTACTGCTCCCACTCTCCCCAACGTTGCTTAGGAACTCGTCAACGTTAAACACATCGCCAGTATCCTTCTCAAACTGCACAGGTCCCTCTCGCGCCTATAGTGGCACATAAATTAGCACCGTCCTTGTCCCAAACACCTAAATAGGTAAAGTAGGGATTAAAAACTTACCTCGACATCACCACTCCCCTTAAACGTCCCCTTACCAAGCGCATCTGCAAACCGACTACTCTTCTGAATCTTCCCCATCTCTGCCTCCGCCGCCTCATCATCATCCTCATCCATATTCTGTCTCGGGCGATATATGCTATTAATAGCATCATGCGCCTGGAATAATGGTTTATCATACGCCTGATCTTCATTGAATCCCGAGTCAAAACCGCTTGTTCGGTTGAAGAGTCGAGAATCAAACATGCCCTCAGAAGACTGTGTGGGCTTTGCTAGACCCAGAGCGACCTTTTCGGAGATGTCGCGGTTTTGGTCGCGGGCCATCATTTGAATTCTTCGCTCGGTGCCCATACGGTTTTGTCTCATTTTTCGTTCTTCGTCCCGCTGCTTCTCCTGACGCATCTTCACTCGTTCTCGGATCCCCTCCTCGTCCTCGCTGTCAGATCTTTCGGATTCCGAATAACTATAGCTGCCGGATCGGGACCTTGATGTTCGTGACCCTCGTCTCCCAGACCCAGCTGCGGCTCTGTCCTCCCGCGCCTTTTGTGCTAGCATTCGAAGATGATCCTCTTTTTGAGCCTTCTCTTTTTCCGCCAACCTCTGTTGCATTTGCGCTCTCTGCTTGACCTCCTCTCTCGCATGCCTATCAGCTGTGAAAAGGGCTTCAGCAAACTGGGCGAATTTATCGTTTATGGTAACATCTTGTAATCCTCTTCCATCGGCAGCTAATCGCTTATCCAGGGGCACCGTGTAACCCTTGGGATTCTTCCAATTCGAAACTGGTGGAGGAATCTTCCAAGCCTCCTGGTCCTCCGCGGTTAACTTCCTTGGTGGTGAGTGCATAACGGGGGGTGGCGGACTCGGTGGACCTCGTGGAATTTTCTTATGTTTGAATTTCGGTGGCTCCATGGGATCCACCTGTCTCTCGACGATCTTCATAATTCGATCTTTCTTCCTCGTCGTATCTCCCATCTGGTTTGCAGGTGTATATCGAACAAAAGTCGGCTCCTTCCTATTACCCACATTGACATTCTTGGGTTTCTGCGCAGCCACCGCACCACTAACCAGCTTTGCAAGCGCATCTTTCGTTCTCTCCGTCGAGGCAGCAACTTCATCTTCATTCGGCCGATCAAGATTAATGTCGCCCGCATCGGCGCGCTGTCGAAGCGGTATTAGATCTTTGAATGACGCATGAACTATCCGCTGGTCGCTATGGCCTTGTCGCGCAATAGCATCGTATTTAACCTTCCCCTCGGCATTAACTTGGACAGCCAGCGCCGTGCTGGAACTATTCCCCTTGCGTCCCATATCTAGAGGATACTGTGCGACTGGGATTTCTGGAAACGCCCCTCCATCTCCGTAGTCTTCCTGTGATCGTGGTCGCCATCCCGCTCGCTGCCCATATGGAGGAGGTCCGGTTTTCTGCAAAATCCCATTAGTATCTCCTTCTCCGCGCAGTATGAACAATTGCCTAACCCGTAATACGATTTGAGAGTCACTTAAGGCTCCTGCTCCTAAAATTCGAGGTCCTCTCTGTTGCGCATGCTGTGGAATCTCCTCTTCCTCACCGGTGTATTTAGGTTTAGGCAGCGCCCGTGACAAGGATGCCGCTATTGAAGTCATATTGAAGGTGTTGTTGACGGAGGACAAGACAAGGTGAGCTTTTTGACGTGACGACTGTATCGTTGAAACCAAATTATCGCGATCTAAACCTGGTCGTAAAGCTAGACGAGGTGGGACTAGCGCGGTGGCGCGTATGTGTCCTTGAGAGGCCCAGAATATGATTCCAACAGCTCGATAACCAATGCCATAACACTCGTGGATAATATTTACAAATAGATTAGGGTGATTTGAATGGGGTCACTATTCACAGGGCAGGAAAATTTTGAAAAGTCTTCTTCATTTGATTTTTGGGGTCATTATATAAAAATACATCGAAAAGTCCAGACTCCACTGCCATGGTAACTTCCCAAAGAACGCTCGACGCTGTGAACTCCCATAATTCACACATAGCCCTTTCTTGCGCCCTTTGAATATGGATTAGCAACATGTACCCCGCTGCCAAAACCAATGGCAAGGTTTGGGTACAACATACCTGGAAGAAGAACCGGACAATAAACACTTGTAACCCAGCCATGCAAACCATCATCAAGCTCTCGATAACACTGAAGTTAAATATCCGTCTCTCAGTGCTCCGCACTGTGCTGAAATTGCGGTTTTCTCTCGTGCGGAAGTATTTCTGGTTTCGCGTGATAGTAGAGAGCTGGCCTGAGAGCTTGAAGATGGATTCCTCCAGAGCAGATGTCTGTTCTGGTGATGTGCCTTGTTTCGCTGGTAGTGCTGCGCGTTGTTCGTGCTCGACCTATTTGTACAACGCAAAGGGTAAGATGTCAGCGTCTGCTTTGGATGGAAAGGGAGGGTTGAGCTGGCGCGAAGGGACCACGTACAGCTATTTCAAAGTCGACATATTTCTCCGCGAAAGTACTCATCTCGTTATTGAAGCAGAATCTGTACTCCCCAGTCTCGGTCGCCGTGAAGACGAAGTCGCCCTGTCGCTCCTTTTCTCCATCCATGATGATATGGTTATTCGGTCCCATCACTTCGTAATCGACATCGAAAGAACCACCTGCTTGGACCTACACACCCCCATCAATTAGCACGATTCCAAAAGTCCGGTATGTGTATGGATATGTATGGAACTGCATACAGCGAAATAAAATGCAACCTTCGCAGCTGGTCTCTCGACGTCAGCGAAGAAGCACGCCTTCTCATTCGCTTCGAGCCTGTACGTGAGCGCTGTCGCAGACACCAGTGAGGAGAGGCATGCCAGGAGGCTGCATGAAAGAGTCGAGAGCTTCATGGCGACGTTGTGTTACCAGGAAGAATGGCAGATGGTAGCTGGGTATCAAGATCTCACTGTTCGATAAAAGACAACTTTCGAAGTCGCGAACTCGCGAAAGGGGAAATGCAAGCGAGAAGTGGATTTCAGGGGTTGAGAAACACGACACGACCGTGATTTAGCACGTGAAGTGGCTCTAGTACTACCTAGGTGTGTCATAAATTTTATAAATTCCTACAATCTACCACCCTGACTCTAATTCCAGACCTAGATATCCTTCTCTAATCACTATATCCGGACATATACGATATTATAGTCTTCATTGCCTATCGTGAGCTACTCAAATCAAGCTCGTCTGTATGCCGAGTACAATCCCGTACTTGCAACTTTTATGCTCCAACTCCTACAATTCTCACTCCCCAGAGTATAATTAAAATGTTATCGTCGGCGTACTTAATCTAGTGATATCATCAAATAGTACTTTTCATCATACTCTGACATGTATACCAACTCAAGCCCTGATCACCCGCCCCTGCTTGCCTAATCAAACTGCACGAGTACTACCCCCTCAGCTTCTGGAATATTACACTAGAATAACCGGACAAGCATGGATGTTCGGCTCGATTGCTACTATAAATGAGTGCCACTCGAGGAGATTTTAGTTCTGCTTTAAAAACTAGCGATGTATATCCCATGGCTTCAATGCTATGCTGTATATGGATTCTTGCCACTACCAGCCTGGCCATGACGATGTAAGTAATCTCTCCCTCCGTCTAGCGCACCCATCCCAGGCATTTTGCCCCAAACGGCGACTGTCTCACCGCCCGCAAACACCATCCACTGTAGCGCCATCATATCGTAACATACAAAATCCTGCCAGCCATGCTCAAAAGCAAATGCGCCGCCTAAGGTCTACCTCAGGAATAGATCACCAGCGCCGTTTCGAATAACCCGCGTTCTATCAACATGGTCAAGGCCCAGCATGTCATCATCTTGAGTCGCCACATCCCACATCACGTCGTCTACTTCGAGTCAGCTCCAGCTTTTGATACAAAGGAGAAGGAGGCTTACCGTCTGAGAGATAAATAGGTTTCGAATACGAGCTTCTTTTCACCACAGCAAACTTGATCTTTTCAAAGTTCTTGCCCTTAATACCAAGTCGTTTCTCGAGTCTTTTCTTCGTATCCGAGAACTTTTCGCCCTATCAAAAGTGTTAGATTAAAAATCGAAGAGCAGTTGAACTTCTGTACTCACTTCCATGATGCGGAATTTGAATGGTATCCCATGGGCTTTGTTGGGCTCGTTCTGGAAATGGAACGCGGGGATGAACTGAGTCCCTGCCGCATTCAGATCATCTTCTGGAATTCGTTCCGCAATTAGCTGAACGTAATCTGTGATACTCATAACGGCGTAAGTTCGCGGTAATTCCTTGTGTAGTTTATTGCTGTGGGTTTCGTAAACGCGGATAGGGCCGGCCGTGGTTTCATCTTCAAGCTGCGCTTTCTTGATGAGCGCAGCGATGAGATCGTCCACATTGCCATTCTTGGGGACAAGGACATCATATTGGTCCTGCAATAAAAATTAGCTTTGAATATCTCATGAAGAGTTTGACCTACCTCTTTTGTAATCCCTTCACTAAGCCATATTACTTTCAAGGACTTCTTTGTGTCTAATTCTGACAGACTGATGTCCAGAATTTCGAAGTAGAGCGCATCAGCTCTTTGGTTATTATTGCTGAAAGTGCTATATGCTGGATTAAGAATGGTTTGTAGAGTCTGACTTGGACCACGTTTGACAGAGGCTTTGGCATTTCCAGTCGTAGCGTTCACGGTCCAAAACCGAAGATGAGTTGGATCGACGCCTAATTTATCACCAACTTTTGCAGCAACCTGATCATAACTGTGTTTGGCACTAAGCACGAGGCTGAATGGGTCGTACTCTTCAGGGTTCGCGTTTCTCGTTGGATGAGCATGGAATCGAACTTGCCGCCTATGGACAAGGAAGTCGTAGAACAAGCGAGCGTCATCGACCCGATCCGAATGGGTGTTTTTGGGGCTCCTATCACTGTCAGTAATGGCTATTGATCGAGGAAATGAGACGGACTCTCGGTCGGATTCTGGACTCTTGGTATCAGGAGCCTTTTGGAAGCATATTATGTCGCCATCCTGAATCTCAGCTGCCTTTAGAGATTGCTTGGCCTTCATAGGTTCTATCATATTGGGCTTGATCTCCTAAGACACTATTAGATTACTTCCTTTTGAATCATATATCGAGCACCTACCTCAAAAATCCTCAGTTGAAGTTTGTCGCCACTAGGTAATCTCTCTGGCCAGCCCATCTTTTTAAGAATCACAGGGACAAGGTCCTCGACCTTCTTCTCCCTACTGATATAGATGTGACCAGCACCACTTAGTTGTTGAGCGTCAGCGTCAAACCATTTTAAAAAGAGAAGTATCAGGTCATTTTTATGGATGACTCCATTGGAGATAACCGGTTGACCCGGCCATATCCCCTCTCCCTCGGAATTGACATCTTCTGCAAGCTCTGCCCATAATCGCAACTCCCCTGCTTTGGTTCCCAGATGTCTTTGGTGGACCTCTTCGATGGACATATTTGAATCGCTAACAGGGGCGTCCGGCCGAGTCGTCTTGTTTTGACGGTTGACCATGCACCAAAGCCGTAGCCGTCTTGGATCGACGTTGGTGTCTTCCCCAACTTTTTCTGCCAAGTCTCGTATGGTTGATTTCCGAAGCAGGCGATAAGATTTGGGTGCTGCTGAATCCTCGGGGCTTACATCGAAGTTACATATATCTGTTCCGCCATGCGCCTTGTAAGTATCCTCGGTGATAACTTTGACAGAAAGATAAAGGTGTTGCTCTTCCCGCTCCTTCCTGCGTGCCTCTCGATAGGCTGCTTCTTCATCAAGTCTTCGTTCTAGAGAAAAGTTAGCAATATCAATGGGGCCGAGAAATAGAAGACATACGGAGATGTGCGGGCGTATCCTCCTTGGCTACCGGAAGTAGAACTTCTTCTAACCGCGTTTGGCGGATGTAAACCAGCATATAAGCGCTGTTCTGACGCATAATAGGCGTCGAATTCTTCGATAGTTGAGTTTGCCCATTTACGATATATTCACCCCCATAGTTGTCTTCAAGAACTTCTCGCAGCGTAGCTTTTGTAACCTTATCATCATCATACTTGTAGAACCAGCCATCCTTGTTCGGCTTGATGAACGCATAATAATGGCCAGCATTGAGATCCCCACTGTGCACAAGGACGCCGTGAAGCTGGTAAACCCATGGCTCGGTCAAATCAGCTTCCTGGCACAGATAAGGTGTTGCGTCAAAGGTCTCGGGAAATTCATAACGGTCGTTTATTTTCATCATAGCATCATGGTCGATGTCGTATTGAAAGCGTTTGAGCTGTAGATGAAGCACTTCTGGGAAGCTCTCAAAAACGACACCTTTCCTCGCATCTTGGAGCTTGAACTGGTCGCCCGCAAAATATTGGTTTTCGCCGTCCATCGTCTCAACCTGGATATAATCCTTGAAACTCTCTTCGATAGTTTTGTTTCCACTGACGTTTAATTGAATGTCCCAGAAATCTTCCACTCGGCGCGATTCGTACTCAACGTTAATACAGGATATGTATGTTCGAACCTTGCCGCAGAAAAGCTTGGGTAGAACGTTCTCGGCGTCCGTGCCTTTCATCTTTTCTTCCATCCGTTCCATAAGTTTTCGGGAAAGTTCTTGTACATCCTGCTGCTCGAAAATGTGCTTCGTCTCCCAGCCAAAGGACTTGGTGAGTTCATTCGTTCCCACAGCATTATTGGATGTTTGGAGTTGATAGAAAAGCCGTTGAAGGGCATAGGCGGAGTTTTGAAGAGTTTCTTCATCTTGTGTTGGAATTTGATATACAGCCTATGGCATGGTCAGCATATGACCTGTGCCATGTTCCATGGAAACCCACTTTTCGGAATGCGTTAGTAAAATACAGCGACTGGATGAGCGAGTTCAGGTAGCACGTAGCTCCTTGGTTCTTAAGCCCAACGTAGCCAGTCTCCTTTTTCGAATCGTAATTCTGAAAGTTGTGCCATAAAACTCCAGTCTCATCTTTTACTACCCTGACGTATGCTGTCATATTTGCAGCATCGTCCTCCACCAACAAGCGACCCGATGAGTCCCAAGGAGTGTTCCATAGTTTTCTCAATTCAACAAATTTAGTAAAGCCCCAATCGCCTTCTTCCTTTGTAAACCGGTGGTGTGCGGTATGGTGGGTGAATATTTCGGGTGCATTTGGATTCCAGAGGACAAGACCAAACTGCACACAGCAGACATAGTCATCCGGCGGTTCGCCGTCTGGGAATCCTTGTTCTAGGTAGAAAGATGTGTGGTCGACATTGTTACCAAATGGGAACATGAGAACACGCCTAGATCTGTCAGTAGAGAGACGGTAGACGTAACAGATCGGATATTATGCCACAGCCTTACCAAGGAAACCCTCCAACTTCAAAGACAGGGCCATGTTCCCTTCGCGGGGCGTTCCTCCATTGTTCTATATGCCAGGTATGGTGGCCTTCTGCTAGCGCCGGCGGATCCTCTGGCAGCGGAGGAAGTACAAAATCGCTCATGGCCTCATCTAACCCAACGTTAGTCAACTGAAGTATATCATATGACGAGTAGGCTGCTGGCATCTGTTGGAATAAACGTACAGTTATCTGCGCGCAGACTCGACTCGGCATCGCTGTCTGGGTTTATGATGGCGACATCGTCTTTCTCGTTCTCAGGGTCGACGAGCAGGTCGTCGGAATCGACAAGCATGTCATTGGGGGAGTCTATGCTTTCACTAAAGGCCTGCATTGGCAGATCGAAAATGTTAGCACCTGGATAGTTAAAAAAATCCTCTGAGCAGAGGATGATTCAGGTCTGAAATGGAATCCATTCTTGGTAATTTCGCTATAAGAGTCCAAGATGAAGAGCGACGCCGAGTAACAGACGGGGCAGGCGGGAGCTCGTTGTGATTGAAGTGGATGGGTTGCTTACAGGATTCATCGTTGCAGCTCCGGGTATGCCTTCCCAAGAAGCAGAGGCAAAGTCAATGGGAAGAGAAGGCGCAAGGACGAGGAAGAGGGACGCGGAGGTTGCTTCCGTGAGTACAGGTTGGCAGGCGCAGTCGCAGTCGCAGTCTTGGTCTCGATCTCAGTCATCCAGCATTAAGGCGATGGATTTTGAGTTCTATGCGGATGCAGATGCGGATGCGGGACCTCGCTCGCTTCAAGCCAACAGACGGACCCAATGAGATATGACGTTGTCCGCGGTACGCTAAATGGGCAGAGGGAGACAACCTTGTCAACAACAGTGTTTTGATGAAGAAGGCAAGTTGCAAATGAAGAGCGAGAGGTGAGCAAAGCAGAGCAGAGCTAGAGCTAATGCTGTAAGCAACTATGTTTGTGTCTATCGCTGCCCTCAAAAGAACAAGGCTCCAGGTTGGCCTGATTGTGTGTTCTGTCGGAAGCGCTCGGCTTGTGACAATGCTATTCTCAAACGCGTGGCTATTGTCCTCGGGCGGCACAAAGATCAAAGGCGATGTGGAGGACGACGAGATGATGCTTTTAGGAGGCGCAACAAAAGATAGTAGCTTGTACGAAGTATGCTGTTAGCACCTGTAAATGTAGATGTGGATGTGGATGCGAATGGTAGACTCGAGGATAATTTTGTTGCATGGGTTTGATCGCGTTGTTATAATCATCAAACTCGCGGAGAATCACGCGTTTATGTTTATCCTCCATATTTGGCAGTTCTGAGCTTCTTTAAACCATCTTAACCACGTATCGGAATAGGGCGGTGAAAGGGTTTTATTTTGCTCAACACACTATCAGAAAAGGGCTGATTGCACATCGCTGCAAATGCTAATGGGTATTGCAGAGCAGAGAACTAAAGACTCGAATTCATGGGGATATCTCTGCGTAACGCTGGACAACAATGGCTCTCAAAGCCCAAAGGGAGACAATCTGTAATACAATTAACACCTCGCACCTCCAGCAAAGCCATCCGACCGCACTAGACATTCATTATTACTTTGCAAACACACCCAAATACTACTTCTCCTCAGCAGGTTCCTTAGCAGGTTCCTCGGCAGTCTCCTTAACAGGCTCCACTGAAGGCTCTGTAGTAGGTGCCGCCGTAGGTTCTTCAGCAGGCTCCTTAGCGGGCTCCTTAGCAGGTTCCTTAGCAGGCTCCTCAGCAGCCACCTCAGAGTATTTAACGGTCAGTCCCTCCTTGATATCATTTCCTTTCCCACCATAAGTCTTTGGGAGTTCCTGCCCAAGCGCCGGGAGCCCGCCCGCCAAACTGCTTGCATAACTCAAAGGATGGAATTTCTTGATGGTCTCCGGGCTCAGGAAGACCTTCAGCGCAGTAAACACCCAGCCCATAAGTAACGGGACGTTCACGAAGAACTTCTCCTTCAAGAGCTCTGGATACGCCATGCTGAATGTCGCGATGGTCTGTTTGGAGGCGGCCCGAATGGCGGGATCCATACGGAGGAAGCTGACATTGAGATAGTCGTGGACTTGAATCATACGATAAGGATCTTCGCCGTTCTCTGGGATCCTTTCTGTTGCGGAGGGCAGATCGAGCTGCTTGACCGATAATTCCATAAGGGCAGATCGCCATTTGATAAATCTAAGATATCAATTAATACGGACAAGCGCTATCATAATTCAGGAATAGGACTCACTCCTCAACATTCCCGAAGGTTTCCTTGTTGTCCTTGACAATACCATAGATATTCCAAGTCACAATTTCCTTGCCATGTTTATCTGATTTCGGATACACCGTAACATATCCAAGCTCCCCGAACTTGCTCTTGTCAAACTCGACTTCCTCCAGGAGTTGCCTTGGGTCCATGGCCTTTCTCCATTTCAGGGCTTCGATCAATTGTGCTTTTGCTTTGGTGACATCCTTAGTGTTGGCCCTCAGGAACTTTTCGAGGACAATGGAGGTCGGAACATGGGAGTCATCAGAGAGTTCAACACCCCATATTTCCTTGTGATCTGCTTCCTTAAGGATGAAAGGCAGTTCTGAAAAGAGTTTAGACAAAGGTGTCTCGACAGGCGCCGCGACGGGGGTTTCGGCATTAGCTGGAGCTACGGGGGCCACTGGTGCAGCTTCGGAGGTTGCTAGTTTGGACTCTTCAGCAGCTATTTTGGGTTCTTCAGCAGCTGCTTTGGGCTCGTCGGTGGCCGCTTTGGGCTCCTCAACGGCCTGTGTGAGCTCCTCAACGGCTGGTTTGGATGCTTCCACTTCAGTAACTGGAGTGACGGCTGGTGCCGCAGTGGTTGCAGGTTCAGCGCTCATTTTGACTGTGTTCAATGGGTATCTTTGTGGTGGTTGTTATGGGTCGATTTCGTGAGGTTTGAAGCTATCCTTGAAACTCGTGGATGTATTAACCGTGGACAGCTATTTATTTATTTCTCGACAGAAGATGCTTGTGACTCGCCGAGCCCCAGGGTCTCGACCGATCTCGGAACCCACCTTGGGGTAAGTTAACCAACCTTACTTCATGGCCTACGTACTTCGTGCTTGATGTTTGCCATATTCGCGCAACACGTCGACTTTACATCTGTTGATATATGTTTTCTGTACATAGCTCAGCTATTCGCTCCAATTCCTGGTCTCGCCTTTTCGTTTCAAGCACAATCCAGAAGCCGGTAGGGGTGAGGATCGCAGGATTGGCCCCGCTGCGACTACGAACGACGATCCGCGCCGTTGTCCCCCGCATGGATTGACGGAACATCGTACTTCAAACCTCAATTGCCTCGAGACCTTAATAATATCTTCATATGCGTATGGAATCGCCGGGATGCTGCGCTCCTGTTCGCAGAATGGGCAACGGGTAGTGGGGCTATCCGCTGGATATGGCTCTGGCGTGAACGGGTTGTCATGCCATGTACGGTTTACTCATGGCCCTCCGCCCTGGCGGCCAGCTTATTCCCTAGACCAGTAGGCCTCTAAACACATAACTTTTGTGATTGTAGCTAAGTTGGATTAGATGGGTTGCAAGGGAAGCTCGACCTATAAGCCTCAGACAGCTCATGGTGTTTGGTCGAACCTTGACTGAGTCACGACTAATAAGCTCTGCCAATTATGTCCGAACAGAGCTGCCCGCCCGGTAGGGACCCCGATTGATTTGCTTCCATCCTATCGACTGACAGGAACCATAGGCTGGCCCATCGAATTCGAGATATGCAAACGCTGCCCTACGTCGTTGTCACGAACCCGCATATCAGCCAAGTATATGAACTATACCTCAAGGCATTTGAGAGTCTGCGACGTGTACCAGAGATCAAAACATTGGAAGATAATGCGGAATTTTGCGAGAAGATTGGTGAGAAGTTGCAAGAGCATCTGACTGTGATCCCAAAGTTGGCAATGGGTGTGCTGGAGTGTAGAGATCTTATGAAGCCAGAAGATATGGACAAATTTATGAACACCGTCTTACGTTCCGTACGGTACCCTTTCCCCTTGCCTATGCGATTACGAACTGATATTTAGCTTATAGCGGATATCTCGCCGCGTAATAGCAGAGCAGCATATCGCCCTCACAGAAACGTTCCACCACCCACGCCACCCCCCTGATGCCCAGCCCCGAGACAGCGAATTCGTTGGCGAAGTCCTGGTCAAATGCAATGCTAAAGAAGTCGTAACACGCTGCGGTCATGAAGTAGCGGCTCTTGCATCCGCCGCGTACGGATCATCCACTTTATTACCCGAAATCAAACTATCTGGCCATTTACATGCCACATTCCCTTATATACTGAGCCATCTTGAGTATATAATTGGAGAGCTATTAAGAAATTCCATTCAAGCTATCGTGGAAAGACAGAGGGCCAAACCAATCCAAACAGAACGACCACCGCCCATAGAAGTCACCATCTGCGAGGCTCCACAGCATGTCATTATTCGAGTCTCTGACCAAGGCGGTGGTATCCCGAGGGATATCTTGCCACATATATGGTCATTCAGCAAGGGACCACGCAGCCGTGAACTCCTGGAAAACTTAAACCAGGTCCCAAAAATCGCTGCCACATTTCAAGAGCTGCGAGTAGAGGATCAACAGCTACCCGAGGCGACTGAAGCCACCCCCCACGCTTCACCATATTTGGGAATTGGAGCCAAAACCCACGCGGCCACAGAGAAGCTGGCCAGTCTATCTTCCCACCAAGGCCCCGGAACGGTACGGGAGAGTTCCTTAGCCACATTGACCAGTCGACCACCAAATCTAAGACTTGGAATGGGCTTGCCCTTGAGCAGAGTATACGCAGAATATTGGGCTGGTAGTTTGGAGTTACATAGTCTTGAAGGATACGGAGTCGATGCATTTTTGCAAATCAGTAAATTGGGCAATAGGAACGAGCAATTAACCATGCGGGCCAGCATGGATGCTGTTTGAGATACGCCCGGAAACTTTTGGGTCATCAAATTCTATAATATTTATCATTTCTTTGGGGAGAAAGGGAGGTCTTGGAGGAACATGAATTATATCGTGGCTAAAAACTAAGAACAATAAGCCCACGAAGCTGGCTAGCTGGGAATTAAGCTACCCTGCGGCTTGGACATTCGGAACTGATAGGTAGCCGGAACTGAAAGAAGAAAAGTGCTGCCTTGACCTGCGCATAACACTCCCGTAACACCATCGTCCATCCTTGCACCTTTTGATCTGTCCACTACATCCCCCCCCTTGGACATCTTCTGCATCTACACTCGAGGTATCATTTAACGACGACCATGGCTGCGAACGGCACTTCCTTGCATCTGCTCAAGCTCCTGCTCCAAGGACTTGATAGCAGCATGGGTGCTTTCCAAATCCTTGTTCAAGCGATCACGCTCATTGATGAGCTTCTCCTCCCATTGTCTGAAACGCTGCTCCTCAATCTTGACCTGCTCGGTGAATCTCTTTCGTAGACTTTCTTCCTCTTCCTTGAACTTGGGGTTGTCGAGCTTTCTGGGTCTTGCCTCGCCGAATTTGCGGGTCTCCATCTGCTGGGCGCGATAGGCTTCGTAGTGTGCCTCTTCCGTGGTGTGGATGAGGTCCAACATGTGGGTTCGGATAAGAATGGAGCGGAGCTTCTTGAAGTCGCAGTGGTCTTCGTTCTCGACTTCCGCAACACCCCAGGAGTATTGACGACCCTTTACGATACGTCCATCGCTGGTCTTGACATCCTTCTCCGAGCCGATGACGGCGAATGGCATAGCGGCCATGAGGCTTCGTGCGTGTGCCGCGGCAGCTTCATCGTCCTCCTCGATAGGTGGCGTGTAGATCTTAATGCCTTGCGCCTCGATAACAGCCCGGATCTAGAAAATGTCAGACGTGTGCTACTCACCGCCTCTGAAGACAACTTACCCTTTGCTTAAAGCGAGCGAGATCAGCTGGGCTGAGGGTATCCGCCTTTGCAACAACTGGAATCAAGTTGACTCTGGAGCTCAATCTCTTCATAACCTCAATATCCAGAGGCTTCAGTGTGTGTCCAGTAGGTCTGACGAAGTACAGGCATGCATGAACACGGAGGTCGATCTTGTCAACTCGGCGAGGTTGTTGCTCTTGAAGCATATATGACTCATGCTGGTCATCCAAGAACTCGATGATTGGCATCCACGAGTCGCGGTTGTTGACATAGTCTCCAAAGCCGGGGGTATCAATAACGGTGAGACGGACTGTGGAACTATTAGCGACCGTAGGTTCTGTTAATGAGCGCCGATCTAGGAAGCGTACCTTTGAAGAATTTCTCTTCCAACTCAGCTTTTGTGATCTCAATTTCCACGGTCTTATCGACCTGCTTGGCATGTCGGCGTTTGTGGTCGGCGTAGTTCTTGATTGTTGTTGAGAAGAGGGTGTTGATAAATGTCGTCTTTCCTAATCCCGATTCACCCGCAACCTAAATAGTTAGCAAATGACCGCCATGTTGAATCTCAGCTTCGCGGTTACCCACCATAATCGTGAAAGCAGCTCCTCTCTTTGCGACAATCTTGTGACGCTGGTTTGGTAAATTGGCAATCCCAATTGGGGACGCGCTTTCTGCGGTTGGAGGAGCCATTGTGAGCGTGTATAAAGCGCTTCTTTCCTGTCAACCAAACTCCAATTCTGACGTCTGTACGTAGTAGGTATGTCGAAAAGCGATCGCGTTGTGCAGGAGCAGTTGGTAGTTGTATTATGGTCGTGATCGTTCTCATTCAGGAGACTTCGCTTCAAGGGGTGTGGAGGGAAATTCGCATCTCCCCCTGAAGGTCCCCAGAACACGCTAAAATGGTTAGCGTCTGAGCCGGATTAAAGAAGACCCGACAGCTCCGAGAATTCGACAAAATCATCGATAGCGATAAAAAAAGTTAGTTTGATAGACGAAGCAGATACGCAACGGCAATGTCAACCCAACGGTGACAATGAAGACGGAGTTTAAGGTATGCCTGCCGCATGACTATTACCATTGTTTATACTGATTTGCTTATTAGTTCTCCAACCTTTTAGGGACTGTCTACAGCCAGGGAAACCTGCTTTTCAGTCCAGATGGCACTTGCCTCTTTTCGCCGGTAGGAAACAGGGTCACGGTTTTCGACCTCGTAAAGTATAGACCCTAGATACAATCCTATGGAATTTTATCTAACTATTACCAGCAATAAATCGCATACTCTTCCTTTCGCACATCGAAAGAATATCGCAAGAATCGGCCTTACACCGCGGGGTAATCTGCTCCTCTCAGTTGATGAAGATGGCCGAGCGATCCTAACGAATGTTCCGCGGAGGGTTGTCTTGCATCATTTCTCATTCAAATCACCGGTCTCCGCACTTGCTTTTTCTCCCTCTGGACGCCATATTGCTGTGGGAGTTGGACGGCATATAGAAATATGGCATACGCCCTCAACACCGGATCAAAGTCCGGATGGAGAGTTGGAGTTTGCGCCGTTTGTGCGCCATAGGGTATTTGCGGGCCATTTCGATACGGTGACAAATTTACAGTGGTCAGGGGATTCTCTCTTTCTTTTAAGTTCCGCCAAAGATCTCACTGCGCGGATATGGAGTTTGGATCCCACACCTGGATTTGTGCCAACCACACTGGCAGGACATAGAGAAGGCGTGATAGGCGCGTATTTCTCAGAAGACCAGGAGACGATATACACTATTAGTAGAGATGGAGCGGTGTTCCAATGGAACTATCTAGGTCGGCCAAAGGCGTCGGAGGCTGACGATGAAATGGAAGAGGACGGCAATGACGAAAGATGGAGGATTACAGAACGCCATTACTTTATGCAGACCAATGCAAAGGTAAAGTGCTGTGTTTTCCACCCAGAGTCTAAGTTATTAGTCGCCGGGTTCTCGAATGGAGTATTTGGTCTCTACGAAATGCCGGAATTCAACATGATACATACTCTCAGTATATCTCAAAATGACATCGATTTCGTCACGATCAACAAGACAGGAGAATGGTTAGCTTTTGGAGCCTCCAAACTGGGCCAACTTTTGGTCTGGGAATGGCAGTCAGAATCATATATTCTCAAGCAACAGGGACATTTCGATTCGATGAATGCCTTGACTTACTCGCCAGACGGACAGAGAGTTGTTACCACCGCAGACGATGGAAAGATCAAAGTCTGGGATGTCAACTCGGGATTCTGCATCGTGACTTTCACAGAGCATTCGAGTGGAGTCACGGCTTGCGAATTTGCGAAACGTGGAAATGTACTCTTCACAGCGAGTCTTGATGGTTCAATCAGAGCGTGGGATCTGATCCGGTATCGAAATTTCCGAACCTTTACAGCTCCAACACGTCTGTCATTCTCCTGTCTGGGTGTGGACCCAAGCGGCGAAGTTGTTTGTGCAGGCTCTCTCGATTCTTTTGATATTCATATCTGGTCAGTGCAGACCGGACAGTTACTCGATCGATTAGCAGGACACGAGGGCCCAGTCTCTTCCTTGGCGTTTGCACCGAATGGCGGAGTAGTCGTCAGTGGAAGTTGGGACCATACAGTCCGAATTTGGTCAGTGTTTGATCGCACACAAACTAGCGAGCCTCTCCAGCTCCAGGCGGATGTGTTAGACGTTGCTTTTCGACCTGATTCGCGGCAGCTGGCGGTTTCCACTTTAGACGGTCAACTAACGTTTTGGTCTGTCTCTGAAGCCGAGCAACAATCAGGAGTTGATGGGCGAAGAGATGTTTCTGGTGGTCGGAAACTCACTGATCGCCGAACAGCTGCCAACGCCGCTGGTAATAAGAGCTTCAGCACTATCCGATATAGCGCTGATGGCAGCTGCGTGCTGGCGGGCGGAAACAGCAAATATATATGCTTATATTCCGTGTCATCATTAGTTCTTTTAAAGCGCTTCACAGTCAGCATAAATCTTTCGCTATCTGGGACACAGGAGTTTCTCAACAGCAAAATGATGACGGAAGCGGGACCACTTGGTCTCATTGATGAGCAAGGGGAGGCCTCAGACCTTGAAGACCGAATTGACAAGTCCTTGCCCGGGTCAAAACGAGGAGGCGATCCATCAGCTCGAAAACGCATGCCTGAAGTTCGGGTAACAGGCGTTACATTCGCCCCTACAGGTCGCTCTTTCTGTGCTGCGTCAACTGAGGGACTTCTTATTTATAGTCTAGACACAGAACCATTATTCGATCCCATCGATCTAGATTTGGCCATCACTCCAGCATCAACCATATATGTGTTGGAAAAGGAAAAAGATTATCTAAAAGCCATCGTGATGGCGTTCCGCCTAAATGAGGCACCGTTAATCCGTCAAGTCTTCCAAGGCATTCCACACAGCAACATCGCCCTCGTAGTCGACGAGCTACCTGTCGTTTACATACCCCGACTCCTCCGTTTCGTGGCCATGCAGACTGAAGAATCTCCACATTTAGAATTCTGCCTTTTGTGGATTCAGGCGATATTGGTCTCGCATGGACAGTGGGTGAGTGACAATCGTGGCTCCGTCGATTCAGAATTAAGAATTGTGAGTCGGGCTGTGGGGAAGATCCGTGATGAATTGAGGAGGCTAGCGGATGAGAATGTTTACACTATTGATTATCTGCTCAGTCAGCCGGAGCCTAAAGCAAGTCTGCAAAATGGAGGCGAAGAAGGACTGAAGAGCATCACAGATGGCTCTGCTTTAGACGAAGATATGGATGGTGAAAATGACGATGGCGAATGGATTGGGTTAGATTAGGAAAACATCAATGCTATGTTCAACTTTCTTGTTATCTGCAACCTATGAGCTTTTATTGGTGTAGTGGCAATACAGCGAGACAGAGGGAAGCTGGAGCAAACAATGCAAAGAGCCAGCGTGAGAAGGGGGCCGGTGATGTGGCCGACTCAAACTGACATGAAGTGTGATTCACCCCGAATAGGTTGTTCAAGCCTTCAATATCAGTAGTAGAGGAAATATTTGTCGGGGGCTAGGCAACCTAACTACCGAGATAAATGGAGGTTAGACATAAGTACTGAGACACCATAATAAGAGCCTAGCCGCTTAGCAAGCGCATGGCTACTTCAACTGATGCAATATTGTTTCCTCTAACTTTTGAATATCTAGGCCTTTGAGACTTTTCTAAACTGGTATCTGCTATATGTTAACTAGATGGTGGCAGACATGACCTAGGAGGCACATATCGCTGACAATTCCGTCCTGTTGTTGCCAGCTAAGGTGTTATGGAAGACCGCAACCAAACCTACCCGTTAGCTTCGATTTAATGGAATATCACTTCAGACGAGTTCAAGTAAATAAATACATAATAATCGACACGAAAGTTGCCTAGAGGATGAGGGAGTGACGAGGCGTAATGGAGACAGCTTTATGAAGTTTTCGGTATAGATTTACACTATTGATGTTGAAGGCAGAAGCTAAGTAGGCTATGCGGTACATCTGCGTAATCTCTATCAAATTTCAACCGTGCTTTACTTAAACCCTCATTAATAACTACTCAGGATAGACTTGGAAAAACATTAGAAATGGCTTAGGCCGACGGCCAGTACTGTCTTACCAAATACATAGAGATGCAGCTATAAATGGACTATTAGTTGGAACGACCGACATGGTCACCCAAATACATATAGCGCAGTTATATGCCTTGCCCCGACACTCTGGTACCGATTGCGGATAATAGATCTATTCTTTATTAGCCAGCAAATCAAGCAACGCATGCACCCAAAACCTGCAGCAATGTAAAGTATAAGTACTTGCGTAATAGTAAATTTTCTCCAACAGGCGTACGGGGTATCAGCCACATTACTTACTGCAAGTTAAGACTGGAGACAAATTAGCCTGAATCCGTAACGTCTCAAAAGGAAGCTTTTATCGAAACGAAGGGTGATAGAACGAACTCTCCAGCACTGCCCATTCCAACTTGTTCCCTAGCTTCTCAGAACCAACTGTTAACAGTCTCATCCTAGTAATTGAAGCATCAACCTTGGACGATCACGGGGAGTTTTCCTTTTTTGAATCCCTTACTTCCCTCCTCAACTTTTTCAATGCCACCGTTCTGTACCAGGATCTCTAGGGGTGGCTTCTATCAAGTCAGTTCCACAAAGTAGTTAAGTGTTTGAGAAATTTGGTTCCAAATCCAAAAGGAACAAGTCACAAGTATTTACATAGATTTATCTCCAGCCCTTTTGAACTGTGTCCGTGAAACTATCCCACAGAGTTGTACAGAACCGTCATGTAATAATATGACTCTGGTACTTACCCGGGTAAACCGAGTATCGATTCAGGAACCAGGGCTTTCTACGGCTCGTTATTCCTCTCGTAGTTGAGCCCACTGGCCGTGACCACTAACTCCGGAATAACGTGCTAATGTAGGTTGATGTTGGTGTTATGTAGGTGGGCCGGTGACAACTATTACTACGCCTCGATAAAGGCCTATGATGTTTGCTGCAGAAACCCTCCGTGTTGGTTGGCGACGCAAGACTGCAGACTGCGCTGCCCCTCGGACCCCTCTTCTTGCTGTCCGTGTTTCAGGAGCAGCAACATCCCACATCCCACATTCCCCGTCCTCTCGCCCTCTCGCCCATCATCCCACCCCCCAATCGCCCTCTTGCTGGTACTCGGAGTAACTGCTGCTGAACTGCACTACGTATGTCGTTTGCCCTTTGATATCCCAACGCCCTCTGCCGTCATACTTACTAGTCAAGTTCACCATATATAGTCTCCTCCGCCCCCGACGAGTTCACCATCCCAAACCTACAGTACCAGCACCGGAATAGCCCCGCCTCTATCCACCTCCAGTACGATCTTCAGCGCACGGGTCAGTCTATATCACCGCCCTTGAACGCCAATCGGTCAGTTATCCATATCAGAAAATGGTCGACCGCCCAAAGAAGCCATCTGCCCTCTCGGCAACCCCAGGTCTTGCGCCTCAAGCACAAATCAACATCAGCCATTCCAACTCCCGGGTCTCAGCTGTCCTACCAACGGGCGAATCAGTCGAGATACTCCTTTATGGGGCCACCATCATAAGCTGGAAGGATGCACAGGGGAACGAGAAGCTGTGGTTGAGCGAGAAGGCTAAGTTGGATGCTTCGAAAGCTGTGCGAGGTGGCATCCCGCTCGTCTTTCCAGTACGTCTCCTTGGCCAACATGATGCGCGGTGGTTGAGCTAATTGTTTATTGCAACAGGTCTTTGGTACCGCTCCTGACCACGAAGCAACATCCAAGCTTCCCCAGCACGGGTTTGCGCGCACCTCAAGATGGGAGTTCCTTGGGAAGTCCACCTCCGAGTCCTCCTCGAGCACAGATGGTGGTGATAGCAGTGTGAAGTTAGACTTTGGGCTTAGTACGAGCAATTTGGACGAGGCCAGCAAGAAAGCTTGGCCTCACGGGTTTGGGTTGATATACAGCGTCACCCTGGGTAGGGAAGGTTTGACGACGAGCATCGTTGTTAGAAACGAGGGAGACACAGCTTGGGAGTTCCAGACGCTGATGCACACTTACTTCAGGATAAATGTAAGTTGTCATCCCCTCCCCGTATCCCTAGTTATTATAGAATATGAGTGCTAACCACTGGAAATCGATAGGATATCGCCGCGGTCTCCGTCTCGGGCCTTGAACAGTCTTCCTATATCGATAAAGTTACCGTTCCCATCAGCACAACGACGTCTCCAGCGGGCCCAGTTACCATCACCGGCAAAACAGACCGTGTATACACACCTGCGGGTGGGCCGGGCGCACCAGTTGTTATTTCGGAAGGAGGCCAGAATAAATTCAGCATTATCCGAGATAACATGAATGAAGTAGTGGTGTGGAATCCATGGGTGGATGCCAAGAGCATGGCCGATTTTGCTCCCGCAGAGGGGTACAAGAACATGATATGTGTAGAGGCCGGTGCAGTTAAAGGATGGCAGAAGCTGGAGGCCGGTGAGACCTGGGAAGGGAGCCAGGTGATCACGACGGGTAACTAGAGTGTTGCCAATGCCTCGGCGTGGATGTTGGGCGAAGGTCTGGTAAATTTCTGGATAGTTTTCGATTTCCAACGGTGTGCAGCACAGCTGAAGAGGGAGAAGAGATGGGTATGAATTATGATTGTGCGGACATATGGCCTACGGTTGGTTGGAAATGGACAGCTATGTATCAGGCAAGAATGATTATGGGGCAGCAGTAAATGCACCAGACCTAAATAGAGTACCTCGACAGGAAATCATTTTGATGGGAACTCTTTATATCTCGCGGTCCCGTTTCAGGGGCTGGTCTCTATATATTTTTGAGTTGTGGCACGGGCAACTCTACTTTCAGAGTTACCGCTCCTTTTGGCTAAAGTTTCGCAACTGGTACCGAGTAAGTACGAGAGCCGAGAGAATCAAACAAAAGCTTCGACCTCGTTCGTGCCTGGAATAAGCTTGTAGGGCCCCAGTGCTTCATAGTTGGTGCTCACATCTTGTTATGTCTGACATCCTATTATTCCCTACGGTTAGTAGCTTCTGTACCATCACGCTACCTGCCTCGCTTTCTTGCCCCCGATTGTGTCGGTTTCCTTGCGCTCCCTCCCTCTATATATATAGACGGCCCCTCAAGTATCGCTGGCGTATCCGGTTCTCAGCCCTAAGACACCAATGGTTTAGGAGCATTGGCGCAAGCTGTGGAACCTTTGCCCTCCCATCTGCCCAGCCCAGAGCTCAGCCGCACGGCCAAAACCCCTTTTCGCGGTGTTTCGATGCGTTTGACTGGCTGGGCTCATCAACACTGGCCAGCCCTATACTTGGCCGGCCCCCATTGATTGCATACAATATGAGAGGATCAACTCAGCCGCATCTCAGTGCGCTCAGAGGCCTGATCTAGGCCTAGGATGACCTGTAACCATAACTTACAAAGGGCCTATGGGTGGTGGGGTCCGCTTATGCTCATGTTCCTTCTGATGCCTCCGTCAAGGTGGTTCCTCGAAGCCTTCCCAAACACCACTTCTAAACTGCACCAGCTCAGTCGTCCTGGTAAAAGGCCCTTCAATTAGGGGAAACGGCCCACCGCGTCCTTCTCTACACATCTTCAACTGCACACCAGCCTCTCGTCATAATAAATGGCCTCCGGTCCAGGCTACAACCCCGTTAGCACTTTCTCGCCATTTGGGGATGAACCTACGGTCTATCAGAGTCCTGCCACCTACTCTCAGCAATGGAACCCCCCTCACGGAGATCTAGGCCATGCTGGAATCGAGATGAGCGATAGCTTGCGACCGCAAGCACCTATCCATCAGGACCAAAAAGGTCCGGAATATTCCACGGCACCAACACTATTCTCCAATGCGAGGCATAGTGAGTACAAGCCCTCACTCATTAGGCCCATACTAAAGCCTCTCGAGGTGGTGAATCGCAGTCGTTCCTTCACGATCCCGCTAACAGGCTCGATACCACCTACAATGCGCACCATGTCCCATATAAAGACCATACGGGAAGGCAATTTCGGCATATCTTAATTGGTATGTCGACCCGGTGGTTTATCACAGCCGGTCTTTGCGCAGCTTATATTTTCGCTATCATCTGGTGGCACAATCGGGGCCCGCAGAGCGAAACGCAGAAGAGGCTGCATAATGCCCTTACTACGGCCGTCAGTATCGCGCTGGGTCTCAATGTCGCCAGTGCCTTCAAGGATGTGGCTTTGAATATGCGATGGGTTATTCTCAGTACCAGGAGGAGGACTTTGGTGGAGGTGTGTAGTACATCAATCGACCCCGTCGAATTAATAATATTGACAATAGCGTAGCTTGATTTGGTTCTCAACGCGGACAGTTTGATGAAGCTTGGAGAGCTGGCTTTTAGTGCTCGCAGGCCCGCTGTAGTGGTTGGCTGTGTTCTATGGCTCCTTATCAATATTGTATGCTGCTACACCTACTCTCGAGACCCTAATTAACGCCCGACAGCTTGCCCAGGTTGGGATTGCCGTACTCAGTTTGACGTATGGCTGGGAGGTCGATTACAGTGGTGTTCTAATGAAGCACGGAAACGTCTCGATACCCGACATGAGCCAATTCTTTCCGCAAAACCCTGGTTCGAAGATTACGCTTCAGGACGAGGAATATGCTGCCCATCTGTAAGTAACTACATCCCGGCGTTGAACGATGTACTGATCATGTCAGTTATGGTGCGCTCGGCGCTAATTATGGCTTGAATTATACCGACTTTATGCCAAAAGCTGGCGATATATATGACAATAATGCCGCTTCTATTTGGTACTCTAATAAAACCCAGACTATTGAGTTTATTTTTGCCGATTCCCCCACTGGTGCAATGTCAGCAGGGCAGTTCTCAATTTATACAGACCGGAAAGTTAGCGTCACATGGAAATGTGAAGCTCATGAAGTGACCGAACATGGGGATGGCTCATCCAGCAACATCACTGTTGCCCAACTTGGGGACGTTTATGTATCTCGCACGGTACCCGACGCCATGACCATCTTCACCAATACGTCAGCGCCTGGTAGTAACGTGTGCGGTCCCCGATGCTCAGTTGTCGAAGCCTTTGAGTCCTCAGGGACCGACCCGTGGTACTACAGGTGTAACATAACTGTTGGCAAGACGGTGAACGACCCCCGGAATATATCATATATTTCTGATTCTATGGCATCGATAGCTACAACTTCGATTGCGGAGATTGGGTACACGGATCATCCTGGCCAGGAGGCTCAAATATACCCCCATGGTAGCGTTTGGGGGGCTCCACTTAAAGGATCCGTGGATGAAATGGGCCTAACAATTGCCTGTTATGCTTTAGGGTCCATAGCAGGCGCTGCGTTTTTCAACCCCTCGACTTCGTACGTTGGCATGGCCCCGAGCGCTGGTCAATGTCTCGTGATCGGGCACCCCATCCCCTTCTATACGGTCGTCGGGCTAATCTGTGGTTGTCACTTGTTGTTTGTCGTTATCACCGCCGTCTTGTCTAATAGGGTTAAGGTTGGACCGGATACTCATTTGAACATGAGTCTGTTATTGCGACCGATCGCGGACGCTTTACATGGTGTTGGGAGCGGGAGGAAGAACACAGCGTTGAAGGATGCGAAGAAGTCGACGTATGCTCGATATGAAAAGACACCAAATGGGAGGTGGGTATTGAGTATGACTTGAGGCCTGATAACGTCGCGGAAAATACGGTTATTATCAGTTAGGGGACCGGCGTATTTGGTGCGAGCATAGCCTGGCAACTCTTTTTGGTCGAGAATATGCAATTCCCTGTGTGCTCAGATCTACGTCTTGATTGAATACTTCTCTACTTCGGTCAATATGTTTTAAAAGTCTATGCGATGGCGATGGCGATGGCGCCGGCGTTGGTGTGTAGGATTCTTATTAGTAAATATTAGATAGATGTACTTTTTAGATGTTTGTTGATACCCTGTCAAATTAGAAGATTTGCCTTGCTGTACAGGACAAAGCGTTTTAGGGAAACGGCCGAATACTCTTGTTGGTACTCGGAATATTTCCGTCGAAGTGAGCAGATGCTAACCCTCTAAACGGTGATCTATGTGTCAACATATCTAACTTCCTTCTCTTTCCCCCAATCTCACTGAAGTCCTTGAACCTGCCACAGAGCTCGGCGTACGGAAAACAGACGTAGAAGACCCAATCTGATGGAGCTCAACACTCTGAAAAGCAGTTCCATTCCTTGTCTGATCCCCAATAGTATCTCTATTTCGCTCCTCTTCTTCCCTCTTCAGCGATCTATTTCTCCTCTTCTGCCGCAGCCACGGGCGAAGATTGAAATATCCTCCGCAAACAAAAACACCACACCAGAGCAGGAGTTCGGTAGCGTATATAACCATCCCAAGGATATCTAGCTTAGGTTGGAAGACTTCGAAGAGTGGTAGAAATTAGTATAATTTTCTCTGGGAGGGTTATCATGGATGAGAATACATACATACGGATACCAAGGAAAATACATCGCCAGCGGCGTCGATGCCGACGAAAATGAACGATATTCCTCGTACTGTCCGGTGGATATATATATCGTAATAATGTCGTAGTACACCCGCAGATAAGAGGATTGTGGATATAACACCCATTAATATTAAAGGCCACTGCTTGTCTTGCTTGTCTGCGATCTAAAGGGGTGGAATATGTTTAGTGGGAAGCCAAATGAAAGGGCGGAGAGAAATAGAACCTTAAGTGCAAAAACCAACGCAGTTTCAATACCGCCAAATATAACCCCAATGATACTAACAACAGTGAGGCATTTAATTAAACTCCATTTCTATTCCATATTTCATCAGCCGCTGACACGTCCGTACCGAGAGGGCGAATCGCCATACATCATCATAGTAGAAACACTGAATCCAAGTAATCAAACTCAAGACGGTAAGAAGCTGGGGTTGGATCTGCAGTGCAATATTGAAGGTTTCAGAAATGTTATAGGCGCCTAATGGGACGCCAGCACAGGCCCAAAGAAGCATCATGGAGCGCTGGAGGCCGATGGTGTTGTGTCGCCGGTAATTTACTATGATTTGAGGGATGAGCTGTGAGATAGTTAGTATTGGTGTGGATTAGATGTAGTGAAGAGGAAAGTGGGAGGGAAGTGAGGGCAGGGTGAAAGAAAGAGGTGTTATATACTTGGATTGACCAACATACAGCTCCCATTGTCCCGAGGACATTTGCAGCTATGGGAACATCCATCGTTCAAGGCTTTTAATAATGTACATCTGACGCATTCTATCTTACACCTAAAGAAGCAAACTTAAGATTTTGGTTTTCATCTTAACGTGCCTGTATGAAGCGTGGACTTGATAACCTAAGGGAGGCTATTGAAAATCTTGAAAGTGGTATCTGACACGTGATCCAGATATATCTAGATACCTTATGTGGCAAAAGCTATTTCATATTGCGACAAATGGTATACAAGTTACATGTTACAGTCAAATGTTCTATTATACTCCCAACTTCGATTTAGCTATACAGTAATTCTCAAAGAATCCCATTAATCGTACACACCTCGTTGGGAAGAGGGGTTAAGCAACAAGTTCTGAAGTGAGTTTCCAAAGAGAGGTACTGGCGTGATACCCCGTCGCCTTTCGTTAACCCCTGAGTGCAAGGCAGTTGTTCGCTCAAGCAAGCCTCCATGTCCCCGGTGCTATTTATCCCCGCTAAGTAAGGTGAGATTTTGGCCCCTTTGTAATAACACAGAGGGCAGATTGAGCAGAGACAATCTATAACACTTAAACGATCTGCTGAGCCCCGGATCCGTTGGTCGATATGCTCCAACTATTATCCTATCATTTGCCATTCCATAAAGACCTTAGTCTGTCGGTAACGGTTTCTCGCCCCTGCTCCTGCCTCTTCTTCCGTTCTTCAGCTTGTTGTCGGTTGATGACGTCTAATTGCTCCGCAGCTTGAGTAGCAGCTTCAATTTCCGCCTTGATTGCTCTCTCTTCTAACTCCCGCTCCAAACCCGTCAGACCCTCCAATTTCTTCTTTAACGGCTTTTGGACCTTCTCTCTGAGATCATCAATCTCGGCGACTCGCCGCTTATGCGGATTATCGTCATCTGCAAGCTTGGGTTTCGGTGCTGACAGAAGAGGCGGGAATGAAGGCACAGGCTTTCCTTCGGCTTTCGCATCCTCAATAGCTTTCTCTTGCTCCAACATTCGATGATATAACGTGTCGGCATGCATTTGAATTTTCTCGTCAACTTCTGGAGGGCGGTCGAGGGTTGATAGGTAGCCCAATGTTTTTAAAAATTTCTGCAAAATTAGGAGAGTTCGAGGGCAAACGTTTCGACAATATATCTGCTTACCGCTTGCATCATATAACATCTCTCAAATTTCCTATTCTCTGCCCTACACATAGTCGTTTTTGCAGACCAGCCTCCTGTTCTGAAGCAATCGCTGACCTCCAGCTGTTCCAACGCACAATTTTCCAACGCGACCCTCCCAATCTCGGCCCGTCGATGATTGTAGCCTTCCAGTACATCCATTATCTTTTGTTGATCCGTTTTCCCTTCTGCCTCAACTTCGGCTAGCGGTCGGTACGACTTCCATAAATGCGCGTATCTGCCATCTTGGTATAAGGATTGCGGAGGCACCTGCGGCTCTGCATGTTCTCCGGACTGAGGCGTTGGTGCCAAAGGTTTGGGCTCCGGGGCTTGAGATGTAGTTGGTGCTGAAGGTTCATATTTCACGGGCGATTCCTTTTTGAGGAAGTCTCGAAGGCTGGGGTCCAAATCGCGCAGAGGGTCTTGGGATGAATTGGCATTAGACGATGCATCGTCGGACGAGCCCCAGAACCACCCCATCGTTGCAGTGCAGTGCAGCTGTGTTGTTGAGTTGACGATTACCTAGGTAGTGATTGGCGATTGGCGATTGGTGATGGCGGTTGAAATAAATTGTTCTAGCCCCTCGGCTTCGCCTCGGCGAACTGGTTCTCAAGGTTTGGGCTCAACCTTAGACAAGTTGACATCCATCGCCGCACCTTTGGAACCACCCTAATATGTCATACCTTGCCTCGGTAGGTATGTGTGATCGCTGCGGTATCTATGAATTTGCTAATATTGTTGTCGTTTCAAATTGTCATTTAGGGGATATCGCCCAGGCCTCAATCTTAGATCAAGTGGTCCTAAAGCTTTTGGGTTGCTCTATGTTGGTGCTTCCCAGACCGGAAACTCCACATTGGAGTACCGTAAACTCACAGGTAGCCTTTCTCTTACTGCTTGCATGTTTATTCTATGCACATAAGCACTCGCGGCTTCTATCTTGGGGAATAGAGTCCTAAATGTTGGCTAACCTCGCTGTCGTGCCAGTCGGGGCGTGTATAGCCAAGCTGGCGTGTGTATATTGAAATCATTAAAGTTAATCATTTTTCGGAACATCTGGCGCAATAGCTTTTACCTTGCTTGCTATGCTATTACTATTATCCGTTCTATTTCCGCCTCTGCGATCCTGAGCGCACCCCGAGTCCGCCTGAGCAACAAATTGAATTCCCTACTTTGGCTCATGGCGGTCCGTATTGCTTCCGTATTAGATTGGTGGAAGTTTCCAGTTGAGTCTTACCCTATAATAGGCTACCTTCATCCAATCTATACTCGAAATTCGCGAGGTGTTAATTGCGGATCGGCCAGCATAGGCCTGTTTAGCCATAGCCGTTGATTGATTTAAGGGCCTGCGGAGGTTAGTCAGGTGTAAGAGCGCCGAGAAATTGACAATCTTTTCCCAATCAATTTTTATAATACCTACAACCCAGTCAATGCGCAGCCTAAACTTCCCCGACTTTCCCCAGAAAAGTTATTTGTCCGGCTTTCCAGCCTGATGGGAAAATTCGCGAGAGGGATGGAGTGAGGTGGGGTGGAGGGTTGACTACCTAGGTAATATAAGTATATAGTCTCGCTCCGAGCCGTGAAGCTTTTCACCCCAGGCACTTGTAACTTACACCGAATCGCATTTCTCCTCATTTTTCATTATTTTCACGATGCGCAGCTCAATCATCTCCGGGCTTGTTTTCGCTCCCATCTTGGTTGCTCATGCCGCACCAAGTGGCGCACTCGAGGCCATTTCTCAGATCGATTGGGAGAGAGAGCTTCTTGGAGAGAGCGGAAATCTCGAGAAGCGGGCCAGATCAGAGCAGAGCATAGATGCTATTTTCAAGTCCCTAGGCAAGCTGTATTTCGGTACTTGCGCTGATTCAGGACTATTGAATAATGGGCAAAATGCGGAAATTCTCAAAGCCGACTTTGGCCAGTTAACTCCTGAGAACAGGTACGCTCTTACTCCACCAATGTATCCCATTACTAACTCTCTGTATTTTAGCGGCAAATGGGACACAATTGAATCTTCGCAGAACAACTTCAACTTTGGAGGCTTGGACACCCTTGTCAACTGGGCACAATCTAATAACAAGCTCGTGCGTGGACATACAACTGTCTGGCACTCGCAATTGCCAGGATGGGTACAGAACATCAGAGACAAAAATACCCTGACTGCCGTTATCCAAAAGCACGTTTCAACTGAAATTGGAAGATACGCCGGAAAGGTCCTTCAATGGGTAAGTTCTTGTATTTTGATATTCAGCACAAATTAGTTAATTTTTGTGTTTAAGGATGTCGTAAACGAGATGTTCGACGAGAATGGAGGGCTCCGTGGCTCAGTCTTCTCTAATGTCCTCGGAGAGGACTTTGTCCGTATTGCATTCGAAGCTGCCCGCAAGGCTGATCCCAACGCAAAGCTCTATATCAACGATTATAAGTATGTAGCAAACATCCCGACTCTTCTCTCATAAACCCTTGGGACAGTTACTTACGATTTAACTACTAGCACCGTTGAGAAGGGGTCCAACTACGGGAAAACCACCGGCATGATCAAATACGTCACGAAGTGGATCGCAGCCGGTGTTCCCATCGATGGTATCGGAGCACAAGCCCATCTTATGGCCGGCGAATCTAAGAACGTTAAAGCCTCCCTCACCGCCCTCTGCGCCGTCGCCTCTGAATGTGCCCTTACTGAAGTCGATATCGTCGGCGCTGCAGCTAACGAGTACGTTGAGACCGTCAAGGCCTGCGTTGATATCAAGAACTGTGTTGGCGTTACAGTCTGGGGTGTCCGGGATCCTGATAGTTGGCGTGCCTCGCAAAACCCATTGTTGTTCAACAGCGGGTACCAGCCTAAGCCAGCATATAATGCGCTTGTTTCTACTCTCGCCGCCATGAAGCCTGCTGCCACCCCTCGTGCGGCTTAAATGGATATTGGAGTGGTATGTAGGCTGGTGGATACCAAGTGTTGAGAATGGTATGTGGGTGGAGCAACATATGTATATAGGATGAGAATATGCAGTTACGAATCAATTCGTTGCGATTACATGACCTGTGGAATATCGTGATAGTTCCTTGAACAGCAGCAATGATCCCCCCCGGCGGTGCCAATGAGGGAGGAATGTGCCACCAGTGAGAAAAAGAAAGCTCTCCTAATATATTATTGCCGGAGGATTGGTTGATACAGAGTTGTCAGGGTGTCTGGATTCGGGTTTACCTTATTAAGGGTGCTTCAAAAAGGTTTAGATGAATTCCACATGCTGTACGAATGGAAGAGGGGATCCAAGTCTAGAAGCGAATATCGACTTATTCCCGCTCCAATTACAATTTTAGTAGGTTGCGGCCTTGCTTTTAATTATTATCCACTTGTATACCAGATTCTTTTCCTATAGAGTATTATATAATAGCATCCCAAACTGCTTAATTAGAACCATCTATTCCTCGATAGTATCCCTAGCGATTACCCCCTGCTGTCAAGAGGTTCTCTTTTGTTAATAAAGGCTTGTACGATTGTAAGCTTCGTGGCTAAATCCAATTTTGCCTAGCCCAGTGCTAAAGGGGTGCCATTAGTCGGCCGCGGAATCGAGCTCCCCAACATGAATTGGAAAATGGAAGTTGTCAGCCCCACTCATGGGAGCCCTCATAAAAGACCCGGACATAGAACAGGCAAGGAGTTGCTGAATATTTATTTCTTAGGCTATTTGAGACTTTTACAAATTTCTCAAGCCAGCTCTTTGTATCCCAAAGCGCAACCAACACCTTCTCGAAAGATACAGAGAGATACCAAGGTTGAATACCATGTGGCATATTGTAATGGAAGGGAATATAAATCCCTGAGCATACAATAAATTGCCTCGGATTATATTTCGTCTTGACCTGCAAGTCGTCATCACGGAATCCCATTCCGGGGGCATCCAAACCAGCACCTCGCAACCCTAATTCCAAATCATTAAGTATAAACCCACGACCATACACAGACCTCCCCATATTCTCATCCTTCTTCCCCTCTGCAATATCCATACCCCCCTAGCACTACCCCTCGGATTTCCCCGTGCGATTTCCCCAGTCCCACATCCATAACCACGTGGCATAGGCAATACGCCCAAACTTTAATCCTTTCCGATCAATCATCAGCAATATTCCACACGGAAACCGCTTTGCCCAACGCGGCACATCTCGGAAGGGATTTTGCAATCCCTATTGCTGGTATCAGCATACCGATTCATGGACCCCAAGGGATCTCTACTTTTAGAATATATATGAGTTGACGGAACCCTCAAGTTTGTTGACGATAGTTAGACCATTATTAAGATTTCCTCTGGTTGGGAGTTCTGACTCCTGACATAGAATCTCCAGTACTTTTTGATGCTACCAGCTTCCTGCTTACCGCGTGACCCTTCAGTTAACTACCTTAACAGAGCACCAAGTGAGTATTCTCCCGCAGATTCACATTAACTTTCCTCCCATCCCGACCTCAAAACGCAAGCTCTTGATCCTGGACCAAATGAATAGTAATCCACGTCGAGTTATCATCCGCGTCTGCGTTACGGATATTCCAGGAAACCCATTAGCACGCTCTCATCGTCTTGGATGTGACGTTTGTCAGCACATTCTTGGTCGGCCATTAAGCACTAAGGTACAAGCAGGGGCCTTGGACTTTGTACATGTCCTCCCGAATTTTGACTCAAAAAATGATGTGAGGGCATGGTTCCTTTACGACTTCAATGGTATGGGGCCATTAGATAAAGGAGAAGTCCTCGCAATTCCGCACGAAGTTTACCTTGCTACAAGGTAACATGATTCTTGGTAAGCTAAAAGGTAGTAAGCCTGGCCCTATATTAAGTTGTAGTAGGATATTTACTCCACGGAAAACATGGATTAGCAAGGCGAAGGCATATTGTTCTCTGTATACTTGGGGAGGGAAGCATGTGCAAGAAATGTTAGCGGTTGAAACATCAGATAATCGGGAAGATTAGGTTTAGGAGATGAGCGAAGGTTGGAATGTGTTGAAAAAGATGAAACTTCAAATAAGATAAAAGCGCATTCGAGAGCTGATTGATTACGGTAACAGAGGAGAAAAGTCCTCCTATATGAGGGATATGCCAAGGCTTGGTAGTATTTTGGGTGTAGTTTTATACCGTTTTACCTCAACAGAATGAATAATAGGTAATACACTAAAGTCAAGCTTAAAATAGATATATGTTCTTTTCCTAGGCTCATGATGTTTCCGGTGGGGTTTCTCCCGTACACTTACAGTAGTTCTAAGTAAATCATCGTCTTGCCAATCGTGAGCTCTAGCCCGAACCGCACAAACGGCTACAAGCTGACTATTTGTTGCAACCCCCTCTGCTCATGGTGATTAGACCATGCGTATTCAGCGACGCCGTCGTATCTATGAACTTTTAGAAACCCATTCGCAAAACTGAGAGAAAAATACCTACATTTACTTAAATATATAATATATTCTAAATGAAATTGATGAGGTCGAAACGATCTAGTTTTGAGCGTGCCAACTTGATTAAATTTAGGAAACGTAGAGCTTTATGTTTAAATTGTTTCTCTTATAGAAGACCCTGTTAAACTTGGATATAGCTGCACTTGCTAAGATATAATTGTATTTTCCAGTGGCTGAGGAGTCTTGCCCGGCTTTGCAAATCAACCCTATACAGTCGCCGCCAGTCACAAGATAAGCGAAGAAGCACGCAACCCCCCCTCAGTATCTTCTTTAGACACAAGGCTAGGTCTAGGCATTGGAGCCTGACTGAGCCGGGGTGTTTTCGGTCATTATCGGATTGGGAGCATATCACATGGCACCACCACTTGCAAAGTCCCGCAAACCACAATTTTCTTGGTCAACCGCAAGGCTTAATTTATAGGTCTATGTTTTACATATTAAACCCAACTGTGACTGTGTGATCACCACCATCAACATGTATAGTCACATACCCATCGTTATGCTCGGCAGCAATTGCTCTCTTCTGCGGCCCGTTATTCCAGGCAAGCTCCGAGTTGATATATACAGAGGTACCGACATTCCCTACCGGAACCGAAATCGTGCCCGAGTTACCTGGCGGCGTCGATGCACTCAACCAGAACAACCCCTGGTCCTTATCTCTATTCCAGTTGACCTTGATGGGGCCATCAGGCCCGGGCACAACTCCTTTCGCCCATTGCACATCAGCGGGGATAGGTTTGATACTCCAAGTGCTGAAACCTGGTCCCGTAGGTTTCACGCCCAAGACGTTGTTGGTAAGTGAGGGGACAATTCCTGTAGCCCAGCCGTGGGCCTGGGAGCTGTAGCGACCTTGATACAGCGACCCATTTGCGCCGATGCCCTCCCAAGCCGTAACTTTCGGATCGTGACTCGCCATCCAGCCGTATAGGCGACGCATCTCCTCGAGCGCTGAGTCCGCCAACCCCGTCATGAAGCGGGCTTCCCTTTCAAAGTACGAGATGAAAGCGTATACCCGCTGGGAGAATCCGCCCTCGAGGAGATCGTTGTCGTAGAATGCGTTTCCGTATGGACGTTGGTTTTTTGCTGAGAGATATGAAAGCACCGATTTGGCGATTGTGCTGTTTGCGGCGCCGCTGACGATTGCTAGACTGTTGCCATCTTGGGCGTGGGTATTACATGGCGAGGATCCACAGTTGCCGTCGAAGAACGCCCCGACTGATGTGTCAAAGCGACGTTCGTTGATGGCCGCTGAGAAGACCTTACCCCGTTCTCTCCAGCGAGCGGCATCCTTGTCATGGCCGCCGAGCATGGTTGCGATTGATGCTGCTCGGTCAAGTGCAAGGACGTACAATGCGTTGTAATATGTCACCGGACCCGTTCGAGGTAGGAATCCATAATCACCGTAGGATCCCGAACTCCCAATACCTTTCTGAATAAGATTGGTGTCATTGTTTGTGACTGATGGATAGTATTTGTCTAGGACGTTGGCCATGGCTTGGTAGTATTTGTTGATATAGTCGGTATCCCCGGTGTACATATAGAGGTCGTAGCTACATACAACCCACCACATTGGGTAGTCCATGAGCTGCAGAGTGTAACTATTGCTGTTTTATGTCAATTTTGAGAAACGGCGGATATCTGACTCAACCTACATGCTTGCTGGGGGGATCCATCCATCATCTCTCTGGTGATCTGCAAGATCCGCAAGGACGTTGCGAGCCGCTTCCGGAACATTATGAGTGAGATAGGAAGTGAGTCCGGCGACAGCTATGTCTCCCACATATGGGTCCCGATCCCGCTTCGCTCCATCATGCAGGACAAGCTTCCCTATCAGAGAAGGACTAGCAGCGTACCGAGGTTCGGTATCATTTTTTCTGAATGTGTCGGTACAGATATCATTTGTATAGACCGAATCATACCACCATTGGTTCAAATCTTCATCTGAAGTTTCTAGCCAGCCGGTGAACGTGTCCGGAGTACCACGATATCCCGAGAGCTTCAGGTTGATGGAACTGATAGAAACAGATCCGTATGATGTTGTGTATGGCTCATCGAAGTACATAGCATCCAGATAGATTTTCACATATCTGAAACCGTGGAGTCCATCGACACAGACTTGATTTCCGTACTCGCAACCATGAGTGGCTGTCCAAGTATATTCACCCTCCTTGACAGCAATCTATAGTCACGTGAGTATATTTATATTTACTAGACATGAGGGTAAATACTAACCTGATCGGAGCCTGGGGTAATGGTTTCTCCCTATTGTAAGTTGGCAAAAGTGTTTTTGGGTGGAAACTCCGGTGCTTACATTGTTTGATCTGGAGAAATCGCTCAAATCGGTCAGGAACTCCAGCGTTTCGGAAAAGGCCAATCTGATACCAGGGCGGCCAGCGGAAAAATTATAAGCCCCATCAAAATCGATAGTAAGCCAGCCAGGCATATTCAGACCAAAATCTACAACGATAGCGGGGACAATTTCATCAGGGGAAGGAACATTTGGGTCCTCTGAAGGCGGTGGTTGAGTTCTAGTCAGGACTGTCGATCCCTTTCCATTGATGAGTCCATCCGGATTCGTTACATTGCCCTTCGTGTATTGCGAGAGGACCCTTGATGCACCAACGACATTATGCCGAGGGGCGCGTACATATTGTTGCCAGTTATCTGCCGGTAAGTTTGCCAGTTGGGCTCCCTGGGAGGCTGCTGGTGCAGCAAGGGAAGGGCGGGCTCTATAGCAGAGGACGATCAATGCCGGCACCAGGAGAACGCCACGAAGGAACATGATGGCAATGTCTCTCCTGCTCCAGGTTCTCCGGGAAACAGTACTCGCAATGTCCCTGCCATCGCGGCTCCCCGAAGGTTTATATAGATCTGGCGGCGGCGGACCAACATCTCCATGCTTCTCCCTGTCGGACTGGAAGCGGTAGTTCCAAGACATATTTCTGCTCATATGGCCTTCTCGGCGAATTGCCAGGTTCGGACCGGCCGTGTAGCAGTGCAGTACAATGCAGGTATAGAGGACAGTTGGGCAGCATCGGCAGCGTGTTTAGATAGAGAGCAAGCTATACAACCATACAAGCGGGCGTCTGGGGAAAACGGGTCGGACAAGGACAAGACGGCTCTTGGAGCTCGACCCAAGAGAATAAGGGGCAGGCTAAATCATGCCCCTGGCCGCACTGATCACGATAACCGCTGCGCATGACCTGGAGAAAAAGGAGAAGAATGACTTTTATGGACTTGCTTCAACTTCAGCTTGAACTTCAACTCCATCCTGCTATTCTTTACCTGAGGTCTGGACTTGTTCCACGTTGGCAATAGGCCAAGACCACTCGACAGATGACTCGGCGACGTTGGACGTTGACAGCCGACGTCGTCATTCGGCTTTCGAAATGTGGAAGAAATATGCATGTACGTAGCAGTACTGTATGGGTGAAGGTTGTCCGGATGTTCCAACGGTTGGATGCATTTGCCCATGACCATGGCATCAGGCGTGATGTCCGGGATAGGTGTTAGGGGACACAGTATTACAGGTTCAGGTACAGGTCAGGTACAGTGTACACAGCAACATTATTGGCACTGCTTCAACATTAACCCTAGCGAACTGTGCAAATCGTATTAACCTTTACAGTGGCAACTCTATGTTCCCAATATTCGTGCAGGTCCCTTGCATTACTCACTCCGCGACCTTGCCGCCACTTCCGCCTGCTGTTTGGAGATGCACGGCATCGTTGCATGTGCTTTGAGCGTTGCGGATGGAGGTTTGTGATGGTCGCTTGTGGGTATTCAAATCCCCGAAATCGCCTGTTCATTCCTTCACCATCACGCGTCCTATTAATATTGCCCGTTGAGGAAGTTAGAAATTACCTCCAAGGCCATGGCACAGGCAATCCATTTCTACCGGGGCTTTAGTATGAAGCACGAATAATGGTCATCTTTGCTTTTCTGAGCAGGTTTGTGTCACCAGCACTGTTGTTCCTGGCATCCTGCCCGCGGCACTTGACCAGGCCCTGTCATTAATATTTGATGCCCAGGGTTCTGGAAGCCGGTGATGGATGTATTCGCCGTTAAGTCCAAAACTGTCTACTTCATGTGAGAGCACTCAAATTCCGACTTGCGGGGCCTTAAGTAGAAAGAATCCATGCCTATGTCTTTGTAGCACTCGAAGGAGATTGATTGCCCAATTTGTATTTGCCGGCCCTGTGGTTTCCGGTACTTGGATTCGATTAGGCAGTTTCACCAAGCCTTTATTCCCTGCTCTGTGACCACGATTGAACTGTAGATCAATTGCGATCGATAAAATCGAATTGTGTTCGAATTAGGTCATAACCCAGAAGGGGCCGCAGTGCCAACCAAATTGAGTTGCTCGACATGTCTAATAAATTGCATTGAATTTTAATAATACCGTTGTTAAAAAACAAGCAGTAGAGGGGATGATGGGTGTTAATAGATAAGGGGGTTTTATGAGGGAAAGGGGATCTTTGTTGATGGACCGGCATTTCAAATGGAGATAAAGATGATCAAGTCAACGAAAGACGGAATGGTAAGGATGGATTGGATACGCTCCGAGCAAGCCATCAATTAGAAGGTATCATGTATCACTACTCGCTAGCTCGAGATATAACAATATAACAGAGAAGACCACCCCCAAGCAACAACGCCCGCAAAAAGCCAAAGCCGATATACAAGAACCCCCAGACCTGACCTTAACCTTTGCTTTGATAAAACAGACACAATAACACTGTAACGCCAGATCGAACAAACGCATGTACCAGACACGACTCCTTTATCCTAACACTCCGTCTCATCCTTCGCACTCCCACTCTCCCAAACCTCGAAATTGTCCTCCGGCTTCTCAATTGGCTCCAACAACGCAGCTTTGGGCGCGATATCAAAATCGTCTTTCTGCATTAAGACATCGACCGCCTCGCTGTCAATTTCCCTGCCTTTGCCCTTGACATCAGCACTGAAGTCGAAAGCCATCGGTACTTCGGCTTGCTCCTTGGCTTCTTCTTCTGAAGGGACCAGGATGACGGAAGACCCATCACAGCCGTCGGCATAGAAATCTTCAGCGACGAGATCGCCGAGTGGATTGCGATCAAGCTCAATAGCACCTTCTTCTACTACATCGTGCCGTGAACGCCGAGCACGAACACGCGCTTTTAGGTCGGACATGGACGACTCGCTAGAATCAACAGCGGTAGCAAGAGGGGTGCGCGTTTGAGAGATATCATCTGGGGGTGGGACATTTTCCTTCCCTCGCTCGTCTCTTAGTCTCGCCGCGGATTCCTCGTCCGAGCTGATATCCAGCGTGCATGTAGAATGTTCCATTAGGTTCGTGGCTAGTTCCTCAGCGGTATCCTCGTGAATGTCGAAGAACCATGATTCTTTTGCCTCGGGTTGGTGGAGGGATACTGGCAGGATGCTGCTCTCTTTAGAGGCCGCCGACGAAGGGGCTGCACGTGGACGTGCCCCGTATGAAGGGATGGTACCGGAGAGTGCGGCATCAATGCTGAATCCGAGGCCAGAGGATGTCGATGGCGTGCAGAATTTGGGGGGATCGACGCGTGTGAAGGGTGCTGATGTGCGGCGACGATTGAGGATCCCAATGCGTTTGCGGGTTGGGGAGCGGCCGGCAGGTGCTGAGAGCGGGGTACTCTTTGAGATCGAGGTATTGAGTCTGGGTGCTGCTGGGGAACGAGCAGTGAGAATTGGACGACGAGCAGAGGGGGCTTGGGCGGCTTTTAGAGAGGTGAAATCATTGGAAGAGGGAGGTGCCTTGGTTAGGAAGAAATTGGTGGGTTTGGTGATGGTGTCTTTGCCGCTGCCATCGGGGGCTCGCGAGCGTTTGGACGAAAGGAAGATGGAGGGGTCGATGTTCTCGGAATCGTCATCCTCGAAGGCCGTGGCTTTGCGTTTGGTGGGCGAGGAGAGAGTGCTTGACAATGCTATGGGAGCTGTGAGAACCATGTTGTAGATGTAGGGTAGGGTAGGGAAGTGAGTGAATATGAGTGGAGTTGGTGGGGATGGACGTGGACTGCAATCTGCGGGCTTATCAACATACCATTCTGACGGTTCTTGAGACTTGTGAGGTTCTGAAGGCGCGAGCTGTTCAGAGGTGCAAAGGGCTGCCTCGTCGCTGCCATGGGCATATGAGTTGCCATTGTGAATTGCAGGTTACAATTGCTTGTTGGAATACTGTAAGGAGCGTTTGACTTTCTTCGACGACGTGCGACTTCCTTCACCCAGGTGCCAGGCAGTTGAGCCAAAGACTAGGAGGCGTCAACTCAATTCAATTCACTTCAAGTCAATCGAGGCCCAGTTGAGTGCAGAGTAGTACCCGTCGCGTGCCTCAAAGTAGGGTTGTGTTATTGTTATTGTTGATATCCCTTCTTCAACTGCTCTTCGCAATCAACAAACACAGCGACACAACTAGAAATCCAGGCGTCGAAATGGGGGGGGGGATCGCAGGATATATCAGCCAGTCCACTCTTGCGCAGCGCTGCAGAATTGGTTGGCCGCGGCTCCTTTTTCGTAGGACGAAGCACAGTACAGTAGCAGTGGGCAATCAATGCTCCCTCTGTCACAGCATTCCTTGCTTCCCACTACTTTCCCACTCCCACAGTGCGCGCCCCCATGCACGCGTTTCTCGTTCGCACGCGTCGTCGCCAATCGGACGCCCCTTTCGCCGGCTATTCTGACGTCGTCTGGCTTCAGAGCTCTCGCACAGGTTTCTCAGCTTTCCTCCAATTTCGCCCGCTGTGGCCGTAATTGGCTGGGGCGGCGCTGCAGGTCTGACCTTGCTCCCAAACGTCGTCCATGCGAGGCCGAAATATCGACTTGGTTGGTTGTCTGGCTTGTCAGGCTCGCCGGCGCGAATGCGGTATGCAGGGGCGCATCCTCTGGGCGCTGGTTTGAGCTGTGGCTACGCGTGCGAGGGCGGATTATACGACGCGGGTATAAAAGGGAGAGCGTGTTCCTCGTGTTCGTCGTGTCTCTCGACGTGCTGAGGCGTGGTTTGGGACATTAGAATCCTGCAATATTGCATTGCGTGCATTGGGATGGGCCTGCGAAACCCTCCGTTCGGCGACTCGCTCTCCATGCAGACGGTCGACCAAGCAGCATCCTCCACTGAGCCTCAACCAAGCTCTTAGCTATATCAACCACCTATTGTCTTATGAGAAAGCAGAAGCCTCGATCTTCCACTCATCGCCGCACATCAGTCTTTTCCTGGGACGCTGGACTCGTTTGCTAACGCGGCCGTTGCTGCAGTCCACGACGTATATGGACCACGATGGTGGTATCTCACGCAGTCGTTGTTTTATGAGCAGCGAACATCTCGATATGACATCCTCTAGCATGTTTCGTTACATCCACCTATCCAGCACAATTCAACCCGGTTCTAAGACACCATCTGGCACGATCAAATGAACAGACAGAATCTGATCTGATATCTGCACCTACAGCTGTGTGCGGAGGTATACGTATATGGATGTGATATCTGCACACCACCTCAACTTGCACGAGTTCTTCAGGCCTCTCATATCCACTAATATCTTCCTATTCATTATGTATTTCTTTCTTTCTCTTGTCCATGCTATGGAGAACTCGCCTCATAGGTAGCCACATGTCTCCTAAGCCACTCCACCGAAACCCTTCTTTCCTTCACATCTTCTATTACCTCCACAGTATAGCCATTTCATCCCAACCCAGAGCCATCTCGGGGACCCCATCATCTGCCACCCTCATTCTCACCCCAAAAGCATCACCGCTACTCTCCCAGTCCAGACCAAAACTACGTCCTTGTGATAGCCCGGCTGGTTGCATACGCCGAGTAAGTCAGTCATGGGCGGACGCGTTTCTGCGGCCTCATTTATCATATCACACCCTACGGCACAACACAGCAATCATATCACGGACAGCACAGCATACATAATCAGCTCATGCATGCACAGCCTGTTATTCGCTGCCATACACTGCCCATGATCTCACCATGCCATACTTCCTCGTATTTGTAGCTTGATAGGTAGGTACCCGGATAAGCCTTGCATCCGAGGGCAACGAATCGTTCTGTGTATTTCGCTCACTTACCTTTGGGTGGATATGAGTGGAAATCCCCGTCCTAACTAGCAAGCGCCAGGATAATTTCATACTTGAAGATTGTAAATGTGTTAAAATCCAAGTACTAGAAAGCAGATCATCCGGCATGCAATGGCCCACTGAACGAAACACTTTAAGTCGCTTTTTTATAATGAAAAATATAAAGTTCCATTTAAGCAGCAGATTACGGATTCTGCACTTGTGAGAAAATTAAATTGGCTGCAGATAGATAGGCAGGTATAGCACGTCTCTAGGTAACGACTGCGCTTTAGGAACAGAGTAACAAGACTTGGCGAAAAAATTTCATCGCCAAAGGAACAGCAAAGCAAAAAAAAGAGAGGCTTCTGAGAAAACAGTCGAAGCTAAGCTTGGGTAGGAGGCGCCTAGGAAGCGTACCTCACCATGAATCATCCCCATCCAACCATCATCATATCATCATATCATCACCCGTAAACCTCCCCTAGCCTCGGCGCACCACCCTCCCAATCGTCACGCTCATAATAGCGAAAGACTAGATCATACCCGTCAAAATCATGCACGATCCGATCCACGCGAGTATATCCTTTGATCTTCTCCATCTTCGCGCTCCTGATCTTCGCCTGATCGAGCTTCGCGTCTTGCAGAAGGCCTAATTCGCGTACCTCGACCGACTCGGCCTTGGCCTCGAAGAGTGTAACACTGAAACGCCCTGGTTTGAAGATATCGACAACCTGCTCAATGACTTCGACCGTCTCGCGTCCGTTCTGGCGGCCCGGGACGTTGGTTTCGAAGGAGGCGTAGGAGCATTGTGGCTCTGGGGTGACGTGGACTGTGAAGTAATGCGTAGCGGTGCCGGCCTTGTCTGGAGCGGGGATGACGCCGTTGGCAGAGAATCCGCACGGTGTGAAGAGGTAGGCGTCGACGCGTGCGTCGGGATAGCGACACGAAGGATAGACCTCGGAGAGACCGCAAGTCTCGGAGACGACGGTGCCTAAAGCATGGCCCTCCGTGCTGAGCTCCTCTGGCAAACTTACGCCATCGCCAGGCGTGGTAATCTCGTTGTCCGAGGAGCCGTTAGTGAAGACATCAACATCCTCACTGCTTGTAGCGGTCGTTCCGCTTAGGTTAGAGCCCGTCATGCCATTTCCACTCAAGTCACCCAAGCTATCTGCTGCCTCTTTTCGTGCTTTTTCAGCCCGGGCTGCGTACTTGCCCTCCGCGACCGCACTCGCGTGTTCAAGGTAGAACTGTTTAGCGTTTTCGGGTTCCAGATCAGTCATCAGGATTTCGAGAGTCTCATCATCGTTGCCAGGAACACCTTGTCCCAGAGCATAAGTTGGGCTGGCTGGTATTTTCAAGGCTTTGGTCTCTGTTGCAATTCTTTCATTTTCGGGGGTCCGCGGCGGCGTGAGTGTACAGTTGGGCGTCGTTATATATAGATACCAGTGATCCCCATTCATTTTGCCAACCATGTATGCGCTTCCACCGGTGAACATATCATCCAGGAATTGGACTTCATGTTTCCAGCTGCGGTGCGGTCCGTGCTGCTTGTCTGGGAACAAAAAATTCTTCCGGCTGTAGAATACACGGTATGGTGTGGCCGCGGTGTTGATTCCATCGAGTGAATCAGAGTTGTGAGCAGGGGTAACAGGGAATCCGGCATCCACGGCAGCGATCCTCAACATGCGGCGAAGACCGAGTAGGAGTGTTGTCGTACCGCAAGTCTTCAAGATGAGTTTGTGTGGGAAGACGAACATGCTGGACTCCGAGAGCAGATAAGCGTCCACATGGTCAGACCCCACGACCGAAAGAACTTTGCAATTGACCAAGTCCAGCATCTCCTCCCATGTCTCGCTCGATACTGCCTTCAGGCCATCCTTCTTAGTCCCCGGAGGGAGGGCATCTGGTGCCGGGGCGAACCAGACCTCTAACAACTTCTCAGGACCTGGCTGCGTTAGCTGCAGGTCGGTCGAAGGACTATAAACGACGTACCTTCAAATGCATTGCTGCTATCGATATCGATAGTAGCGTCTCGATTGATCGTAAGGTGTGGCGCACCTTCAGAAGGCGAGAAAGTATACTCTGAAGGGATTTCGAGGTTGACCATAACTACTTAGTAGGTGAATAACGCTACTGTCCCCAATAATGTTGTCCAGAGTTCAATTGCACAGGCAATTGTTTGATTGGCAAGTGAAGCACTATCTGCCACCCAGACGAACCTTGCGGTGTCCGCCTGAGAAGAGAAGGCCCACAGGACCGCGTTAAATATGGTGTGCTGGCGGAGCCAGCTAAATGGTAGGATATGGAACGTCTTCGCAGGGACGTTATGGAGGTCGGGTGCAAAACGGGATTATGAAGTCCTTAACGAAAGGAATGTTGACTCTTGGCGTCGTCCTCTATCTGTAGATGCCGATACCGTGGAGAGATATCGGGTCTAGCAGATGAGGGTTATCTGCAGTGTGTAGGTTGTGATTGTGTTTCTGAGGGGGACGTAGCTGATGCTATCGGGGTCTGAAGATATAGAAGGTTAGAACATTGCCCAAAGTAAGTAGCAAACATGTGTTTTCAAAGATATCGCTGTTAGATGTGTGTGATTGGCATCGTTTGTTCAACGTCCAACCTGTCATCTCCGCACCGTTTTCCAAGAGAACTAGGGGGCCGATATTGGAAATGGGGCGTACATATTTTGCACACATAAGATACTAGAGGGGCAACTAACTTGGCTGGCTTAGATAGGAATCGGAGCAGGATCCTAGTGCTCATAGAGGTCTTGAGGTGAACTCAGAATATAGAGTTGCAGTACCGCAGCCCTGTGCCCTATTTCCAAGACAATGGGGTATTTCCAAACTTGTTATGGATAAGATGGTTAAACAATAAGTTTCATGAGGAGGTTCTGTAGATGAGAGGCGTTGCACGTGTATTGTTCGCAACCACTCGAAGATGAAGAGGGCCGGTGGCGGGTGATAGGTATGGCCTGGTTGCCAATGCTCTTATTGACTGGGCGCGAGTTCCTTCGAAAGCCCTTATAATTTATCGTGGATTGGCTTGGTGGGCTGGACGTCATCGGCCTTAATCAGTACCTTTTGCTTAAGTCTCTCTTGGTACTGGAGAGCTTACCGCAACTGTGACCATGAGCAGTGCCAACTCAAGCTGGAAAAGCTGCCGTGGAAGAAAGGTGTATCCCGAGAACATGTACAGGTACAAGCGACGACGGCGATGCGCGGTGTAAGGGGGGTTAGAGATGCGTTATTTTATTGTGAAATGAGGTTTTTTTTTCGCTTTGGACTCGGAATTTGGATGCGGTGGAGCTGCAGTGCTCGCCAAGGAAAACACCAAGGACGAACCCCTCCACCAGCCCGATCGCCCGACCCCCACCAAGAAACGTGACTATTTTCCGCTTGTAGACGACTTTTCTATTACTGTGACTTGTACCCCTTTTCCTTTCGCTTCCTCGTAATTATATCACAGAAAAGGCACATTCTCAAAGCAACATGTCTCTCTAATATGAACTCTCAGTTCTGATTCAGCTATATGATTTTCATGCTAGCAGCCATAACCAAAAAACTGCCCAAGTAACTCCCCAAGCCCAAGGCAGGTATGTGCGAAGTTTGTTATACAAAGATCCAAACCCATATACTATAAATTCCATCCTATCCATTCAAGCTATGTATGAAAGCACTATCCATGCCCGCTAATATTCGGAAAACGCCTCATTAAGTATGTTAATTATCTCACCCCCTCTCTATTCGCTTGTCTCTAGCCTTGCCGGCATATGTATAAATGTATCGCATTTCTCTACCTCTTAAGCATGTACGAGAGATCTGGTAGGCTCTTCACGATGCTTTGCACAATCCTATCCTGTTCCACCTCATGCCTCGATTTCCGGCGGCTTGTAGAAGCACTGGCCATGATATGTGTCCTCGGAGATGAGATGATCCGCGAGGGAACTGTCCTAGGTATCGGTACAGCTGGTTTCTCGGGCGGGGCTGGTGGCGCAGATGCACTCTCAAAGAACGAGAAGTCTGCTGAAGCCCAGGGATCTACATTGCTTGCTATAGGGGCCGCAGCTGCAGGTTGGGCGGCTTGGACACCTGAATCTATGGCCATGCTGTGGGAGGGGTTGTTTGGGCCAGCAGCTTTAATACTTTGAAGACTCCTAGTTTCTGGAATCAAGATGTTGTCAAAGCTAGCTGTTGACCGGTGGGTTGGCTCGTAGGGTGCCTGGGCTTGAGGGGAGGTTGGCCCTTGCTTTGCTGACGTTATGAACCCTCCGAGGCTTTGTGACTTTTTGTGGCGTAACCCTTTTGATGGCTGGATAACTGGCGGAGTTGCAGTTATCGGTGACGATACCATTTCTCCCCAGTCATCGGCTTCGTTGGAATTATGCGCGGGTGTAGGTGCTAATGCTAGTATTTGTGAAGATTGTGGTGGAACTGAAGGGGATAAGATGGTCGGTAGTGTGGTAACTGGAGATGACGTTTGTTGGGTACGACCTGTGGGCTTCAAATTACTACTTGAAGATTGAGGTAAACTTCTCGAAGGAGCGTTCTGTATCGAGACTGACGCATTACTAATAGGCGATACAATGCTTGAGGTTGATCCAGATGATCGATGAGTTAAAGTTGGCCGCCGTGCTGACGGTTTTTGGGTACTGTCCGAACTTATATCGGTGCTCCAACCAAAGGCTGCAACTGGCAGTTGCTTTTCGGATTTGGATTTCTCAGGGGTCTTTATAGATTTGACCGAACTCCGTCTGCGAGGTTTAGACGAGGAGCGGCCTTTTGATGTTGAACGATCTCTGACGAGACCTTTGGGCCATTCTCTGGGAACCTCAGCAGCTGGTTCAGCAACCTTGAGGATTCTGGCCTCTTTTGCTTTCTTTGCTGAAAAGGCAGTTGATATCGAAGCTGGCTTGGCTTTCGTGTCGTTCCAGCCAAACATAGAGCCGGCTTTACTGCCACCTCCAAGTACAACGCGCCCGCTGATACGATCTTCATCGATCCATCGGCCCACTACTTTTAGAGTTTCCCCTCGGACTTGGGATTTTGTCCAATTAACTCGTACATAATTCTCATCATCACCTGTGTTGTGTTGCCTCATAGGGCCGTATCTAGAAATTCTATACCACATCTTCCGCTCTTCCGTTGAAGTAAAAGAATCGTGGGGAACCACATCAGGGATGAAGCATTTGTCGCCAGAGTACGGCTCGTTCATGTCGGGATAAACTCGGTCCACAATAGATATCTCGGGGATGAATTCAATGGGTCCATAGTCTTTCTTTTGCGGGCGATCTGGAGACGGGGCCTCTTGAGAGAGATATCCCGTTACTTCCTTTGTGGTATTAGATACCAGGCTGGGAGAAGCGACCTCATGTGTCCTAGGTTCCAAAACTGAGCCATCAACTTCAGAGGAGCCGTCTTCGAAATCTCCAAAGTCGTCTCCGCCATCTTCTTCATCTTGGGATTCGCCGGATTCCTCCCCCTTCTTTATATGTCCCTCTGCGACACTTGTATGCCCGCTCGCCAGCTCCATGGTTTCCTTGGTTTCCTCTTCCATAGCCAAAGTATCAAAGTGCTGTACAAGTTCTTGTACCTTCGAGGAAGATTTTCTAGGTACCCGAGGTCGTTTCGGGTCCTCGTCCATAGAGGTCCGTGGAGACTCTGGGAAATGTCCGTCATGTTGGCTCCGATCTGACGGAGAAGACGATGGTATCGAGGACGTAGGACCGATATCCTGGTGACTTGGAGATGGATTAGGACGCGCGATCAAATCGCTAGGGCCGTGATGAATCCCCTCCTCGGTCGCCTTCTCACTTTCATCGTCCTCATTATCGCTTGCCGGTATTGTTGGCGCAGTATATGCTTCGGATGCTATCGTTAAGCTATGGTCCTCCCAGCCCTGGTCGTTATGCGGATCGTCTTGGGTATGCTGGATCGTCGGAGAGCGATTGGCTTGAGCTTGGTCTTCTAACCCTTCCGTAGGAGTATTATTTGTGTCGCTCTTTGCATCAGTCTCCGGTATGAACGCCCATGGATCGGGTGAGGGATGTCGAGCGATGTTCGTAGACTCTGGTAAGAGACTCGGCCCTAATTTCACAGCAGGACCCTTCAGCGCCGTGGATGCATCATCCCACCCAGTTGAAAATCCATTTGTATGTGCTTTATTCAACCCCTTATCGCTGCTGTTGTCCTCCGTACCTCCTGCCCATCCATCATTGGGGCTCTCCAGTGAAATCCCCGAACTTGATGGCACAGCAGCCCAGTCTCCAAAACCCGCATCATCATGATTGGCGGATACACCCGCGTTCGTACCGCCCCAAAAGGATTTCGTCTGGTCTTGCAAAGCCAAGCTAGATGCTTGAACGGGGTCTCTAGCTCTCGGTGTTTCTCTAACTCTGTCGAACTGCTCGGTGGTCTTCACCGGACGCGGTGGCTGTATTTCATCTGCCCAAGGCGAGCCCCAAGGGTCGTCCATATCCATAAGGATGGCAAGAGTCTCATATTGATATTGAAGTTGTAGATAGAGAGTAGCACAGAGCCTCCATCTCGAAACAGGACACCATTGATGATCGGGTGCGTCTGTCTGAGGTTGCTGGCCCTAACTCCCAGGGTCCTGGGTTGTTTGCGCTCGGTTCTCGCGGTGGTGGTGGACATGCGTAACATGTCAGGGGAGGTCCGGAAGCGCTGCCTGGTGCGGGTGCGTCATTGTCAGTGGCCGCGATTTCGTTGTGATTGATAATCGATAAGAATTTCCGCCGCCTTCACCCACCACCACTCTCGATTTTCTCATTCCACTCTTCGCTATGCGACAACTACACGACTCCCAGGATTGAGCGAATTTTGCACATTCCAAAATGTCGCTCGACAGGGTCAAACATATTGTTCTTGTGAGTATTTACGTTTAGGGAAGTCAAAGGCACTTGTCTAATCAGCTACCAGGTCCTCTCTGGCAAAGGGGGAGTAGGCAAATCCTCCGTCACGACTCAACTGGCACTGTCCCTCTCCCTCGCCGGCCATTCCGTTGGCATTCTCGATATAGACTTGACCGGCCCCTCAATCCCGCGCCTCTTCGGCATCGAATCCGCGAAAGTCACACAAGCTCCAGGCGGATGGGTACCTGTTCCTGTACATGCGGCGGACCCCACCAAAAGCATCGGCTCCCTCTCATGCATGAGTTTAGGTTTTCTATTACGAGAAAGAGGTGATGCCGTAGTATGGCGTGGCCCCAAGAAGACTGCCATGGTACGGCAGTTTCTGTCGGACGTGCTATGGGGAGAAATTGAGTATCTACTCATCGATACACCTCCGGGAACATCGGATGAACATATTTCTTTAGCCGAAACATTAATGAAGAATGCTTTCCCTGGGCAGGTTGCGGGGGCTGTTGTTGTTACCACTCCACAAGCAGTGGCCACTGCAGATGTGAAGAAGGAATTGAACTTCTGTGTCAAGACGGCTATAAATGTTATTGGAGTCGTGGAGAACATGAGCGGCTTTGTATGCCCAAATTGCTCAGAATGTACCAATGTCTTTAGTAGTGGGGGTGGAAGGGTCATGGCACAGGAATTCGGTGTCAAGTTTCTTGCGAGTGTTCCTATCGATCCGCAATTCGTGATGCTGGTGGAATCAGGAAAGCGCCCGGTATATCCGGAGGGCACCGAGATCAATGGCCACGATCTCGGAAGTACTGGGAATGCCGTCCAGCAGAATGATGACACTAGCCCGTTGGTGGAGAAGTACAAGAGCTGCTCTCTATATCCAATCTTTAGGGATATTGCCAAAGACGTCACAAATGTGGTGGAAGGTTCCGTGTAGGGCCTATATCGAAGACAGATTAATATTAGGATAACGTATAGCGACGGCGTTACGGGATAGAGCTATTTCATGTTTACGAAAGGGGGGTATATATGCTATCAGGTTTCAAGTTCATACATACAACATTATTACTAGTCAAGCTTCATGAGATGCGAGTGCAGCTCCCATATTCATAAAACATTTGGCCTACCACAACAAATCCGCCAATAGCAGGGGCACAATAGAGCCCACAGCCCACAATTGCACCAGATAGCTTTTCGATAATACTTTCCTCCGCTGCTACTTTGTCTCCGCGCAAAATATTTACCACAATTCCAGCAAAAATGCTGAAAATCAGCCATGACATTGTCCACGCTCTTTGAGCACCTGTGCTTGAACCACTCCGGAACCTCGACAAACCACCTAGTATTGCTATCTGAATAGCAACTACTAAGATACAGAACAAGAGCGTCCACCGAATATTTGTTAAACTCGGGGGTAGGTTCTTCTCATAAAAGGGTCGCGAGGGAATAAGCAAGCATGGGCGATGTTCTTGAGCACACATACGTTGAGCTTCACGGCCGCTAGAAGGCACTGGTTTATCGTTTATAGAAAGCTTGACTTCCTCAGGAACAGCTGATAGTATTGGGTCTTGGGCGATTAATGTGGCTGTCTGTTCCGAGAGCGTAGGCGCGGTAATGTCCGGACAAGGCGAAATTCGTAGGGCAACTTCCCATCCGGTGCTATCAGAGGATCCGAATTCCAAACCACTCACGGATTGCGCCTTCCATAATCCAGCTAGAGACTCTTGAGTTGGCCCTTCATCCAACTTGCCAACTGTTCCATCAAAGAAACAATCGTCACGCTTTCTAGCTTCATCCATGACTGTAGACTCAACTAGATATAAGGCCGGGTATTCCGGTACCATTAAGTTTCCAACGAGATTGATGACAGACATAATGGCATACGGCGCCACCGTAAGTCCAAAAGCAGCATAGCCATATTGTTCTATCTGGTTGCCCTTAGACCGGTACAGCGTGGTCATCGCGTAAAGTGACTGGACGAGTGAGACAAGAACCTTAACTAAGCTATAGCTGCATGATAGAGAAGCCGAGTTTCTCGAGGGTATATTTCCTGGGATTATACTCGCAAACTTGGCGTCTGTAGGGACAAAAACTAACGAATAGCCTTTGGGTAGTTTATGTGAGCCATGAATATTGTAATTCTCTGGAATATCGTTAGAAGGGACAAGCCGATAATCATCACGATCTAACACCGTATAGCGTGCCATGTTGTCAGAGTCATCTGCCACAGGTTAGAAACATCATAAATATTAGTCCGGAGGAATCACTTGCCCTGCTCCGTCAGTTGGGGGGTGTAAAGGAGGGCCCATGCGATTCTGTCTCCAGCAGCGGGCTGCCAGTCTTTTGTCCTCACGACCATACACAGCGCCCCAGAGCGAGCTGCAGTTTCGAGATCAGTTTTGGCGAATTTCGCGAGGCTAACTATGGCAGAAACGCCTCGCACAACTCCGGAAATAGGGAAGAGCAGAGCGGACACTATCGTGACAGCCGAGTTGATGGTTGTCTCACCGGGACGACTTATCACTGTCGCGGCGTGCGCAAAGTAATTTGCAGCATAGAATATAAAGATGTCTGTCCAGCTCGGTGGCATGCAGAGCAGATCAGGATCGCCATGATTTGTGGTTCCGTCTGGGACAGCGATGGTGTAATTCCTGAGTGCAGCTCCAGCTGATGGAGGAATGAGCACACAAATTAGAAGAAACGCAAAGACGTTACCACCAAAGACATGGCCCATCTTCTTTATGATAATAATAGCCGCGAGAGGACCATGACGTTTGGGCACTCCGGCAAAGGTATATGAGCTTGAGGCAAAGAGGCTGAGCCGCTGCTCGTCCCCGGCGCAAAGTACTATGCGACATGCGGTGCATATGTAGGACTCAGCCGCACAACCAGGCATCCAGAGGGAAATCGCTAAAAGAAACGAGATTTAAAACAGAACGAATAAGAATAGCACAATGGAAAAATCCAACACAGTTCGTCGTGCTAGTGCATCCAGCCAATATCTGCCAAAATAACAATGGTACTGTAGATTCGCTACTACGAACACAATCTTCTGCTCGCGCACGCCCACTAAAGGCATGCGTTAGTCATTTGACCCAAACTTCGAACTGCTGTGCATTAGGTATAGATGAGTTTATATGCATCGGCAAGTAGAACAGCAGCAAATAGAGGAATACAAGCACGTAGTGATCAAATCCAACTACCTTGTCAGATGCAGTGCAAAAACCGGACGAGCTTAGAACCAAGGTAAATATGGGTAAAACGTGGGCCATGAAAGGGATAGAACATAAAGAAGACAGTTAATAGAGAAAAGCAAGTACGAAGTACGTTGGTGGTTGTTTTATGTTTGCGTGCTACCTATAAGGTACTGCAGTACTTGCCGGAGCGCGGTGGTGGTGTTTAATAATGATCCGGCGAGGATGTACATGTAGCCATTGTGGTAATTTTAATCGTGAATTCGAGTTCGAAGGTAGCAAACATAGACTTCGTGCCCCGTTCCTGTGACCGCCTCGGTAGGGAGGGAGTTACAATGACTAATACTCCGTAGCTGCACCCTCTAATCGCCGCATGCGGGGGAGCTTAGCTGAAATACTCGGTACCTGCGCGCGCCCGAGTAACCATCATACCTCCTTTGTTTGACTATCTTCATCGAGCAATGCTGAGTATGGTACCTATTACGAGACCCATGGTAAAGCCCTACAATATCAGTGTCGCGCTTCACAAGGTCGGGAATACCGCTATGCTGAGATGGATCTCTTGTTGACGCTGTATTTCAGATCCTGGGCTTACAGGCCGCATTTAAGCCTGTCACCTACTGTTCAAACTTTCGCGCCATGTCGTCGCTCCCGTCAACAGAGTTGCCAGACCCTGAGATCAATCGCATTATTTCATACTGGTTTGGTGGCGATGACCTCCCTCGGAAATGGTTCCAGGGAGGTGCTAAAATCGATGCCGAAATCAAAGACCAGTTCGGGGGTCTAGTTGAAAAGGCTCGCTCAGCGCAACTCACCTCCTGGACCCAGCAACCTCAAGGCACCCTGGCACTCATAATCCTTCTTGACCAATTCCCGCGAAATATCTTTCGAGGCACTCCTCTCTCATTCAGCACTGATCCCATGGCACTCGATATCACAACTCAGGCCATCGCGAGGGGTGCCGACCGAGAAGTACCGCACATCCAACAACCTTTCTTCTATCTTCCACTTATGCATCATGAAAACTTGATCAGTCAGGCTGCAGGATGCTCCTTATATGAAGGATTGGCTGCTCGATGTGAGGCCGGCTCACAGGAGAGTGAATTCGCACGCAGCTCGCTAGATTTTGCCAGGCGGCATAGGGATTGCATTATGAAGTTCGGTCGTTTTCCGTCCAGGAATGAGATTCTCGGGAGGGAGTCGACTCCAGAGGAACTCGAATATCTCAAGGAGCACCCTCATGGCTTTTGAACGCGGGCAGTTATTGCCAGTTCACCACTATCGAACCATCTACCGGCACTGTAGACAGTGTAAACTAATGTATGAATATACGAATCATATCACGCGCGAAACATCTGCCACATATTAGCCACGGTGTATAAATCTGCCGGACCGGGACTTAATCCATCTTCTGCAGTCTGCTGAGTTGAGTTCTCCCATCAAGCCTTCAGGCTAAATAGGCATTTCAGCGTGCAGTCTTCGCAGTATGACCATATGTCCCCATTGCATATCTCCGGCCGCCCTCTTTGATTTCGAGCTTTCTGTAGCCAAATATTCGTCTACTGCGCTTTAATAACGATCGAGTCCCTCTTGATTGACTTGGCACTCCTCAAAAGACCGCTGCAGCACCTCTAGGCGACTATGCAGACAAGAACAACCAATCGACAATCACAAGTTGGCCCTGCCTTGAGAGAGTATTTTTTTGTAGGCGAAGAAGATTTTGCGATTTGTCGTTCTGGCTTTTAGTCCTGGAAATCTTGACAGACTGAAAGGATGCTAGAACATCCCAATTGGCTCATCCATGTCCAGTCTTGTGCCATCGCAGGGTTGCATTATCTCAGCGTATAAAAGTCTTCGAATCTGAATAGGGCATGCCTAGACAAAAGAGAAACTCAGCCGTCTTGATGAACTTCACGAACACATATCGTGGAGTTGTCGACAAGTCAATCTAAGCGTCGGACTGTGGTTGACAAGAGACCAATACTCCTAGCCAGGTCAGCACCATGTTTTAAGACACCGAACAACTTCCAACTTATCCTCATTCATCGCGCACCTTTAATTCAGGTATTTCTTCCAGGTGACTTATAATGTCCTATTTCGTAAGTTCCATGCCGCATTCCCGAGCTTTATTGAAGGGTGCTTCTTCCCCAATCTTATATATCTCGGAAACCCGGGAGCGCTCATATATTACACCGAGGATCTATATACTTTCCTTTCATTATTATCCCACGAATCAAGACATTGTCAAAGGATTATATGGATGCATTATTACTACTTTCGGCACTTTGGTTTCGCTTTTGTCTGCATTACAATGCACCCCAGATTGCCCCACAAAGCCCCACAGGCCCTGAATGGTCAACTTGACGATATATATTAATTGATATTAATTTTGCAGATCACAACAAAACTATTCCGCGGTTTCTTATTGGACGGTACATCTCGCAGAATTGCCAATATCTTGGTAGAGGGGAATCGTCCAGTGAGGAAGGAAGGCCACAATGACTGCGATCTTCACCCCTTATAGGCAATCATCCTGCCCGCAAACATGGAAGCTGGCTGAAATGGAGGTAAACGGATCCTAGCCTATGGCTGATCTCAGCGAAAATCGAGCAAGAGTGTTGGCGAAGAACGAATACAAAGACTGGGAGTCCAAGACTGGACGATCTGTTCCACCTTCGAAGCCTAGCCCTACTTCTACTCCACAAATAGTAAAAGGGAGAAACGTTGTTCTCTACAGCAAATATGCGTACACAACTTCTCGTTCCGGCTCTCTTGAGCTTTCCAGCAGCCATATTGGCCCAGAACAACATCACATGTCCGCAAACCCCATCTCCATTTCCAAAAGCAGGCACTTTCGCCAAATTCTCTACCCTTCCAGATCCATTCGTATACCTCGATGGCACGACTCGGGTCCAAAGTAAAGAAGAATGGTACCAATGCCGACAACCAGAGATACTTAAGCTGCTTCAAGAATACCAATATGGATATTATCCTGATCACTCAGCGGAAACAGTTACGGCAACGAGGTCCGGCAACACTGTTACTATAAATGTTGCCGCTGGAGGCAAGACTGGAAGCTTCAAGGCCTCAATTAATTTGCCCAAGACCACTTCCGCCGGTGGTGCGCCTGTCGTTATCGCCATCGGGGGAATCGACAACAATGCCTACTTGAACCAGGGAATCGCTGTAGTCACATTTGACTATACCTCCGTCTCGCCAGACAGTAACGGAAAGTCGGGAGCATTTTGGGCGCTATACAATGGAAAAGACATTGGTATGCTATTTGCCACTTCTCGTGCCTAACAAGCCATGCTTTAACCCCCCAGTGCATCTCTTTGTTTAGGGCTTTTGCTGAATTTTGTGTCATCTATAGGCGTGCTCACAGCTTGGGCCTGGGGTTTCCATCGAGTTCTCGATGCTCTCATCATCACAGCACCAGAGATCGACTCAACTAAAGTTGGTGTGACAGGGTGCTCACGGCTTGGAAAGGCAGCTTTGGCAGCAGGTCTCTTCGATACACGTATCACGGTAACCATGCCCATGAGCAGCGGCGTTCAAGGTCTCGGCCCCTACCGATACACCACCTTGAGTGGACAAGGCGAGAATCTCGAAAATTCCAAATCAGGTGCTGGATGGTGGTCGAACAGCGTTCTTGGGACATTTGTTAACCAGGCAGAGCGATTGCCATTTGATGCGCACACTATTGCCGCAGCGCTTGCACCGCGTGCCTTGATCATCGATCAGGGACAGGGTGATCCATATACCAACTCCAAGGCGACGGCAATTGTGGTGTACCCTGCTGCACGACTGGTGTACAATTGGCTTGGTGTGGCTGACCAGATTGGCATGGCGATCCGCTCTGGGGGTCATTGCGATATGTCTGGATAGTAAGTCACACATTTCTTCCCGGTTATATTTCACTTACTTGTTTGAAATATGCGAGGGATCCATGCTAATATTGTCATCGTCAATTTAGCACGAACGTGCTACCATTTGTTGCAAAGGTCTTGAAGGGTACAGCAATGTCGAGGAATTATAATGATCTTTCACCTTGGAGTGCCATGCCAGAGGCTTATCCTTGGTCTTCGCTAGTACCAAAGGCATGATATACTGAGATGCTGTGGCGGAGCTGAAGAATCGTTATCATGCGCCAGCATTAAATGAAAGACATACTTTCATCATCCGCTCTTGAAGAGAGAAATTTGACACTTGTTTGATTGATAGGTGAATCTTGAAAACATTCATATGTGAGTACAGCAATCCATTTTTCCAGTTTGAGACTTAGAGAGTCGTAACAGCTATCTTTCCATAACCCATATGAAGTGTTCAAGGAGCGGGGCTGTGCCTAGTATTCGAACTCCATCCATTGCTTATTTTTATTTTCTCCTCGCAAAGCTTCAATTTCCATACTCAATCACTTCTTTTTGATGAAGGGGCTCTTGACGATTCACCAAGTACCATAGGCCCAATTCTTTAAATGTGCATGTTTATACCGGCCACTGCAGTCAAGACTGCCTCATATTTGCCAACTCGGTTTTCACTAGCCACCCAGGTGGGGGGATAAACATGAATCTCGAATTAAAAACAAAGCCCCTGCGAACCTCCGATCAGAAATAGTGTTTTGGTTCAATACTTGGGGCTTAAGGGAAGATGACAGCCAAAATGAGCCCTAATATAATTCAACTAAGAGGCACCAGCTACTAGAAACGTTCGTTGGCTGTAATTTGACTTGGGAACGAGATCCCATCCAGTGTATTCGACGAGAAGATCAGATGCACGACGCCAACACCCCGGGCATCACCGAACAAGAATCCAGCGGTTTCGAAATGCGTTTCAACGTGCAAAGGGGCGGAGTACCTCGTACCCATAGGTTTTGGGCGGTGCAAGAGTCCGTTTTATCAGAAATAGTTCTCTTTTACGTCAATCTCAGCATCTGCCAAGACTACTCCCCTGCGCTGGTGGATATCGATCTCGGTTTCAACTTTGATGAACTTCGGGCGCAGTGTTGGCTTTCTTGCTATTATTGTACAACGCCCGAATAAGGAACGTAGTTGGCTACGTCGTATACGACTACCTACCTAAGTAGGTAGTACAAGCCAAGAAGATTATTGTTCAGTTATTACTCTGAGTCATCACGTCGTGATAATCGCCACTCCGTGACTCTAGGCAGGCAGGCTCTCACCCTAGCTATATTATATCGGGAGTCATTTTATCTACGTACAAAGTCGTACTCGATGTGGCTCTGAGGCGTAGTCGTAATGGTATGACGATAGGCGGTAGTATAAAGGCACGAAGGTATCTCGCGGTCTTACTTCGTACTTATCTCTTGCTCCCAGCCCTTCAAGGCGCATCTTACTTTAGAGAAACAACACCAAACATTTTGGGTTTGCCATTCTTCATCAAAATGAAGCTCACTTCAATCATATCCGCACTTCCGCTTTTCACAGCTTTTGCATACGCGGCTGATTCCAAACTCGACGTGTCCGTCTCCCATCCAACCCACCATTTCAGACTACTCAACTAACAGTAAACCAACAGTGCCTCAGTGATCTCTGAGTTCTACCCGACAAAAACCCCCAGCGTCGAGGCTGCAGTCTCCACCTCTCTGGCATCTGCGCTCCACAGCGTACAGGCCTCTTGGTTTGATAGTCCAGCCCAGACATCCGCCTACAAAGCCATCTACTCCGCCGCTCCTTCGAGTCTCAAATCTTCGCTTGCTTCGTCGGGATACAGGTACGCACAGATCACTACACAGGAGTGGTATACGAAGGACGTACCGAAAGCTCAGCAGACAGATCTCGCCAAGGAGGACGAGGCCCTCAAGAGTGCGGCGCGGAAGATTCTGGGTACTTCAACGAGCACGGGAGGTGCAGTGCAGAGAACTGGCATGGCCGTTGCTGGCGTTGTTGGCGCAGTTGGAGCTGTTCTGGCAGCTCTGTAGTAGCATCTCCATGTCACGGATATGAACAACGGATTTTGGGAACGACGCCGATTTATTAATGGATAGTTCGTCTGGATAAGAGCTAAGGGATCTGGGTGAATGGGACACCGCACGGGGTTCGACATTTAGGCCCCAACCCGGCGCATGTGGCGCTTAGGGGCTTCGGGATGCGGTATTACGAGTACATTGATAAAGCACTTCAGGATACATGATTCCAATATATTTGTAACAGCTCAGATGGATGTAATTATCCCCACGTGATACCCTCTACTCGTACCCAATACGGAAAGGGATACGTTGTAAGTCTTTTTCGGTAGATGGTAGTACCCAGAACAACTACTACTCGTACAGTACTTGAGAGCAGGCTTAAGTAACTCCCCCACCAATATAGGCAGACAGTGGCTTGTATCATGATAACTAGGTAATTAGGATGTTAAGTATCCTGTATATAAAATGCATTAATAACTACTTGTCACCTTGTGTAGATTTTAATCGACTTTTACGCACCCTATATTACAATATTGCCGAATCGCTAGGCTGATATGCATGACTACAGTACTTACTATAACGTTACAAAAGTCGCAATACTACAAGTACGAAGTAGTAGTGCAACTCCCTTTGGCAATCTGTCGATCGGATGTAGACCAATAAGTGCGTAACGTTGCATAGAGTATTGACAATATCGTAGGAACTATTTTGGGATGCCAAGTGGTGAACAAGCTTTTCTCCTATTCTCGTTTTCTCGTTTGATCGAATACATATAAGGGGGCCCCTAAGTGGCTTTCCGTGTGTTTGGTAGCAATTCCGGTTAGCCATGACAATTGAACCCCAATCCAACTGTTCAACTTCGATATCAATTCCCTGGAATGGACGATCTTATTATCCTTATCTTCTGTTGCAACCACGCATCCGATATTTGTGGCTTTTTATACCACGTAACTTGCGACTCGCCAGGGCCCGATCACGTGTTGGCACTCTACGGTTAAAAACGACGACGCAAGCACAAACACTTCTTCCTTACATCCAAATTACCCATCCAATACAAGCTTCGACGGTGATGGCGCGATGCAGAACTGCGGATCCTTTTCGACAAAAATTTAAAAGTTGATCGTGTCCATATGCATAGTATGCAGCTTGTGGGTACACGGCCAGTGTTTTCAGCCTTCCCTCAGTGCGCCTAGGTCATCATATCGGTCAATCCTCCCGTCGTGATATCAGAGGAGCTACAAATCTCGGACCAAGTGACGTCCTGCTTCAGCCTGTTCTCGAATGCCTCGTCACTGTGCCCCGTACTCCCCGGCCAAGTGGCGCTGTTGGCTATCTGGAAATGCTCGTCGGCGTATAGTACCCGGGCCACGCACGCTTCCGGATCACCATGTATATAATTCTTATGTTCGTTCCTTTTTAGAAAAGATCTCCTTTTTGCTGCCAGTGACAACTCTGCCGTCGGTGATGACTCTGCCGACCAATTAATCATGTTCTTCTCACTATTCATCGCCCGGCTCTGGGCCGTTCTTTCGTTCCTTGTCCTCCCCTCAGCTGTCGATGCCCACAGGACACGAGATGTTGCGACCGATGCGGCGAATGTAGATCATCATGACCATGGAGCTTCTCCGGAGTGGATCTATCGCAGTAATCAGACTCTCCACCGACGTCCTTCGCCAATGCCCCTGTCGACGGTCAATTTGAGTGGGAAGTCCATTTCCGCAAATACATCGGAATGTACGTCCAGTATCCCGAAGCAGCGCAAGAGGGATACCCAGGCCACAGGAACAAGCACAAAAGGCACCTTTCTGGTGTTTGCGAGAGATGCAGCATCGGCATACTCTGCGTATTCCGGATTGAATGACTATGGAATTCCATACCAGCTCGTCCTAGTGCCGGCTACTGGAGTGACTCTACCGACTCTTAAAGCTTCCAACACGGTCGGTAACTATGGGGGAATTGTTGTACTTTCGGAAGTTAGCTACCAGAATTCTGCTGGCAACTACGTTTCAGCATTGACAAGTGATCAATGGAACGCGCTATACGATTATCAGGTCAATTTTGGGGCTCGCTTGGTCCGTCTGGATGTTCTTCCTTCGGCGGCAACGGGTACAACTGCCTCGGATGCATGCTGCGGCGATACTCAAGAACAGCTGGTTTCCATTAGCGATAATTCTCAGTTTCCGACCGCAGGATTAACAGTGTGAGTGGGAATATTTTTACTGGTATAATCAGGGCTGATTTTGTTATAGCGGGGCTACTATGAGCACTATTGGGCTTTATCATTACCCTGGAACGATTGCGAACTCTTCAATAGCCAAGCCCTTCGCGATTTTTGGGGCGACCACGGGATCCAAGACGACTTCTGTTGCTGGTGTTATTAATACATTTCCCGGAAGACAACAGGTGAGCGGGGTCAATTGTGATGGGGGTGCAATATTAACCCAATTAGATGGTGTTCTTTATGCCTTTCTCTACAGAATGGAGTTTAACATCGACTATTCTGGGACATGCATGGATTCATTGGGCAACAAGAGGACTTTGTGGGTGAAATTTCCCTTCGTAATATATTTACCTAACAGGAGCCAGATGCCGGATATAGAAGGATAATGCTTAATACGCAAGGTACGTAATATTTAGTTTAACATCGGGCTTTCTATGTTGCTAACCGGCATCTTAGTCGACGATGTGTTTCTCTCCACCTACACCTATAGCCAACAAACCTACCGACTTACTTCGACTGATGTCGCTACCCACATCCAGTGGCAGGGCTCTATTGGGAACAAGATGCCGCCTGGAAGTAATTACACAATGGAGCTTGGGCACAATGGGAATGGGAATATTGAAGTATGGCTTTCCCATAAATCCTTTTCCCCCTACGAAAACTTACACGTCTAGTTTTCCAACGACATTGCACAGTCCGCTTGTCTCCCGACTGGCCCAATTGATTTAGGTGACCAACCATCTACCGACCTCGAGTACATGAAACCCATAGGAACAGGCACCACTCTTTGGCCCTCAACCGCATCTAAGTATCAATATGGAGCCACCTGCATCACGACAGATCCCCTCGCACAATTTTTTCAAACTCCCAACATCCGTGATAGCTTCATGCATCTTTCACACACATTTACTCATGAGGATATGAACGCCGCTACATATACTGATGCAGCCAACCAAATCAGTTGGAACAGGGCTTGGTTGGAGCAATCTGGCATCGCGAGCGCCAAGTGGTACAGCGGAAAGGGGCTGATCCCACCCGCTATCACAGGATTGCATAACGGGGATGCATTGCAGGCGTGGAAAGATAACGGGATCCTAAATGTCGTGGGCGATAATACTAGGAGCATTTTGATGAACCAGGTTAGTAGGCCAACCGCCTTGTGGGGAAGTGTTTGACTAACGGGAGCTCAAGGTCAACGAGCACTGGCCGCTTATAACCACAGTGGCAGCAAATGGTTTTGACGGCATACAAATAACTCCTCGCTGGGCATCAAATATCTATTTCAACGTACCCATCCCCACTACCCTCTCCTATGGCCCATTTTTGCCTAACAACCCAATTAGTGCGATACCACAGCCTGCGACGCCGACGAATGGGTGTCTTTCGGCAATACTGGCACTTTCTCCGACCTCCTCGCCATCGAAAAGGATGCTAACGCTCGCCATCTGATGGGCCTGCACCACGATCCATATATGTTTCACCAAGCAAATCTCCGATGGGAAGGTGTCGCGAAGAACACACCGATCGGCGGTGTCTCTGGGCAGTACTCCTTATTGCAGCTATGGGTGGAGACTGTTGTAGGAGAAGTTCTTAGACATGTGAACTGGCCGATAATCAGCCTCAAGCATGACGATGTAAAACTCCCCCTTCCATTTCCTTTGCTCAATACCTGGCATTTTGAATATTCTACATGCTAACCCTCGCTCACTCGAAATAGTTAGCGGTATCCTTTAGCCAACGCGCCAAGCGCGACGCCTGCAAGTACATCATAACGTACCAACACGCCGGTACAAATATTGTAGGTTTCACCGTCTCGGCACCTTCAGTCAATAATAAATGCGGGGCTCCCATTCCAATTACTGTCCCTGGGGGCGTGTCGCATACACAGGGATATGTGACGGAGCAACTGGGCAACGACCCCTTAACTATCTGGGTAGATCTGAAGGGGAAGGAGGTCTCGTTTTCGCTCAAGTTTGCTGTGCCTTGGTAAGTATGGGAAGGATGGGAAGAGGGTTGGACTAATGTGTATCATTATAAATGGCTAGCAAAGACAGTGCAAAAATGGTTGGATTTCCTGCTGATGATAGAGCTAATCACAAGTCGAGTCCACTGCGGGCGTCATTCATACAATCCTAAACATCCTATTATATTGGTATTAAATAGAATCTAAAGTGTAGTATCTTATCGGCACTAGTTCAACCTGCTAGATATTGAGCCAAGTGAATTTAAGGGTGGAGGAATACCAAGAACCGTATATACGAACGAAGACTTCCTATATACATAACCCCATTTACCCCTATATATAGTATCCAAACTCCCTTCATCCGAGCGCATCATCTATCACTGTGTAAACGTGATATTGACCGAATTCTGCCCCTGGATTCTTGGGAAGAACTACAAATTGTCAGTCAGTAAATAGTATCCTTCCGCATAAAATGGAATTTAAAAGGCAATACAAAGTCTGCCACTTACCTCTAACGTCAGAGTAACCGTCTTCCCAGCATTTTTAAGCGCAGTCAACCCCGAAACATAAATGCTGAAAGTCGACTTATCAAATCCCCAGCTACCATATGTCCACCGTGCCTGTTGCAGCGGTCCTAGATACTGAGTCCAATCATCTGCGAGATATGTTCCATCTTCTAGCAATGCTTTGACGGCAGCAACTTTTGGAAGACCTTGGTAGGTAATTGGGATATGCAGGTCTGTGCTGGTATCAATTTTGAATGCTGATTGGCTGATAGTGGGGGTGCTGTATTGGACTATTTGAAGAGAGAGAGAGGCTCCGGCGCTGAATTTGAGCGTTAATGTTTCTTTAGTGCCAGCTGCGGCTTCCGACGTGTAGAGCGTTTGCAAGTATGTGGCGGAGAGGGTTAGTTTTCCAGTTGATGACATGCTGTATTGAGAGGAATCCAAGGCCTTTCCGGCGGAATTGGTGATGGATTTGAAGGTATTCCCGTTCAAGAGGTAGTCAGTCGATTGAGCAACGACAGGATCACCGAATTTATGGAATATATAGGCGCTAGAAGTCTGCGACGTTGCACTGGCGTCTTCAGTGCTATCTGCAAGTGTGTTGGAAATGCCCTTGACTGCATTGACAAGAATATCCCCTGTAGCAGGATCGTACAGAGCGGCTGCGTTACGATTGTAAAAGTCGCCTCCGTTATCCCAGATTATCGATGAATACCCATACTTGTTGCATGTTCGGATGAAATAGTCAAAATATTTCCATCGCCCGGCGGTCTCGGTGCTGGTAACACTTGCGTCCCATTCTCCGACAAATGCAGGAATATTTGTAAAATTGCCTTTAAAGAGGGCAAATTCTTGATCGACAGCTGCTTTATCCTCATCACTTCCCCAGATTGTCTTTCCCCACGCCGAGAATATGAAATCGTAAGGCGAGTAGTAGTGGAATTGCAATCCCCATGGCTGGTTGGGATATGTGGTAGGTCGAACAAACCACATTTCGGTTTTATCCATGCTCATTCCCAGACCACTAAGTGATACCACTCTGCTGGGATTGTGCCCTCCTGCTTGATTGATAGCCTCAAGGAATAATCCATTAAGGTTATTAACCAAGTCCGCATGTGCCTTCTCGCTCCCGGCAGGCTCGTTCAACGGTTCGAATATCAATTTGGATGACTTGCACGCAAAGCGTGTTCCTATCTGAGCCCAGAGACGCGAAAATTTCTCCTTTATCATAGTAGTATTGGCGTTGGAAACAGATGGATCTGCCCACACCCATGAATCGTGATGGACGTTTAGGACAACAGAAAGACCAAGAGAGAGGGCCTGGTCGACAACCGTCTCAACTCGGTTCATCCATACCTTATTCACATTCCAAGTTGGCGACTCATCATCAAAATGATAAGCCCAGGTTACTGAAATTCATAAGCCATGGTAACAAACTGCAAGAAAAGAGTTACCTACCAGGGATGCGAACACTATTAAAGCCCTTCGCTTGAATCTGGGTGAGGGTGGCAAGCTGGAGCGGACTATTACCCCAGGAATCCTCATTTGGAATTCCGTCCAAGGTATTGCCCGCATTCCATCCTGGGTTCAGAGCTGCAAAAGCCGCTGAAGCAGTAATAGGATCAAAAGACGATGTGCAAGCTTGTGCTCGAGGACTCGGCGGAGCTGCAGCAACTGATGTCGCCTTGGCTAAAACAGCCAACAGATGTAATGCCCAGGACTTCTGCATGGTTGATATTGGAGAGGGAGCAATCTGAATAAACGAAGCTACATGACGAAAACTTGCAGAATCCCCCTCCTATATAGAGTTCTTTCTCAGTCTCATTTAAACCTAATAACCTCATTAAAAAGTATTTCATTTCCTCACTTCGGCCCATATCCGAGGACTGGTTCCGCGGAGGAACCAGCCCACCCATGCGCACAAATCGGAGGCCATGGGCGGAAATTCACACCAAACAAATGGAAGCTGCGCATTCGTGGCCCGAGTACTCCGCCCATACTCCACCGATGATAGTCCAATTAATGCGTCCGCGTCGTATTGTGCCAGATAATCATAAGGAGGAAAACATGGCATTGCCAGATGCGGAAATGGAGGCATGGCTGCCGAAATATATGAGGCTGAAATGAATGCGGGGACGGGGCTCGACGGGACGACGCGGCTAATATATATTAGAACAGCTTCTGGACTAGGTCGAATCTTGGACGGACGATAGCACTCTTTCAGGGGAGGCAGACCGAGGCACGACAAGATACCGACGTCATTCCGTATGAATGTCCATCGTTATAATCCATCACATCTGCAGTATGCACGCGCTTCAATACAGAGCAAGCTAAAGCCAAATATGCCCCTTTCTCTTCGTACAAGTGGATGGGGAAAAAGGCACGCGTTCAATTCATTGGTGGTATTAGTGTACTACACAAATTCCTCGAGGACAATATAAACAATTGCCAATTGCTTGAACGCCTAGGCTATGCATATTGTATCGTTTGCGGCTTACCTTAAAAAAATTCAGTCTTGTCCTTTGTTACGCCATCTCCCTCGCGCTCGCTTTCTTCTCTCGAGTCTCGATATCCTGGGCAACTTCGATAGTAGAGCTGTATGCCTGCTCCCAACACTTTGCCGTAATTTCGCTACAGGCGTGAGATTCCTGTGGAAACTGGCGGGCACGGAAGCGGCGTTGCACCTCCTCATCAGACCCGTCGTCTTGGTCCCTGACATCAGGGAGGATATCGTGGCCCATCATGATGAAGTAGATGGTTGAGCCTAGCGCAAAAAGATCCGTCTTGACATCAGCGTAGTCAGGCAGATCTCGAGGGCGGGAGAAATTGCTTGGCTCGCTAGCAAAGTCGTTTAGCAGAACCTCCCCTCAACTGACAGGTGCTGGCCTTGGAAGTCCGCAAGTTTCAGATCGAGGTTCTTGTCGAGAAGTAGATTGCGAGGCCGGAGGTCGGATGTCGCAGTGGATGACCCGTTTTGAATACCTATATATATGCAACCGCCTCAGCAGCTTGTCTGCACCACGCCAACCGCTGTTGAAGGGAGAAAGTATGATCGTTGGTCAGAAAGTCGTAGATGTCTCCGTTGACGGCGTGCTCGAGATATAGCCCATCATTCGTATAGTCCTTGAGTCTGATGATTCAGGGATTCTGGCCAAGGATGCTAATAATCTTGTACTCGGTCTGGAAGCGCTCGATTTCGACACCACGGCCGTGAGGATATTTCAGTACTGTCAAGTCATCCACCTCGCCGATCCAGCAGCTGTTTCACAACAGCCATCACGCTCTTTACTGCCGATGGTACGTACCGCTTCAATTCGACGTAAGTTATGTGTGACATAGCCAAGAATAGAGGACGTAGTGATGGTCGTGATGACGAGATTTAGTCAACTTGAATTTCCATGTCAGAAGTTACACGACGGCAAGACATACTTCACAGCGGGGGCCTCAAATATCAATCTTCGTTGTACACAGTTGTGTGCTTTGGAGGTGCGGTACAGTTAGCCAATTTGTGTGGCTGAGGATTTATCGTCGCACTTGGTGACGGCTTACATATAGAAATGGGCAGCAGGTACAGAAAACTCGAGTGGCTGCCTGTTTAGATGTATTCTATGATGGTGCGAGTTCAGAATGCGACCTATGGCGACTAAACGAGGCGTATACTACATTTCAAGGCTTTCGACTACAGGCTAATGTTTAGATGTAATTATTGCAACAAATGGAGTAAACACCCAGCGAGTCATTGTCACTAGTACCCTCAGCCAATAATAGGTGTAGCCTATTGTCCACTCGATTGCATGCATTATATGACTCTTTCGTGCATGCCTTCAGTATCTTAACGGAGACTTAGGCTTGGGCTGCATGAAGATGAACACCATTTGGTCATTACTAAACGAAGTGAGCGAATGACCAGCCTATATTACTCGTCCTGGCCTTACTAGTATGTCTCACCAATAGAATGGTAAGAGGGGGCTACCTATGAGGTAATATGAAAGAATACCATGGCTTTTTATTTTACAAAAGGGCTTCCTTCTCGATGAAGTTCTAATAAGGCCAAAAGCAACCGCGAAATCCGTCAGAGACCACGGTGGTAGCATTTGCATCTCCCTTGGAGACGTTTGGCCCATCACACTGGTCCTCTAAAGGATCTAGGGCTTGTAGGTCATCGTCATCCAACTTCCTTCTCCCAATCCACGTGGCGGCTATCGTCACCATTGAATCTGTGGTATGCGGAAGGTGGCGAGACAGTGCCCAGCGGAATAGTCCATCAAACCCATAAAACGACCCGGTTGCCTCCCCGAACCAATACCTTCCAGAGGAGAGCCCGGATTTCATAATGTCCGAGGATCTTATACCTGGGTTGGGATATTTAGACTGGTGTTCCTGGAGACGTAAATTCTCCTGTCTTTCGAAGATGCCAACGAACTAGTTAAAGCGAGCTTTAAATAACTTCAACTCGTCTTCATCTTGCACAATGGCATGACCACATTCAATGCCGCTAAGCCAGATAGGCGGGTCAATGAACTATACGGGCCTGATTGAGGTCCAGTCTAGATCTAGGATCGCCTTTACAGCGCCGATTTCATGAACTAAGATATTCTGCGGGCTTAAATCCCTTAGAGCTAGAAAGAACGGCCCATTATCCCAACGAGGGTCCACAAAGGCGCTTATAGCTTTTTTAGAATGTACTCTGTTCATGTATTTGAACTCTGCCGCTTGTTCAGCCTCGATGCTGTTCCGTTACCGAAGGAGCCGCTCTATATGAAGATTCGCGAGGGCGTTAAAATATTGGGTCGCCGTTCCAAACGTTGAGCTGGAGGAATCACCGAAGATACACCCGTGCCGTCTAGCTCGAGGTTGTTGAATTATAACATTAACGGCCGCGTCAAGTTCACGATATCGGGTTCCCCATCGTCACGTAGTACAATAGACCAAATTATTTGAAAGGGGTGATTCCAGAGTTCGAGAAGTATATCGGACAAACTGGAGTACAACATTTTGATCTGGCTGTCCGACCATTTTGATAATCGTGACAGATCTCGAACGAGCATGTCTCCTTCGGCGTATTGGATGATCGCCTCCAGGGTGTGGTCCGTTCGAGAGACCGTGTGCAATGAGTCGTGGGGTGGGAATAGCAACGTTGGCAGACAGCTATATGTTGTGGTCACCGATCCTCACGGATAATCAGATACATTAGTATACCAACTTCATGGTGACTACCTCTGATCCAAATTTCTCATCCAGGAGATCTCCACCGCGCTTTCCTGGAATTGGGATTCGTAAGTCCCATTTCTTCGTCCCATTCCCAATCTCTGATGTGAATCATTGTGATGTCGAAAAATATGCAGATGTGAAAACCGCCTATGACGTTTCTAGTCACGATGCAGAGGTCGTCGCGGCTACAGACTGACTGAACAAGCTAAACTACATAGCCATGCACCCGTTCTCCAAATGCCTCTTTGCTAAGTTTGGAGCGAGCTATTTTGGTGCGAAGCAGCTCATCAAATTCGATGTAATCTCCTGGAATCTCGAACTCCGAAGGGATGTTAGGCTTGGTGTAAGTGCTGACTGTTCGGATCCTGATGAGTCAACCACCTTGCACCATGAATATGAAGTGCCTTACCTCCGTATTATTTTTAAATTGGCATTTGGCTTGGATCTAGAGCAAAGTACAAGATAAGGTTCAGAGATCAATTAAAGGGGCGTCCTCTATTTCGCTTACTTTAGGGTGCGCACCGACTTTAACAGCCCACTGGCCACCGTTCTGCGGTATTAATAAGCGAGCAAAGCCACCCGGGCTACGCATTACACTAGGCCGAATCTGGTCCTATGCAGCGCTGTATCAATCTTTGTATCAACACAGGGCTGTGTATGTCAGATTTGCAGATCAACCAGCTGGTTTTCCGACGCTGTACTTCGTAGTGCTCGCCCATGTTACTATGACCCCGATCATGTCCGGCCAGGGAGCCGCATTTATTCCTCTTTGGGTGATATGTCGCGCTCCAGCTGCGTATCCCCTCGCGAGCAGAAAGTATTTATTTGTCTGCTGCCTGGTATTCTCTCGATGCTGTTCCAATCTCATACGTTTTAAAAGGCAGCTTGTTCCCAGCTTGAATTTGGCAGAATAGTTTCCAAAGCATACGATATTCATATAATTTTCCATTCATACCAATCGTCATCTTCATCTTCATCTTCATCTCCACCTTCTCCGCCTCCACCCCACGCTCCCTCCAACTCCCACTCAACATGACAGCAACAAATAATCTACCTCCAGATGGGAGCTGGTCCTTCTACTCCTACAAGCCCGTCAAGGCCCTTCCTATCATCTTCGCCATCTTCTTCCTCGTTTGCGGCATAACCATGATCTATCAGTGCCTCGCCAAATATGGATGGAAACTCTACACATACATCATGACCTTCACATGCACCATCTGGGTTGCAGGCTTCTGTTGCAGGATGGCATCGATTTATAACGACGAAAACCTTGGCCTCTTCGCCGCCCAATATGTTCTGCTATTTCTGGGACCGCCGTGCTTTGCTGGCGCAGAATACCTCGTACTCGGCCGCGTGCTGGCATATCTCCCTTACCACACGCCCATCCATCCGGGCAGAGTCATTAGTACATTCGTCTTTCTTGGAGTCGTCGTCGAAGCTCTCTCCGCCAACGGCGCAGCGGCCCTTACCGTTGCAAAGACCGCGGACAAGAGGAATTCAGCCTTAACGCGTATGCTAGCAGCTTTGATCCTTCAGGCCGTGCTAGAAATATTCTTCTCCTCACTCGTCGCCCTAGTCGAGATACGCTGTAGAAAGGCGAAAACATTTCCACGCAACGTTCGAATCGTCTGTTATCTTCTCTACATCACCAGTTTCATGATGCTAGTGCGCTGCATCTTCCGGGTTGTCGAAGGGATCGAGGTGAGGGATTGTCTTGGAGTACCAAATTGTGGAACAATCAGCCAGAAGGAATGGTTGTTTTATGTCTTCGAAGTTGCCAACATTTCCCTCTTTGTCCTGCTCTTGACTATCTTCCCGCCAGGAAAATACCTGCCACCAAATGACAAGGTCTACCTTGATCCACTGGATGGAAGCGAGCGAGCTGGGCCTGGATTTGCACAAGCTGACAGACGACCCTTCTGGCAAACCGTTATGGATCCGTTCAATTTCCAGCTTTTAACCACAGGATCTGGTGTGGCTGTGGAAAAGTTCTGGGAGGGTGATAATCCAGTGTACACTAGAGATGGAGTTGTTCCAAAGCAAAATAGCCGAGGGTAGATTACTAGCAATACCACAACTATAGTGAAAATGGCTATTTGAGTGTGATTCGTTTTTCAAGGAGCTCCTGTTCTGCAGAGGAAGGTGTGGCTGTCGGTCCATAAAGGTCTCTCTGGTATTTGAGGAGACAGCCTGCGATCGCTGCTTTGGTCTTGGGATCTGTAGCACCTATCCATGCGGCAGGAAGACAGATGATCATGTACATAGCGCCGAGTGGCCGATATTTATTGACAACCTCGTCGAGCTTCAAAATTTCATCTGAAAATTGCGGAGTCTCTCGCCTGACCTGGGGATTGGTGCCACCTAGTGCAACAAGAACGCAATTAAGCAAGATGTTAATGGCGAGGGCCATACAATAAGTTCGTGAATAGTGGGAATGAATTTGCGTCTCTGATAAGAAAATTCTGGGATATTGGGTTCCTCTACTTGATTCAATACTCTCCCATCGTTCGCGGAAGCTCGATAGAATTGGCCCGTAGCTCTCACGAAGTTTGAGTACTTCGCTTTGAAGCTCTAAAATAGTGGACTCGGACATTAACGATTCCTTGAGTGCATATCGACCACGCTCCATTAGGCTAGGAAGGTGTGCTAAACATCTCATCATTTGTCCGTCAATTGTGTCGCTATCGATCTGACTAGATACGAAATCTTTCCATTGCTGTTTCGACATCGTGATCCGGGGGTTGTTGATAGCTTCAACTACCTTAAAGGACTTTTAAGTGACTAATACATGATTACAAAGAATGTTACGAACATACCACTGTAGACCTGAGCGCGTGTAGCAAGCCATTCTCAAATTTATCTTTAGGACCAGTATGACCTCGGCATTTCAAAATTTGGGCTGCACCCACAGAATGGCTTATCGTGATGTGAATATCCGGAGCAGATAATAGCTAGAGGGATGTTAGAATATGCCTAGTAGTTAACAGATGTGGTGCGGATCAGTTTCCATACAGACCTGAACAATCATCAATACCATAATCGAGCATAGAGTTTCCGAGGAGTAAGCCTTGACAGGGTCGTCTAGACACTGTCGTAGAGCAACCAAAGCTTTGGAGTGCTTGATTAGGACATTAGGAGCTACACCTCGACCGGCAAGAAAGCACCTGTAAGCAGCCACTAGAGCTTCCGAAGCAGCATCAAGAGCTTGATTTGTGCCCAAGCGGCGTGGAATGTCAAGTAGATAATATCCAAAGTTCCATGGCAGTTGAATGCTGAGATCTGTAGATGGGTTAACAGTGGAGACGAAGGCTGAAGTTAGCCTTGTAAGACTATTTGCTAGTCCATAAGCTGGTGCTGCCGTGATAGCAAGCCCGTTGAGGTTGCAACCATCGTTCTTGAAAGGAGTGGCGGAAGGTCTGTTGGCGAGAACGAGCCGTTGGCCCTCGTTCTTGAATTTGAATCTTTGCTGGCCGAATCCAACGCAGGTGATACCTAGTCGACGGCATCTAGAGCATGGAGGGGTCGAATCTGTCGGAGAGCACTGCGGCAATATGTTTGAATCAGTATGAGATATACTCCTGCAATGTCGGTCTTATTAAAATAAGCTCCTACCTTTTTTTTCTGTTTACGACATGCATCGCAACCACGACTAGAAGGAACACCAGGCATGCTCACCTTTCACTTAGGGAGACAAGCAGAGGAACGGAGAGGTAAGGAGAGAGGCGGCAGAGAGAGGTGGCGGAAATAGCACCAAGCACTAAGCACGAAGGGGGCTGTGCTGCTGACTACTCCGTACATACACGTACCCTAAGCTTATTGGAACTTCTCCCGGGCCTGTGCTCGAAGAACCTCCGGCTTACGCATCCTAACTTTTATAAATTAATATATTCAGTATTAAATAAAACAAATTTGGTAGACAATCTAAACATTACAGGGTTGATGAAGTATTGTTATACCTGAAAATGGGCTTTGGTCAAGTCACCGAGGTCAACGCCGCAGAATTCTGGGAGCATGATAGCAAACAGCAATTGGAGTGTTCGTAGAGCTGCGCAGACGACCAAGCCAAAAGCGCCTTCATATGCTGGTATTGACCTGATATGATTCCAACTGCTTCCGAAGTTCTGCAATGTGAATTTTAGCATAGAACCCAGAGCTTTCGGGATTGTGGTCGCTCTGTTGGTACTCTCGGTTTCACTTATGCAAAAAAGATTACGGACCTTTCTTCGCCCTGGCCCTCTTATGACCCAATGAGGGTCTGCATATTTTGTATAGGAGTTGCATCCTACTACCAATTACCTCGGCATCCGACCTGAAATTGACATTATTCGATCACGGATATTTTCTGTTGCTCGATGCCAACTCACTAACTACTTTCTCAAATCACGAGACACAGCATAGAATTAGATAGCATACCAGTAAAACAGGTATGCAGAGTGTGCAAGATAGTAAATGCTTTGCGCTCGCTTCTGCTATTATAACAATTAAAAACAATTGGTTCCCAGTCCCTTATTATTACTTAACACGCATAACTCCCATGTAGAACTCCCAACACATTTCTACATTTCCTGCCAGAGGAACTTGACACACAACCGCTCTAGCTCTAGCGCCAGATCAGAACCCTCTATTCGACAACATGTCCCTTCTCAGCCTCTGGCTGACTCTGCTCGGTGCTCAACTTTGGATTTCTCAAGCAGAACGCAAAGGCAATCAGCGGCACACAGAGACAAATACCAGTAATTGTCAAGATCCTCTGTACATGCTGGTAACTCGCAATAATTGCCGTCCTAACCTCCGTGCCCACCGGATACTCGACTATCAATTCAAATGGACTCCCATAGACACTAGCTGCCAAAGTCTCGTTCTTGGTGAAGGCGAGCTGGGAGTTAAGTTCTTTAAAGAGAGTTTGTGTCCAGATAGCTCCAGAGACGCAGTTTCCGAGTGCGGAACCGACGTTGTAGCTTGCAAGGTAGATACCTGTGACGACGGCGACGTGCTCGTGTCTCGTGGCGGATTGAATAGACGCTTGTGCCGGGTATGGGAATAGACCACCGGCAATACCCAGGAGGACTTGAGCACCAATGACACCTGATTGGGCAGAGCTGGCAGTACCGCCACGGTAATGGATCAGGAGGCCAAATGCTACCATGAATAGAGCTGTACCGGCGAGAATGAAGTATTTGAGGCGGCGAACCTTGAAAATCACCGCTGAGATGAAGACGCCTGCGATGACAGAGCAGAAGCTGTATAAGGAGGATACACGTGTGGCGGAAGTGATAGTAAAGTCGAATGCGACGATCAGGACAGTATAGAGAAAATCACCCTGGAGATACCAGGCAAAGTTGAGCATCGTTGCTATCCCTAGCGCACCCCAAACACTGCGGTCTCTGAGAAGATAGAAAGGAACAAGGGGGTGCTTGGCCTTCATTTGCCAGAATATAAAAACTGGGATAGTGAGCAAGCCGATGATTAGGGGCGCGAGAATGTGTGCTGCTTTCCATTTGGTAGATACGCCACCGGCGAGGGTGAGGGGAACGAGAATGAGTGCAAATACAGCAATCAAGAGGATGATGCCGATAACATCAAGCTGCCAGAATAGCTCTATAGCTAGGTCCTTGGGGCCGAGCATTTGGAACGGGGAAGCATATTTGTCCAAGACACCGTTCCTGCGGGCTCGACGGCCGATGACGTAGAGTGTGATTATCAATGGGAGAGTACAGACGGGGTAGATGATACACCACATCCCGATACCCCATCTCCAGGTGGTAGTCTTGAGGACCTGCTCGGTGATGTTGCCGCTGACCCAAGTGTTGATGATGAATGGCATTGCGGGAATGTAAGAGAAGAAGACCCGGCTACGCATGGAGGTCACATCTGCGACGATGACTTCGACAAGGAGCATAACGCAGGTATATCCAACTTGGTAAATGACCGCGCCGGCGCAGAAGGCCTTCACCCCGTCCGCGCAACTCTCAACAATCGTACCGAGAGTGTAAAAGAATACCGATACGAGAATAAGTTCGGCACGACCGAAAACATCAGCAATCTTGGCGGCAGTTGGCTGAGCAGCAGCAGCGATGACCGCTCGGAGGACGTTGACAGTCGAGAGAAGAGAGTGACTAGCATAGTCGCTGGTTGCCGTGGCTTGATATGTGTATCGTACCGTGCCATCGAGGCCATAGGCGTAGGATATCAGGAAGATGCCGAGGAACAGAAAGATCCGGTCGGTGAGAGTGAGTTGGCTAGATATAGCTTCGATACGTGCTACACCTGGAGACTTTGCTCCTAGGAGGAAACCGTGAGGGCTCGTGGGCTCCGATTGATCAGGGTTAACCGCAGCATGGCCGTCCTTTTCATAGCTTGGCTCGGTGTCGGTAGGTTGTTTGGTTGGGTCCATGTTGCTGTGCATTGTCTTGAGATGCAAGAGCAGTTCGCGGTTGCTTGGATAGTTCTCGACGAAGCTTCAGAGCCGGTGGAAGTTCACACGTAATGAGTGGTATATATATAGACCCCTCTCAGCGGCCACAGAGTGGGAGCGACAAGGAAGTGCAGAATGAAGGGATGAGTGTCAATGATCAACGGCCAGGATGAATGCAGGACGTCCAATATGCATGCACTGCTAGACTAGTTAAGAGCTGCAACCTAGGGGAAGGGGAGGGGGGGATATATCTCGCTCGCGTGGGAAAACACAAGAATAAACATTATTGCAGCAGAGGGACTTTTTATTCTTATCAGATTCCAAGCGCTCCAGCTCTGAAGGCCTTACCCTTGGCTAGGAGTAGGTGGATCCTTGACGGTAAATTATCTTCAGGCCCTAATGATGCCAATCGACCAGCTCTGTCCCAATTACCGGGCCACTTACCTAAAGTGGCAGATATGCCACATTCATGGCGTGTCCAGTCTTGCCGCTAGAAGGGAAGCGCAGGGCAAGCTGGTCAAGTAGCTCAAGTAGTGGATGGCCAGCATCCGGGTATGCAGACATGCTGTGTACTCCGTAGAGTTCACTGTCATTGCCTACCGGTATAGGGATGAAGCGCCTTGGCGAGAGCCCGGGTAGTGCGCAAAATCTTATCTGATGAGAAGATTTTCATCTAATCAGATCACTTGGGGTGGGGGATGGCGCCGGACGTAATCGGGTTATCGAAAAAGCAAATTTGGCTGCAGGGAAGATTCTGACAGGACTCTCCTCCGTAAGAAAAAGTACTTCATACTATTCGAGTACCAAGAACCAAGTGCTCTGGAGCTCGCGGTCTTCGCGTCAGCTTTGGCTATCACGTTCTGCTGGATGGGGTCGGGCCAACGTGATCAACATCACCAACATCACCAATCCTTCTGGAAAACGTCGTCCTACCTTCGTATGTAGGAGTTGTGAGAAGTATTAGGATTATTACTTCATAAACGCCTTGACCTTTCATTCCACACTACCATCTCATAAATTTCGCCCACCCTCTGGTCCTCCATCTCATCCACCTCTTCGTCCCCCCACCCGAGTCTCTCGCCTTGTCCGGATTGTCCTCCTGACTCCTGTCGTGGCCCTCGTGGTTGTCTCGCTGGCGCTTGCGCGCTATAACGTTCTAGATTTGCGAATCTGCAATCCTTTCTCTTGATGGCAACGAGGATTGCTTGGCTAGCACATGGTAGTCGTATCGACGAAGTACAGAGTATACCTTTGCCCTGCGATCCGGGTCTTCCAGGTGCCACTCCCACGTTTTGCTGCGAGGATTGCCCGAACGCCATACTAACGGCTACTCCGGGTGTGGCAATGGGATAACCCAAAGCCAAGGCGACAGCAAAAGTGGATACGTGATGGAAACAGGGCGATTTGCATGCCTGTACAGGGAAGTGGGTATCAAGCCTGGCTCAGCAACATTTTCCATCTTATTCTGACGTGTAAAGTCTCTCATGTCGGTTTCTCTGCAGTACCAGGAGAGGTGTAAGTGCATTACAGATTGGTGCAACTATGGTGCAGCTATAGGGGTTGTGCAAGCGCGCTGCTCTCACAACAGACGCACCATAGATAGCCCTGTGCCCTCCTCCTGAAGCCCTAGGCAACGATATCCGGCCATACTTCTTACGGTATCCTCAATCAGCTATCTTGGCGCCCTTCTCAAGTACCTCCGCGAGTGCCGGCCTCTTGGCCTTGGTCGCCTTGATCGCCTGTTTATTCTTCACGGCGGTGTCGGCAAATTCTCGAGACGCAAGCGTCCGTACGACCGCGTCTGTGCCCTCTCGCTGTTCCCACCAGCCATTGAGTCTCCAGCACTGCTGCAACTGCAAGAAACGATGGCACAGAGCTCAAGTGGCCTTCTTTTGCTGTGCCAGCATCACATTTTTCGACTTAGGCGCGAGTTCCGGTTCTATTTTGGGTCCCATAGCGCCGACGAGATCAATTATGCAGCTAAGGTTTAACAAGGTAAACGTGTGATGGCAGGATCTTCTATCAGATCTAAGGGAATTCTGTCAAATCAGCGTCAACTGAGTCAAGTACCACATAACTTCCAAATTATTAAAGCATGTTGGAAGGTTGGAAGGTGTGGGGGTAGAATAAGTAATAGGTATCCTGACTTTATACCCCGTAATACGCCCACACGTTGCATTCCACATCAGGTATCATATGCGCATCAATACCGATTGATTCATGCACCAACATTACACCATGATAATAAACTCGGTCTAAATATGGTAAACAACGGGCGCATCACCTGCGATATTAAAAATCATCGTGTAGGTGGAACACGATTGAGAGTCTAAATAGCTGTACTAACTAAAACCAGTGGGATGGCACCCTACAAAGTGCACAACCCAGCTCCTGAATAAATTCAAATGCCGAAGGAGATAGCAGGATTTAATATAAAAAAGACCAAGCTTATTCAGTTGATAGCCATTAATCGAAGTAACACAAAGCGATTAGCGGGGGTTCGGGAAACTTTACCCACTTTTGATCTATCTTTAAATGGTAGTATGATGGGTCGTTCGAAGGAGGTGGCTGTTGTAGCGGAAGTATGTAACAACAATGTTACCTCTTCCCTTTAGGCCGTTCCAACCGTACTAGACGACAAGTACTCTGGAATCTGTAGGCACAAATACGTTGGGCTGCAAAGTGGAGGAAGCCGGATCACGGCTGCGGTCGGGGACTTACCTTATAGACAGGGGTATTATGTCACGTAATTACGACGAACGGGAGAATAATAGAAGTCGGCGTCATCTTACTTAAACCTTTGACGCTTTTAAAATATATAGTATCTTACCTCTTAATTTTAGAGTTCATCTTATCATTACCCTAATGGAATCGAGGATATGAGAACTCATCGTTCAATCATACCTTCTAATGCACGTGATTAAAGCCCCACATGGAGGTACAAAATCATGTGACATTGAGTAGTTCACCGCCTTTTGGAGATCCTGTTTAAAAATCAGATCAGATAAGATTAGGTTTCATCTGATAAGATTCCTCCCACGCTGTCACCTTGTACTACATCCGGCGGCATGCCAGAATCACTCGGCCATGATCTTATTTCTTGTTCTTCTCACCATATCGGGCTCTTTGGTGTCTGCTCAATTCGAACCCCCCGATTTCTGCTTTAGCGCATGCCGGCAAGTTTCTCGAGCCGTACAGTTTAATACCACGAACCCGGAAACTGGCAAACCCTGGGTGAGCGATGCATGCCACAATGAACTGCGACTCTCCTCCTTGTATCTATGTGCCAGGATATTTTGTACACAAGAGGAACGGGCTCGGGGGACGGCTGGTTTCAACCAAACTTGCCTGACTTTTTCGAATACAACTCTCCCGCCGTATTCTCTAATCGAGGATTACACGGATGATGATATTGGTCGATTATATCATGTACAGCCCGAAGATGTTTTCGGGACTACTCCAACTATCTTAAATAAGATTGTGGTTCCGTCAGAAAAGATCTTTCAATTGGCTTTCAATACTCTGGTATTATTGCAAATCTCACCATGCTCATAGAGTCATACGATGTAGTTTTATTTGCTAAAACAAATACCAGGATGCTGCTCACTTCGAAAAAAATATTCACATCCTATATGGGTAATTTCGACTGATGAACCATATTATGAGAGCAGAAACCTGATGCTAAATTCTTTACAGCTATGCCATGTATTATTTCTGGATTGTGGTCATCTCCATCGGCCTCTGTACGCGATTCGCACGGCTGCTCATCACCACCATCGGGAAAAAAGAACAACACTGGCAACCCATACCAGAAAATAATTTTTCTCCTGGAAGCGCACCGGCCAAGTGGAAAACAAACATATTCAGCGTTCCATACACGTTGATGAAGAGATATATAACTGTTCCAGCAACCTTTGGCGTCACCCATGCCCAGGCTATCCGGTGGTGTACAATACCAACACGAGTTCAAAGCCTTACAATCGCAGTTTTTGTCGTTGTGAATATTGTCCTTTGCTCAATCGACTACTATGTATTTCAGTATAATATGTAGTATGTTTCACATCCACTTCAAATACTTTAATACACTACTAAAGTTCTACAAGCTGGCCAGATGTATCCACTCAAGTCTGGCGATATCTTGCTGACAGAACCGGAATAATATCTACGGCAAACCTTGCCTTGATCTGGGCTTTTGGTATCCGCAACAATACTCTCCTCTGGCTGACGGGTTGGGATTTTGCAACTTACAACAACTTCCATCGCTGGGTCGCTCGAGTCGCGACTGTGGAAGCCGTGGTGCATTCGGTTGCATATACTGTCCTTATTCTCCAAGGTATGTTGCTATACTTATTATTTTTGTGCTGTGACTAATAATCCCCTGATATAGAAGGATCGTTTGAAGCAGGATGGAAAAGCTATGTTGAATACTACCATACGAGGTGGTTCGTTGCTGGCATCCTGGTTTGTTGCCATCCCCCGTTCCGAGTTTCCTTTTAATATATGTATTAATAGTGATACAGGCTACCATAGTCATGGTTGCCATTTGTTGCTTCTCAGTTTATGGTTTACGAAGGAGTTTCTATGAGGTCTTCCTGCTGTTGCACATCGTACTATCCATTCTCCTCATAGTCACAATGTGGTAGTAAGTATTCATCTCTCGCCACGGAGCTATAAATACTCATCCATTTCTAGTCATGTTGAGATATTCGATGGAGAATATAAAGGCTACATCTGGCCGTGCATATTTATTTGGTTATTTGACAGGTTTCTTCGATTGGTCCGAGTCCTCCTATTTAATCCAAAATTTTGGAACACAAAGGCAATGGCCATATACGACTCGAATTCCAACATCATCCGTCTTGTTGTTCCATATTCAACATCTTTCGTCAAACCACGGCCAGGTACATTTTATTATGTAACTTCAATTAATAGCCTGAAAATATGGGAAAGCCACCCATTCACTCTTGGTTACTCGACTTCCGATCAAGAGAATTTTTGTGGATCAAATTCCTCTGCGCCTTCACTGGGAACGATATCACCTCCACAGCGCAGACTCTCACCGGACCCTCGAGCAGATAGATCCGGTTCCAGCCGTCACTCCTCTTCAGAGTCTCAAAGCCTCCTTGACCCATCAGCAACTACACCACCTTCATCAATGGTATTCATAATCCGCCCTTACGACGGATTCACTGCACGCCTGCGAGACTCCGCCATCCCGGGCCCGGCAAGTGTACGGATGCTTATCGAAGGCCCCTATGGCGAGACTCAGCCATTCAGCATGTACGAAAACGTGTTATTCATCGTTGGTGGAACCGGCGTCACAGTTCCTCTTTCGTACATGGAGCTATTGTTAGGAGAAGAGGCGAGTACAACATCCCTTCGAATCGTTTGGGCTGTACGAGAACATGAATTCTTGATAGATGCCGTCGACAAGGACTTTAGGGGTACCTTGGACAACGAGAAAGTGTCTATGACTGCGTATGTGACACAGGCGGATGAGGCGGACAAGGATGATCACCGGCCATTACCAAAGGGATTGCAGGTGTCCCTTGGCAGGCCGAATATACATAAAGAAGTTGAAGATGCCGCCCGAGATTCTGGTCATCGACCTTTGGCAGTTGTTGCTTGCGGACCAGGCCAGATGGCGGATGATGCTAGACAGGCGGTTGTCAGTATGCTAGGTAGAGGGTGGGGTCAGGTAGAATATTTTGAGGAGAGCTTCCATTGGTGATGATTCATGAACATATTGAGCGCTTGATACGTTATACGGAATGGAGATAGACTTCATTACTTCCTTGCGCGTACTCGGCGTACAACTTATAGAGATACTGGTTGTCGATAGTATCGTCAGCTATAATTAAATAGACAGACACATATATGGGAATTCCCCTAAACTAGGCTACCACATCCCATCATTAAGCTTAGTATTAAATTAAGGTGAAACTTTTCAAAAGTTGGGCGTATGTGGTTAACGCGGAAGATAAGACATGAGTTATTAACTGGCCTAGAAGATTTAGTTGATTTTCATATTCAGTAGCAGTCCATAATCCGTCCTAGCTCTGTGTCATAGGCTTAAAATACGGAAATGCACAATCAAAAATTGGGCGACATCGATCACTAAATTAAAAGATGACTCACATCGAGCTATTAGAGTAGTGTTGTAGTGTTGTAGAGTTAGAGGCTCAAGAACATGTAGAGGATTGATGACGAGGAGCAGCTAGGCTTCAGCCGCAAGCTCTTACGTCCGTAGGAAGTTTGACATGAACACATTCAATCGGACCACTAATCGTGCGGAGTAGGTAGGAGTTATAATTTAGTGATTAACGCGTAATAGCAGTATGCACACGCGGCTCGATGAGGATGTGACACTGTTTGCGGCGCGTGAAAAGACCGACCGAAATGTCCGAAATAACGAGAACCGACTTTATATCCGAAAACTCGGGGAACTCTGATGTATAGATAGCTAGAATTTCCTACTACTTCAGCAACATCTCCTTAGTATCACAATCATATCTTTCAAGCTTTTATAATTTCAAGCCTCTATATATTTTAAGCTTTTTGGCTTCATCGGAATAAAACCATTCCAAGTTGAGTAGCAGAAACCATGACCGTCTCCGAGCTCCTCGCCTCCCTCAACAGGGCGGCCGACTCACCTGCAATCTTGACGGAGGATGAACGAAAAGAAATTCTAGCTACCTGCGACACATTGAGAACGAAGCTGGAAAATCCTATGGAAGCAACAATCCGATATGTCCTTTCGGTATGTTGTCCTATCTCCGTGGATTTCAAGATGATATTCGATCACCTGCTGACTCGGACTTACGATAGCCTATTCAGGCGGTAGCACTTGAGCTAGCAGTAGACATGAAGCTTTTCGATATAGCGGCTTCGCTGTCTCCTGATAAGAAAGGGTTTGGAATTGATGATCTTGTTTCGAGGATGGATAAGGAAGCTGATCCAACCCTCGTTGGTAAGTGCTGATGAACCTTGCAGCTCCTCGAATGTCACTGACTTTTTAACCCAAGTTCGAGTCGTGAGATTCATGGTAGTCATGGGGATTTTCAAGGAGGTAGGGCCAGGTCAATACACATCGGCTCCATTAGCTGGCGCTTATGTTTCAACTTCTCCACTGTCTCAATGCGTCATTCACATGTAAGTACATGCCTCGGAGAACAACTTCCCTTCAGTACTTATTCAACTACCTAGGAACTCCCAAAGTAAAGTCATCACCAGTTTAAACGCGTACTTCGAAGAAAATGGGTATAAAAGCCCTGGAGATGCCTACAATGGCCCTTTCCAGTATGCGCGCAACACGAAGTTGCATTGTTTCGACTGGCTTGCAACTCAGCCACGACTCCAAAACGCATTCAACGTTGTGATGACTATACCACGAGGTGGAAAAGGGCCGAAATGGTTTGAAATCTTCCCCACTTCGTCAAAACTACAGGTGAAGTCGCCAGAAGATGTCCTCCTCGTGGACATCGGTGGTGGCATCGGGCATGACCTTATCGCCTTCAAAAAGCATTTCCCGGATTCCCCAGGCACTCTCATCGTCCAAGACATCCCCGTGGTTGTAGACAGCACCGAAAACCTACCTTCCGGGATCCAAGCCATGAAACACGATATGTTCACACCGCAGCCTATCAAGAGCGCAAAAGCTTATTATTTGGCGAATGTTCTGCACGATTGGCCGGACAAGCAAGCTTTGAAGATCCTCGGGAACATCAAAGAGGCGATGAATGAGGACTCAATTTTGCTGATTAGCGAGAATGTGCTTCCGGATTGGAATGTCCCCCTTGCTTCTGCCTATGCAGATTTTGTCATGATGGCAAACTTCTCGGCCTTGGAGAGGACAGAGGAGCAGTTTAAGGCGTTGCTGGAGAACGCGGGGTTTGAATTGGTCAAGGCCTGGGCTGCGGATGATGCGCCAAAGAGTGATGGACGGAGATTGTTGGAGGCGGTTCCAAGGAAGTAGGCCGGCTTTTGAGGTCAAGACCCAAGCAGGATAAGGGCCAGGCGTTCAGCGTAAATTCCACTCTAGCGTGTGCACTTCAAAAAGATACCCTAAATCATATTAAAAGTGGATTGTTTCCCTCGATCATTCGGCTGATATATGGATGGCACTGAGATTGGGCATAACTTCGCCGCTCGGAGTCGGACTGCACCGGTAGCTAGCCCTGGGTCCGCCACGAGACACCCCGACTTTATTCGATAACCTTGGAAACGGGTTGCAGTTTGCAGTAAAAAGGTAACCTTGAGGAGCATAGGAGTGCGCTGAATTGTGTTGCACAGCAGTATTGGTGCTTACGGTAGTGGAACCGTACCTGCTTTGTTGAATCTACCTCCGTAACCAAAAGAAAAGGTTGCAAAGTAGGTTCCTGTTGAACAGCTGGCCAAAGGTATAAGTGAAATCGACGCGGCTGCTAAAGAAAGGGATGTTTACATAGACGTGTTACTGTATGCACAAGGTGTCTGTGCCTTATGAAGAAGAGCAGTTGGCACTTGGTAGGATGGTAGATACGGAGGAGTCGTGAGGGGCAAAGGGGCAAAGGAGCAAAGCAACAGAGAGGAGCAGAAGGGACCGAGCAGCGGAACAAAGGGAACAAAGGGTCCACGGCGACTCCTCGGCTGTTGACCGTTGGCCCGCTATTTCCGGGGTCTCCGCTTAGGTAACGCAAGGGAACATCGCTCCCAGTGGCTGCCGCTCAAAAATCTTGCCGGCTGCCCTGCGACCTCACCAACCAACGCCTTTGGCCATCCCCATCCCTCGTCCTGCTTGCACAGTCCTTCGTCCTTCGTATTCCCCCATTCTTTCATTCATCCATCATCCATCATCCATCTCTTCGTTTCCGCCGTTCGTTTCGACAAAACAAAACCCAAAACCAAACCATCCCATTCATTTCGCCTTCACTTCTCGTGTCGCCAACAATAAACACAAGCAAGTAGCCGCCGCTGTCCGGCCGGTGTTGGCTGACAGACACAACACGAGCGACGAGGATAGAAGAAGGATTCCATCGCCATCAGCGACTCATCCACTTCCATTCCCCTCCCGTTTCCACTTCCACTTCCACTTCCACTTCCACTTCCACTTCCACTTCGCATCCTCATATCGCACCTCATCATGATGCTCTCACGGCCTCAGCTGCTATCCGTCCTCGCGTTCCTCGCGTTGGCCCAAGCCAGCTGGCTCGATGGCTTCAGCCTCATAAACCGACAGAACGGAATAGTGAATGCCATAGCCGCCGTCGAATCCTCGTCGGACTTGGTGCCGTCAGATACAGCGAAGAATACTGGAGACAGCAAACCCACGATTACATCGCCCACCCCGACACCCTCGGCGTCCCCGTCCAAATCAGCATCAGCATCACCAACACCGACTCCCACCACGACTCCCCCAACTACCAAGCCTACAAGCACACCCCCCACATCTTCAGAGGACTCGGAAACCCCTTCGGCTACCACTTCGCCAGACGCAAAGCCTACGACCGAATCCAAGCAGCCCCCTAAGAGCACTAAGGAGGTCACCTCAACGCCGTCCGTCAACGTGATCACCCAGGTTTTGACTGTTAGTGGCTCGGTCGTCACATCAGTCTCCTCATCCACCAATACCAATTCCGCATCGGCCGCTACCAATGAAGCATCCCTTGCAGGAAACGGCGAGAAATCCTCAGGAGGCATGAGCTCAAAGACAAAGAACACTGTCATCGGCGTTGTCGTCGGTGTAGGCGGTGCCATCATACTCGCAGGCCTGGGTGTCGTAGCTTGGAGGATCTGGGGCCGCAAGAAGAAGGGAGATGAGAGCGATGACCTGATGGGTTACAGGGCAAGCAGCGCCGCAGGGGAGAAGACCACCGCCCAGGGACCAGCAGCAAACCCGTTCCAGAGCACATTAGAGAACTACCACAACCCCGCGAGGAACGTTAACGCGTCGTCGAATTTCTAGTTGGTTTTTGCCAGGGGTATATTCATGGATACAATAGATGCGTGCGAATGGTTTTGTCAGGATACCCGGAGCGTTCATGGATGGTCGAGGTCACCACATCACGTTGCGTCTGATTTTTCGGTTGGACTGGTGGTTATTTGCATTAGAATGGGGCACGCTCTGTTTAGAGAAGGTCCATCCACCTGCGATTTCTCGCAGCTCTCGCATTTCATTTGGTGCAAATCTTGCATTTCCTCCTGGAGACTATCCGGGAGACTGCGGCGGGGCGTTATATTGGCCTTTCTACACTACTAGGCATATTGTTCGTAATAATGTAAATAGAAAATGCTATTCCTCTACACTCATCAATGTTTGGAGCTGCTGTATCATTAGTGACAATTGTGGCTTGAAAGCCTCACATTAATATTAATTGGCTTGATGTACGCCGGCAGCCACATCCCGCGACTAATGCGATACCCCGAGTTTTGGACCCTTAGCACGTCTATCTGATTCGTATCTCTATCTTCAGCGGGGGGAGTGAACCTGCTGAAAACCTAACCAATGCTACTCGAGAAAGACTGTTGATCTTCTGTGCCTATCGAGTAGTGCGGTAGGTATATGCCGCAGGATTAACGCCGCTGACGTGACCCAATGGAGCCGGTATGTAGAAGATGCCAAGGTTAAGCATTAATGTATAGCAGAGCGAAACGCTTACCTCCCAGCCTTTTGTCTATCTTTGCCTATCCTTGCCGCACGAAACAGACAGCGATGGTAGAAATAGACAGATCAGCACTTTTATTTGCAGCATACGAAGTATGAGACCTATGAGTATAGCCCCTCCACCCCCGCTTTGCGAGATGCGACTTTGCGATTCCACCAGTCGTCATTCTTGTACCCACCATCGATGGTCTACGTAGTACGCATCTGCCAGCCCTTCATTCCGATTCAGATATTGACGACATCCAGGCACGATAATCGGGTAAATGGCGAGATCTACAGAGTGCTAACCTCTCCGTGACTGTGCTTGTGAACCCCAAATAACGCTATGAAAAGGATCTCGCCTCTTAATGTCTCGTGTGTGGTGCCAAAATGTGGCTATCAAAAGAGAAAAGGAGGTCGGGGTGAGAATGTGCTTGTGCACGGGCGGCGAAGGTCACCTAGTCCAAAGATTGCAGGATAGAAGATCAATGGAAAATTCTCGGTAGAGTCAAAGAATGCAAAACTGGTGATTATCCAGGAGAGATGAGAACCTAGCGGAAACAAATATACTGCTTCCGTTCCGGGCATACCTTGGGATCGTTTGATCGGTGCATCACGTGATCCCCCCCCTTTTCTCCTCCCTCCCCTTGATCCCCCTTATCAATCAAGCGAACAATATATCCATTCAACAAAACACCACAGAATGATTAAATGTTATTTAAAAAGTCCGATATTTTGCAATGAGACCAACTACCCGCCCGAGAGTAGTATGCAACATGATCCGCCGCATCCACGTTTCAGACATCCCCTTGGGGGCCTTTCCCTTGTTTCACCTTACTTACAACATCACATCGACACGACAGTAACACTTCTGTTCACAACAACAATTAATTTAATCAATTCAACATATTCATTCTCTCAAAAGCAATTTATCCAAAGAGAGGCCGAAGGAAAGATCCGTCAGCTCCTCAGAAATATTCGATTTGGCAAGTGGTTGGCAAGATGCATACATCAGTAGTTTGGTGTGGGGTAGTGGCAATAACGATCGCCCTGGTGAGGGCCGGCGAGATAGCGCCCATAAATACGAGTTTGGAGATGGAGGTGGAAAGAGAGTTTGCGGCCATATATCCTCGAGCGTCATTGACGAATTTCCAAGTAAGTGGAGCGTAGCTTCCAGCTACTCTGTCCCCTCCTTTCACTTTTACACATATCTACCCTTTCACACTTCTTTTCACCTAGACATAAATCGCACACCCCTAGAAGACTAACAAATCAACTTTGATAGATATTCACAGGCAGCCTAGGCAACGCTGCCGCCGAGCCCATAACAGCATCAGGCGAGGAGGGTCGTCCTTTTAGTGTCAACGGCGAGACCTTCAACCAGCTCCAAGATGCCGCGAAGCGATCCTGCAGCAGTCAGAAGACAGCCTGCGCTGCGATTGCAAATGGACCCGGCGGCGGCGGCGGTGGGGGTGGGAAGAATACACCCCCGGGTGCGGTTACAGTTAATGCCTGCGATCAGCAGAATACGGCCTGTGTTGCTGCGACTAAAGGGATGGCGGATATGGCATTGAAAAGTCAAGAGGGGGGAAATTTGATCTTCTGTGATTCTTAGGAAGGAAGAGGGAGAAGGGATTGGTAGAGATAACAAATGGATAAGCTTCGGAATACGAGATGGCGAATGATGGGAAAATATGTGTAACGATGGGTATCAGTTTCGATATGGTAATGTGGAGGAGCGAAAGCGGTTGAATTGGCGTTTTATGTTGAAATTTTGCGGTTTTCCTAAGGGCCCGTAGGTAATGGCAGCGACACTGAGATTCCACACAATATATCGTCCAGATTTTGAGCCTATCTTAGTATTTCTCCATATCTCACTTCTGTCGCCCCCTAGTCACCACTAAGTCATCGCCACAACTTATTCTCTGCTACTCACTCCCCGTTCCCCCTAAAAGAAACGTCCTTTAAATCCACCGGCCACTGCCTCCGCAACTGCCTTATGAATGGCTAAACCTGGATGATAATCATTCCACCAAAGACAGCTCTTTCCATCACTGTTATAGCAAGTAGCACCATTCTGGCCGGCCCCATAAATCGTCGGATTGGCAAGCAACTTGTCAAATACCGCCACTGTATCAACCACTACAGCCTTCGCCTCTGTGTGAGAGGCTAGGAACGAGGCCGTCATCTTGGCGATGAGGGAGTTGAACGCAGCTATGACATCTGCTTCAGTGGCGCGCGAGGATGCGGATTGTGAGAGCATTGTGGGAGATTTTTGAATCGCTGCGATATTGAAAACGGACAGGTTTTAGTAAATTCATTACAAATACGAGGGAAAGGGGGAGGGAGAACTAACGGGGTACCGTCAAAAAAGCAAAGTTCCTGCCTCCCGAATCATACATCTTCTGTGCCATAGCTTGATATTGGGCAACAATCTTATTCAAAAGCGCTGTCTCCGTTGCATTTGAGTTCCCCCCAAAGGTATTCCCAACATCATTTACACCCATCCATACCGCGAACAGCGTATTATCCGATGTCCAAGGAGCATAGGAGGGCTTGCTGCTTAAGGAGGACGTAAATTGGGAGACTTGCTCGACGAGGGATATCGTGGTTATGGAGCTGACAAGGTTGGCGTCTACGGTTGCTCCGCCGGCCGCGAAATTGAATGCTAGCGTTAGACTGGTGTTATAAGTACGGCAGAGGTGGCCGAGCTGAGAGCAGATGTTAGTGTTGGGATTATAAGGAGGAAGAGAATACGGGTAGTTACCCAATTAATGCCTCCTGAGGTTGTCCAGCCGGGGAACTCTGGGTTACCAAATGGGTTTAATGCCGAGGGTTTTGCTCCGTTAATGTCGAACCCGGATTGTGTGTAGGAATCTCCGCTATTCGTGAATTAGAAATGCTAACTGAAGAGTTATATTAAATAAATCGTACAATGATATTATATATTTTGTGCCAGTAATGGCTCCAGCATGAATATTCTCAAGAACAGGAGACGAAGATGAAAAGCCTACACTCCCGAGGAGAAGGGATACGATCAAACGAGAGTACATCCTGTTCGGAATTGATGGTAAAATGTGAGAATAATACTGGAAAAAAAAGGAACTCGATTAGGAACGGGAGGTTGCTCTTATACACGCTTCGGGAAAGAAGCAAACTACTAAAAATCTATCCCGTGATGGAGCAACTACACTGTAGATATAATTCTTCCATATTTATTACCTTAACCAGCTTTCATCCAAACACGCTCCGGGACATCGGCTTATCACGAACACGACGAACAACAAAAGAAATGCACCAACAGCACGCTTGTAGCTCTAGATATAATCGACTGGCATTTCGAATTCGAACCCTTTTAGTTTCGGAGTCCTAGCTTCCGCACCAAATACAGAGGCACTTCCACCGATAACTGAAGCGTAATCCTTGTCGCCACCTGTCGATCTAGATGGGTCGATAGGTATTGGTCAGACACCAGACGGCGGGGCAATGAGATTGAATTCCATGATCATCTACCGGTAGAGCGCAATGTAATGTAAGCGCTCCAGTGATATGGGCTAGACCTCTTGTACAGGATTTCCAGGCCAAAACATCTTGAATGACAAACCTGAGAATGCAACTTCCAAACCATAGCGCCAGATAATTCCTAGCAGATGTCACCGCATCTGATATAATTGTACAGGGTATCCCGAAATTCTCCCTTTGAACAACGCCAAACATATCTAAACATAAAGAAAAGAACCCCACATTAGATCCTTCACAGATCAAATCATCAATCATCGTCATCGGTGACATCCTCCATATCCGCCATTCGAACGCTTCCCTTGCCATTTTGGCATTCTAGCTGCTTGACATAGGAGTTATTGGGCTTGTAAACGACATACATGGATGGAATCACAGTATGCGGAGCATTTCCACTGCGTCGAAGAGCCTTCAAATGGGCGAGCTGTTTGCCGGCCATCCACCAGACGAAGGTACTGACGTATGTCCTGGGGTATGAGGCGAAGAGTGCGGAAGCTTTGAGGAGCACCCATGGGGAAAGATCCTCAGCACCACAACCTCCGAGAAGCGTCCGACCAAGGGCGCCTTCCGTGGGTTGAATTTCTCGGTACCTGTCGAAGAACTCCAGGAGAGTTGGAACCCAGTCTACACCTATCTCCTCAAGAAGAGGGGACCTCTTAAACTTCGTTGACCAAGGTGCTTTGAGAGCAGAGAGATCGGTTTCCAGCCTCGATAAAAGCGGCTTCCATTCCCCATTGGTTGTCGATTCCTGTTTCGCCCACAGGTAATAAGCCACAAGATCATCGTCCCAATGGGAAATATTCTTGGGGACGCTCTTCGCAAATTCTTCGAGGCACTTGTCAACTTTTTTGTACGTTCGATCCATCAGGTAATCAAGGATGTGAGTTGGATCCTTGCGGAAATAGGGTTTCTCCTTTTTGTATTCCGGTTCGAATGGCTTGACCTTAATGAGGGCTTCCTTCAGTCGTGTCCAGTCATCGTCACTGAAGATATAGCCTTGCTTTGCTTGATCGACAAGAAGACTAAGAAGGGAGCTGATAATGTTCGCCTCACGGGTTGCAACACTGCCTTGATGGTAGCAAATCTTTTCCTTCCAGCTTGTACATATCCCAAGCATACTCTGTTGCATATTGAATGCCATGGATTTCCGGAGAAAATATGACACGGGATTCTCGTGATCTTTTATCAAATCTTCATACTTGGTTTTGTCCTGGTGGACGTACCCCTCAGCAACTAAGGGGTGCTCAACCAGCTTATCCGCATTTGTGAAATTGTTCACGATATCTGGCTCCCAGCATATCCAAGCGCGGTCACCATCGTAATCACCGCCAGAGAGCTTTGCTGCAAGGGAAGGATTGCCTTTGGTAGGGAAGACAATTACATCCTTCAGCCCCATTAGCTCAGCCTTTGCCACTGCTTTGACTTTTTGGATATCGCTGACAAAGTGAGCTGGTGACCTTGCGACAAGTATCTCCTGGCCATGAAGCATAACACCAGAAAACCCAGAGATCTCGTCGGTAAAGCTAGAAAAGTCTATGAAGACCTCGTTGGGCTCAAGGACACCTTGAAAATCCGGAACCATATAGGCATATGTGGATTGGCCGATTGTGATGCTTAGTCGGTTCTTAAGGTCCTCACACTTGTCTCTAAACAAGGATCTAGTTAATTCCATTGCATAAGTGAGTTTCGTAGTATCGAAACCAGAGTCTAACATCATAATGAGTTGCTCATCACGGCCGATTGGAAAACCAGCTCGGTAGCCAACGCAGCCGGATTTCAGTCTTTGGCTTTGGTTTGGGTTCTTTTCGGAAATCCACTTTCGCAGTGCAGGGCCGCTCTGCAACGAGCAGCGAAGGTTTTCCAGGTCTCGATCGAGCGCTTGCTCAAGCAGCTTATTCAGGGCTTTTTTCATAAATCCTTTGTCTGGTGCATTCTCCATAAGAAGCGGAAGGAATTGGTCATTTAGGTTTGCTGATTTCAGAGGGCCTGAACATTGAAGGACTTCAAATGTGCGGTTGGATTCATGGTAGTCATCGTGATCTAGCCGTTTGGACTTTGTACGAGCCCATTTGCACTGTGAATCGTAGACTTCGATCCAACTTTGACCGCTTCTATCGCTATGATCAACACTCCAGAACCCTTTGGCTTCGCCTATCCGGCCCTGAAAACCACTAGGAGGATACGCGAGGCCAAGTATCTCCATTACTTTCAATGCCAGAGCCCAAGATATACGGCCCGCACCATCTGTCATGACCTCATTGTTGTACTCGATGTCATGCCTGTACCTGATCTGGGAGAGTTCCAACGTGACTGTGGCAGAATTTCTTGAGAGAGCTGTAGTCTTTAAGTGATTGTTTTATTATTAATTGGGGGAAAGTCGCTCACCTAGTGATGTGCGAGAGAAAAGTTTTAAGAAGGGCTGATGCTTGTTTTTCCTCTCAAGTCTTACCTTGTTGAGCAGCGATCGAATGCTAATCTCTGTCTCGAGGCCTGTCCCACTCACGGCAAAAAAATAGACCCGATGGGCCAGCTCAGAATCGGTCTTGAAAATCTTTTTACTCGTTTTCTGAGCTTTCTTGGTCTTTCTGTCTGCAGGTTTGCAAAAGAATGGATTCCAGCATCTGCTGAAAAGAGAATGCGGGGTATCTACCAGCCATTGGAAAACGGCATCTTGACCTCGGACTCCTAGATCTTGCAGGAGTTTTGGCAACCCTCTTCCCGTCAGATGCGGCATATCAATTTCAAGGAAGCGGTCATTCCCCAGGCGTCTTCCAACTCGATGCGAGAGTTCGAGCTGTAGTGGCTTTAACCGGAGCTGAAAGAGGGGACCTGCTGCGCTCTCATTGAATTCTAGCGATCCACCAAGCACAACTCCCAGGCCACCTTTCCTATAGCCAGTTGCCGCTGCCTCCCAAGCCTCCTTACTGCTTCTTTCAGGGAACGGCCTGTCTTTCAACATCGGGTGGCTTTTGAGAAACTGCCAGAGAGCATCGTAATCGTTGAGGTGATCATCCGAGGAGAATTCGACGTTCAATATTGGAACCTCGGCATGTAGGAAGATCCGGGTTATTTCGTATACGATATTCAAGGACATTAGCCTTAACGACGCTGGTAATTTGGCTACAATATTTGGTCAGTACTGAGACGAGGGAGAGGTTGCAGTTAAAAATAACATACGGAACACATCCTCCAGACGTTCTTGTAGTATATCTTCAGGCGTCAGATGATTTGAGACCCGATCGCTAATCTCGACATTTTTGAGCTCCTGTGATAAGCCCTCGCTTATGCCTAATGGAGATATTTCTGAGGCGTCGAAGATCAGAGTGTTGTTTAATGCAGCTTCAAAGCTGCTCCCAGCGCCATAGTCAGAGCTTGTGTGAGTTTTCTGAATGTCAGGAGCCGCATCTTGGGTGTCTGGCCCCATTTCTGACATCGAATTGCCGAAAGAAATGGCTGGATGTGAGAATATGCTAGAAGGAGCATTGGACTCAAAACTCGTATTGGCGCTTCGCCATCCTTTCAACTCTGGCAATTCCGCCCTCCCTCTTCCTGGGGGAGGGAGAGCTTCGGCGAGAGTCTCCGGCATTTTATATTTTTTCGGCCGCATTTGGGGTTCATCCAGGAGATCTTCCCGTGGCCGTTTTGGGTCCTGCTTTAATCGCGGTAAGGTAAATGGTACTGGACTATCATCCAAAGAGGGGCTTCGAGATTGTTGGTCTTTTCTTGATCGCCATGGACTCTGTGAGCCTTTATTTCGTGTGCAAAAATCATCGTATGATTCTCGCAAAATATCATGCAGATACCGGAGCATCTGCGCCCGTTCAGTAGGACTCAGAGGATGGGATTTTTCACGAGAAACCTCTGGGATAACGCCGCGATCCGCGTTAGGCTTTTTTACCCATTGCATGTATGCGTCCTGCGCTTTCTCTTGAAATTTCGCGAGCGGCTGGGCCGCCAACTTTTTGAAATTTAGAGTGGTTATCATGCAAACGCACCATTGCTCCATGGTGCGGTTGTTGGATCTGGTATTCGGTGACTCGTTGCGCCTCTGTGGTTCAAGACGCAAGTCCCACCTCATATTCAAGTTCTTGATCAACATATCCACCTCCATGCGACCATCGTCCTGGGCTCGTTTCCTCGGTGTTATTGGGACTCTGGAGAAATCCATGACTCCTTGTCACGATATCTTGTAGTAGTTAAGACCTTCAGCAACGGACTAGACGCCTGGGTAACAGCCAGCCGGTAATGGTCGGAAAACCTTCAAAATTGGCCAATCCGAATATTTCCTCGGCGTCTTGCTCGTTGCAAAATCCGGCGTAGTATTCCTTTGTTTGAGTGAGGGGTATAGTTTCGAGCCACCTCCGACGAAGTCTTCGTATTCTAGCCTGGTCTGGCGGATTAACAGGTAATAGGGCTTGTTGAATTAACTTGGGATGCTTCGTTCGGTGGCTTTAAGAAGTCGTTAGCAAACATCAAGTGGAGGGGTGAGCGGTGGAGAGAATACCTAGAGCTTCAGGGAGATGCTTGAAAAGCGACAAAACAACCGTCTGTTGTGGCTCATTCTGGATGGCCATGTAGAGTGCGGAGCAATTTCGAGAACCGGGAGGCTTAGGTCGTGGGGGTTGGCCGACAAAGCTGGTTGAGTGGTAGCCCGATACTGCGATAGCATCTGCTTTCAATTGACAGCAAATCCGGTGTCCTCCAAACCACAGCTGAAGAAGTTTCGCCCTGCGACCAGCTCCTAGGCGCCTATTTTTCTCCTAGCTCAAGTGATGGCGGTTTGGGTGGTAGTGTTCGTAGTGGGGTTGTGTTGTAGAAGGCAAGGCTGTGGACTTCGCACAAAACTTGCAATGGAGGCGCGCGTTGTCAACGAATTGCAGACGCGATAATAAAAAGCAAATATGCAGACATCGAAGCTGAAAGATTCTCATAATGACTGACGGAAAAGAAAGAGCCAATTGGTTGAAGCTGTTGCTGGGTGCGACAGTGAAGATGAGTGCGCAAAGCGACCTCAGGGAGTGTAATACAATACAGCCAGAGCTGGGAAGGGACGGCACGGGCACGGCCCGTGCCCGAGCGCCGCAAATCGTGGGGAATACCCGAAGTAGTGGCGGCTGACTAAATTTTAATGTCTTGCTGGGACCTCCATTCAATATCCAAACACTCACTCGCCTGAGAGATCAGTCACGATATATTTGCGTCTCTCCCTCCGAAGTATTCTCCCATTGTCCGCCTTCACCGCCCGTCGGGTTTACCAAGCCAGCTACATGTTCGTATTAACAACGGATGCAAGTCCTGCCTGAAATGACCTGGAATGCCGATGGCACTTCGACCTCGCCTCGGCGCCAACTTAGTCTGTGGCATACGGCAACGGCTGTCGTCGCCTCGAATACAACGAGACCGGTGTTGCCCGGGGGAGCTTTAAAGCGATATGCCGCCTCCGAAGAACCACAAAGGCAGGAAAGCACCCCTGGATATATTGGAGAGAAGGGAGTCGTCCCCAAGCCAGTGTTCAAAGTGCCCAGTGTTCCCTGCATATCATCGGAACAATACTCTTTCGAATTCGATAACAACCATAAGCCTGGTAAGATTAGTCCCATATCGGAAGAATATGCCAGAAGTCCCATTCCTAGGTACAAAACTCTACTCCTGAAACTACCAACGGAATACTTTGAAGGTGTGATCTAAGGATTCCCGCCGCTTAAAGCGCAATGCTCTTGATATATTTCTAGGGAGTCCGAGAGCGCCATTTAGGAGCAGTGGAGATTTTCGCGAACATAATTTAGTCCTGGGACATGGATGGTATACAGGAATCTCAGCACATGATAATACGAGATTTCAATAACAAGGCATACCGTTGTAATATCTTTAGTAAAATAACGTACGACCACAGTAAGTGTATGCATATCTCCCCGCGGGGTTTTGGCTTTGGACTGGGCGTAGTACTCGCGGATGCTCCGACTTTAGAATATGTACTAATGGTATATGAGTTTCATATTTAGGGTGACATTCTACTGGTTGATCAACACGAAAATACACAAATTTGGTCTCGTGGGGATTGCCCCTCCCTACTACACCTTTCACATGCCTTTATATATATAGAAGTAGTCGGGCATTTCAAGGCGATGACTCTGCACTATGCTTAGCCTCAATGTTTTCCTGCTTGGAACTAGATATGTCGATTCGCGGTTTCTCTGGGCCTCTACTCCGTACTCATGGACATTAATACGGACCGGGGAAAAGATATATCTTCGAGGTAGAAAACGGTGAGATAGTTATGCTGACGCTAGTCTTAGATACTATGACTAGGTTCCAACGACCCTCAATCGAGCAATAAGCCTAGAGACTTGCTACTGAAATATATCAATGGCACATGGGAATTTTTTGAGCGCCTCTCCACCTGCGGATGTCGATCGAAGAGTTATTTGACGACCTGCAAACTTTTATTAAGGAGACAGATGACCAACTTAGAGGAAATCCCTGACAATGGTAACTGCGGCTTGAGAAGATTCTGTTGCCACAGTGTGCATCTGTCATGCGCAAAACAACATATTATCACTTCCGGTTATGCCACTATGTGACGTCCATAGGGTCTCGGTGAACGCGGGCACAGTCTTCTTTACTGCAGATGGAGATGTAGCTACTCCGAAGTGCATCTAGGGAATGGAATCCACCTGAAGACTTATGCAGGCAACTATCGACACCCATGCTTCGAACTCACCGTGACTTCCTCTTCGCCTTTCCCTTTACCAAGGCGTCTTTTTGCTAGACATTCTCTGATAATCATCCGCTCAAGGATCCAGCGCGTGTGCCGCAACATAATAGCAGACAGAGGCTTGTCTCGTGGTCCGATCGACAATATATTACTCCTTTAGTAGACTTTGGAAGCTGGGAAGCTTTGCAGATAGTTCCGCTGCTTTTGGGTTAGGCACCGGGGCTTGTTTAGAAACGAAACGTTGTGTTGGCCGTAGCGTCATTTCTCTTGGATTTTAGATGCGATGTAAAGATTCAAAGGCGAAAGTATTTCCGAGTTGCTTTTCATGTGGGCAACAACTGGAAAAGTAGACCGCCTTTTGGGTAATTCGATTCTTGGCCGCTGCGAGTCTGCGACTCCGTGATCACCCTTCGAATGAACGGCGGAGTGGCTAGTAGATCAGGTTCGATTCCCGAGTCCTAGCTCCCGCTGGCACGTACCTCCCCTTGGCAAACACCTACCGGTAATATACCAAATCACGATGTAAGTGAGGCCGAACGATAATTAGCAATATGCTACCCTGTAAGAACGGCCACTTGAACTGTTCTCCGACTCAATTGAAAGTCGTCCGAGCCAACGAATAATCGACTACGCAGGTCAGATAAGCATTTTGCGACTGAAACTTGGGACGATGTATCACCAATAGGATGTCAGTAGTCGAGTATGATGATGTTACTGACCAAGTAGCGGGGAGTGGTTCGTGTGGGCCATGAAACGGTTCGATAGTCATGGGGCTCATCGTCACAGTTCGGATATCCAACCAGCTTCCCAGTTAGGACAATTAATCAGATGGCTATTATGCAGCGATTCGAAGACCTCCAACGTCCTCCTATGATTAAGCTCCGACGGCTTCACACCAGTCGGGAGATCATCCGATGTTAGAGTACGTTTAGCGACTAATAGGATCGCGGCGGGATAAATTCACATACCTACCCAATACCGCACACCCAAGCGCTAGAGGATATAAACGCACGACTTTTCCCTTACCTGCCCCTTTTCCTCATCTCCGAAGATGCCTCGACATACAGAACTCGGAGGCTTTGGCGATTCATCCCCCTGACATAGCCATAGACTAGGTACTTCATATGCGGCCGAGATCTCTCGCATAGCTCCGGAAGCTCAACTGCATCCGGATAAGCCAAAAATAAAGGATTTCTGTTCGGCAGTGCTTCGGATGTGGCCTTCAAAACCCCCCACGCGCCTCATCTTATCCCTTAAAAGGTTACTAGGCCACGATGCCAATCGGTCCTTTGTACCCCAGATTTTGCTCCGGGCAAGCATGCGGGGAAGAGACCGAGAACGATAAGCGGCGATGTCAAGACTCCCAATGTCACAGCTATCTCTAGCAAGAGAGCCTAGCAAGGGGATGGCGTCCTTGGTGTTTTGGCAATATGCCAAATATAATATTCTCTCTCTTGCAGCATTGAGGGTTGTCAGGATATGGTACGATGGAGTTAGCTCTCAACATCTTGACCAATACCTAGTGGCGTGCTTTTCAAAAGCACTCTCCTCGTCCTTATTTATGCCGAGCTAGGGCTCTCCTCCGTGGGAGTCTATACCTCGACCCTTGATCATCACAAGTTCTTTCAACCCAACTTCCGAAGTCATTCCATGATCTCTTTTCCTCTCCTTAGTCCGTTGGAGACACTCTTCCGTTCAAACCGTCAGATGAGAGCGGCTTTGTTTCTACTTGTGTACATGGCTTGCAAGAAATATGCCAGGCTCGCAAGTGCTCCCTGGTTGTGATTTCTAGCGAATGGGAGGTTGTAGTTACATATTCTCTTTCGAGAAACCACCCTTTCTACTCTTGAGCTTTGGGGGTATATATCTCTGTCCGCCCAAGACCTGATCAACGCCGGTAATAACATCACTTATTTAGTTAGAAGACGTTTTCTATCCTCGGCAAGTGCTGGTTATCATAGATCATTCCAACTCAATAACGAACTGTACTCGCATCAGACAAGTCATTACTTAGTCCAAGACCATCCAACTTTTGTTACATAGACATTCGATAATCGACCATGACGACACTCAGCGATGTCCTCCAGAAACAAAGGACACATGGCATCCTCGAGGCCCCTGAGATCATCGATGAAGCGACCCAGTCTCAACAACTAAACCGCAGAACAACAGCTCCCACCCTCGAGATAAATCTCACCAACGCCACCACTTCCAACACTGTCTATGCCTATGTCACTGGCCTGGCTCTCGACCACAATAGCTCCGTTTTCCTCCTCCAATCCGACGGCTTAGCAGCATTTTACCCCGACAACCCCACAGAAATCGGCACCAAGATCCCAGTGGAGTGTGCCATTCCCCTAGGTGCCGCAGGAACCAACAAGCGCATAACCATTCCCCATCTTGCTGGAGCAAGAATCTGGTTCTGCGTCGGAAACAAGCTCCATTTCCTCACCAACCCAGGCAAGGTTGGCCCCGGACTTGTTGAGCCATCCGTCAGCAACACCGCGGACCCTAACTACGGTCTGGATTGGGGATTCTGCGAGCTCACGTACAATGACCAGCAGCTATACGCCAACATCTCTTACGTGGATTTTGTGAGCCTGCCTATTTCTCTCACATGCACGAGCACCAACGGCAACGTAGCCCATGTCGGCGGACTCCCCGCAAACGGGAGAACAAATGTCTGTAATGGCCTCATAGCACAGAATGCTAGTGATGGCGCTGGCTGGGATCAACTGGTCGTGCGGTCAAGCGATGGATCGTTTCTGCGTGCCTTGTCGCCATCAAATGGCATCGTGCTCAACCAATCACTATTCCAAAATTACTGGACGGATTATCTAAATCAGGTGTGGACGAAGTATGCCTCTGAGCCGCTCACCATCGATACCCAATCACAATGGGGCAAAGTGAAGGGATATACTTCCAACGACCGAACAGCTATATCTTTCCAAGACATCGGATCTATCAAGAAGCCTTCTGCGCTTGATATCTTCGGTGCTGATTCGGGGGCCTTTGCACCGCAACCTAAGAACACCGCGGCGCTTCTCAACATCGGTGCACGCATTGATGCGGGGATTAACCGCTCTACACTTCTTCTGGATTCCATACAACCACATGTAGGTGCAGGCTCAAACGCAGCGCCTTACTATACTGGCAAGGTAACCAATCACTACGCGCGGATTGTGCATGCGGCGAATGTGGATGGGCGCGGCTATGCGTTCCCCTATGACGACGTAAGCCCCGGTGACAGCATTGATGCAAGTGGGTTCGTGAGCGATGGGAGCCCAGCTAACTTGTTGATTGCTGTTGGAGGCGCGAATGCCTATAAGAGGAAGAGGGACGTCGTACCTACTGGTATGAAGGAGATGAGGAAGAGAGACATTGGGCTTTGGGATAGCGGGAATGAAAAAGCGCTACTCCGGGAAAGGGATGAACAGGAGGAGCGTCAGGGCAATGGGGATTTGGAGAAGGGTTTGCTATTACCCCTAGACCAAGATCCGCTCCAGACGGAGACCCAGCGCAAATCACTGCAAAAGCTTCTGTCAGCCCCTCTTACGGTGCGCTTCCTTTACTCCCCGTCGTCCATGTCTCCATTCATACATACGTACAATGTACTAACATCAGACCACAGTTCCTCCGTACCAAAAACCCGGCCGCCTACGCACGTATCTTGGAAGCTCTCAGCACTCTCACATCCGTCACAGTCCGCGCCGTTGCCTACCGTATCTGCCTTGTGATCTTCTGTTTCTTCTTGTACCTATTGGGTGGCATGAGATCGGGTTCCGAGATGGCTGCGGCACGGGTTAGGGTGGATACTGGTTATTAGCGCCGTGTGGTTTGGTATATATTGACTATAGGGAGGCGTATTAGGAGTAGCAATTAGTGCTTTTATTTTATATGTATATTCAAATTAGGTTACGTATCGAACTTCTGTTTATTACACTCGATTTGCATGGAGACATTGTTAGGCATTCGCGGGTGGGGCATCTACCATTCATTAAGCTACCATATGGATATGCCGGGCTCCCGACTCTAACGGGACTATATAAAATTGAAATGGAATAATGAGCAAGATCCGTTTAGATTTAGTTATTATATGGGATTTTTTTTTTATCTCCGATGGACTTGAGGTAGGTACTTAGGTTTGATAATCCAGTATCATTAGCCCAACCAAGCCACCCTGCCCATTGATGCATGTATTTTCCCCCCAAGAGTGACATGACAGTCGGTTTCTTTATTTAGAACACCATGGAATGATACCGCCCGCCTTCACCCATACCCAATTGTCCCTAGTCCTATAGGTATACCCTATACCAGAACGATCGTTCCGAAAAAAGTGCCATAATTCATATCTAATCAGAGTCCGCATCATCGGGTAGCTCCTCGAATCTGCCTTCCTGCAGAGCAGTCTGTACAGGATTCTGTACATTCATTACGCCCGTCTTCTTTAACCTATATTAAAGTTATTAGCATAAGCGGAATGTATCGAAAAAGGGGGGGATAATATGCGAAGCACAAGAGCACATACCTCTCAAAAAGAACAAACAGCCGCTCTGCCTCTCTCTCTTTCTCCTCCTCCGTCATGTTAATCTCGACTTTCTCCTCCATATCTAGGAACTGGCCTGTGATTAGATTGACCTTCCCCTCAAGACCGCGACTTTCCTGGCTCGCCGTCGCACCGCTAGTCTCGCCCCCACTCGTACTCCACGCTTCTAGAGCATTCTCTGGAATTGGTACATTATGCCCGAATAAAAACCCGGCGGCGAAGCCATAACCGACATTCTGAACGAAGGTCCTCGCATCTTTGTCGCTCATGTCGAATTGTAGGCTAGATGTGCATTCGCGGAGTTGTGGGGTCGCGGGGTTGGTAGCGAGGCGAAGAAGTCGTGAGGCGAGTGTCTCGGCCCTTCCAAGCGGCTTTTGTCTGTCTACCGAAGATGGGAGGATGGACTTCCGCATTTGTTCCTTAGTGTCGTCGGGGGCGACTTCATAGAGCTTTCTGAGGAGTGTGACTAGTGGGGAAACAGAGTGTTCGAGTTCGTCGTCAGTGTAGGTTTTCGTTGCTTGGTCTAGGAGGTCGAGTAACCGGTCAACGTAGATGTTTGGTGTGGATTTGGGAAAGAGGGTGGAGACACTTTCCTTCGATTCAAAGTCGAGGTTGATTAGTGCGTTGATGAGGGGAGAAATTGGAGGATCGAGGGGTCTTGGTGTAGGTATAGGCCATCTGCTTAGGATGACAAGAATAGGTAGTAAAGCTTGGGAGAAAGCTCCGCTACGTTGGGCACAGAAGTGTGTGACGTTGAAGAGTAGCTTTAATGTTTCGTTCAATGCCATGTCTTCCATCGGCTCCTTGGGCTTCTTAGGCTTAGGGCCGAATTGCTTCGCATGTCGGTTGATATTTGAGCAGATGCTCTCAGCTAGATGGTCCTCGTCGATGAGCTTTTCGATATCGATATTTGTGTCATAGGTCGTAAGAAAGACGATCCTTGAGACTAAGAATTCGTCTTCCCAACTATCAAACTTCAATTTGTTGCATGCCTTGGACATGTATTCCAAATCCACAAATGTCTGTCTCGTATCCGCTTTGAGGAGCATCGCATTTGCTAGACATCGCAAGGCATTTCGCGAAGTGGCTTGTGAAGGGCTGTTGAAGGCATGTCGAGTCAAGGTTTCTATCCCCTTTGCACACGTGTGTTAGCCCGAGCTCAGGTACCTTCTAAACTCCAGCCATCGGCATTCGCACCAACCGCAGGGGGAAAGTTACGACTTGCCTCTTTGGTGAATATCGGGTCCGCATTGGTGGGGTCCCGCCCATATACTTTAAGCTGGTCCAGGTGTGCATCCCGTTCTACGAATGATTGTTAGCGACTCGCACGGTCTTGTCTTGCCCAGATGCAAGGCACGCAGATGGGTTGCATACGGTGTGGGAGGAGATTGATCTCTTGTAGGTCTGTCGTGAGCTTGCTCATAAGCCTCGTCACTTCCTCGAGTTTTGCTGCGCAGGAAAGTCAGCGATGAAACTCCAGCCTATCTCTAGCTTGTGTTATGTGAGGATCCATACCGGCGCCTGTCAACTCGGCCGAAGAAGTCGACTGCGGAGTGGGAGTAGGAGTAGGAGTGTGCGTGGGAGTCGACATGGCTGAGGCCGAGGAGCTCTTTCGTCGCATAAAGCTTCTCATCGAGGTTCGGGGGAGGGAGTTGTGAGGGCAAAGCAGCTGTGGGTGGTATATTCCGTGAGATAATTGATTGCGTCGTTCAGTAGCGGTAGTAGGAGCAGTTTAGGGCAACAAGTAGAGCCGTTCTGTACGGCCGCGGGAAGCTTTTGAGGATCAGAGCTGGGAAGCAATGGGCGGTCAAAGGAAGCGCAGTAGTAAGTGACGCAAGGTGGGGGGAAGCGCTGTCAGAACCGGTGTTGAGTGCCTGGAAGCTCGAACTGAGATTGGAGCTGTTGGGCCCTGTAGTGGTAGTGGTTGTGGTAGAGAGACGTCGTAGCAGCGGTGGTGGTGGTGATTGTTAGTGGCGTGGTAGCAGTGGTGGTTTAGCTGACTTAGCTGGTGTTGATGGTGACGGTGATAACGGGCTGCAGCGGGAGCTAAAGCTGCGGGCTTTCTGTCTTCCCTATGCGCCCGCGTCCGCAGAGCCCAGAACCACCACCGGCCACCCCGAGTAATACCTGCAATACCTGCAAGGACCGTCTCAACTGTGCATATTGATTAATATTTGGATTAACCAGATGCATGTACAGTACGAAGCACGCAGTACACAGGGCTGTATGCAGGTAACAGGGCTTGAAGGCGCGAGATGGCTTGCTGTCCGTAATTTTTTATTTCGTCACGACCAAGCTATTGATCGCCGACCTTGTCACCAGAGTTAATTCCGCATGTTTCTTCCTAGTATGGGAGCTTTCACGTCCTTCGTTGACGTGGGGGCTGCCGTCACGGTCATGCTGGTTCTGATATCACTCGGTGGGTCAGCGTAGTTGTGATCTCTTCCCATACTACGGGCTATTGAAGCCTCTATATGCCATAACCCGCAGAATATGTCATCTTCTCTTACTGTGCAAGGAGACGTGCTCGGGGCACCATGCTTCCGGGCGCACAAACACTGGTTGTTCGAGTAATTCGGGAGCTCCCAAGGCGAGAAACAGCGTGGGGCTTAGGCACATGGGTAGATCATGGGCGCATGGGTGCCAATATCATATCATCGGGTCTCTGCGTGCGACTTGGCTGATGGATTCGACTGTGACTCGAGGAGCGGTCAAGCTATATTATCCGTCAATATCACCTGGGTAGCGCAGATCGCGGGGGGAAAGGAGACGTGAACTGACTACTTGGTACTTGGGAAGGGCAACTGATATCAGTCAGCTGTGGAACACACCATCGAGTAGTGTCCATGATTGTAACTATAGACAAGATAGCGAAATAACGAATAGGACTAAGAATACGGCGCAAGTAGCGATGAAAGCGACATAGATACGGGGAGTAGAATGGAGACGTTCGGAGGAAAAATAGAAGACAGTCTGAAGGAGATGAGAAGCTTAATATATGTCAAGGAGGGAGAGAGGGAGAGGAGGGAGAGGATACGGAGGTACTTGGTACAAGAATACCTAGGTACCTAGGTACCTGGATACCTATTTAGGGAGTAAATGCCGGCAGAATTCAAACCACGTGATTTCCAAAAGCGGTGAGAACTTTAAGTGTTTTTTGACGCGTTCGCGCCTTCCACGTGACTTAGCTCGCCCGAACTGGAGCGAACCGCGTCTTCTGCCTGGTACGCGACGCTCGGCATCTCATTCTCACGACAAAGCGGCCCCAAACACTAGAGGGATGAGGCCCCGATACACTTGACGGAACCGGCCATGGTTATGGAGTGACGATACGATATAATGCGATACGATGCATGAGAAATGACTTTACATGCAGCTTGTTCCACCAACTGCCCGTCGTCGAGCTCGCAGCAGCCATGGTAGAGCCAGGCCCAAAACCACTCGGGACCTTGGAACCACTATCAACTCTCGTGGCAAGACCGCCCACGCCTCCGAAACAATCTCATCGCAACGACGGCAAGCCAGGCTTCATCAGTCGCCTGTTCTACGGTGGACCACAATCACACTCGAGTCGGCCGGCGTTATCCAGCATCACTCCGAGCTCGTCTGGTGAATCACCTGCTCGGTCTCCGAATACATCTGCTATCTCTCGGAAGAAGGTCGAGTGGTCGGACTCGACAGAGTACAACGATCCACCCAAACTTCCACGGGACGGGCCCGTCGTCCCTTTATCTGCCGAGCGAAAGCCGCTCAAGTCCATACTCAAAGCATACAATGGCGCCCAGGAGCAGGACCACAATGGGCTAGGGACCAATACGAAATTACTCCCTCCACATCATCATTCAAGCCTTGCCATCATGCTCGAATCAATTGTGCAACAATTGGCTGGGAAGGACAGGAACTCCAAGATGGATGCATACCTAATGCTATCCTCGTCCCTAAAAGCATCGGAAAATAGCCCGGATCTGAAGGCGCTGGATTCTAGGATGAGCCTTCTCCTGCAGTTCATCACACGAGATATATCCGAGAAAAATGAAGCCGGAAAATCCGATACACCGCTTGTTACAAACGCCCTAACTCTTTTGTCCAGTTTTCTCCACAAGCAGACAATTAGAGACTCGATTACCAACGACTTCAGTGTCTTCATTGTAGAGTACGCTATTAAAACCTTTCACGACCCCCAAATGTCGAAGGAGATTGTCAAACATTTGATGTTTGTGTTGGCCCAGCAAAAGTTCCCTCCTAGAATCATGAACACTGAGCGTGTTGGGAAACTAATCACCGCTCTACATAACATCGAGATCCATATCACGGGGAAGAGTATTGTGATGGGCCGGCAGAATATATACCGGACTCTCTTGCGGCAATCGAGATCTCACATGGTCGCCCATCCAATCTGGATAGAGGACCTTTTCATCGACATGCTTAGTAGCATCAAGGAAATACGAACGATGGCAATCATCTTTGGACTTGAATCTTCATATGGTCTTGGCGGTGACATCAGACCATCTCGTTCTGTCTCCAATTTTTTCCAGATCGACCGAAGTGAAGGCATCAAATTTGCAGATTATTATTGTGGATGCTTGAAACAGCTTTTACAAAAGAAACAGGACACCGCGTGCGTTCCCCAGATTTGGAGTGTCATTGTTCTTTTTCTCCGTGCAAACCCCAAACAACTGGAGCAGTGGCCCTTTTTGACCTCTTACCTTGAGATCGTTCAACAATGTTTCAACTCCAGCGACCCAACAACTCGGATTGAGGCAAACTACGCGTGGAATCGATTTGTTTTTGCAGTTGGCCTAAACGAGAGGACTCCGATACAAATGATTAGAATGCTCTGTAAACCACTGGCGGCGCAGCTCCTGAGGTTACGGAAAAAGTCGTCAGCTAGCAGAAAAGCAGTTCTAGGCAGTTTATGCAACCTACTATATTATTCGTTCAAACCTACCTCGACTCCAGTCCGACTCGATTTGTTCTGGGATGAGTATATTGTGCCTCTTGTGGGTCAATCCTTAACCCCGGCCAATATCACTGATAATCCGAATTGGGCGAAACCAGACCTGTTGGACGCCGGCCGTGTCCTCCAATCGCTCTTCGACTCGACGAATCAAAGGCCGTGGGACGATTCTCGCGCAATGGCAAACCTGCAGCGGAACAGCGTGGATGCTAAGGAGCTCCCTGCACTGGATCCGAAATGGCTGAGGAAAAACCCGTCCCGGGTTTTTGTAGTCCTAGCTCCAATTCTTGAAAGGTTATACTGGGATCTCGGTGCTAAATCCGAGACTGCTACTATTTGGCAGACGTATATCACCTCCATTGCTTCTCCAGCCTCGATGGAGGTCAAGGTTTCAAATGATACAATGGCATCCCTTGCTTCTATATTCGGCCTGCTCTACCAAATTTGGCATACGGGGCCATTTACCATACCAAGTTTATCACCGCCAAGCGGCTCTCGCACTCCAGAATTTCTCAAGAGCTTCGAACGGCTTCTGATACCCACGATTGAAGGTCTTGGCATCCTTCCATTTACCGAGCGAATGCTTTGTGTCGGAACCCAAGATACTTTCATCCCAGTTGCCACACCATCACATCGGCCTGAAAAGCTCAAGGGGGAGGTTAGAAGTCCGTTATACCACCTGTTCTCGTTGTTGACGACAATATCCCCCGGCCTAGAATACGACGGAAGATTCCTTCACATGGTTCACAGCATCTTCCTGCCTTTCTTCGAATTAGGAAAGTCTAGCATGACATCTCGTATTGACCTGGCGAAAGATCTATTGCACCTCATTCCACAGCAGACCACCCAGCCTTGCAAGCTCATGTGGCGAGTTCTTGCAAACTTTACCACAACCGCCACGGACACACGAGATGATGATAAGAGCAACCGTAATATTGACCAGCCGCTTGGCGTGAAATATCGAGGCATCGTAAAGGTTCTCGAAGTCGGGGTCAATCTATCCCCACAGGAACCGCTTCCTGGTTGGGAGACTTTATTAGAAGCTTCCATTGTGTCTGCGTCTATCGACGCCGGTGATGCAGGCAGAGCCATTGTGGTGATTGAGCCATTGGCTAAATGCCTAATGCAAAGGGAATCTACTGTTTTTGCAAAGTGCCACACCGACGGGCCGTCGTATTACCACTTATTAATTACCAAGGCTACATATCCCAAACACCGTCAAGCGCTTGATGCCGCAAGAAAACGCCTGTGGGGTACCGGAGATTTTGGACCTAACGCCTCGACGTTTGATCCCTACTCCCAATTATATAAATACATCCAAAAGTCCTTAGCGAACGCCTATGCATTATATACTTCAGCCGTCCTCAACGACTCTGCTGACATACTTGCTGTTACCACTGCATTACTGGCTCGTTGCCCTATAGAGCTACGCCTTGGTATGCTTATGGCTGTTCAAGAAGGGATCTCACTATGGGTTCTCGATAGCAAGGCATTGTTGAAAGAGGGAAATCATCTATCAAAAGAGGTACGCTGCGACCCCGTCCTGATGTGACCCCCACTAACAAATTTTAGATATCCGCACTTTGGCATATAATCTGCGCATTCGTTCACCAGATGACGAAGAGGCAAGGGATTTCCAAAACCCTACTCGACTTGGAACTACTAATCTGCTCTGGACTGGAAAGCACACATAAGGCGATTGCTAACCACGCGATTTCTATGTGGAACTCAACATTTGGCAAATCCGAGGAACCTCTAGTATATTCAACTCGGCTAAAGGATTCACTTATGAGACTTGACTCCGTCGCTGATATCCAGCTACCTTTCTTTCCTGAGAGCTTACGGGGTTCTAATGACGAAACTCACGGCCGACAGCCTATTGAGTTTGTGGATAGCCAAGACGATTCCAACAACTTCCTGCTCTCCTCTACCATGGAGTCCGTGTTGAGAGCCCATCCGACCCCGCTTATGGGCTCGTCACCAATACGTCGTCGACTCCGCGAAACTACACCCCAAGTTCTCATTAACGTTGACCAGTCAAGCAGCCACAAGCGCTCTCGTGAAGCAACTCCTGATGCGAAGAAGCGGAAGTCCCGAAGACTTGAAAGCACACCATCTAAACTCCGACATGACAATTCGCAGATTCAATTTCAAGCCGTTGGGTCTTCTCCTACAGGCGAAGTAAACCGGGATTCCCAGCTTCTGACCGCCAGGCAAGCTGAAGTGAAAGAGAGGCAGCGGATCGAAGCGGCGATGTTTCCCGACTTGAGATCCAGTCCTGGAGTCAATGTCTCTACGGAACCAGAGCTACCAACTCATCTCTCACCATCCAGATCACATATGAAAACTCCTCCCCGGCAAACCACTCCAGATCCTCTCCCACCCAGTGAAGATGACAGTTTCATGATTTCTTCTCCGACGCCGAAACGAGACAATCATCATAACCTCTACCCTTCTACATCACTATATTCACCACCTAGGCTCACACCAAATGGGCAGCGAGCCATTCAGGCTGAATTGGGATCTGGTTTCCATTTCGAAATTCCTTCTTCACCTCCAGAGAGGCTATTGGCACCGGATATCGAACCTCAAACGGCCATTGACCACCCTTCGGCTCTAGCTGACTGCTTCGCAAACCAAGATGATGGCGCCATGTCGACGTTCGACAGCACGAATCCGAGTGACCAGCATCCCTTGGATGAAGATCGTGCTTTGAAACATCCCGCGGTAACCTTAGCTGCTGACCCTTCCCGAAGGAGGGCCAACTCTCCAATTTCGGTTCCAGAAGCCGTGTCCGAAAATATTTTAGTTGAAACTGTTCGGGCAAAATCAAGTCTTGAAGCAAAGAACAATGTGAAAATATCTACGACTGGTATTGATCTAGCTGTTGCGGATGCCCCTTTCAAAAAAATAGAACTACAGCAGCCAACAACTCCCCCTCGGCATAAAGATAACACAGATGCTGGCGGGCAACAGCTGAGCTCTCCACAATTTGTGGATGCAATGTCCAGTCCTCCTTCATCTGACAGTATCAACGAGGACATCTTTGAAGACGCTGTTTCATCACCCCGCCTAATGGTTCAGAAGACAAGGACAAGCCGTGCTTGGTCTCCTCTCAGCGAGTTTGACGAGTCTAGCATGCTACGTATCATGAAAGATTTCGACGAAGCTCCCGCTGATCCATCCACAGTGGTAGCTGACGTAAAGAAAAGCCCCCGCCATCAGACGCGGGCGTCTTCTAGAAAGACGCTTTTGCAGAGCCCTTTACCCGTGCGTTTACCGTCACGCGGATCTATGCGTATAGCAGTATTGAAGAATACTACCGCTACTAATACCAGCAACATCATGAACTATGGTAATGACTCGATCGGTTTGAAAGAACCACTTCAGCCCCACTCATCGTTGCCGTCCATGATCCCTGAGACACCTGCTACGAAAATTCCAGATCCACTAGCCAAGATTGTGATTGATGGAGAAGAATTGAATCCGTATGATACAATTATCGTGGATGCATCTGCTCTGGAGAACGAGGGTCGAGGTGGCATCGCTGGAAGACGTCGAAGGCGCACGCCTACTAGTGCTAAGAAGAGGAAACATGAGGATACTACGGGAGCTAGCGGACCAGTCCTAGATGGCCAACAAGTTCAGAATCAGGGTGCGTATTCTAGAGTCACCATCCCTCCATGATCAAGTCTAACTGTTTGCCTACTAGCTACATTATTAACACGGACGTCACCTCGGAAGAAGCAAAGAGGAGGCTCAAATAAGGCATTGCAATCATCCCAGGTGCACACAGATGCTTCTTCTGAGAGGAGCCACAGCGTCGTGTCAGCCGATGTCGATGTGTCAATGTCAGCTCAAGATGTAGAGGTCGGTATGGCAGGTGTGCTTCTACCAAGTGCGGAGGAACCGTCGAATGGTAACAAGGATTGCATTTTGGATGTGAACAAACCCCCAAATTCAATTGCCCTGGAGCTTCTAGAGACACCTAGTGCGCAAGAACCTTCTGCATACTCGAACGCAAGCCCGCACCGCGGAGTTGCCCCCGCCGAGGTCATCGAAGAAACAATATTGGGAGCAAGTAGCATGTCAGTGGGAAATTCGAGATCTCCTCCCGTGGAACAGGATAATATCCCTCTTAGAGCTGGTGCTATTGTCAGTTCGGAGATTATCGGAACTCCGGCAGACTCGCCAACTCTCACACTACAACTAGACAAATCAGTATCACCCGATAATATCTCAGGCGCAACTCCATCCCCACCGCCGCCTACACCGTCGGACCAACCGTTTATCCCCATGTTCCAAAGTGTGAAGGAAAAAGTACAAAGCCTCGTCAGAGATCTAGGATTAGCGGTCTTCTCGAGGGACCAAGTAAATGAAATTGAAGACATATTTATGGATGCGAAGGCGCAGTTATATGCTGCTGCGATGAGAGGGCGTCTGGGGGGGGATCCCTAATTGCATTGCTTATGGAGTATTGTGTTGCTGGTTTGTTTTGGGCGGCGGGATGAAAAGGAAGCATTGCATTGCGAGTTGAAAGTTTGCAGAGTTACAAGAGATACCAATGTTAAAATGAGTTTGTAGTTAATCACATGGGCTGAAATCCCCAGTGTCATTGTATGTACTAGGTCGCTCGAAATCAACCATGTGCGAGCAAGACACGACGTCCTTTTATTCTTTATTTCAAATGTCCAAATGCCACGTCGTGGGAGTGAGGTTACCAAAAGTTTAGACTTATAGCATTTAGAGGACTTAGCTCTGGTGCCGGGTTTTGGAGATGCTGCAATCCGCCGCTATTTATAAACCATCTAAGGTTAGTTGCAAGAGGTATCTTTACGGCTACATTTCACATAATCAAAGAAGACGTAGTATTTGTTCTAGGGGAGATAAATATATTGTACAATTTCAGCTAAGAGAAACCACAATCTACCTATTCTACGGGAGATAGGGACATACATGCCGAAAAGAGATATTTGTCTGAACTCCGGGCTGTTAGGTATTAGGGAGGTAATGGGTGGTGGGTGTAAAGTCAAAGCACCCCCCACCGCCCCTAAAAAGTAGATTATCAGAAATCCAGAAACCGACAAACCCCTAGACTACAAAAGGGGCGGGGAGAAGAGAAGAGGGAGACTTATTTGATCAATTAATTTTATCTATACTCCTCGCCTCATACACACCACTCTGTTGATTTATTTACCGGCAGAATTGGCTCTAGCCCAACGCCTATTGTTCTATTTAATTCCGCAATATAACAATATGACAATTAAAACACGTAGAACTATAGTTATATTAATTTCGTCCCAGATTGCCGCTCTATAGCTTCGAATCCTCGCTATTTATAATGATTGTATTGTTTCCCTCGGCCGGTTATATAGTATGATTTTCTAGCAAATAAATTAACGTGCAGTTTAGCGCCAGGTGAGTTGAAGTCAGGGACTGGGACGCAGTTATCCTGGGGTATGTTGAGGGGATACAAGCTATGGCTACTATGCTTGCGAGTAGTAACCGGAGTAGAAACTCGAGCTTTGTCTTGAGGCAGTGTAAATTCTATGCTTCCCGGGGTCGATGTGTCGTGGGTGTGGTCTCGTGCGTTCGGAAGAGGTGCTGATATTATCTATAGTGATTAGCGAAATAGAGGTGCGAGTGTGGAAGATTCGAGACTCTGTGTGGTTATTGGAAAGCGGTTAAAAAGGGGTGAAGTAGTAAAGACAAGGTTGGGTTTAACTGTTCTGTGGGTTGGAGGATGTCTTTAAATGAACGTTTTCTTTGTTTGCGAACAAAAGGAGGATTTCTTTGAAGGTATGATTGTATTCTTTAAGGGGCAACCAAGGTTCTCCTCAAATAACTTGCTTTTTACAAACAACGATGATAGTCATTAAGACAAAACGGCTTTTGTTTTGGGAGATTTGATAACAGGTTGGTAGTCGGTGATATGAGTACAGTGGAACAACCGCTTCATCTAGAGAGAGGCCGAACTTTGCAGGCTATTTCCCACGTTTAAAGTTTGTTTGTGGGGCGCTCGAGGCCTCGATCAGAATTGCTTAATAGCGTAGGTGGTTTAGGATACAGTGGGTTCGGCTGCGGCTGAGACAATTATACTCTCTGCAGAAGTCGTATCAGTACAGTTTTACGAATATCATTCAACGAGCTAAGGATAGATAAGTTTATATAAATTGTCAATAGTCTACTCGGAAGTAACACGGTACATATACTAGATTGCAACCGACGGATATGGGTTGCCAGTAAATGGAACAGCAAGTATGTATTAAGGCTATATGAGAGAGATGTTGGAAGTGTAATACAAGAGTTCCAATTTGGTAATACAATTCTATACTCTTCTCGTAGAAAGATTTAAGAGAGAAGACATTGTTATACTAATGGTTTGGATAACAGAATACATTCCTATGGATTTGCTAAACTACCTTGTACAAAGCTGTGTGTATCAATGACGCCTCCTACACTTATGAACGACGTGGTATATAAGCCAAATCAGACACAGAAGTAGGAAGAAACCTCCGCAGCCCAAGCCCATGAACTCAAAATATGCATTGAGACTCCCATCGTTGCGGGGAGCCCCATGTCCAATATCTCTTATACCGTAGCTGCTATTAGGATGGTTGCCAGCCGTATTGTCGAGGCTCGACAATGGGGCTGCTGACGCCATTGCGGCCAATATCAGGGTAAATAATATAGGGCGAATCTTCATTTCGTAGTTGACAGAGCAGTATGGTTGATAGGTTTTGATTCTCCAAAAAACCGCGATATAGATGGGGTTGCAGGACTGTTATAAGAGATATTGAATGAGACAGACAAAATGTGAATTGACAACGATGCGAGAAGTAGGGAGGAGGGTGGTAGTCGTTAATTATAGGCACGATTACCTTTTGTTCTATTCAACAAGAGAAAAGGACAAACTAGTCTTTGTATTTTGATGGAACTTGTAGTTGCGGTTGGCTTTACCGACTGGCTTTTGGAGCACACCGGGACAATTTCCGACGTTACGTACGAACAAGAAGTATGAATGCTACAATTGTATTTACTTGACAGACTTTATTAGCTTCGGAAGCTAGGGGCGCACAAGATCATATAAAGAAGAACCATTGTCATTATCTTTATAAGCTGAAATAAAGAACAAACGTAACCTAGGTGTAAATTATAATAGTAAGAAAACATAACTATACTTGCGTAATGCAGCATGTTCCGTATAGTTGACAGGATCATAGAATGTACCATTCTTGACGGGCTATCATGCAATATATTAAAGTAAGATAGAAGTCAAGCTATGCTTGCAAGTAAAAACTATTTAATTAGGTAATTTAAATTCCACTAATTAACCTTAACAGAGGTTAAGGAATAGATTTGCCACAAAAATAAAATTAATAGGGAGAGATTTCTTCTGAATTTCTACAAAATGTCACGGATTATGTACAAAGTGTGTCAAAACTGAAATTAATTTTAAGAATAAAAAGTGTTGTATTGGTTTATCATCGACGTTGTAAATCCCATCACATCTCGTCTTTATTCATCAATCTAGTCCATGCAAGTTAGAGCTCACTGCTACGCTTCAATTTGAAAGCCCCGCCTTGATAAATATGTTTAGTAGCCTAACAAAGAGCTTTGTTGCGGCGAAAAGGAAACAGATCTGCACAAGCTCTTGAAGGAAAGGATATCTAGTTCGGGGTCGGCGGCTCCAGAGTTGAGTTAGTTGACCGGGCTTTGAGCCACGTCTGTACAAGATAGTTACCTATGAGCAGCAAAATCACCATTCCAACAACACCCCCCAAAAATATATATATAACGACTAGGAATCGTTTGTTGTCCGTGTCCGTAGCCCTCTTGTTGATCTTCGGTTGGAGATCGGCCGGGTAGTTGCTTGCGGTTATAGGAGCCGCTGCTACAGTGGTAGCTAATATAAGCGTTACAAACATGTTCGCGAGTTTCATCTTGAAGCCAGCAATATTGAAGTTTTGAGAGATGGGTAACGGTGGAGCGGGGTGTGGCTGGCGGGATGGCGAAAGAATTGAGGTTATAGGGAATAGCGCGACAATCAAGGATTCAAGGTGAAGTTGACCGACGGTGCTAGCATGAAATAAGTAGGCGGAGGTTAATATATGAGCACGCGCGAATTTCTCTGTTCGAAAACTGTGTATCTGTGAGGGCAGTTTTATAGTGTAAGCTTACGCTAATGAAGATAAAGGACTTGTTATTGTTTGGGATAGAGAACAAAGGTCAAATCTATTTAATACTACACAATGTACACCTGCGCTAGACATATCTCATCTAATTAACTAGGAGGCATCCGTACGGATTATGGGCCTAAGGTCAAGGTAGTCTGCAATTAAAACGGGTAAAAAGGTATATTAACCTAGAATGTATCTAAGGGAAACAAAAAAACAGCGAGACCTCTGAAAAACGTGCAACACAGAGATAATAAGATTAAAAAATGAAAAGAGATGTAGATTTGCTACGACGTATGCATCCTCCAAGTATTACCCAGCTCTCTTAGACATATCGTTTATCTTATGGAAATTCGTTAATTAAAATACCTATCACCTTTTATACATCTGACCAAACCACAGAATAACATAAATCCGAAAATGGCCCCGCCGGCAAGTGCCACTAAAATAAGTGGTACACTTTTGAGTGAGGTGATTCCGGTATCGGTATCGGTTGTGCTTGACTGTGGATGGATTGTGTGGTTGTTGGCAATGCCTGAGTTGTTTTTAACCTCATCGGCTATTGCTTTTGCAGACACCAACAGGATGAAGATAGCGGTGTCCATGTCCCTGGTTAAGAAGGTTGATACAACTTGTTTAATATTTCCGGGACAAAACGTCTGAGAATGTAATCAGGAATAGGCTGGGGACCTCAGATGAGCTGGTAGCAGTGATAAAGATTGCGAGGACGTCGGGGATGGGCGGTTCGGCGACCGGGTTAGCGAAGTAAGTTATAAGCATAAGGAGGGAACTCTGTCCTATAAGTAGGATATAACAGTCGTAAAACACTAATTTAACAGAATCACTTTTATTTATTTGTTAGCTTTGTATCTATATCCCCGCCTTTGTGTGTATTGCGATGCAATAGACCTTATAGACTGCCTCCTTGTCTTATTCATAGTAGTGATGAAGACTCGCACCGAGCAATTTATTACTGTAGTTATGGCAAAACAAAGGTCATATAATGCCACCGAATCGGCCATTAATATAGGACCCCCTCACTGTGGGGTCTTGGGAGTGGGGGAGGTAATAGGGGCTCTCTTCTCGGCCCTCCCCCTTTATTTTCATTTTTTTTCGCTTCCAAAGTTCCTAACTCATCGTTAGTACCTCCTCTATTCCTCGCATTGAACCCTGTCCAACGGTGATATCGACTGTTTCCTCATCTCCGGGCCTTTATGGACTTCCTGAGTCGCTCATTGATAGCTATCTTCAGCTCCACCGCCCAGGGAACGCTGCGAACGCATCGCCAAACCGCCGGGCGACGCTTCACCGTTGCATATTGTACTAAACGGGTGGCCAACAAGCAACGTGATCTGCCTAGAACTTCACCTCCCGGTCCTTTTCACTTCACAGACCTCACAACCTCATCTTTACCATCTTTCCACGCTTCGCCTTAATTCCCTCCGCCATCTCATCTCAGCATCTCATCTTTGAGAGATCAAACTCCAACCCTGTCGAACTGAGACATCATTTGCAGCATGTCTTCAACAATGCCCCCAGACTCTTCATCCAAAGTAAGAAATAAAGCTTCCCTAATCTACTTTCTTTTAACCATAGTTTTCTACAGGAGCAACAGTTCATCACCATCCACCCGGACGCTGATCTTGAAGTTCGGCTTTACACTACTAAGGACGACAACGCCAATACTACCTTCAAAGAAGCGGGCAAAGGAGATAAGATGATACGTGGTAGAATCGTTGCGACTTTGAATGTTTCCCGAAAAGTCCTCATTGAAAATTCATCAACTCTCAAGGCCATGCTCTCTAGCAGCTTTAAGAGTCGAATCAAAATATCATCGATCTGGAGGACGACAGTGTGGTTGCTCTCGAGCTTTGGTTCCGTCGCCTCCATGATACCTTGACTGATTCTAGCTATGCGCTTTCCGTTCCAGAAATATATGCCGTCATCGAACGCAGTCACTACTACTTCTTCCATCTTGAAAAGCTGGAGCATTGGTTCGCCAAATGGTTCGTTGTCAACAAGGCAAAGATCAAGCAGATGGGTGTAAACAAAATTACACCGATCAGGGGAATGAACGAGTTGGAGTTGCTAGTTTATCCATGCCGGCAATTCGATTTTGCTTCTGGGTTTATCATGATAACTCGACGACTAGCATATGCAAATAAGGGCCACATCTCGCTATACAATCATAATCCAAAATCACGTCACCTTCAACTTTCTCCAAGAATCGTTGGTAAGTGCAAATTTACAGAGCCAAAGATTGAAGTCTAACATTTTACATATAGGTGGCATCAATGGGGCCAGAGCCAATTTAGCTCACAAAATACATGAAGGTTTGTATATCCACCATAAATTTATACATTTGCCGTGCAAGTGCAAGCAAGAGGCGATGTTTGAATACGAGTCTGCTCTCTATCATACAGGCGCGTGGCCACTGATGTCGAAGATCCGTGGGGTCGACCAGATGTCTGTTTCGGAGATACTCTATGCATTACTCGACTTCGACTACGAAGCTCCAGACGATGCCTGCAGTTATTGTTCCCGGGACTTTCTCGATGACGTTATGAAAGTCCGGGACGACGTCAAGGAACTGTTTGGTGGGTTATGTCTTGACTGCATCAAAAGCCCTATGCGCAAGGACAAAGCCCCACTCCTGTATGGTGAAGATCGCAGAAGGATATGGGATAAAGGTTGTCGCGAGCGCCATTCACAACCAACATGGTGGTTCTCGTGGTTATCTTCGGACCAGTTCGCTGATGTTCATGACCGAGAGCGTGATGAGCGGAAGAGGTTGGCAGCAGAAGCAAGACGGAAAAAATCTGGCTCGGGCACCTACTAAAAAGGAGTAGGAGAGTCCACCTACTATGTGACCTTGGGCTTGCTAGTTTATCAATCGCTGGAGATAGAGCTAGACCCCGACACAGCATATTTCTTGCTCTTTATTGGCTGGACCGTTGGATCACTATGGAGTGGTCGATGAGAAGTTGGATTTCCAACAAGGACAGTAGTAGTAGAGGAGAAATAACTGGGCCTTGGACAATTAGATAGTGCCGACTAGTGGCATGCACCTATCCCAGATCACAGGTGCCGCACCTGCTTGCTATCTCGCGAACGGATACAATAGATTGAAAGAAAACCTTTAAAGATATCAAGACTATCCGAATATGCTTCTTCAAAATATGACTAAATGTGAATTGCAATTTTCTTGTCATTCTAAACCTGCGCCTTTATCATACATGCTTATATTCGGATTTTGAGTGCGTAACTTTGAATGAAAGTACTATGGCTTGGCGCTCCTTTGACTAGGCAAAGCGCGAACCGTAATTCTAAATTCGAGGATATGGTGGTGGCCCGCATTATTCGACGGATATGTTGGTAAAGATCAAAATCTGATTTTCAAGTCAGAAAAATGAAAAGAATGCAATGGAGGGAAATGCGGACATTATGGACTTACATTGTGCCTCGTAATGAACGTTTCATGATATTTCCCCCCTGGCTAATCGACCTTAGGCCCGTACTAACATTTGAGATCCTTATTCAAAGCCCTCGAACTTTAGTGATCGTAACCGACGAAGCACCGTGTTTGGCTTGGCCTCCTTTCCTCCGTTGGAATGAGCTTCACAGACCTCCCCGCCCTATCCTGCCTGACGATCCATATCCATATTTCATTTAGACGGATGGCGATTACGTCCATGTCGTTTGGGTTTTCCATCGAGTGAGGAGAGTTGATGCTCTGGATTGCAGATAGCTATCCGTATCCTGTAAATGTCACCCTGGATCCTGAACCCTGCTCTAGATCGACCAGTAGGTACGAGTAACCAGCGCTGAAGAGGCTCGGCATACCCTCTCGCTCTAACCATTTGGTTTCCCCGTCACGGCTCGAGGTTTTCCAGTTCACAGGATCCGCTCCACGGCGACTCCACCACGCTCCATCCCACATTATCACATCCTGCCCGCCCAGGGACTCAAATTAACCTCCTGCCGTCTCCGCTCCGCGTCCTTCAGCTCCTTCAATTTCTTTTTCTCCTCACGCTCTGCATCCTTCCTTGCCTTCTCAAGAAATTTCTCAAAGTCTGCTGTCTCGCTGGACGTTCTTTCCGTATCGATTGACGACATGATGGTGCTTGACATGCCTTTGGAGCCGGCCATATCGCCCTTGCTATTGTGTGTTGAGTGAGAGCGCGAGTCAGAAGAGATGACGCGGGAGACGCTTTGTTTGGTACTTTTGGAGGAGGACTTGGAGCGCAATGATTTGAAGAACATTGTGACTCAGTGGAGGTTTATATTGGCCTTCCGGGTATTCAGCGATGGGCTCGGCGGCGCTTGTGGGATTGGGGAAATTTATTAGTGCTTCTAGATTCTAGGCGGGGCCTGGTTGATGCCAAGGAACCTAAGGACTACGGCTTCACGCGGAGAGCTCTTGTGCTTGTATCTTGCAAATAAAAGTAAAGATATCCAAATTGATGGGGATACAGTGGTTCTCCACGCTTGCTTCTCGGCTATATCCGATCCGACGGCGGGGTACGGCTATGATTTCCCTTGGACCTGAATCAACGTTGCGGTTCCTGAGTCTTGCGTCTTTGGTCCTTGGTCTTTGGTCTTGTTAAGTGCGTCTTGTTTGTGAAGTCTTGCCTTATTGAGTCTTGATGATTCTTGATATACGATACCACAGGATTAAGAGTAGGATGAAAAGGCGTTGATCCGTTTTTGGAAAATTTGAAGCTAGTCAAGCAAAATGCCCAGGCCAGGAACCCCAGGAACGCTGGCTCATCTTATACTCCGTATTCGCGCAGCGCTCAAGGCAACAATGGCGGGGAGTGTGTAAGACCAGTCTAGACGGTCAGTTGCACAGTCAAGCGACTACTTCCGTCATCGGGAAAAGCGCACCAGCATAGAATTCCAAGTTTTGCTAGGAGGTTGCGAGTCTTGTGGTAAAGTTATAAGTTAGGTGGCGCGGATATGAAAATTCTTGCACTGTGGTTGGGGACTGGGAGTTGAGCTTTTATTGATGGCGTTGGTGGCGACAGGGATCGCGACTTAAGCCGGGCTCAAGGAGGGTCTAGTGCTGGCAAAAGGTGCTGCCACTGGTTAGAAAGACTACGAAGTAGATAAGACTAGATATTGCTACGTAAACGCATGCCTAATTGGGAATAGGTTAATACCTGTATTGTTGTTATTTGTTTGCGCTAGGGCCCATTGTCATACGAGTTGTACGAAGTATTACTACAAATCTGCTTTGTACTTGGTACCCCTTTTCAGCTGGAAAAGGGGGTACGGTCACGTGGAATGCCGTGTATCCGAACAAATCAAAAGCAAGAGCCAAGAGAACAGAACTAAAGGAATTGCTGTTCGAATATTTCATTGGCCAAGATTAACAAAGTGATCATAATTGTCACATGTAGATAATACATACCTTTTGGTACTACTTTGTAGAACAATGAGATATGGTTGCCACTGGTAGGTAGTAGATATTAGTAATATTATTTAGAACAAAGCCGCCGCTCTGCTGATTTTAAGAAGTCGAGGGGGCAATCCTGTGTCAGGCTTGGCACCCACTGGGGCCATATGCTTGCACTAGATTAATCGTCCTTGGGCATCACAACGTATTATTTGGTCACTACTTGCTTGGCTATTATCTACCTAGTAGTTATAACTACTGTTCTGGCTTATCGCTGCTTATAATTCTAGTAGGTGCATTTAATGTCCACGGGACGTGGTGGCTATCTTTAGGTAGATCGACTTCCACATGGGGGCCATTTCAGAGGCGGGCTTAGGAACAGCAGCGGATGTAGGGTTTAACCGTTATGCCCAAGGTGACCAAAGCTTACGGAAATCGTGGAACTGTTAATACCTTAAAGCTTTCTACTTCGTGGCACATGCAATTTAAATAAGGCTCATTAGGTCAATCTCCCTTCTATATTTGGTTTAGGCTTGCTAGAGGCATTTTCCACATACTTCTTCAGACCCTCCTGCAATCTACTGCACAATAGACAGTATCGTAAGCCCAGAACACCGATTCGGCACATAAGAACTTCTATTCCTTCATGCGCCATTAAAATCGAGAGGATAAGAACTTTGCGATTAAATACTAGATTACAAGGCGTAGAGGCACTCGAAAATGCAGACAAAGGTTCCCACTTGCTCTACCCCGGTGTGGAGACCCCAGGTATCAGGCTCTAACTTTGGCCAACGCCCATACCTCGATACATCTAGACGAACAATCCAAAACACCCTCGCACCAGACGTTATCTCCGAAGTAAGAGAAGCCAATAAGTGGGATTGGGTTATAATAGAACGCGACGAACACCAGCGAGAGTTCGAGTGTAAATGGCCACTTCCTAGCGCGCTGCGCCTCGGATCTAAAATGATCCGATTAGACATAATTCCACAGGAATGGCTTGCCGCGTATCGATGAATGGAGCGAGCCCTTTGTTTTACAATAAAGCTACAGTCTTCAATTGGTTGCATTCGGCAACAGTCAATCGGGGTGATGCCGACGGACTTGTAGTCATAGAAAGTATTTGGAATACTTGGGCCGATGCTCTAGGCAGGCAGCCATAGTTCCAACTTGGCGACTTCTTCGCTATACCTGTAAGCGTTACGAAAGAAACGGCGAAGGGCCGTTTTAGAAATACTACGACCGCACAAGTACGTCTGTTCTCAGGTTCGAGGGATGTTGGAGAAGCGGGCTAGGGCCGAAAAAAACTCAAGATACTTCAGACTGCGGTCACTTTGTGAAGCACCAATAGCAGTCTTCGACGAATACAAATTCCAAGAGCATAGGTCCTTAAGGCAAGCAGACGGCCACCATCACTATGATAACGTTGCCCAGCACCAAAGCATTCTTTTAGTTCGAACTGGCAAAGGGGATGGGCTTAGCGCATTAATCAGCTTCAATGTTTTAAAGCATAAAGCATTGCCTCTTGCAAGAAATGAGGAAATGTGTATGTTTGATATTATTCATATCCCTTTGCAAATTGGCGTTCGTTTCGTCGCCGATCTTCTCCTCCGTGAAGAAGCTGCATTTCCTGAATTGGTTCTAGGAGGACCTCGACTATCCAAGGAACCATATCATCCATTTATAAAGTGCGAGAGAGAAGCGTTCGCCTGGGGAGAAAGCCGGTTAGTACGCGCACAGGAACGAGGGCAAGATCTCTTCATCTTCAACAGCGACCGATGTGAAGGAGAAAGTGCTGCTCAACAAGCAAGTCGACGAACACCCTGAACACTACGATCGGGCTCCTTTCAAGCTTTGCTAGGTCTGAATATGATGGTAGCTTGGTGATATGCCCTGAATCGCTCGACATCCGTCTGAGTTGCCTTGGCCACACCAGGAGGGGATCTAGGGTGGTGGTTGTGAAGAGCTTATCCGTCTCGCTTGCTGTGCTCTCCCGCTGCGGTACCAGGTTGCGTAAAATAACCAGAATGTTTTATAAACTATGCTCCGCCGTTGCGACAATCATCGAGGTTACCACAATGTAACTAACTTTCAAGAATCAATATACACAACATACCTCCATTAGCCACCAATAAATCTGTATCGAGAATCTCAGTAGTATTTGATTCTTGCGATTTCATTAATACTCGTGTATGTTGCGTGCCAGTTTGTCGTTGGTCCCGAGGTCAGAATCTGTCACCTGAGATATTGGTTTGCTGGAGTTTAATGCTAGAGTTTTCGGAGGCAGGATGAACAATGACTTCCAAATCAGATTTATCAGAAACTCGTCGCGGATTAATTCCGTCACGACTGCCAAGTTGATAAGTGCAAGGCCGTTGATTTAGGGCAGAGGAATATGAACTAGATTAGGCTCTTCGAGTTATTGACTCTATAAGAACCTAGCGAATACCGATATTAACAGGATCATCAGGGACATTATTTATGAAATTGAGTTCAAGTACTTAGCGGTAACTAAAATGATACTTGAGAAAGTGTAGAAGCCAACGATAGTTTTCGGACGGCGTACATCTCCACCAGTTTCTTCTGAATGTCAAGGATCCAACAAAAGCCTTAATTTTGGATACATCCGTAATCCCAGCGAAAATCGGTAAGATGACTTTATTTCGTAGGGGAAAATTAAATCTTCATTTCAAGACGCTCACTTGGTCCGCCCAGGGTTATTCCGCATGCAGTTTCCTATTTGTACTAGAAGTAGGCAATATTGGGCGACCAAAAAGAAAATATCAGTGAGACAAAAATTGCTGCTACAGAACCCACCCTGGGGAGTCCTGCGTTGACATTTTCTAAAACGAGATCAAACGAAGAGGGAGTAGAGGTCATAATAATATTCCGGGTATCTGAATTCGCATCTTCACACTTGCCGCTATGTTAGGTCAGGAAATTATCTTTCCTGAATCCCAGATCCACTCAGCTTGCTAACATGCGTCGTCTCCCATAGCACTCTGGGCAGCTAACATTTGCGCCAACGCCGTGCATAGTAGCACTTGTGGTGAACACCTTGCCTTATACAATATCCACGTGGTGTGTATCCCGGTGGTTGCCGAGGACCGGTAGTCATATTTCATAGACTGTCTTCAACCCCCATATGATGTCAAGTATGCGTTCTCAGCAAAGGGCGCTTGAGTGTGGAACACGGCTGACGAGTCACTGGGTTCACCTGAGCGAGGTGGGGAAGAAGAATCCATCGTTTTCTCGCGGTCATACTTTTGCAGCGAATTCGATTCCAATTTCCGACAGCCAAATGCGACTTGGACTCCCAGGAGAATTCGCCACTTTGCGCTGAAACAGGCAGCTCGACTATTCGACACAGGTAGCAAAAACTGGGATGGGGTTCCTTTTCCCCGTTCTCCTCCCTTTCGAAAACTATTCTGCGGTAGTTGCGCTTCTCTTGCGATAATTTCCAACCATGACGGTGACGCCATCCTCCGGATTTCCTCTTTCCAAGGCCACGCTATGTCCCCCCTATACACATCACAATTTTGCCAGAACCAAGCCCCATCGGGATCTCTAATAACAGTCCAGTAAAATGCCGTTTGATGTGGCTTTTTGCAACTTCACTGAGGAGAAACGTTTCTTGCTTGGCCGCGGCCTAAACCTCGGATATCGGTAGATCAGAACGAAATAATTTTTCAAATGAAACAAATAGCTAACCACCAAGTCAACTCTAATCTGGTAGCTGGCTAGTACTGACTGAAGTGTTCAGCGGCAAATTCCATGTCCAATAATGGATCGGTTGCATCCCTTTACTTGGGACCCATATAGCTAGCCAAGCAAAAAGTGTAATACAACTAGGGCAATTAAAAGGGACCAAAAAGGAAAAAGCAAATACCATTTCGGGATTCCGAAATACCGAGAAGCCTATTGTTCTAGCCCGGGCAGTTAGGAACCTGTTAGTGAAACTGGTTGTTTCTGGCAGAACATGAGGGCCCTATTGAGATGCTAACGAGCATTTCCATTGCGCTCAACACTCCGTACAACTAGATGATTTTCGTTTCATTGGTGAGCCCTGCTTCTGCTTCGCCTACACTTGGCGCGTATCCAGATGATTCGTCAAGATTCCTGGTGGAGCTTGTGACGCCGGCGGTCGAGATACTGACTAGGTGTACGTTGTGATACGTGGTACTTCGTACTTCGTACTGGGCTTGATTAACTTGTGCCACCAAACGGGGTCGGATTGATACGAAGCAGCGGAGCACGAATGTTGCTTCCAAAGCCGAAACACACGGAGCAAAGCCTCACCAGAATATTCCCGACGCGGCTTGATATCGAAGTGCATAGGGGTGCACCCTCCACAGATACGAAAGGCGTCCGCCCTGCATACTGGAGTCGTGTACTCCATCATTATTGTTCGGCGCAGAGTGGAAAATTCGCAATCCCTTGTCGAAGCTGAAGATGGACACCCTTGCGAGCGGACACCGATACAGCCCTGGCCCATCATCCAGCCCTGATCCAGCCCTGATCCAGCCCTGCTAGCAGCGAGACCAAATCAACGATCGACACTCCACCAACTCCAGCCGTCAAATTAGACATCGATCGCGCCCTTTTGGGCCGAAACAATAATCATTTCCCCCTGTTTCCACGCGTCACGTGGGTGCCACGACGCAGCAGCGTGCGCCAAGAAAACATAGAAAATGCAAGACAAACCTGCGTTTTGGAGCGGCGACGAGAGACGGGCATTTGCACTTGCACTTGCACTCGCACTTGCATCTGTACTTGCACCTGCACCTGAAACCGCTCCCCCTCCGCGCCCAAACTGCTATATAAAATAGCTAGTGCGTCTTTCATGGGCTGAACGCAGCATCGATATGGTACCTGCCAGTCTCGCAGATGTTCTCCGAGCCTTGATCAGAAGAGACCCAGGAATCGTGAGTCTTGATCCCCCTTCACATCACCTGGGGGCGCGGAGGAGGGCATTCGTCAAATCCACGCCGGTCTCCAGTCTCCAGTCTCCAGTCTCCACTCCAGACAAGAACTGATCAAGTCCATCGCATCACCAGGACCCCAACGCAAGCGACCCTAGGGTTGGGTCGGCGCGCGACAATGGCACCTCGACTTCGGCCTTGAAGGCGACGACGGAGCCGACCAATTCGTCGTCGTTCTCGACGCTGTTTACGACTTTTATTCCCATAGCAGTTTACGCCGTGATTTGTTTCGTTTTATTCCTGGCCCTACGTCGCAAATATCCGCGCGCGTATTCACCAAGGGCCTTCCTCAGCAGCCTGCACCCTTCGTATGTCGCTGTCCCCCAAAAAGAATTATTGGAGAGGGCCAATTCGAGGGAGTACAGTACTCCAGCCAGCCACAATCTAACTGAACCCATAGTGAACGATCGCCAGAACTGCCGTCAGGATGGTTCAATTGGATGAAGCCATATTATCACATCCCGGACTCCACTATCTTAAACCACTCATCCCTCGATGGCTTCCTTTTCCTCCGCTACTTGAAAATGTTATGTGTGATCTGCGCGGTTGGATGCATACTCACTTGGCCCATCCTGATCCCTTACCATGTGTATGGCGGCGGAACCAACATCCAGCTAGATCTTCTGACCTTTGGAAACGTGATTCATCCGTCGTGGTTCTACTTGCATGCGTGCATAGCTTGGATATATTTCGGTATATCATCCTGCCCCCTGAAAGAAAGGTTGCTAACTTAGGAAGGCTTCATCCTCTATATGATCAGTCGGGAAAGCGTGTACTTCATCAATTTACGCCAAGCTTATCTTATATCGCCGCTCTACGCAAACCATGTCTCCTCCAGGACCGTTCTATTCACATGTGTCCCCCAGCAAATTCTAGATGAGAGAAAACTTCGGAGAGTCTTCGGAGATAGTGTGAAGAACGTCTGGATTCCTCGAAATACCGAAGACCTTGATGAGCTTGTTAAGGAACGTGACCAGACTGCATCTCGACTGGAAAAGGCCGAGATTAAGTTGATCAGAAAGGCCAATGTGGCATATAGAAAGGCGCTTAAAAATGGGCACCCTGATCTTCCCACAGCCACCGAGACCCCCACCAGTAGGCTCTCCAAGGAGTCCAAAGTAAGCGTGACTCAACAAATTTCATCCTCGCCGCAGAGCCCAGTGTCACCCGAGAGCCCGTCGTCGCCACGAGAATTTGTCCGTCATGATGGAACGCCAATCATGAAGACAAACTACGGTTTGGGGGGACCTCCTCCTGACATTAATGGATCAGTTGCAGCGCAGTGGATCCCTTATAGCCAACGGCCGATTCATCGGCCGATAGCAAATTATGGTAGGAGAGTCGACACTATCAAATGGACGCGGAACCGCCTGAAAAAGCTTGCTCCAGAGATTGGCAAGCTGCGCAACAAATACAGGAAGGGTCAAGGGCCACCTCTACCCGCGGTTTTCATCGAGTTCCAAACTCAAACGGACGCCCAAACCGCATATCAGACACTCACTCACCACCGCGCAAATCACATGAGACCGGAAATTGTCGGTGTGCGACCCCATGAGATTATTTGGTCCTCACTATCTCTTCCGTGGTGGGAAAGAATAATTCGCCGATTTTTAATACAGGGTTTTATCGCCCTTATGGTTGTCTTCTGGTCGCTTCCAGCTATTTTGGTTGGTATAATCTCAAATATTAAATTCCTGACCAGCAATGTTCCTTTCCTCAGCTGGATCAATCATATTCCCAGTGTGATTCTCGGATTGATCTCTGGGCTGCTTCCTGCCGTTGCACTGGCGTTGTTGATGGCGGTGGTTCCAGGGATATTAAGAGGTTTGTCGATCGAAGTGGACTAGGATCCGAAACTTTACTGACAGGTTCCAGCATGTGCGAGACAATCTGGAGTTGCCACTGAAGCTAAGGTTGAGTTGTTCGTCCAAAACGCGTACTTCCTCTTCCAGATCGTGCAGGTCTTCCTCATTACGACCCTTACGTCCGCCGCATCTGCCGCCATTCTAGATGTTATCAAGGACCCTCTGTCAGCTCGAGAGGTCCTATCCAAAAATTTACCCAAGGCTTCGAATTTTTATGTATCGTACTTTATCCTCCAAGGACTGGCGATGAGTGCGACTAGGATTGCTCATATCCTCAGCGTCTTCCGCTATGGTTTAACAAGCCCGGATAGTGTGAATCCAAAACAGAGATCCGCTCGTTACCACCGACTGAGAAGGATACACTGGGGAGCCGTGTACCCAGTATTCACCAATATGGGTGTTATTGGTACGTGCAATATTTAATGCTAGGACCATGCTTACTAATTTTCTTAGCAATTTCATACTCCCTCATAGCACCCGTTGTCCTAGGTGTCGCTACCATCGGCCTTTTCCTCATCTATCTCAGTTACAGATATAACTTGCTATATACCTACTCATCCGAACGCGACACTCGAGGATTGCATTATCCCCGAGCCCTCGGACAAACCTTAACGGGCGTTTATCTTGCTGAGATATGCTTAGTCGGTCTTTTTGGCCTTGGGGGCGCTTATGGACCCCTGGTTATGTCATTTGGTCTCGTCATATTCACAAGCCTCGTACACATCTCCCTCAACGATGCGCTAACCCCACTCCTCTACAGCCTCCCTCGAACGGTGGCGGCCGAAGAAGCGCTCCGGCAAGCCGGCAATAATGCTGTAGATTCTGCAAACCTTCAAGACAAAGATGATGCACTCGAAGCACATAACGCCGAGTTGCGACAGGATCATGGCTATGATTCTGATTTTGATCCTTCCTGCCCAATAGATTTAGCAGTCGATCACGGGGAACAGACCTCCAGGGCTGTCGAAGGCGCAGATCGTGCTGTCAACCTTACTACAACCACAGTCACCTCGTTCGCCCGGAAGAAGTTCCGCGCATCACCGATTCCATCTTTCATCTCCAAGATCGACTTCTGGACGCACTGGATTACGCCCGACCCCAACATCAAACCTAATTTCCTGCTCAAATTTCTACATCCGGAAGTCTTTTGCGATTATCACATCCTGCGAAAGCAAATCCCCGAAGATATCTATGAGCCCACATATGAAGACTCGGTGCTAAAGGATGCGTACAGCCCACCTAGTATGCGGAATCGATCGCCAAGGCTGTGGATTCCTCAGGATGCTGCAGGTATCAGCAAGCAGGAAGTCGCACATAGCGGAAAGGTCATTGAGATAACCGACCGAGATGCTTGGCTTAATGATAAAGGGGGAATGGATGTGGATGTGGATGGGGAGGTTTCAAGATGGGTTGTAAGAGATTGGGAAAAGGTCAAATTTTAATTCCCCTGCTATGCTTTTTGTATATTTTGGAGCGAGGATAGTTAGGGTGGCAATCTGATTACAACTGGGCGCTTATTAGCTATGTTTATGGCATATAAAATAATATCTAGGTATATACCATTTATCCCCGTTTCATAGCCTCTTCTGATATCTCCTCTTGACCAATTCTCAATCCTCATAAGACAACCCCTTCTTCTCCACGCATCAACCCCCAGTACGGCACGCCCTCCCTTCCTGTCCACCCACCATCCCACCTTCTCTCTTTTCTCTTCCTCTCCACAAATTCTTCCGCGCTCTGCTTCATTTCCCCCCAACCCCCTTCCATACCGTTAATCAACCCTTCTTTCCTCAGTACGCTCAACGCATCTCTCACCCAAGTAACACAATTGAACTCCTTCCCCTCCTCCCCCTCCCAGGTCTGATAAACTCCCACCCTCTCCCTCATGACCTTTTCCGCTTCATCCAAACCACACAAAACCTTGCCCACTACAACAAGAACAAGTAATCTTCCCTCCTTAGCCAAGTCATCTATGTCGACACCCTCGAAGCGCCATGGACTGGATACCTGCCCATCCTCTACCATTAAGGTGTTCTTCACATGAAACTTAAAGATGTTTGGGCTTGGCAATGATTTTGAGTTTAAGGAGCTGAAGATATTGTTCTTGGTTTTGGTTGCGGGATCCTGGAAGCGGGATTTTGGCACGACGAAGAGGGCGTAGTGGTATGTTCCCGGGTGCTTGGGGCGAGAGTAGAGGGCTAGTGTTAGACGGGGCTTATTTTCTCTTTTGTTTGGTAGCATCCTTGTATAGTGCTGACATTTAGAAGGTTTAGGGTTCTGATGATCGAAGGAGTGACTTGCACAACGGGAGTGACATAGAAAAGGGGGGCGGGGAGGAGCACGTGCCGTGAGAGGAATCCGGTCACGTGAATATTATCGGTTATACATCGGGTGTATAACAATGTCCGCTTTTGGAGAAAAGTTCCTGGAGCTTCTTATCGCGATAAAAGACTCCGTATGGAGTCATATACATGATAGTTTTGTCTTGGCTTCGACCATACGATTTGCGGGCGGGATATTCCAACCACCCAAAGCAGCAATTTAATCCCCCGGTAAGCATGCGGATCCAATGGAATGGGAAGGGAAAAGGGACTGGGCAACAGTTCGTTCGTAAGTGTAGGTAGGAAGGTAGGTATTTAACGACAGCCCAGCCCAGTAGAGGGGTCGATGTCGTGCATCTTTATTGCGAAAACGAGATATTTCCAGATTTGATCTATTCCGCGATCAAGAGTATCACCCCGGTAAACTTGGAAATTGAGGAGTGCTTCGAGATAAGGAAAAAGGTTCGTATTCCTCAATCGTCGCCTCAAATTCCTAATATCCAGGGAGACTATCAAATCTAAGTTACTATTCTCTATGTTAGGCTAACAATGGGCACCTTGCTCAGTAAAATCAAATCACTCAAGCCATCCGAGAAGCCCACCACACTTCACCCTATAATGTCTTTTACACACATCTCCAACGCGCAAACAACGTTTAAACCTCCGCTTATTGCCAACGAAAATGCATACCTAGGGGACATCGCCACTTCTGAGTCGAACGATCCCACCTCCCCTATAACTGCTGGTTTTTACAGATTGGAGAAAGGAACACCACTTGTTTATGAGTATACATATCATGAAATGAAAATCATTGTCGATGGGGAGTTTGATATTGGCGATGAGACGGGACAGAAAGTTCATGCAGTAAAGGGGGATGTGTTTTACTGTGAGTACTTAAATATTTTATTTCAAGCCTGCAAACTGTGGATCCAGAACAAATTGGCTGTGGATATATGCTGATGAATATCTAGTTCCTAAGGGAAGCAAGATTACGTTTACCACGGAGACATTTGGATTGGGATTCTTTGTTGGCCAAAGAAAGGTATGTGTATTTCGAATCAATCGGTGACTATCAGTTTCGAGAGTATGGCTTGCTGATGAGCGCTCACTAGGAGGGTGCTGCATGAACATGATCAATATCTTGATGCAATATTTAACAACCAAATAATGATCATTCAACTTCCGCAACGGGTCCACTTCTTTCTATACCTTGTTTTCCTTCCTTCCTCGGCTCTTTTATTTGATTAATTTCCATCGTACCTTGTCCGTGTTACCTACTTCAATTGATGCAATTCCACCCTGAATTTCGAATCCCACCTATTATATAGCTCGTTGTACACAAGTGTGATCCAATGCATGTGAGCCGCCTGGCTACGTTAATACATTACTTAGCCCAATACTTCAGGCCCGTCTGGACCTAAATTTGACTAGGTGATCTCCAGTGCGCTTCCCCACCTCGCATATACAAAACTCATGTGAAGTATGTCGCGGACCGCCAAGCCGACGCCATGCAACCCTGGAGTCATGTTCCGTCATCTATCATCGGTTCCCGGCATTGAAATTGCGGGGTAGCAAATTTGATTAGAGATCTTTGGAGATCTCAGGAACGGTGTGTCCGGTTACTTCGCCTATTGGCTGTACGGCCTACCATGAACTATTCCCAGGCTATGGGAGTAGTTGAAACAATTTGAGGCAGATCGGATACGACTTGTTCTTCCGGAACAGGGGGAGGGAGAAAAAGGTATAAAACTCTGTCTTGGCGAACAGTAAGTCAATATTCTGAATATCAATCTCTCGTTTCTATATTGTTTTATTAGCATCGATAGCTATGGGGATCACCGCCCTCTACTTCATTTTGGTGGCTACTACTGCCTCCCTAGTTCTTGGTCTAAATGGACAAGCTACAACAACGGTGTGCAATACTTCCCCTCAGCCCCTAATTTTCAATTGGATTCCATCGTTCCTAACCTGGAGAAATAGCGCTATTATGATGGTTTGAAAGGAGCATGTGGCTGTGGGCCTGCGAGCGGGAACTCCATGTTTAGCTGGCAGGTAAGATACTACGCGATCAGCCCTCCCCTATTCCATATTGCCCTCTCTATAACAACACACACTTTACCTATCTCATCACGCACAAGAAACAAACTATACCTAAACTCAAACTAATTCATAAGCCAGAGCAGCATCGGTTCCGGAGTTTATACAGCAGCCGTCTCCCAATCGCTCTACGACCCCTCCGGAAAATCCTGGTGTGGCTCTGGCTGCGGGACATGCTACCAATTAACATCAAAAGGCAACGCTCCCTGCAGCTCTTGCAGTACTGGCGGTGCTTCTGGGCAGCGTATCATCGTCATGGCTACCAATCTGTGTCCTAATAATGGCAATGCGCAGTGGTGCCCTGCCCCTGGTGGACAGAACCAGTATGGGTTCGGATATCATTTTGATATCATGGCTCAGGGGCAGGTACTGGGTGATAATCCGGTGGTGGATTTTCAGCAAGTATCATGCCCGGGGCAGGCAGGGAGTGATTATAAACAGTGCCAGTGTGCCAGTGGTGGTTGAGTGATAAAGGTTCGAGGGTGGGGGAAGTAGGGAGACAGATAAGAGAGGGTCTAATGGCGCCCTATAGAAACTCAAATATTTTATCCTTGTTCGACTCGGTGTAGGGTATTGATCTTGTAGTTAGTTAAATTACTATACGTACATGCAATTCCGCAGCGGTCATGCAAGTTTCCATTCCTCTATCGAGTATTCCGAGGCTATATATCTTTTTGATATTCGGTTGGTTTTATCTGCCAAACTTTATTTACTCTACTATTGGGGATATATTATAGTTTATTCTCAAGTTTCTTTGCAATTTCCGTCCCATCTTTTCGTGGGACGCGCCGATCCAAAATCCTTTCTTCGCCAAGCAATTGCCTCCCTCTCCTTTTATGTTATAGATATTCGACTCCTCTATTAATATGGTTTTCCAATACTACTATCTTGTAAAACGGCACAGAGTATCTGTAAAAGAAATATATTTCGTCACCTCCGCTATAGGCGCAAGTTCGATACAACTACGATCTCAGACCAAGTGTTGGCGAAATATCTCGAGCTCTACCTACATAATATCTAAGGGCATCGATGGCTCTCGAGCTAGTCTTCAAAGTTTATTATTACTACATTTAAGAAAATTAGAGATAGTATGTATGTAGAATCCATGGAAATATGTTTATAAAATTAGATATTTATCAAAACTCGGATGTTCGTAACATTAGTAAGATTTCCGCCCTCTTATTATGTCCATGTTTTTGTGTATAGTAAACCAGTGCAGGAATAGCACTAGATTATTTGCTTCGGTGCTACTTAGGCATGTCCTTCAGTACCGAATAGAGGTCAACACTAGATTTTACCCTTCTATACGAACTACCATGGTCTTCCCCCATTTCCACCCTATCACCACCAGGGCTACTACACAGCCCACACCTCACCAATCCCTTCTGTGCCTGTAACCCGCCCATATATGTGGGCTCACTACCTATTAGACTCTAATAGGTAATTTTACCTTCCATTCCCATCTCCAAACTCTACCCTGCCACACCGTATTATTCTTTACCAGCCTGCACCACATAACTCGAAGTCGCTATCGTCCCTTATCAACGCCGGATGCACTACGGTCCTAGCGCTCCTATCGTCTTTCACACCACTCGCCACAGTGGAAACATCCCAGATTCTAGATCATCGCCGTTATCGTGAAGATACGGGTGGAGGCAGCCATGCATTTGCTACGTCTCACGGTGTTTTCGCACCTGTTGCACGCAAAGCGAGTAGCCTATCCTCGCAAAACCGCACGCACGTAATATAAGTATATGACTGTAACTTGTGGAAATGATACGCACGGCGTAGAATAGGAATGCCGATACAAACCGCTACACTCGAATAGCAAATCACACAACAGTCTTGGGCGTTCCGACCCTCTAGAAACATGACCTCCACAAGGTACTTCGGTGTTATCGTGGACCCGAGACACTCCGCTCCTTTTGCTATGCCTGGCTGCTAGAATGAATACTATGTGTCATCGAAGTCCTAAAGATATACATATACATATATAAAGGCAGTGCGTGGAGTATGGAGAGAGAGTATAAACCCGATATTAGAATTTCTTGTCTTTCGTTTCTGACTTTCTGAACGATCGGAAGTGCATAGAAGTTGAAACCCGCTTGCGGGGAAATTAAGTACCAGGGAATGATGTACTCGGTAACAAGCCAATGTTTCTTTTTGCCATTCTATTGGGACATCAATAGCTAAAAGTCTGTGACTACATCACCGAAAAACAGTCCCAGCCTCCCGCCAACCCTATACAAAATTAGGAACTGTACTCCACACTTCCCTGCAAGCGATCCGCGGCAAGAAATGGAGCAAAATGAGCGCGCGTGTTTATCCATCTATTACATCTAACAATATTCTCCAAGCCACTTACAGAGGGGAAATTAATCGGTAGGGGGGAAGCACAAAGATTGAAGCTACAAACGCCAGGACGCCATGCACCAGACGCCACGCTGAAAAAGCACCCAATTATTCATCAAAGCAACTGGCAAACCCAACAAGAGCGCGCGATACCAAAACACACACGGAAGCATAATTCATTAATCAAGGGTTGGAAACCTGGAGGCGGATGCAGATGGGAAGTGAGCGAAGAGGGTGGCCCCCGAGTGTGGTTTTTGAGGAACGGAGGGATAGGAGGCGGTGATTATCCAAGGAGTACTATATGATTTGTTAGATTTATTGGAGCTTTTGGATAGCTAAATAGGTAGTTTTTAATAGTGAAGGGGTGTCGCAGGCGAGGGTCGTAGGTACGAAAATTCCAGCTTAGGATGGACGACTTACCTTCCCATTTCCAATCTTTCATAACGCCTACCCAGTGCATCCTCCCTCTGACCGTGACCTCTATATCCATTTCTTCCGTGACCGGTTCTAACCTTCGTCTCCATGTACCTGAAAAGTTCCTGTTCAAAGTAGACTTATGTCTCTCGGACTCGTTCCTACTCAGCATGGTCGGATCCAGCATATCTGAACATGAAAACGAATCACCACACAACTCCAAGTCATCCTCAAGCATCCTCTTGCTAGCTTCTAGTCGCATAATATTACTGGCTCCTGACGATCGGTGTCGGTTCTCTTTTTCCACATAAGCTGCTGCTGCGGCATCTCTTCGTGCCCAAACTTCCTGCATAACCTCCCAACAACGGTCAATGTTTCCAATCCACATTCGGGCAGCCATATTCCGCCAGCGATCTTCTACCCACTGACGGTCTTCCGCGTCGTACACTTCACAGCCTGCTGCCAGTAATGGATATATCTGGACAATGACCAGCCGGCTGCTTAGAGGCACTGTTGCGAGATACACAAGAACTTTCTTTGCCAACTGTGCCGATGTCAATGATGGAATCTCGGGTACGGCTTGATGTAGATAGAGCAGGGTGGCATATCGATATGCTTCGGCGGTTTGTAAAGCATGCTGGATTTCGCTGGTGGGATCTTCAGGGCGCTCGAAAGTAGTACTTGGAGGTGGGCGCCATTGCTCGATACTTTCCTTCAGTTCAATTGCCTGGCTGACTATCTGAATGGAGTTTGATTCCACCTTTCTGACTTTCCGACAAAGATTTGCCACGCGACCAATGAAGGGGAATAGCGTTGATGCACATCCCATTAGCGGATCGATCTCGTTGGTGTTTGGAAAAGCTGGTAGGTTGAGCTGAGTCGCTTGATCGAAGCCATTGCTGTCATCGTTATCCACCGAAGTAAGACGTGCAATGACATCCATGTAAATCCATGTATTACAAAGAAATCTCAGGCGCGCCAAGTCGTCCCCTGAAAGATTGTTCTCTCGTAGACAAACCAGTGCTCGATTGACTAGAATCCTCGCGCCTCTCAAATGCTCAATTCCAGTACTGATGTGCTGGTCCCACGATTCGGAGAATGCAAGGACTAGAGTTGTTGCCAGAGCGGTATCAGTCCGCATCTCTTCAATCCCACTTGCGAGAGCAACAATACTCTTCCTCATGTGTTCCATCCCATCGACTCGTAAAGCCGGCATTTGCTTCGAAGTATGAAATGCCGTCATCGAAGCAATTGCATGGTAAAGGGCAGGAGATTCTCTTGCCAGAGGCCAGATTAATGTACGCCATGGATTCTCTGTCGGGCCGTCTTTGACCGACAAAATGCCACATGTCTGCTTATCGAATCGAAGCATCAGAATTTCTGAACTTCCAGCTTGAATTTCCGGTTGCATATACAATTTGAAAAGAGGCTCATGGAGCGCCATGACTGGTGATGGCGATGGGGTTAGTGTTGCTGGAGAGAATGGGTAAGGAGTAGGAGCCCACAATGGCGTCCACATTTCAGAAATCGAAATTTGCTGCTCTCTAACAATATCCTCGATACCTTCATCCAGTGCTGAACCATGCATATCTTCGATTCCCGGTAGGGGTTGATTGTCCACTGGGGACATAGTCATTGCTGGTGTTGGCATGCAGGCCGGGGAAATGGATAGCATCCTAGGTCTTCCGTTGAGTTCGGATCCCGGCAGCACAAGATCAATCAATTTTGTAAACTGGCCATAGAAAAGTGGCCTAGGTACAGAGTCTGAAAAATCCATATCCGTGTCTTGCAATAAGTGGCTCAGGCTGGCCGCGAACGACTCGTCCTCAACCGGTGGCCCAGGCGACCCTCGCAAATTTGGGGATGCTGGCACATCAGATAAAGACGTAGGATCGAGCTCAGGCTGTGGTAGCGATGGAAAATCTGGAGTAGTCGGCACTGCGGCATCGACGAAGGAATCTATCGACGTATTATCTACTTCTACCTTGCCGTCGGGTGTTGAAGACGCATCCGATTTAGGGGTTGGGGGTGAGATGACTGTTGGCGCAAGATTTGGTGGTTTATTCAAATCAATAACGTCTGGAAACTATTAGCCATCGAGGACATACAGAAAGAGCGCATCCCTACTTCTCTTCGACTTCGACGGCACCGTTTTGTTTGTGAAAGTGGTCTCCTCAAAAGGCCTCCATTTGAAATCCTTCTTAAATCCTCCACATGTAACGCTCCTCTTGTGACATTGCTGGCACGACGGCTTGGTCTCGTCGCATTTCAGTCGCTTTGCCTTACAGGTAATACACCCTAAGGAGCCGCATCCTGTCAGCGGTCTGCGCATGCTGCCTCATGACTGACCTCTAAAATAGGATATTCAACAGATCAGAGGACTATACCATTACGACTCTTGGATTGTTTAGGCTTCACTACCCCCGCCTTGGGCTTTTGTGTTCTGGCCGACGGATTTAATGACTTTTTTGGCTTGGGTTTGGGAGGAGGAGGAGGAGGTTCAGGGGCGGGTTTGATCACGGGTGAAGAGAGGAATGCTGAGGGCGATGGTATTACTATGGTTTCCATCTCGATAGCTTCTTCAGGAGGAACATTGACGACGGCAAGCTCTGCGGCAATGATCCCGATGGGTGCGCATGTACCTGGTGGTGGCCCTAAAGTGCGAAGATGAAGTTGTGGATGTGCTGTCGAGGTGACATTGGAAATATTACTATAATTTTCGGGAAGGTGGGTGGGCTGGAAGGAGGGGAGGGGAGCATTGATTGGCGAGCGGCTTCCTCTATTTCGTGCAGACGGTTGCTGCCATAAGGAAATGTGGAGAAGACGGCCAGTTGCCAGTCGCCAGTAGATAGAGGCAAAGATAAAGATAGAGATAGAGAGAGGTACCAGTGCTGCTGGTGGTATATCACTGGTGGTAGCGCTGCTGCTGCTGCTCTCCTCTTCCTGCTCCTGTCAGAGGTGGCCCCTGGTCGGGCGTGGTATTTCGCAGATCTCCCAGAGGCAGCCCGCATCCACTTGGACTCTGTGTAGTGTGTCTAGACATCGTATCGGACCTTCTCGCCCAGGATCTCGCGCCCAATTTTGACCGCCTTGGGGACCTTTGCAAGCTTCCCCGGGCTTGCCAAAGAGCCTCGCCTCATCCCATTCCAGCTGCTGGCTCTTCACGCGACTCACCGCACGTGTACAGCACCGCAACGGGCTTGCATCCGGATCCTCTGCCTTGGCCGCGCTCCCACAGGTTTCGCCTTCACGATGCCATTGGCGGCGTGTCGTGGCTTCAGCGACCAGAGCTGCAGTTGCGGTGCTCCGACTGAAGGCGACCGCGAACGCGCGATCCCCGTCCGTTTGCCGGCAGCTGGAAGCAGTGATTCGCGGGCGTTGAGCGGGGAGAGATAACTGACGGGTTCATGGATGAGCTACGGCGAGAGGTCGGCATCGTCATGCGCTGGGAGCATGACACGACAGGCGGATGTGTGAGGGTGAAGGTGAAGGTGGGAGGGAGTACTGAGCAATGCGCTGGGAGTGGGAGGGCGAGGGCGAGAGTTCGATTCCGAAGCATTGGCGGCGGCAGTGGCTGGAAGCTGGATCATATGATGCTTTTCTGATTGCGTGGCAAGGCGGTCACCGCCCGCCGCGCAAAATATGATATGACGAGAGTCAAATACCAGGCCAAATATCAGATGTCAATGAGGGATGAAGAGGATTTATTCAAACAGAAAAGATGAATTCCACTATGGACTGGTATATAGGGCGCGAGGGCTACATAGCCAGTTACGCACTAGTACAAAAGGAGACGTGAGGTGGAAAGGTATATCACGTGGTCCTCTAGATGCTGCCATCTACAACTTCCACTTCTACAAACCTCGTCCGCGTTGTATGCCACATCGTTATATACTCGACTATGCTTCTTTGTCTTTGTCTTCCTCTTCTAAACTCCTTAGGCTAAAGGACAGCTTCTGGAACACCTATATATCCAAGCTAAAGTGGGCTGGAACCTGGGACACTCGCACTGAGTGCGCTCCCGTAGTCTGCCTCGCGCTTGTCTCCCTCTCTCCTGTCTCTCTTCAAAACGACTAAGTGCAGCACCTTGTCTCCCTATATACTCCCAGTCCCGCTCTTTCGTTTGGAATAATGACCGTCTCACCCTCTATTTAGCCACCATCTGGCATCTGCACACTCTCCCGGCCACCAAATGTCCCAATGTCCCATGTTTCGAATCAAAGCCCCTGTGCAACAGAGCGGCTCTCTGGGGCCTGATCATGTCAACTTATGGCTACCTATTAACTACGCTTGGCCATGCAGCTTGCAACGGCATACGAGTATTGACCGATGGCGACATGCACCCAGCTTCTGACTCCTGCTTTCCCCATGGCTCCGACCTTCATGGCATCATGCACTTCTTCCACTGAGTCTCTGCAATGTACCGGCGCGACCCTTCGCTGTCGGTGCAGCCACCTGTTGCGAGTCACCAACGTCTGCGTTTCTTTCCACAGGACATGCCCAGAGGGCGGATCTCGAGATCTTGACAAGCGCCCTACTTGCACGAGGATTTCACAATACACAGGAATCGCTAGGCTCGGATTCTTCAGAGTAGAGACCGTGATTACACCATGACCGAGCAATCCGGCATGGTCTAGCATTTCGAATTCGAAAATGGTGTGTGGACGAAGTACGTACGAATACGTAAGTCTGGCGCATTATTGGACTTGGAGCATTATTTACCAGTCCTGCATATGGACGGAGGATATGCCCCGTGGCTTCTCCGTGTAGCGTGCACCGCCACATGTCCTCGTTTCGGCTCTCTTGGTCCAAATCTCGATGAGACATTCCCCACCTGTCTACGAAGAATGTGGTTAGGTGATAGGGGCGGGGAGGAGCTGTGGAGGGATATCCCAGCCTGCTGACGATCATCTTGCAAAGCACCCCGTCAATGGCCAAAGCTCCCCTGCCCCAGTTTCCCCTTGCGGGTGCTACGACTGCCGCCCAGCCTTGTTTATTACCTGGAAGTTGGCCAACCCCATTCAGGGGTTCAGAGGTAATACGATGTCATACGCCAATGGCCTCCCAAGGAAGTTGAGACCTGAGACCACGGAAACTACTAGATTTCCAGATTCAACCAAAATCTAAGACATAAAAATCATACCGAAAAGAAAAGAAGGTGTCGTGGCACACATGACTAGGCCTCATGAGAGATAGGCTTGCAATCGGCCAATTCTCCTATTCCCTTCGTTCCTCGCCACCTTGAGCTTTGATATATACCTCTCTAGGTCCCCTTGCCCAACATCTCAAAGAATCCAGCTGTTTCACTAACACCGGGCTTTTAAAAGTGACGCGATTCTTTATGCCGGAGCACACTGTGGCCCATCCGCCCCAGCCGACATCTCCTGAAACCCAACGTGTGCTCGAACTCCGGACAGTCGTCTGAAGCGAATGCTGCTTTCAGAAATCAAGATTCCACTCCCTGCTTGCTGCGTAAATTGACCTGCTTGCGGCCCCTGCTACTACTAGGCGTCCTAGACAGCTTATTATCCAATCTTCACAACGAGTACGCCAAGCACCCCCCGCCTTTGCAACATCGACCTTGTTTCGCCGCATACTACGTATGAGACTCCCATACCCCATCTTCAAGCCTCCCTTCTCCTCTCCAGCGTCAAATCCAAACTACCCAACTCCCATCGCCCTGCTGAGCACTTGTTCGTAATTGTTACGGATAAATGATGGATGGGATTCATTTCACAAAAACACGAGGCTGGTAGTGCCCGTTCATTATGGGCAACGAGCAATCCGCCCCCAGCGCGAGACGACGTGCCCAGAATAAACTGTCGAAACCGAGAACAAACACAACCGGAAACCTGTTGAACTCCAAAGGCCCAGCAATCTCGAGTCGCCGGAATCCCGGATCCAACAATCCTTCTGCTACAGATTTGGGATATAACTATGTCTCCCGCGAGGCCGGGAACGAGGGAAACGATCGGACACGGTGGAAACGGATCAGTCTCTTCAGATCAAAGAGCATACAAGGACAAAGCCAGAATCCAGAGATAGTTGCTGGCCCTGACACCGAAATTGTCGAGCGACTTCCTCTGGACAGTCGTACTCGCAGACACTCATCCGCCAACTCTATTACCCTTCACCACTCAATCGATGATTTGCACCAGTAAATTTCCCCTCCCGCCCCCAACCCCTCCCTTTGTACGACGCATTCTTTAACTCTCCCAATTAGCAGACCTCCAAATACTCGTATGTCCTTGCAGCACGTCCCGCACACGCAGCATCACCCACGATTATCACTGGTCGCCGAAGTCCAATTGACACCCGCCGAGAAGGTAGAGTCTTTGAAAGGAGTCTCTTTATACAGCCAGGAGGAGCATTCCCAGCTTTCGAATACGCCGCTACCGAGAACAACGTCGGATACAACGTTATATGGTCCTATACGGCGCCGGTCATTGCAGCAACCCGGGGTTGCAACAAGGAGGAGTTATATCGGGGATGATTTCCACCAGTCATTACCCTCTGAATTAAGAAATGGCAGGAATGACTCTCGGCAGTCATTGCCCTCTCAATTAAAACGTGCAGAGCAACTGCAGGACTACTATTACCACCCTGCGGTGCCAGCTTCATCTTCAATATTAAGTCAAGGGGTATTAGGACAACAAATAAGCCTGACTGCTCCAGGACAGCGAGTACAAACACCAACCGATTTAGATTATGGGCATATTGGCGCATTCAAGCTCGGCTCGTTAAGAATAACCAACGGAGAGGCTAGCCCAGATCTCAGCGACGGGGGACTTACCGGCGCCGAGGAGGATTATTTGACCATGGGTAAAAGAAGGCGAGGAGCCAGCCGACAGCTTGATGTCAGCCAGGCCAGACAAGCACTTTCTTCCGCAGATAATACCACCAAGCCAGCTTATGCTGTTCGAGCGGAATCTCCATTGCGACAATCTCTTGAAGGTGAACGCAAACCGTTGACTATTGAGACACAGTTGACAGCTCTCGATCCATCTCTTGGTCTTTTTGATTTCAAGAATAAATATTCCCCAGGGAAAGCGGTGGAAATGGCCAATGATTACGCGCAGGAGCTAACATTAAGTCCATTCTCCTTCGTTGCGTCACCAACTGTATCTCCAAAACTGCAAGCTACAAGTAAGCATATGGCTGTAGAGGATGATCTGTTTGAGCTGGAACCCATTAGCCCAGCGCAAGATGTCGCTCGAATTGCCCCAAGATCGATTGATTCAGGATATGGAGGTGTAGGCGATTTGAGGAAGAGGAATGGACCACTGGATGTGGCTTCAAAGCCTTTGGCCAAGGCGGACAGTGGATATAGTTCGATTATTTCTTTGAGATCGCTCAAAAGGGACGCAGCACCTGCAGTTCCTCCAAAAGACATGCCCACAGTTCCAGCAAAATCTCCCGTTTCCAGAGTGGCGGCAAGCACATATTCTACGTCGCCAGCCTCGGAAGTAGCACTTCCCACACAACCATCATTAGCAAGTATCTATCTCCAGCCGGAAACAACTTCAAAGCCATCGAGAAATTCCTTTGTAGCGCCTCTCAAACCATATATTCATGAATTAGAGACTGGTACTTCTACTTTACCACCCCAAAAGCCCGAAGTGCGAACTCATATTGGGATGTTGGCAAACCCCTTCCGACAGAGCTTACCTATCACCCTCGATGCGTCCAATGGACTTCCATATTACAATGATGTGTCCAGTAGTTCCAAGATCTCAACGGCAAACGCGGAATCGCAACGACGCATCAATAAAATACAGAAACCTCGCCCAGAATCCATTGCTACTCCAGGGGGCCCAAACTTCCCTATTCAAGCAATCAATTCAAGCAGCGGAAGACTGAGTCTTCCTTCTATGGCAAAAAAAGCGGAGCGAGTTCCTGTTGGAAGCTTTCCCAACACCACAACTAGCACCATTGATCTCAAACGAGCACGAAGCAAAGATACTCTAGGGACTATTCTATCAGTAGGAAGCGCCGAAGTCCGGGACGAAATTAGTGTTACCAGGCTGCACGGTGAGCTACCGCCTATGCATGGAACTATTCCGGAATATTCGACATCCGTTCCCGAGTCGAAATCACTTCCTTTCTGGAAGTCGTTTGGGAGCAAAAGAAGCTCAAGCCAGACTAAGCCAAGCTATCAGATTTCTGCACCAAGTAGGGTTGATGAGGAGCAGAGCAATTTCGAAGCCCACGTCACCTCAGTCCAAGCGGTCGCATCTTCTCTTGGAAAATCTTCACATGACATACCCCCTTACCCCACAGCCATACCTAGCGGCTCAGTTACGAATGTACGACCCAGATCCATGACCTCTCAACTCGAAGCAGACGCTGCTACCCGTTTTCAACTTGCTCGCAGTGCATTCCAAGAGCCGCAAGGCCCGAATGTCCTCCGAAGCAGAAAATCTTACGACTCAGCGCTAGTGGGTAATAGACAGTCAAGGACGTCAGCCACGTCGTCGAGCAATTCGCGCGGATACCCACCACAATCCCACACAAACAGGAGCGCTCGAAAAATACACTCCCCAACTCCCTTTAAGAGCCCAGTCTCACAGTCTTTCCAAAAGCAAAGTGTTCAGAAAGCAGATACCGCAGAGGATTCAATTCTTTCACAACAAACGAGACAGAAACCACCCCCGCCAGTGTCTATGCAGACCCAACGCCAATCAAGCCAGACTATTATCGATAGTCATACAACTGCACCACCATTACGCAAGCCACCTATAGCACCTGGCCCGGATCGAGCACCACCATGTGCGCCTCCAGATTCGTCTTCAGATCATAATGAGGTGTCCGATCATTGGGCTAAACAGAAAGATTTCTGGGCGGAGAGAAGAAGATCGGCAGAGGTTGTTTTGCGAGCCAAAAAGAGCATGGAAAGCATCCGAGCAAGGACCGCCGTAACTTCGTTTGACTCCGAAAATGAATCGAGATTGAGTGATGGCATGGACATCCGACGATCAGAAAGCGCGGGACCTATTAGCGGAACAGAGCCTTTCGAATACGGGATGACGGGTGGGTATAGAGGGGTTGATCAAGCTCCCCAGAAATCGTGGATTGGACATTCCACTGGGCATCATCGCAGGCAGTGGCAAGAACGGGCGGTCTCGGAGACATACCACCATACATATGGCTCTTCCCTTGCCCCGGCCCAAGATTACTACCAACATGGCCCAGAGGAAGATTACTTCCCTGCAGATGACCAAGATTACGATACCCAAATGCCCCAAGACATTCATGCTAGGAATAGCTCGACCCACCAAATGCTAGGCCTAGACCCGTACACCGGTCCACTTGGCTATAGCTATCAATCTGGCTACGGCCTGGTGGGGAGTGCGGGCACCAGAAGTGTAGGGAATCTGGCCAGTGGCTGTGGCGTCGATTTAAGCCATGCCCGCAATTTCCTACAGAGAGTGAATTGAATCATAGCGAATGGGGCACGTGATAGAACTGCAGTCGCAACGGCACGGTTTTCTTTGTTTTTTGATACCAAAATCACATTCGGGAGCCCATTTAGTAAGGATGATACCATTCTGCATACGGCATTTTGCAGCGATTTATTTTGTATATTTTGGGCATAGGGGTGGCACATTGTATTTTATGAACAAGCGATAAATTCCGCATTAAATGGAAGGGGAGGGGCAACTATGCAGGTAATATATATGAAATGAAAATACAAACCTTGAGTTCTAAACAATTCCTATAAACCTAATAAGTTCATATTATATTACGGGTTATCATCTACGACAAAAGATGATACGTTACTTTGCTGTGTTACGAAGCTGTATTTTATACGACTCTCTTCATGCCGCACTTTAGTACTTCGATCCCTACCTTTTAAATTAACCTCTATAGCGATGTAAATGATACTAAGTTTGAAGGATCTAAGTCTTACCGCACAACGTTTGTGCCATAGATACTAAAGGCTACACTAGGGATGATACAAGGTGGGTACTAAGAAGTAAAGATATTATAATATTCGCAAAGGGGAATGATGCAATACCTAATAATAGTATGTCCTCCCTCCTGAAGGTTTCCGTGTCCCCACCCCTTTTTACCCGCGCACAGACCACCCTAAAGCGGACATCATAAATAACCTGGGAACCTGCAAAAAGCTTAATTTGATACAAGAAAGAAGCTCTCAACGAATGTATAATTTCGCTATAGGCATCACCACCTAGTGTTACTACGCCCTGTTTCTCAGCATCTCCTGAAAGCTGGCATTGGAGTCCTTATATATTTAGCTTGACTCGTTGATGCTCAACGAGTCAACGAATGACTATCAACTCATCATCACGCCGCCAGGAAGCTCGGTCAGCCAGCCGTCGAGATCATCCTTGACTATTCGCTGCTTGGTACATTGATTACCCTGTTGAAGCGACTGTGACTTCAGCACAGGGCAGTTGATGTTGTTTCCAAGGAGGTCGCTGTTACAGTTGGCATCCATGGCCTTCTGGAGGGCGTCACCCTTCCAGCCGAAGATGTAGTCACCATGATTGCCATAGCCCGTCTTATCACCAAAAGACCAGACAAAAGGTTGAGAGCCATCCGCGGGCCATTGTGACTTATCGTTGAAGGGCGAGGTATCCCAAATAGTCTCATAGAAAACTTGGGGGATTGAGACGGGGTGAGTGGATAGGCATCTGTTGCCAGATGGGTACGCGACGTGGCTTTGGTGGTTGGGGCTGTCCAAGTTCGTACCATCCCAACAAGTTGGAAATCGGATGCTAACCATGATTCCAACCTTGCAGGTACCAGTTGGAAAGTTGGTGGTCGAGCCGCTTCTCGTCGTGCTAGTTTGCAGACATGTAAAGGTGAGCATGGGATACTGCTTGATTTGAGCTTGAGTTCGGAAGGTTGGATCTCCAACGGTCATGCGGAAACCTGTTTTGAAAGCAGTAACCTTGCCGCTTGAGAGGTAGTAAACGGTCTGGCCCCCAGCGGCAGCGCCAAATCCAAGTGGATTGCCTAGGGTTTGAACACGTTTAAATGTTCCGTTCCTTGCGCGGAAGAATAACGTAGCGGTCCAGTAGTTGGAGAAGTCTTCGGCCGGGGTGCAACTGGTACATGTCGAACCTGAAGGGACGTCGTGGTCCATGCTGGCATTGAAGCTATTTCCTCCCACGATCTGGTGAAGATGCGGGGATCCGACCACTCCGGGATTGCACGCTGGGCACAAGCTATATGTTAGAAGTCTAGCTCCCCTTTTGATTCAGGGTTGGCTTACGGATCTAGACGGTCGACAACCAGCTGTGAGCACGAGAAACGAAGTGTTGCGCCGGCATTGACACCGGGCATGATGGCCACGGCCGCAAGGAGCAGTTTCCAATACATGTTAGACTTAATAGCTTTCTAGTAAAGTGATTTATCAAGTATCTCAATCATTGTTAGTGTTGTTAAGTAGTATCAAGATGCACTATAAATGCTTGGCTCCGTGTTGGATATATATATAGACAGCTATAGAATTTTACCTCGGATTGGAGATCCGATACAGTAGTCTTCCAAACGCTAAATATCTTGATTTCCGACGATTCGGCACGTTTCTTGGCAAATGAGCTTCTATCTCTCGGAAAATATTTATAATATAATTAAATTATTTCGGATACTGTGGCAACCAATCAGTAGTATCCCAGGCAAGTGCCGGCGGTCTCGTGGATATCGTCTAGTATATGGAGTATTAGGCTATGGGATTTGTGCAACCACAATTCCTGTCTGAGTAGCACCCCGATTGCCATGAAAGTTTCTACGCCAGTGTTCCCTTGTAGATAGCCCAACTGGCCAGTAGCTTCGCATGGACCTTTGTCACTTGGCAAATGATAAGTTATTCTCTCCAAGCGTTCTATTTAATGTGCACTATGGCTACGAATAGAATGTCTTCTTGATTCGTCCAGAGAAATGTTTGGTGCTATGTTTGGCAGGCCACAGTCACTGGAATAATATGGCCCGAAGGCCTTGCCTATTCCCAGGCCATGTTGTTGTACAGAACGGACTGTTCCTTTCTAGCCGAGCGCTAATTGCCCCACGTGGGAGGTGGTTAGAGGGTTTCTAGATGATTGGCATACTTCTAAACAATATGGGTATCCAATGCTCCCAGGCTGCAAAAAAGTGTGGAGAGTAGAACAAACCAGTTCCGCGTATAAGGAATGGAGGCTATGCACCAAAATACCTTGATAAGCTAAAAAATACAAGCCAAAATGGTCGGCATTACTTGAAATATTTGACTTGATCAGAGTCATTTCCGCCACGCTTCAAATCAATTTATCCATGTTAAAGTCCAAATTTCTTTTCCGCATCGGAATGGCACAACCTCAACACTGTCATCTTTAGATGTAACCAACTCCGGTACGGTTTCGCCTCGCCTTTCTAATTGGATACGTGACTTCAGGAATTCAGGGATCTGGTAGAATGCTCCGCCATGCTTCGACAGAAAGCTTTCGATGGCTTCCATCGTGACTTCTTTCTCAGTGATCCATCCGTGATCCAGCCCCTCTTCCAAGGCACCGAGTACAAGAGAAGTACGCGATCCTTGGGTAGGGCAACCTGCAGCGCCATCTTCATTCTTCGCCTGAGCAGGATGTGGCGCACAATCACTCCTTTTACTGGCTTTAATCACATATAAATTGTTATGCGGAGAGACTGGGGGCCACTTACCAAAAAAGAACTTAGGAGAGCCTTCAACTACTGCTCTTACAAGTGCGATGCGGTCGTCAAGTGTCTACAATGCAGTTAGGCGCAGGAGCTAATATACAGGGAGGACCACAGTTCAACCACATCTTTGGCAACAGGCTTGCAAAGGTTGAAGCAATCTTGCTCGGCGTTTTCGGTAGTCATCCGCAAATGGTGTGCTGTGATAGTCCCTGCAACCTATAGTATTTATCAACCATACTTATGCCTTCTACTTTAGACTGGCTAAGGGGTTCTCACCGTTGGTCCGCATTGACGGACGGCATCCAGTCCTGCCCTCGTACTCACGTGTTCTAAGACGATGCGCAAGCGGGGAAAAGCGGCATGCAATTTATGTAATTGAGGGAGAAATTTATGCTCAGCATTTAATGCCGTAGTGTCTGGAGATGAGGACACAGCCTTCCCGTGCAGGTTTAAAACCATATTGTGTTCCTGCATCGCCTCAAAAATCGGGTAGTATTGCATAATGTCTAATACTCCATTGGCTGAGTTGGCGTGTACCTACTCCAATAGTTAACGCTGTTTCGAGCTTTCACGCCATGACTCTTCGACAGGGAACTTTTCAGTCATACACCAGCTGGATATAATTTGATCTAGGGAGAAGTCAGTATAGTGCTCCATCTACGCTCAGAAACTCACCCCATAAACTTCACTCGTCTCAGCGGCATGAGCGATTAACTCTGGGGTCAAAGTTGGATTCAGAAAGAGAGAACCCAAAAAGATTACGACGGCAGCCGCCTTTAGTAGTTTTTCGTCACCGGAAAGTGTAGGTGCGACAGTGGCAATCGGCGGCGTAAGATTTGGCATGGCATATACTGTGCCAACCCTACCATCCTTGACTACAGGTGTGACGAGGTCCCTTAACTTGCCATCGCGGAGACGGACATGGAAGGCTGCCTAAAGCACCAGCTCTAGTTAGCAGATGTCAAAGTCACCAAGTGATTATGGACTGAGGGGAAGGGAAATATGCATTATTTGCTTTTCATACCATAAGAGGCAATTCAAGGGAGCCGAGCGATCTCAAGTCCATCTTGTTAATTGTATGTTATGATCAATATCAGTCATAAATAATTGGTTTCAAGGAGGACATAAATACACCAACAGAGGATGAAGGGCAAAGCTTGTCGAGGCGTGAACAACCCTGTCGGGTTGAGCTTGGCATCAGGGTGCCAGGGGCTATGCCTATTTCGTCATGAGCAAGCCCCTCTCATGGATTACGTAAGTATAGGGGTTTGCTTCGCCAGTGCACCTCCAGGTTACAGGTACTTCGTAACTGTTCGACGCGACCTTCTGAATGCCCTCATCCCCATGCGTTAGCGAGCATGGATATGCACAGCGATAGACGGACATGCCTTTTGAGCAGGCGGGCTTGTGTTCGCTAGCAACAAGAAGCCCAGAGCGAGACTTGAAGACATCAGCTACGACGACAATATACGTTACGCGGATCGAGCCATCGGCCACCACCAGGCCGCCGCGGCCTGCTTGCTCATCCTCAAAATACCTGCCCATACGGAGTAGTCGACGCGGAGACCTAGCTTGGCAACTTGCCCACGCTATCAAAATACGGACGGCATCGAATAGGGACAACCTATATAAAGTCGTCGGATTACAACCCATGGGTATCTATACGGAACTTGCAATCCAATACAGAGGATATCCATATCAAATTGACATTTAAATCTTATACAATCAACATTGATCTGCCTTCGCATCTTCCAGAAGGGTATCCGTTGCCTTCCCACTAACCATAAACGTTGCCACAACAGGGAAAACACCAGGAATCCTAGGGAACGTGCTCGCATCAACAACCCTTAGTCCAGCTACGCCGCGCACGCGGAACCTCGAGTCCAGCACGGCATTCGGATCATCATCAGCCCCAATGGCGCACGTGCTAGTTGGGTGGTGACCGAAGGTCTGGGCGGTAATCCAATCTTCATCGTCCTTTCCACAGCCTCCATTAGCATCTAGAGTGCCAGAACATGGCGGCTCCAAGACCTTGACGGGTCCCTGAGGTGCCTTGATAGCCCCATAGACCTTCCGAGCCCATCCAATGGTATCTTTCATGGCGCCCATATCAGTTTCCTTCCCCTCAGCGTATAGGTTGAAGTTGATATCGGGCATGTCCTGTGGATTGGCTGAACTAAGCTTGACAGTTCCTGCCTTATTCTGCGGATGCATCTTGACCATCGACATGCCGTACGCGCCGGTTGGATCTCGAGGTAGAGCAGCATTAGCTTGGTTCGAGGGCCAGAAACCTCGGAATACAAATGGGCCTTGGAATACAAACATGTCGCGCTCGTCGAAGGCTGCATGTTTAGTTTTGAGCATCGTACAGCCACCGGGATTTCCAAATCCGCTCTGACCGAACTGGCCAACAATGGGCATTTCCTGGTTGTCTTGTAGGTTACGGCCTACGCCAGGCGAGTCGACTAAGACCGGGATGTTGAATTGCTTCAGCTGGTCTGCGGGACCAATCCCACTTAGCATAAGTATTTGGGGAGAGTTGAATGTGCCGCCCGACAGGATGACTTCTTTCTTAGCCGTGGCTTGCCTGATCGAGCCTTTGCTGTTAGGATTATGCCGGGGATCAGCGCTGTACAATGATTTCCCGTCCATGATTTCTATGCCGGTGGCTCGTGGCTTCGCCGTACCACACGCGGTATCATTGCCAAAGAGTACCCGTGTGGCAAGAGAATTCATCTGCAAGGTCAACGGGTATTTCTTTGTTCCGTCAGCATTGACGGCATTAAGTGTCTCGACGATGTAGTCTCTGGAGCTAAACCGTTGGCCGTTGGACTTGGTATGTGAAGGCAGCCCAAAAATCCCCGTAGCCTGATCTCTGTTGGTAATCAGGCCATTTGGGTCAGTATTGACATAGTCAACCACCTTGCTCGGGTCCTTGCCAAGTGAGGATGCTACGGCTTGCATGGCAACGAGACCTGGATTGGTAAGGTTCATGGGCTTCGCCATGTTGGTTTGAAAGTAACCGTCGAAGCCGTGACCAGGGGTGGGATTTGGGAGATAGTTATTGTGTTCAATTCTCTGGAAAACCTTGCGCATGTTGTCGGAGCTAGGAAATTGTGAGCAATCGCTACCAAAGGTCTCGCACCGATATACGGAAAAGCCACTTACCTCCAGGAAGTATCGCCCGTTATATTTACGATATGGTTCCAGTCGCTATCGCTGGGCAAAAATGTGACCATCGCATTGATCATGGACGAGCCTCCTACAGTGCCACCACGAGGATAGTATACACCAAGCAGTTTTGCGCCTGCAGGCGGATTGTCACGCCCCACCCAGTATGACCCGTCTGTGAGTCGCCATGTCAGATGGCTGTACTTCATCTGACGCTCCGAATCCTCGTAGTGCTTGACGAAGAAGTCCCACGTTATTTCTGGTGGATATTGGTTACCACTGCCACCCACGCTCTGGTCTCCTCCTTCAACCAGCAGCACTGAGTAGCCTGCTCTCGCAAGGTTGGAAGCCAGTGGGCCGCCACCAGGCCCGCTGCCCACAACAATGTAATCATATTCATCAGCCGCAGCGGACTGGGCAGAAGAGATCGGGGTAGAAAAGCCTTGGCCGGCGAGAAGGAGGATCGCGAGGGAGGCCACTTGGAAGACCTTTCCAAGAGTCCCGACTGCTCGAATTGATGACCCCATTTTGCAAATCCAACAGACTTGAGCCTTTGTGTCGAAATAATCGATAGATGTTTAGATGGGCCAGGTTCGACCGGTATTAAATACGATCGATTATCCCCATACTGGCGCTCGAATACAACTGCCGGTGGTGAACTGCTTCCGTTTCATTGACCATCATATTTGAGGGGTTGCTTGAATGTTTGCCAAGAGACTCGCCAACAGCGCCGTATATATCCAAATTTGATGCCCGGAGTTAAATACAGTTTGCTCACCCCTCAAGGCCGCCAAGATGTTTCTTCAACCACTGACGTTCAGGGATCGGCAGCGTATTAACAGCGCGGAATGGCTAGAACATACTCCATACTATTTGCCTCTAGTGCTCTATGCAATCCTAGCCCCAAAGACTGCTCGCGCATTAAATAACGGGTTCAATATAGCTTTATTCACTGGAAGTGTCATAGCCGACCAATTTGCTCGAACTCATTCAGCCTCATTTAAGCGTTAGATAAACGAACAACATCAAACAGCTCATATAAATGTTTATTTGTAGACACAGCGACCGCGCGGAGTTGGCGTCTGTGCTATGAGAAGAAAATAGTAATATTTCTCTGATACGTAATAGACACACTAGGAAATCGCCATTGGCTTCATCTTTATCCCTGAACTTTCCCCAATGTGATTCTTCCGTACAAACCACACATTCAAATAGTGCCTAATTTATGGTAGGATTGGACCATGCCCCTGACGATTGGCGACTCCTTGTTCATAGCCGAAACCTCCGGGCCACACACCACTTGGCCGAGCATATATTGTGATTTGCTGAACCATCTCATTAAACATCGCAACTAGCATGCCAATAATTATTAATGCACCGGGCCATCCCGGCAGTCCGGGGAATATAAGGTTGTGGCGATTCACGCAGAGGTAATATCGACGACAGATTTACGATCGTCCACTTATTATGGCCAATCTGATTGTTGAATTTATGCAGATTTGGATTTGCGATAAATTGCAAGATTCCCAAGAGCTTCGATGCTACCTACGGATTTAAAGAATGGGGCCAAGTGCTTCCCCATTCTTGTTTATCCGGCGGGTTAACATCTAAGCAAGGAGGTCGTCTCTTGGCACCAGTCAACATCACAATTTCAGTACCGAGTACAACTTGGGATCCCACTTGAGACCAGCTCTGTATTTAACCTTAAAACACACAATCAGGCTTGACATAATACGTGCGGAGCACAGATGCTCCCAATTGCCTTTGCCGAAACTTCACAAGCACTATTTGAGGATCAAATATTTTGAACTTAGCCAAATGAAGAGAACTGGAGATTAGACGGCTGAGCACATACTGATGACTAGCAGCGCAGCAAAATTCTTTAACGGGAATTAAGAGATACATAACACGAATAAGAGAACGCAAAATGATGTAGCGCAAGGGTGGCCACTTGGGTAAAGAAAGCTTGTTAGGGTGGCATAAAAACGATATAGTGAAACATAGCAAAGCCATTATTGGAAAGACTTCATCACCAAGGACCTAAGTTATGCACCTACCTAGGTATGCATATCTTAATCGTCTAAATGATAGTGCTTTCTCGAGTGTATTCAGACCCTTTTGTTATGTTTGCGTTATTTTGTCCCCGTTCAGGAAGCATTTCCCGTGACCAAGTGGAAGCAGAGAATATGGCCACATGATCATATCGCAGAACTCTCATGGCTGAGAGAGTAGGGCTTACATCCCAGAGGTCCGCAAGGAGGTAAAACACATCCGAACGGTAATATGGAAGCTATGGTTGGAAGACAGCGAATTCTCGGCCCCAACTAGTAGAGGTCATTGAGAACCATCGCATAACGACATGAAGCAAGTCGCACCAATGCCCTCTGCACCTAGTCAAGTGATACTTGCCGACCGACCAGCTAGTTCATTCATACGAGATCTGAGTATATCAACAATGTCCATAAAATTTGATTTTCAGAAGCCCGTGTATGGTTTGGGAACATGCTGGAGCAGCGGAGTATGGTTGGGTAGGAAAGGCGATGGTAGGCTCTAGTAGGGCATTCTTGACGGAAGCACAAGGCGACAGTTGAATGGGGTCGTGGTGGGTGCAAATGTGGTTGGTGGGCAGCTAGCTGTAAAGGCATCGGTTTGAGGAGCACAATGGACCGTAGCAAGCTTCGAGAACTCCTTCGAGGAGCGGATTTGAGGCATTCGAGAAGTATAGGAGAATGTTTGACCATCGTAGCGTTGGAGAGATTGGTATCAATGAGCGATCGAGACTGCGCTATCCTTCAAATGACTGGAGCTTTCGAAACCGTTTCCCGGTGCTCTCGGTATGCCTTCAAGCTCTTCCGTATCTACCATCCCTCCGCAGCCACATATCGTCTATAGCTAACATGGCTTCAAAGTATGGACGATTCTGTAAGGGCTGTAGCTGATTTGGTGACGATCGAAGGTCGAGGTTTGAACGCTACATTATGCAAAGGTGGTTTTTATTTGATACATTATTCGAAGTATTCAAGGTCGGGAATCAGGATGCACTGTCACCACTAGCCTCTTACGTAAGGATCTGCGCGATAATTTTTGCATGCGACACACCAATCACGATGACGACGGGGGGGGGGGAGATATAAGACAAAGGCTCACTTGACCCATGACTCTACAGGTGCCATATTTGAACTCGACTCCTCTCATATCTCCTCTTCTTTCTCCTTTCTTCTTTCCTTCATACCGGCATGTCCACCATGTCTTCTGCAATTCCTGATGCTTTATACACCTTATCGGGCCGGTTAACAGCCCAGGAGGCCTTATCAGGAATCTTCGGAAGCGTCAGTTTGGCAACTTGGATCTTTCTTCTGGTGCGTGATGTTTAGATAGGTCGACGATAGCTTTGTCTAGCGTGTTCTAACTGTTTGTTAGGTCCCACAGTTGATCTTGAACTACAAGACGGGGAGTGCTGAGGGCATTTCATTGGCGTTTTTATGCGTGTGGCTGGTTGGTGATATCACGAATCTTTCAGGTGAGTGCGGCTTCCAAGTCTCAATCATCCCAGCCCCTACAAAAATGTCTCTACTAGGCTAGAGAATGATTTTCCCTTCTATGTTGCGAACTAGTCTCCGTGGGTTCCAAATCATCTTGTTCACGTGCTGACATGACGCAGGTGCGATTTGGGCTGATCTGGTTCCGACGGTTATCGCTCTCGCCATCTACTTCTGCATCGCGGACTTTGTTCTCATCAGCCAAGTTCTCTACTACAGGAGTGTGGTTGCTCGGGCTAGAAGTTCGTCTATTGCTTCGGTCGCAACTGAGCATGAACCCCTCCTTACTCGGCGACGAAGTAGTGACTCCGTCGGTCTTCCAGGATCTCACCGACGGAGTTCATCACCCCATAGCGCAATTCGCCATAGGCGTGACTCACTCACTAAGATTTTGGAAGAAGATGCCGGAGATGGAAGTGTCTGGCTGAGAAATACTATTAGTATTCTTGCTGTGGTCGCCGCCGGTGTTGCTGGCTGGGCGATTGCATGGCAGTCGGGAGTCTGGAAACCTAGTCCCGATGAAGGGGAGAATCCTGCAGCCGGTAAAGAGGCTCTTGGTGCAACGATTCTGGGATATACGAGTGCTGTCTGTTACTTGGGTGCACGAATTCCTCAAATTATCAAGAACTATAGAGATAAGTCATGTGAAGGTAATAGTCACATCTCATCAATATCCGTTCAACAAAATCTAATATGGCTATAGGTCTTGCTCTTCTCTTCTTCATATTATCATTGGTCGGAAATGCAACCTATGGCGCCAGCATTCTTTTCCACTCCCTGGATGAAGACTACATACTTACTAACCTTCCTTGGCTGATTGGGTCGTTGGGGACGATGGTCGAAGACGCTGTGATTTTTGTACAATTCCGCATGTATGCTCTAAACATTGGCACGTCTGCTGTCGAAGAATAGGGGGCCATCGTACCTCTTGGTCTAAAGTCAGTCTGAGAACTCGGGGAGAACATAGAAGCATAGAGTACGGAGTGCGGCGTTCCTTTCACCCAGGCAGGGTATCTGGGTTCTAGTTATACATATATTTGTTCGAATCCGGCATTCTTATGCTATTACAACATTATGCATGGGGTTAATAAACATCATAACTAGACCTGTATTCTGACTGGCTGCAGTTAGAATGTAAAACTGAATAACAGGTGGCCCGTACAATGTCTCCATCACGATTGATTGAAGTCGGAATACAAAAATGAATAGCAACCACTCCCGTTCAATGTCTCCATGCTAATGATCGATTAAACTCGGAATATAAAACTCCATACGAAGTACTGTGCAACCTGTGCAACAAGTTAAACAAACTGCTCTTGTTCAATGTTTGTAGTCTTGTACCCCAATCTGAAAACGTGATCCTTCCAGCCCACTCGTCCATTTTGGGAAAGGCGCAGTCCTAGCCGGGGTTTACCGTACTCCTTAATTACAACCCTGGAAGCATGAGCATCACGGTTCACGATTCAGGAGCTGACCATCAACAAACTCTTCTGGTTATCGTTTCTTCTTCCAACTCATCGCCATTCCTTCACTGTAGAGGCTATCTCGTACTCATTCGTTGTACGGATCCTCATCCATTCTCTCTTCGCGCAGCATTCTCTCGCGTTTTGTTTACTACCTCCCGCGATACCCCTTCACCCAAAATAGACCCTCGCAATACTTTCAAGATGCAACCAATTACCCTCCTCATTGCTGCCCTCCCCTCCCTCGCGGCGGCAGCGGGAAGTCTCGGCTTCGCCCTCGGTGCAAAGAACGCGGACGGAACGTGCAAGACTTCTACGGACTACGCTGCCGACTTCAAGGTCATCGGTGCACATTCGAAGCTCGTACGCACTTATGCCGCAGACCAGTGCGATACCGCGAAAGAGATCTTGCCCGCTGCGAAGGCTGCAGGCTTCAAGGTGATCTTGGGAATTTGGTGGGTTCCCCTTTCTAATTGATGGTTCCAATTCCGGCCATGACGATACTTATGGGCAGAGGCGTAGCTAACACAGCATCTTGATACGAACAGGCCAGATACCGATGACTCCTACAAAGTGGACAAGGCAGCGGTCGTGAAATATGCACCACAGTACAAAGACCAGGTGTACGCCATCACGGTCGGGTCCGAGACGATGTATCGAGGAAACTTCACGGGTGACACGCTGTTGAAGAAGATCAACGATGTCAAGAGCGCTGTCGGTGGCGCCTTCAAGGTGGGAACCGCAGACAGCTGGAACAAATACCAGGATGGAACTGCGGATCCTCTGATCAAGGGCGGTGCTGATATCCTGTAAGTGGTCTTTATCACTTGCTGGTGGATGCCACTAATACGTGTGTACCGCAGGTTGTGCAACGGTTTCTCTTACTGGCAAGGCCAAACCCTGGCCAACTCCACAGCCAGCTTCTTCGATGATATGATGCAAGCATTCGGCCACATCCAGAACGTTGCAGGCTCCTTGACTGACGGCCCTGAGCTCTGGGTTGGCGAAACTGGTGAGTCCCTTTCTAGTCGAAAAACACGCGAAGCTGTCGACCAACTAACGATATCACAGGCTGGCCAACCGGAGGATCCAAGTACCAAAATGCTGTCCCAGGCGTTTCTAGCGCACAAACCTACTGGCAAACTGCCATCTGCGGCATCCTCGACTGGGGCGTAAATGTCTTCTCCTTCGAGGCCTTTGATGAGCCATGGAAGCCTGTCAGCACTGGTCAAGATGGAAGCGTCGCGGACGAGACCCACTGGGGAGTGTGGAACGCTGACCGCACTCCTAAGTTCCCAATTACTTGCTAGATAGGTATACTTGTCTTGTTACTCGCATGGGACGGAGCTTAGAATCGGTTAAGGGGATAATTTTGCCTTCTTTGTTGTTACGGTGGCGAATCTTGTATAAGAACAATGGAGATCTATATTAGATGATGCTATTCTACGTATTTTGTTCCTGTCTATTGTTTGCCGGAAGGGTCGGTTCGCCCCGCAATCCAGAGCTCCACAAATGGGCAACTTGAAATTCCCAGGATCTGGGTTCTGATTGAAGGAATAAGTGTTGGATCTCCGATATGTACAGTACTTCGTAATCACTCTCAACACACGTGCTGATGCATCTTACCTGCCTTGCCTTCTCCAAGTCCCCCCATACGAACGGCGACTGAAATGACCAAAGAAGCGCTATTCCGTAGACTGCGACTCTGGTAGAGTGTGGATCCAGAACACTGCCTAGGCACTTTGTAGCTATAACTAGACCATTGTTTCTCGACTAGCTTCAGGGGTCATTCTGACGGCTCGGCACGTTGACATGTCCTACTTCGACCCCGACATGGCCCCGATTGTGCTGCGTATTGTAAGAGCGCATGGAGTACTGGCATCGTATATATCATAACAGTGACCACATATTCGTGGTTACTTACATCATTAGTTGCCAACTTCCCATGTAGTGCCTGCTCTCCAGCCAAAGAAGAAGCCCACCTGGGCCCCGGCCTAGGCTCGGCTGCATGGAGTATGGAGGGAGTATGTGCCTATAGAGTACTCCGTAACTGTAATTTGATGCTTTAAATTTCCAGCTCTGTCCCCCTACTAATAAACCCCCCGACTCCATAATCGCGAGCCAATCTCGTAAGCGGACAACATCCTTGTCGGGCAACGTTTTATTTCCTCCTCAACGCCGTCGTGAGCCTCCGTCAACCCCCCAAAGTCCACCGTCAACATCGCGACTCTCTCCCCCAAAGGCCCTTCGCATACATCGCCGGCTGCCTGTATGTCTCTGCCTTTGCTGGTTTGATCGGATGTCTATGTCTACTTCGTTCCTGGCTTTTCGCGTTATGTCGCTCCTTTAATTCGTTCGGCAACCTTTCTCCTTTATTGTTGAGCCCCCTTGGACGCGTCGCGACAACATTGATAATTCCATCCGCAACACCATAGCACAGCCCTTGTCGCAGTCGGGCTCGGACAGATAATTAGAGAGTCAGTAGCAGACGAAGCTCTGATCGTCTGCGCTGATCTCGTGGTGGTGAGCAATCCCCTGGACTTTTACACCCAAGACGTCTCAGTGTATTAACGCGCCGTGCGGCAGTAGATACTAAAAAAACGTCGTCGTCGGCCTCATCCCCTCCTCCTGCTGCGAAGGCAGAGGACGGACCCTACGATCTCCCTCCCCCATCGTTGGAACAACCTCTATCGCCAGCTTTCTCGACATCCTCAACAGCTGAAGGAGGCTCGTCACCTGTGCTGCCACCCCTCCCAACCCCCACAATCAACGGCAGGACTCTCGACCTTCTGAGTACTCCACCATCAGCTACTCGAAGCAGCAGCAGCCATAGTCATTATTACACCGCGAGTTGGGGATCACCGTACCAGCACCCGCCGGCATCTTCCCGCAGCCGTTCGCATCGTCATAGTAATACTTTGAGCAGCAGTGAACATTCAGAGGATTCTTCCATCCACCATCTAGAGTTCCATACTCCCTATTTGCGGCCTGCCCCCCGACTTGCAAGGTCTCAAATAGAACCCGACTTTGTTTCACAGGACGGACTTGTTAGCGCAGCTGTTCTTGCCAATCGAGCACGACGTCCAGCACAAGGCCTAACTGAGGATTGGATTCGTCAACACACAGGCGGGGAATCAGCAGAAAGGCACCATTGGCTTAGTGACGATCCGGGAGATAGTGAGCACTCTTCACTGAGCGGATCCATCTCAGGAGACGGAGACTGGCTTGGACAAGACGCGGATCCTCAAACACCAACATTAAAACGATTTTTAGAAATCAGACACGAAGCGCGTGCTTCGAATCGTGCCCATCGAAGAAACGCGAGCACAGAGACTTTGACACAAGCAGCTTTCTCAGTCTCCCCGTGCCCCAGCATGTCAGGCGAAATGGGAAACGCCGCTTCAGGTGGAGAAGGCAAATCCCCGGTCGAGGAACGGCCCCCTTTGCCTGCAAAAGACTCTTCATGGCGTGCCGCTGCTTTGCCGGCCACGGGCGTCGATCCATCATCTGCGCCCGCGCCCGCCCCATCTCCAGCACCGGGCCCGCCACGGCTCAAGAAGAAAGTCCCTTGGAAAGGCAAGAATATTATGGTGTTGCTTCCATGGGATGACGAACGTGGTAAAAGCGGCAAGGCTCCCCCGCCTCTTCAACAGAAGGAGGTTGATGCTATGCTGAAAGAATGGGAGCAGCTGGGTTATGATACCACAGGCTTTAACTTGGGCCATTCAGGAGATTCCGATGGCGGAGCAGCTCAGGGCCAGAGTTGCCTTATCTGGCCACATATATCGGATGTGGTTCAGGAGAGGGAGCAAAGGGCTTTCAAGGTTGGCATCCCGGACCGAAGAGGTAAGCTATTTCTCCTCCGAGTTTTTGGGAGAGACATGCATCGTGTACAAGTGACACGCCCTTGTTTTAACATATTGGGGAGATATGACTCGTTTGCTTTTCTCCTTGCATTCACTTCAAGTGCCATCAAATACTTCATACTTCTTTAGTAGACTGTGCCCCTGCCCCGCCACCCCGCCGTTTTTGAATCATACCGTATTATATAGCGACCTAACAAAATGTGATATAGAATGGGATTCTTACGTTGAGCAATTGAAAGAAGCTAAGCTTCGTGCCCTGGGCGTATCGCTCGGCGACGACGACCTGCCTCCTACCATATCGCCGGTGCCGTCGAACATGAGCCGGCAAGCTTCAGTTCAATACCCGCCATTGCCATTCTCGCCGCCATTGCCAACAACTTCGGCATCTAGCAGCCATGTGACGCATCATCCAAATCCTTTCTCTCCTCCCTTGGGGCCTACTGCTGGCCTCTCAACCAGTCAAAGCTCCAACCCAGGCTCTATTGCATCGCCGGCTTCGATGCACGCTCATTTGCAGCAGGGGAAGTTCAATCCCAGACAGTCTGTGTCGTTCGGGCCTGGAGAGCATCCATTTGGATCTCCATTCCAATATCCTCAACAGCAGTCTCCAGGAGTGTGGACTCCTCAGCAAGCCCTGTATCAGCAAGGACATGCTCGGGGCGGATCTCCATCTATAAGTAACCTTGGACCGATCCTTTCGCCCAGCTCGCCATTTTCTCAAGATGGATATTTCCAATCTGGGGATGTCATGTCTCAGATGCAGCAACGACAGCAGCTCCAACTCCAACAGCAATTACAATTACAGCCTGGTGCTAGGGCCTCCCCGCGACTACAGGAAGTTCGTGAGGTAGAAGATGAAACTACCGTTGCGCCTTCGAAGAGCCCATCAAAAACCCCTGAGGCTAGAGTGATAAAACATAATCCAAGCGCTAGCCTTCAAAAGGAAATTGATGATGCTGAGTACCACCTGGAAGAGCAATTTCAGCGCCAGCTTGAGCATGAGGATTACAGTCCCCATTCTGACAGTGGCGATAAGGAGACGCGCTTCGCAAGCAAGCCTCAATCCTCACATATCCGTAACGCTTCCTCCGCACAGAAAGGCCTTGGCAATTCTCGGTTTGCTCTGAGTGATTCTGAGGAAGGACCGGTCTTGCATCATCCTCAACCTCACAGCAGAGGTCATTCCCTATCCCAGCAGCCATTCCAGGATAGTGAAGAGGTATCAAGCGCTGCTGAATCTAAACTAGCACTCTCCGGAAATGAAAAGAACCTGAAGGCTGAACTCTCCGATATCGAGACAAATCCGAGCCATTTGGGAACTCCAACCCACAATGGTGATGCGGCTATCAATGGGCATGGTAAATCACTCTCGATGGCCAGCAACCCATGGGCGGATAATAAATCTGAAGCCGCCAATCCATCGCGATCATCCCGCCACAGTGCTAAGCCATCGGTGTCTAAGCTCAACGTTGCTGCTAAAGAATTTACTTTCAATCCCTCAAGTTCTTTTATACCGGGGCAATTCTCGTTCAGTGGCAACAACTTCCAACCGCCATCTGTTTCCGCATTTCCAGCGTTTGCTCCGCCTATGTCTGCCACATCAAGCCACTTCAGTAATCAATCCATGGGTAGCTCGAAAGCCAAGATCAACGTTGCTGCACCTGCTTTCACCCCTGGACAAAGCCAATTCAGTTTTTCTGCTGCTGGACCAAGCTTCAGACCGGATGCACCTGCCTTCACACCCTTCAATAACTTTTCCGATTCTGTGGGAAGTGGAGGCTCGGGCAGTGAGGCTCCTAAAGGCTCTATATTTGGTAATATCGATCTTAGCCTTCTTGGAATATCTAAACCTAGCAAGAAGTCCAAGGCGATCCCAATTATTCGCCCCGATAGTAGCCACTCCAGAAATCTTGAGGATGAAATTATGGAGGACAAATTTGGCCGGATCACCCAAGGCGAGGGCCGTATCAAGCGAGCTCGTGGTGCAAAGGATGATGGAGACTCAGTGCCTTTGTTTGCTGAACCCAGCATGCCCCTCACCGAGACAACTCGTGGGCAATCCCCACCGAAGGAATCGTTGCCAGCTATGGACAACCCTGCCGATAAGGAGAACTCGGCGCCATCAGATGATGAAGAACAACCACCAACTGTTCCTCTGAAGACCGTCCAAGACACGTTCGAAGCCTCGCCAGGTCTTCCTAGCAAGGACTTCGAGCCTTATGAGTTTCACCAACAAAAACAAGCAGAAGACTTCAATGCTGCAAGGCCGTTTACTTCTCGACGATACGGTTCTGGTTTACCTGCCTATGGCTTTCATGAGCCTTCAGATGAAGATGTGGTTTCTCCTGTAGAGGAGCCCACAAACACTTCGCATAAGGGCCATAAGAAGAATGGCTCTTCGCTGTCAGCCACTGCGAAACCGTTTGACTTCAAGCCAGGGGCGTTCAACTTCACATTTGGCCAGCCTTCGGAACCAAAACCTGCCCCCACTGTGTCTCTTCCTAAGGCTGGATTGTCTGCTTCGAGATTTGCAAAGAGTCCCACCCCACCCCCAATGGTGTCATCACCTGATGACGCCTTGAAATCCCCCGAAAGATCTGACTTCCAAGCTGCATTACCACTGGAAAGCCCTCCAATATATTCCGATGGCCATGAGTCAGATGCTGCTAACCGTGAACCCACATTCGAAGAGATCGATGCCGTCATGCGTCATCTTAATGATGTTGAGATGGAATCGGCTCCTCGTGACAGTTCTCCCAGATGGAATCAGTCAAGTCCAGCAAAGGGGATTCACATGCCGCGTATGGAGAATTCCCCACCCATCCGCCTACAGCCTCAGAATATAATGCGTAGCGATGCGCCAAGCCCGGGCCCAGGAAGGTTCCAAGCATTGCCTGGCGAGACTGTACAAGAGAGGATCTTCTCTCGGAATCTCAATGATCCATTCCTTGATGAGCCTCAGCAATCAAACGTACCGCTGATATCACCTTCGCCTATTCATCGTCTCAACCGAGGAAGCAGCGTACCTGCTAGCGACTGGGACGATGTTCTCAGTGAAGCAGAAGAAGATAAGCTACAGCCGCGCGCGCGCTTCTTCGACAGTCATGTCAACGACTTGGTTGGTGGTCTGCTAGCAGAGAGACTAGGACCTCTAGAGAGGACCCTAGAGACCATCCAACTGTCATTGGGAATGATGGCCGCACGCGCCCCGTCAAGCCGGCGCGAAAGACGAAGCGTCTCTGGCGCGCTCAGCGATGCAGATGATGAAGATGACGACAATCCTCGCCGGTCACTCAGTCCGAGAAGAGACAAGAAACTCGAAAAACTTAGAGCTATTATTAATGAAGCTCTCAATGCTCATCAATCTTCAAGACCGGCCACTGCGAGCGCCCAATCATCAGCTACTCCAGATTCTCGCACCATCCTCCAAGCTTTGGAGGACATGAAGGAGCAATTTGGACAATCCATGCGACTTGATCTACGTGGTGAAGACCTCAGGAATGTTGTTGAAGACGCCGTTGAGAGACGTATGCCGGCTTCGCCTAAACCCATAGTTGACGAGGCCGCTATCACCAGAGAGTCTGAGCAGAAGGCCAAGATCGCATATCTAGAAGAGAAACTTCAAGCTGCGGACTCCAAACCTGCCTTCGATGAAGCTGCCATTGTGCGTGAAGCTGAGCAGCGGGCTAGAATCGGCCATCTCGAGGAGAGGCTTCAAATTGCTGAGTCCAAACCAATCTTCGACGAAGCAGCAGCTGCGAGAGATGCCGAACAGAAGTCCAAAATATCTCAGCTCGAAGAAAAGATTGGTGCTGCCGAGGCCCAGACCGAGGAACAGGTTAACAACCGTCGGGCGGCAGAAGATCGTCTTGCTGAAGTCCAAAGATTGCTCCGAATCTCATCTGAGGAAGAGGTTCGCCTCCGAGAGGCTATGGACGAGCGAGAGGTGAAGATCCGAGAAATCGTCGACGAAAGCGATCGGAAGGTAAGAAGCGTAGAGGAATCTAGGGCCAAGACTACCATGCGGATCGCCCTACTCGAGGCCGGCCAGGGTAATGCCCAGAAGTCCCAATCAGAGCTTCAAAACCGGATCAACATTTCGGAGAACGACCTACGGCAAGCTCGACAAGAAGTCCAACACTGGCAAATGGAAGCGGAACGGGCACTAGAAGCGGCCAAGAGACATAGCGAGGATGCTGAACAGGCCAACGAGACCAACAAGGACCTGAGACGGACCGTCGAAAGCTTGAGGACTCAGATGGAGGAAAGTATCCGAGTCCGAGAAGGCATGAGAGGGAAATTAATAGATTTGCAGGAGGACATGGCCCGCGCTGCCCGCGATATTTCCGAGGAAAACTCTCGACGTGCCAAGAAAGAACAGGAACTCATTGCCCGGCAGGAAGTTCTCGATGCCAAACTGCAAGCGGAAGCCCGGACTCGGGAACGACTGGAACTAGAGATCGAACGCCTGGAGGGTGGTGAGAGGGAGGGTATGAGGGCTGTGAGTGAGGGTAAGAAGTTGGAGGCACTCATTACCGATCTCAGAATGGAGAGTCACAACGCCCAGAAAGACGCCATGCGATTCCAGCGGGAGTTTGAAGAGGCTCGCGAGTCCGGTTTGAGTGAAGTCCAGAGAACTAGGAACTATATGCAAGCTGAGATAGAGGCGGCTAATAATCAAGTCAACGTTGTCAGAGAGGATCTCGAGAATCAGATCTTAAGAGTGCGGGCGGAAATCGATCAGGTTAAACTGGATGCGGACACGGCAAGAGAAAAGCATGAGATGCTTCTAGAGGAAGCCAATAATTCCAAAGCTGCTGCTCTCGAAGATCTGAAACGAAAGGATGCTGATGCAGTCGAAGATCTGCAGGCGCAGTATGAGCGCCAACTCGGCAACGCTGTTGACGATGCTCAAAGATCAGAGCAACATCTTCTCGAACGCCTATCTCTGTCTTCCGCCAAGACCGAACATCTTCAGGATCGCGTCCAACACTTGGAGGAGAAACTTGAGATTTCCAACCAAGCTGCACAAGCCGCTGTCAAGGCTGCTGCTCGATCGACCAGCGTACCAGTGTCATTGCCAACGCCATCAGCAGCACAGCCTGTCTTTGTGCCACAGGCAATTTCTCGTGCTATGGAACTACCTGAGAAAATCTCACCACAAGCACTTCGAGAATCCATCATGGTATTGCAAGAACAGCTTCAGGAACGAGAACAGACGATTGAACGGCTCGAAGCTACTTTGTCGCACGTGGATCTCGACGCACCAACCAAGATCGCGAAGCGTGACGATGAAATCATGTGGTTACGTGAGCTACTAGCCGTTCGTAAAGGCGATCTACTGGACATCGTGAAGACCCTCTCGACCGATAACTACGACCCCGAGCAAATTAAGGATGCAGCGATTCGACTCAGCGCAAATCTCCAAATGGAAGAACAAGAGCGAGAACGCGCGATGAACGGCGGCTCAGCTCTGAATCTCCCCAACATTGCGGCTAGTCTCCGAGATGCTGCAACTCCTCGTGTAGCACAAGCCGTTGGCCCTCTTGCCGCGGCATGGGGTAACTGGCGCAAATCTCGAGATCCAAATGCTTCTGAATCAATGAGGAGCAGCTCCTCCACGCCTAGCAAGAACAACAGTCCCGGTTCTCAAAGCTTCCTCTCTGGTCTTTTAACGCCACCTGCAAGCACTGCTCGTCAAGGCACGCCTAGCGGGACAACTAGTCAGCCCACCGCATTTGGTAGCACTGGCCAGCGATTTACGAGCGCGCAGCTTGCAAATCGACCCCGTGTCATGACGCCTCGCCGTCAAGAGAATGTTCCCATGAGAGGCAGCCCTAAAAAGGCCGTGGTGCCCAGCACCCCGCCGATGATGCGTAAGAGCTCATATGATGCTGACGCACGCGCGGAGGATTTCAGCGATGCGGGCTTCTACGATGATGAGGAGAGTGAGAATACAGCTGAAGGGAGCTTGTATGGTGGAGCACGGCGGTAACCGCCTTAACGTCTAATATCTCCAACTTATGGAGAGTTTCCTTTGTTATCTTACCTTGTATTTTTTCATTAAACGTCTGCTAATGGAGGAGCGTAAGACGAACTGTGCATTGCATGTAAGCAGAATGCAATCAATGTATACACGTAATAGCTAGATTGATACCCTGGGGAGGACTTGCGAAGGAACTGCCACTCTCTTTGACGGCCTGACATACATACACATATGCCTATTGGCAATTCAAATACCCTTTTTTCCATATTGTTTACTTGCTATCTTTGTTTTTCTCTTGTTGGGTCTTTTAAGATTTGGAACAAAACACAGCGCCGATGGCACATATTCAAAGTCTTTCGTTGATATATTGTTGTATATAGTACATGTAGATAATGTGATGAGGGAGAGAATTATAACTAGTTGCGTTTAATCGTTTTCTTCCCTCGCTCTATTATGGCTTTTCTTCGCTGGAAATTTTAGCGACTTGGTGCAATTTACCCTTAAAAAGGGGAAGTTGTCAAGGTCCCTTAGGGGCAAAGCGCCTTGTTCGACTCGTCCCAGCCAACGCGTCGCATTGCTCTCCATTATAACACCTTGGCTAATGTTTTACATATATTTTACCGATGCTATTGGAAACTCGGAAAATAGCACCTAGGTACATCGATACGCGTGGCGTTGCGGCGTTTCACATATGGACTACTTGCAGGCTCGCTCAGCACAAGCAAGCATGAGGAGTGTTTGGAAACGACGCATTGCCACGACTACCTATGAATGCTCAATTTCGCCGAAATTTCAAATGGTACCACCCCCTATTACTATCTCAACAAGGCTTTAGCTACAATACTTGCTATGAAAACACTTATTAAGTACTAGATCCATTGACGAAGAGCATAGATATCAATTATGCTTCTTCCTCTCATCCTCTAACATATTCCATGCATCATCTATAACCAGCCACCTACCTATAGATTCCAGCTCCTCTATCTAAAGGATACAACCAACTACTATCGTAAAAGATAGAGATAAAATAAGTTTGTATCCCACGAGGGTTTTCTGAAAGCTAAAGCCAACAGGATATTCAGCTCGGCAAATCCCGCCACCCCCCTATTCAAGTCATCTTTTGGGAGCCCTAAAACGCAGCTTGCTGGTTTTTCATAGGGGCAACCACTGATGGCGTGTGTTTGCGTTGGGGAGGTCAACCAAGGGTGTAGTAAATGTAAGTCCCACCTTCCCTTTCAATCTTCCCCCGAGACTTTTGGCCCGACCTCCTCTCCCTACTTTGTAGGTACACAGTGCTTCCCATCCTCCCACAGCACCAGACCACGCGCCTACCACATCTACTGCTATTGCCACTAGCACAGCAGGCACAACAGGCCCAGCAAACTCAATAATTGCGAGCCGAATAACTCCGGACCTCCGATTATCATGTTGGATACACCACCTCAACTCGATCGGCCTACTAATAGGAATCAAGGCGGAGTCCCTAGAAGCCCAACCTGAGATAATACTTGGGTTGTGAGGTAATACACTAATTGGTCGAGGCACTCTTGGCCTAGTAATCTACAAACGCATGGTTCCCTAACCTCGCTGATGGCGGCACCTTCGTGGCAGCACTGTAGACACGCTCCGATCTAACCTCCCAACTCGTCTCCATTGTAACACCGCCCTTGCGATCGTGATGGAAACCACCAGTAGCTTGATCTGTCCTTTCTAACGCTACGATCTCATCCGTGCTACCAAGAGGACTAGGCAGCTCCCGATATCTACTCGCCGGCGTTGACACCCCTTTGCTCAACTCGATATCGCCTCCACTCCGCAAGACCGATCCCCTACCCCCATATGATGCATATCGTGCGTGTGCGCTGGTATCCGACTTGCCGATGAGGAAAATACGTCTTGTGAGAGTGTAAAGCAGGCAATTCAAGGCTCCCCCAGATGCCATCACGCACCCACCGGCCATGAGGTACTGTCTTGGCATGGGATTTCCGGCCAAGCTTGCAAGGCGGAAAGCAGCCAGAGGCAGCGTAGTGACCACGTAGATAAGCGGGTACAAGACCATGTACATTGTGGCGTTGGATACCTTCTGGGCTTTGACGCTGTTGTGTGTGTTCATGTGCGACTTGACAACGCTCAAGCGTTTACGCACTACGACGAAGGTCGTCAAGTATGCCAGCAAGACTAGGCCTTCGGCAATCAAGACCCAAATGTAGTGACAGAAAAGTCGCGTCTTGTCGTACTTTCCTGCGATAGAACACTATTTTGAAAAGTGTCAGTGGGAGAGTTGGAAAGGAGGCAGAGAGGGGGCTAGGAGTCTAGGACATACCCAGTTGCCAGAAGCCGTAAACATATCGGACGGGTGTAGCACAGGCGGGATGGTTGTCAAAAGGAAGGCAAACAGCCATAGCGCTACGCTAGCCCACACCACAGTTCGGAGATCCAGCCTTTTCCCTAAAACCACGCTCATAAAGGTATGAACACCAATAGCGAGAACAAAAAAGCCGCTTCCCAGATCCCCAATATTGACCAACCATCCTTGGGCCCAGCATGTAGAGCTCGGCGAAATGATGGCATTGTTCTTAATCCAGGCAACCTCAAGAAAGAAGCCAAGGCCAAGTTGAAAGTCGGACAGTACGAGCGAGTAAATAAGGATGATGTATTGATTCTTGTACATTGGTGCATCATAGCCTTTGCGTGAAGTCCAGAGTCGATATGTTAGAAACACGAGAAGTCCAAAGGTGGACAAGCAGGACACCAAAGATATTACCGATAGGGCGATCATGCCTTGCCGCATATCGTCAGGTATTGGCGATACTGATAATGGGTACTTTGCGTACTTCCAGTCCGGCGACGTGTACGTTGCGTTGGTTATGGCCATAGTGAGTACCGGTGATCTCGCAAGCTGAGCACTATCTTTTCTTGTTAGCAGATAGGGATTTGCAGGTCGAGGTGTGAGCCCCTGGCTTGCCCTGCCCTCTGTTTTGTCGACTTTGAGTCAGCTCAGAACGGCGGTACAGAAACTAAATAAATAACAAACAATATGCAAATGGAAGAGGAAGAGTGTTCCATGTTCCAATAGAAAAAGGTTAATGTCAATCATAAACGTGCGATTCGCAAGCTCTTGTTTAAAGCGGCCTTTTCCCGCTCTGCGCCCCATGTGTGCCTTATAGTGCCGGCATAGTCCTTATGTCTTGGTATTATCTGCAGCGGGAAAATGCCATACCCAAGCAGTAAGATCATCAGATTGCATCGACGTGGCCTTGCAGGCCATATCACAGTACAAGAGGGCTGATAGATGCTGCAATATGAACGAGGGAAGAAACAAGCGGAAGGAGAGCCAGTATGAACGCCTGTCTCCGGGGACCGATGCTGTGTAACGCTCATTGGACCCCTAGGGAGAACTTGCAAGAAGTAGATGACCAGGCTCGCATTGATACTGAGTGCAGAATAAAACGATATTGGTCAATAGAGTTATAGACCTGGCCAGATTTTACCGTGCTAGGTAAAAACGAGATCAATCTCAGAAATTCGGACAGCATGCAGGAGCGAATCGAAGCAGATCATCAGCCGTTCAGATTGCCCCAAGCTCAACTCTTCCCACATTCAGGATCGCAAAAACTCCACAATTTCCCTCCCCAGCCCTCCTCCAGGAATCAACGCTTCCCGAACAGAATCCTTCCATGTGCGGGCCCATGTGGACGGCACTTGAGACATCCCCTGAAGCCAGCTGCTCAGCGGCGAAGCTTTGAACATAACTTGTTCTAGGCGCTGCTAAAACGCAGTGTGTTCCTCTCCCTGGGACGACGCGGGATCCCCATGGTCCCCCCAAGGACCCAAGAGCCTGTCCTGAAACGCTACGTAAAAGTCATATCATCGTCGTTATGCCTGTATTAGGTACATAGGGGTTCTCCGTAAGACCACTCTCTCTGCTGGCCTGGGAAATTCCGATATTGCACCGCCGTGGCCGAACTTGCACTGCAACGGCATGTGGAGGGTGCTTCGTAGAACTGAGCCCTGGCCGAGGAGTCCTTAGTGAAGCTAGCGGTCGGATCCCACGATGCTCTCTCTTGTTGTGTCGTCCTGTTGGCTTCTGCTCGAGGTGCCACGGTGCGAACAATTGCACTTGCACTTGCATTTGCATCCGCCTCGGACGAGGAGAAAACACCCTCGCACAGAGCTGCCTGCAACGCCGCAATCAGCGTCAATTGGACATGCTGCGGCTTGCTTGTCTACGGGCGCATCCGCCCACGGCAGCGTCAGCACAGCAACGCCCTCTGGCCACCGAGGTTCGACGAGAAAACCCTGGACTGGTTTGCTCGAGTACTCGTCCCGTACCTACGAGCGTAGGGGGCTGATTCGAATTTCGCCTCACCTCCAGTCCACCACGATCCCTCCACCTGCAGCGAACGAACGTTGGTCCGTCGTTGGCTAGACCCGTTGCGCTCCCCTTCCAATATCCAAAGAGCGCATCTGCGTCTGGTTTGCTGCCTGGCTGTCGAGTTTCAACATGGTGCCCACGATCGCATATTACCGGTTCGAGACTGTGGCTGGAATCTGGAGTCGGGAGTCTGGATATAGTACGCGTACACGCCCCAGACGCCGCAACGGTCACTGTACCGGCAAGGGCGCCGCCTCGCAACGACATGCTCGGAGGAGTAACAATGCCGAGTAACAATCTTAATGCTGTGGGCAAAAAGAAGCATTACACGACGAGGGCAAGGATGGCCTTCGTTATTGCCCTTGGCTTTGCGGCACTTCAAACTGGGTCGGACTGGGTGAAGCCCGGAAGCTTGAGCGACGTTCCGGGTGATCAGCACAAAACGTCTGTGTTAAGGTGTATCCTACGTACATACGAACAGTATAGGTATCTTCAGTACCTAGTAAGCACATCATGATCCCTCCCCCGGTGGTCCAACCTTGACACATAAAAATAATTCATGGAAAGGCTAGTGTCTCTCGTGCGCCATTAAGCACACTCCGCCAGTTTGGAGGTTTATACATACCTTTACCTACATACCTCTCCTTCTCGCAGAATCGTTGTCTAGGTCTCCGGGCTATGATAGTTACCTATTACCTAGGTTCGGTTCCGTGGGAGACAGTCCTATTTTGTCTATTTATATACTCCGCTGCTTTAAGTAAAGTAGATACAATTTAGATGTTGGTAAATTGCAAGGGCGGTCCGCCTGCTGACGAGTATATTATGGAACCATACTGAGATGCGCGAATCCGCGGTGAGACCCCACGGGAGATGCAGGTTGAAGCATCCCCTCCACGGTAATCTTACCGGATGTGGTACGACGATCCCCCGATAGCTCGGCGATCCAGTACCCCAGATGTCCTAAGAATTATCGGAAGGTTTCTGTACAATATCTGCGGGGTTGCGTCCGTACTTGTTCTATGCCCCGAGGGCGTGTACATCGTCTCGCAGCCACAGCATATCGGCGAGAACCCTCGAAGTCGACCCTGGTCCCCAAATCTTCCAGCTCACCATCCACGCCGCCACGGAGAATGGCAGAGGCGTAACCCCGAAAACAGAATAGCCTGGGAACTCTGATTTTTTGTCATCCAGTTCCAAGAGCTATCCCACCCTTCTTGACAGTTGCCTTAGCTTGCCCCACCTAGGGGATGTCTTGAGCATTTTGTGTTTCTTAAAGGCCATCAATCTCTCTTGCCCTTATAGATTTTTGTTTTCATACGGTCAGTCTCCTGATATCCTGGTATCAAAGAGTACCCTCCTACCAATAATACTCCTAATTTACTTCGGCCATGGGGTCCCCCTCCGAGAAAGAGAGTACCGCGCCTGAGGTCGCACTTCAATCGACAAACGCGCCCGAAGTCGTGCCTCTCAGTGATCCAGAGAAGCAACTTGCGCATGAAGAACTCACATCAGTGGAAGGTTCAGAGAAGAACCATAACAGCGCTACCAATGGACGTTATGTCGACCGAGCAGCCGAGCTGAGATTGCTAAGGAAATTTGATTTGAGGTTGATCCCGATTCTTTTCACCTGCTGTAAGTATACGGCGATCGCAATTCCAAAGGATCTTCGAGAATACTTGCTAATCTAGACTAGATCTTTTGAGTTATATTGATCGCTCTAATGTTGGGTAAGTCTTTTCATTCTAAATTAGTAACATTATCTAGAGCTTTGGTGCATTGGTTGGAATACAACGCCCTAGAACGTCCGATCTGGAGTGAGCCATTCTGTCTCCGTGGGGCAAGACCATCATCTGTTCAACTACGATAACCTGATTAGCTACAGCTTTGAGGTTTTGCGAAGAACATTTGTATCTAGAGCTGTCAAATTATCTGAGAGACTTGGGTCGTGGTTGCTAGAGATGTGCTCGTTACTTTTCTCAATCACTCTGAGTCGCTCCCTCCACATAGGACGTTCCATGGCCATATATTCCATTTCCTTAGAGATTGCTATACAATTTCTATAATCTCTCTACAAGTAAGCCCGGCTAACGTTCAGCTAATAGAAACGCAAAAATTGCTGGTATGCAAGAGGAATTGCATTTTTCCGCCGACGGAAATGATTACAGCTGGCTTCTTACAATCTTCTACATTGCATACATTTTATTCGAATGCGGTACCTTGATGTGGAAGGTTGTGCCACCGCATATTTGGGGTGCCGCTATGGTTGCAGGATGGGGTCTTATTTCCACCCTTCAGGCTGCCGCAACTTCATGGAGTGGAATGATGGCACTTCGTTTTCTCCTCGGAGCATTTGAGGCGTGCTTCGGGCCTGGTATTCCATTCTACCTATCCTTCTTCTATCTGCGCAAGGAGCTTGGTTGGAGGATCGGTTTGTTCCTCTCGGCTGGACCGCTTGGAACTTGTTTTGCTGGCGCTTTGGCATATGGCATTACCAGTGGCCATGTAAGCATTGCGAACTGGCGACTGCTATTCTTGGTCGAAGGCCTGCCATGCTTTGTAATGGCTGCTGTAGTATACTTTTTTCTTCCAGATTCGCCAACGAAGGCAACATTCTTGAACGAGGAGGATATGGCCGTTGCCAGGAGCAGAGATGTCCTCCAAGTGGGTGGAGATGATTCCACCACTAGCAAGAGAATCGGGTCTATCGTATGGTCGGATATCCTGGCTTCACTCCTAGACGTTAAGGTTCGTACTCACCAAGAATTCTTCTTTATTTCCCTCCTCTGTCCGTCTCCCTTCTGGCAAATAAGTGATGCTAACGCGACTGGCCAGAACTACATTACAGCAATGATGTATTTCTCATGCAACGTCTCTTTCTCCTCACTCCCAGTCTTTCTCCCCACAATCCTCACGGAGATGCACTTCAAGCCCATCGACGCCCAAGGTCTTTCTGCACCGCCATACTTCGTCTCTTTTATAGTTGTTCTAGCCAGTACATACTTCGCTGACCGATATGGACAACGCGGCTTCACCGTCCTCGCCCTCTCCCTCGTCGGTGCCATAGGATACATAGTACTCGCCACTACAGAAGCCACTGGCCCTCGATACTTTGGCGTTTACCTCGCAGCAGCTGGAATTTATCCAACCATTATCAACATCCTCCCCTGGGTGCTCAACAATCAAGGTTCAGATACAAAACGTGGAGCTGGTATCGCAATCCTTAATCTCATCGGGCAGTGTGGCCCCCTGCTGGGCACTCGCATTTACCCCGCTACCGACAAGCCGTATTATCGTCTCGGAATGTGGACTTGTGCTGCATTCATGCTGTTCAATGGACTTTTGGCTATAACTTTGAGGACTCTACTTGTTTGGGAGAATAAGAAGCTGGATCAGAAGTATGGCCCTGTTGAAAAAGGAGCGGATGGCAAGGAGCTGGCTACTGCTGGTATTGAGAATGACGGGCCGAATTTTAGATACATTTTGTAAATGTGTTTATCAAGTTTTCTTTTTCCCTGCTGGGAAGTACATATGATTCTTGAAACAGTTTATCAGCATTTAAGAAAGTGTATTATCCTTGCACACTTTCGGAATCGTGGATGTTAGCTGTGTATAACTGCTAATATGGATTCAACCCCAAATAATACCTTTCTGGATCACCTATTTTTCTCTGTGTTTCGTGCCAAAATACTAGCCAGTGCCGTTTGGAAATGAATCTAAACAATCCTCGAATATATTCCGTCCATTACGTCGATCAGCGACATATAAACAGTAATAACAGCGACTGTTAAACCCGTACGACTATTTTTTATGGGTTATACATGCAAAGAAGAATAAAGATCTATAAAATGCTGTTCCTCATAAAGGGGTGCTGGTGCTTTTAAATATTACCCCTATTTCTAGTTACATGATCACTCCCCTTTTTCGGAGAATTTCTAGTTGTTGGATAGCAAATCTCAGCTAAGGCACTTAGCATAACGTATCGTAGGCAGAAAAGGCCTCTTAGTAAGCGTAAGATCAGTGGAAGAGAAGACTTCAGCGAAAGCCACGCAAATTCTAGATTCAATTCTTAGTATTTAGGACTTGCACGCTTCTACCATCAAAACATGCTGATCATGCTTCGATGGGAACCATCGAAACGCCTTGCACTTTCACTTAACGTGCCACAGCTTGTAATTCTATGTAGCTACTACCACGCTTGCCGTGCCATTAACTTCCGCCACCTGAGCAACTTTATCTCCTCTATCCTTCTCAGCCTCTTCCTCGGCATGTTGCCGATAGACAGACTCCCTGACTTTCTGCTGATAAAAAGCAACTCCATTCTCCTTCACCGGGTTCAAAACGCCTTCTGCATAGACCCCTCTCTCAAGGTTCGCCTGTGCCTTCTCACACAGCTCAAAATCCTCCATAGCAACCTGCCTCACGAACTTAAAATACTCCTCAAACTCCTCATCCGTGCCCGAATAGTAATAATCGAACTCCATCCGCGAGACGCCGGGGTTGGGCGAGGGTAAAGTGCGGAAGGAGGACATACCGCCGCCATAGACGTTGAGGGTGCAAATGGGGAAGAAGTAGAGAAAGAGGCCGTCGGATTGTTTAGAGGGATCGGCGATGTGCTGACTGAAGTTGTTGTGGTTTTCTACTTTGTAGAAAGCGGGCGGGTAGTACTTTGAGAAGGTAGGGTGGGTGTATTGGCAATGAAGGCATTCTTGATATCCATCAATCCTGAGAGCATTAGATTGCCCAACTCAAAATCGAGGAACTATTTCTTGACTTACATGGTTTTCCAATTGAAACGACCCTCATATGAGATGCTGCGACGATGGGGAAGTTTCGTGAAGTCAATTTTGTTTGTCAATTCCTCGAGTCCGCCGAAGTAATCTTCGAAGCTTGGACTATCGGCGGAAAGAGTTGCAAAAAGGAGGCCACTTGGTGTCAAGTGACTCTTGATCTTCGTACTCTTTGCGTTTATTAGCACTATCTCACGTGGACACCCGGTATTTCTCGTACCTCATCTTCAGCATAAACAATGATCCCATCTGTACCATCCTCCCTCTTTGCTGTTTTGTTCTCCACGACGATTGTCACCTGCGCAATCTCGTAGACGACTTTCTCGAACTCTTTCTGGAAACGAGTCACTGGACCAAGAAAATGCCAGGCCTAAGAAAGTGATCAGTAACCAATATATCAAAGACATGGAAATAAACACCGACTTTCTTGAAAACCCCTCGTCTTTCTAATTGATATAAAGCTGAACTACAGTACCAGGATGCAGGGAGAGTCCTCGGACTCTTACGCAGCGATTCCATAGCGATAGTTTGTTATCCAATGTTATAATTTGAAAGTGAAGGGAGGAGACCAAGTCGATGTCGCAACGCCTACAAATATTGCGAAACAGTGATATCATGGAGGATATAGAAATGTTGGGCTTGCGAGTCTCCTATTGGGTGTGCCGTGGTAGCCCAAAACTAGGCCCCTGTTTAAGCGATTCCCAATGTAGTCAATTGATCCCGACTTCAGAGGGAGTAGACCCTAAATAGATTTCTATTTCCACCTTACTTAGAGACACGTCAGTAGAACCAATGAGATTGACGGGAAATATGAAGTAATCGATTTCGTTGCGTTATCACTAGGGTAATGATCCGGCTCATGTCTTGGTCTTGGGATCCCAGGCACCGTTCGCGGGAATCCTTTCCTGCCGATCACTTGTCTTGATATCACCAGCAAACCTAAAATATCAGCATGATCTAAAAGCGGTAACGGTGAAAACAATACACCGTTTATCCAAGACTATGACCAAAGGTAATATGTTTGCAAGGCATATAATAATACATTCATAGGTGCAATACGATGCTTTACCCCTCACTCTTGGTAAATAAGCTATGTGCGGTAGCTTCACTGTATGTAAATGACAGTTTCCAATGTCTCACGATGTTAAAACATCCTGGTAAATAAATTTAACAACTTGGCCGGCATTGAACAGATGCCTGTGCTGATGAGAATTAAAATCCACCTGTGCCAAGCGGGATGACTGTGAATATTGTTCACGATACTACACGCCTATCGGGTATGTTTTCGCGGATAACTTTGCCGGTGGCACGGATGCAGGCCGATGTACAGAGTATAATAATCCACCATTCTCAATTCTCATTCAAATAATAAGGTCGGAGGCCCAACGGACTTCACGAAGAGAGTCTTTGTCTAGTTGGCCGCCAGCAAGCAGACGTGACATTGCTAGCGATTGTTGGGATATACTACTTTCGAAGAAGGGAATTTCGGGCGTATAATTTCAAAATACCTTTACATCCACCTTTGGCGCTGTACGCGGATTTCTGCCGAATTTCTACTTCGGAACATCAGACGCAAAATTGAGAGATGGCCGATTACTTTTCCCAAACAAAAAATATGGACACGCCTGGAGAACAGAAACACCATCTATACAGAACAACAACAATGCTCGGCCTATCTTCCTATGTGCTTGCTACTGCCTTTGTGCTTTTGATGGGCTTTCTTATTCAATCTCGCCGCACTGGCGGGTTTGTCCTGAATGTGGCATCACTTTTGTTAACATGGTTCGGTGGCATGTGGAGAAGTGAGAGGTCTCTGGAAGAAACCAAAGGTCACCCCTTAGGCTCTCCCGCGGCGGAGTCTCTTTGTGTATTCTCAAATGGGTGGTGGGAAGATCGGGACCTGTTCCAGCTCGAACGGCGCGCAATATTCAGTAAGGCAAGTAATGAGGCAATTGATAGCTTCCCAGGTCACTAATACTGGAATATTAGACTTGGCACTTTATGACCCACGCATCTCGGTTTAAAAAGCCAGGGGATTACCGGACATTTGAACTTGCGGGGTTTTCCATCATTTTGATACTTGGCAAAGATAAGCAGCTCCGGGCATTTCAAAATATTTGCCGACACCGAGCGTATCAAGTTACAAAGAAAGAATGTGGCAGCTCAACCGTCCTTGGATGCAGATACCATGGGTGGAGCTATGATACAACGGGAAGATTAATCAAGGCCCCGGAGTTTGAAAGCATTGCAGGATTTGATAAAAACATGAACGGACTATGGCCGATAAAATTGGAAGTCAAGGATTCAATGGTCTTTATGAACCTTGATTCTAGCAGCCAAATCCTGGATCTAGAGCTCAACGAATCGGAACAGGCATTCAAACGCTGGGACTCAAAACATGTACATTGTGCTGTGGAATGGAAAGTGGACTGCGAATTTAACTGGAAACTTGCTGGTTTGTCTACCCATGCTTAGATATAACCTTCCACTGATATCCCTAGCCGAAGACTTCTCCCAACTTTTGGCCAAGGAAAATACAAGAGGTCTGTTTAATTCACTAATGGCTCAACGGTTTAAATATCAGCGAAGAGATTTCAACCTTGGGCACACCGCGACAACCCGGCGCCTTGCATTTGGCACACTTCTTACAATGCGGCTCCTCCCCCAGTCAGCGGCCATCACGACCATACATTGCTCTATCTATAAAAATCAACCTATTAATGATAAGGTAGAACTCGAGTTCGAAAGTGTGAAGGCAGAAATTCAGCGTGGAGTTCAACACTTGGAGCAAACACAGAAGAGATTACTTAATGGCTATGGCAACTTCTCGAAACGTAAGCTCCACAGTGACAGTTTAAATGACCTGCTCAACTGATAGCGAATAGTACAGCAAGAGAAGTACCGCCAAATTTTGAAGGGACATAGGGACGCCGAGGCCAGATTGGGGCAGGAGATCCACCCTGCAGCCCAGAAGCAGCACTTGACGATGGGCGGCAAAGCGGACGATGAATGTAAGTCATGATATATCTTACACTAACATGTGGACTCTACTAAGAATCATTCACAGTCTGCCGCAAACTAGACAACACTCTCGATGGCGAGGGCACGGCTTGCAGCGCGAGCCACCGAGGCCTTCTTGACTGGTGAGGTTGATTAAACAGGGCATAAATTTAGTCACAAGCAGATTTGACAGCGGCAGACAATACCATGGCAATACATCTTAATTAAAGGAGTGCACGATAGAAATGGGGTATTGTGATCGAACGACAGCGATGTTTTCCATAAATAGATCAGGGAAGTGCAGATGTTGGCGGTTGGAGGTTGGTCGTGGGTGGGTCATGGGTGAACAGGGGCAGGGCTTGGCAAGACATCTCGAACAGCCGAGTTTCCTCGGTTTATCCAACTCCAACCACAACTACAATCACAATGCGCACCAAGCTATCTTCTGTCCAATATTTGTCATCTACGCGTGCATCTTCGGGGCCTTTATCTTGGTTTGGAGGAACTGCTCACAGGCTTCCTCGCTCGGCCCTGCCAGCGGGAGCCCAAGATGCCAGCGAACCCTACGCTGAATTTATTTCCATTTACCAACTCTTTGAATAATAGCTAATGCCTCAAGTTCACAAGGAGTAGGATAGTTTGCAGATGCCACCGATAGTTGTGGCCAGCAGCGCCATCAAACTATGCTGATGACTGCTAGAGAAGGCTCGAAATCTGTTTGGGGTGATTCACATATCCATCATCTTGAATGCAAGTGCACGATGGTACGGCAGTTTCGTTGATGCGCGAAAGTTCCGCACTGCCCTAGGAGACATCACCTCCTCGCAGCAGTAGCAGCAGTTTGAGCCTGGAATAATTAGCACACCGCATTGGTCGGAATGTTGTTCTCTGGGAGCAACGTATTCAAGTATTTGCTCCCCAAACATTTACACCTCTCTAGGAACATCGTCTACGATAATTCCCTATACAACCCGCTGGGGTCAGGATGTTTCATGATTGTATATGGACTTACATCCGTGGCATGCTGGTAGCTACTGGCTCTGGTTCTGGCTCGAGACATGCGGTCACGGCATTGCTACAATAGTACCTGTGTTCCTATGTTGTGCCTATGTGTTGAACATAATATGTCCCGAGCGGTTTGTTCCCCGGGTTCGGGTGGTTCCTTAATTGTACCATGTCGCGCCCCCCTCCTGCAGATCTCACCTCCCACAACCTTGGCAACGTACTATGACCATCTGTCGCCTCAAAAACAAAGATCCGAGAGTTGGTACACCCTGCAGGGGATTTGAGGTTGGCATACAAATGACCAGGATACTTCACAGCAGACATCGTAGAATCTTAGTAGAAACGGCTTGTGATGCCGATGCCGATGGCCACAGACAGAATGGCAAGAAACTGCTCTGTTTGGAATTTGTAAACTCAGTGGGCTTGCCTTCTGTTCGATGGCAAGGTGAGGTTTCGAGTATAGGAGAGGCTTGGGGTCGAAAAAGAGGAGTCTGACGTGTTGTCCTCTCTACGCGGTACCTGCGTAGGTAGTATTGCTTCGCTGTACTTTGGTACTGTAACCCCACTTGCGCAAGCGCCCAAAAGGGTCTATAAAAATAGGTGAGATGAGAGAGAATGGACTTCCTAACCTAGATTGGGCGATCTTGGACTTCCACAATGAGATATTTCCGTCGTCGCGGTCCCAATCTAACGGAAATCGGTACGTACCAGGTACGAGTAGTGCGTAAAGCACGCACAGGGACAGCATGAGAAGCGCGGAAGATCCCATTTCTGACTGCAGGACGCCTCTTGGGCTATCAAGAACAGACTCGCGTACATAAAGGATATGCCACAGCTGCAGCCACTGCTTTGCGGTGGGTAGAGCCGCTGTTATTAATTCTTGTGTAATCTATCCCCCAAGGGCTTGCTCACCCCATTGCTGCCCAATAGGCACGCTCGAGGAAGCGAGATCCCCGTAGCACATGCCGCCCAGAGTCGCTAAATATAGACGTGGCCGAAGAACTTCAACAGGTGAAGCTTAAATAGACACCCATGGAGGACTAGAATAAATGCTGTTGTACGTAGTCCAACAGCTAGACGACGTGCATCTCCCATATACCGTGTCGTTGCAGCTTCTACTCCATAATTGGCAGATGTTGCCATCTTCGTGATAGCTGTGGCATTATATCTTGCAGGGATCGATACACACCTGTGACAACCTCTCGTCAGCATCTAAAAATTGACGATTTGCGGCAGTCGCCATTGGTACGATTGGGCCCCATGGTGCTGAATTAGCATCATGTCATCTTTAAGGACTCTGTGCCAACAATTACTCCTTTTCCAAATCTTCAAATAGCGGGAGCCATGGTTGGCGCCAATATGTTGAACAGGAGTTTAGTCAAAGTGGGCCGACTAGAAAGTCCGGGTTTGGCCCACCATTTGTTGCCAGAAACTCATAATCATCCTCGAAACACTCATTTGTTGATACATCCGAACATCGCACCTACTAATGACTATGAACTCCCAAACGATGAATCCGGGCAACAATCACAAGGCCCAAGTTCCATCTCCACGAAAGGGGCAACGAAACTCCAAAGACGGGGCGAGGTCCAGGAGTGCAAATGGTTGCTGGACTTGTCGTTTACGCAGAAAGAAGTAATTCAAACTCCAATAATCCGTATCTACAACATTGACTTACAATTGTTTAGATGTGATGAATCAGGCCCTGAATGCCTCGTGTGTCGAGAGAGAGGTCTCCAGTGTGCCGGATTTGGTGCACTAAAACCATCATGGATGGATGGTGGCGTGCAACAAGAGGCTGTTCACCAGGACATTAAAGCTACAGTTGCATCCGTGACGCGGATGAAGCGCATGATGAAGCTAGTCAAGTCCCGGGAGAAGGTGTCACCGCCGTTGAGAAGCATTTCAATACCCTCGGAGTTATTGGATAGTGGCAGAAGCTCCGTATCGTTGCCTGATAACTGCTCTTCTGGTGCTCCAAGCCGAGCAACTTCCTTGGGGCCAGTTACCTCAAATTCTTTTCAGGCCCAGAACCCGCACGAATGGACTCCGGAAGCATCTTTTAATTGGAACTTAAACAATAACTTCAACATGATTCCATATAATGGTGGCGAGGACACTACAAGTATCAGCAATCTCCAGGACACTTCCATGGAATACAACTTCCACGCGCAACCCTTTTCAACTGATGGGGCGAATTGTTATCTTCCTCCCGGGACGAACCCCCAAGAAATGTTTTCCTATTACACTCCCGACTTGGTCAGCTATGCACCTCCGTACGAAGTTTCTGGGGACGCCATAAACTATCTCGTCGCTTCACATGGGCCTGTACTCGCCAGTTCGCCAGCAGTGTCTAGCTCGGTTCCCAACTGCCACCTTTTACCAAAGAGGCAATGTACTCCAAGCCAGCTCCAACATGTATATAGCAGGGAAGGTGGAACAATAAATGGGCAGATAATCCAACACAACCCAAATATTTTGGAGACATCTCAATCAAATATACCCCTCTCTCCTGTCAGCGAACAGTCATCGCTGTGGGCTGCGGATACCAGGACATACACCCCAGCATCTTCTCCCCCGCAGGTCCAAGACCTCCGCTTGTCCAGCCAAATTGGAATCCACCCTCCGTTTACCGGGGCTGACTCCCATGCCGTTAAGTACTCGTCGATGCCCATAGACCGGTCTGCGGGCACAGCGAAATCGGGCTATCGTTGGCCTTAAGAGTCCAGCTAGGATGAAAGTACACTCCTGGCTAGATAGCTACATCTTTTTGCGATGAATCAGTTCAACACCACATAACAGCACTACGTTTGGACCCAGCAAGCCAGGTACCTGCCAAACGAGCCATATCTAGGAGAAATTTCTTTATGGGGACCTAATGCAGGCAGACGACCAACTGTATTTGTTCATTTGATCTTAACTTGCTTTCACGTATATACTTTAAAATTGGGTGGGTTGTTAGCTGAAGCTTGGATGCATTGGGAGATATATATTCTTGTACATAGTTAGTTACCTTCTTTGTTCTGCCCTTTTGATGGGTGGTTTTTGGGATGAAATGATGCAATTCAGTTATTTGATAAAACTATTTTATATAGAGTAATGGTTAATCCATAACAAAGCTTCACGATAAATGCGAATATCACCATGCGTATTTCTAAGAAGATACAGGTATTCTGCTATTGCAATAGCATGGCTGTTTAAGTCTGAAGTTAATGGTAGATCTAAGGAAAATGGTAGACTAAGACCCGGCAAAAGGCGTTTTGCCATGGCTTCCTTCTCCTTCTCTATTTACACCTGAGAATCTAATATAAATGTTTGGAAACCGAAGATCCTCTGAACATTTACGTGTCCATAGTCAAGCCAGATTTAAATGTCTCACTAAATGTAACTCTAGAAAGTGTGGACAACGATTGTGAGGATTCCGGCATGTATCGTGATCAGGACGGTCCTCGGATGTGAACTTTAGGGAAAATGGTATAAGGAGAATAATTTACAGGCGCATATATAAATTATATGTGCTATTTAGTCCAAGTGCGGTTGTTAGTAATCCAGCCCATTGCAGATAAGTACCTAGGTAGGTAGGTATCTGTCAGTTCGGTGAGGTTAACCACTTTAGGTTTTGATTGCGATTACCCCTCTACAACGATATTTTACTGTCCCGGCAGACACTGGATGTGGTGGTTCGGCGACCAAATTCTATATTATTAGACATAAGGTATCTAGACTAGTCGTTCTTTTCTTAAAGGCATCTAGTTGTGCACTTCCTTAGAAATTTTAACAGGTGACGCCATATGATCAATGCTAACTAGACAAGTTGACAACATATTCTAGTTTACAAGCAGATTTTAACTTGGCAGCTTTTAGGAAAATGACAACACAGTAGAAGTAATCTAAAAGAGAAGTGATTTAATTAGATAATTGTTTATCCTACATTTTGGGCATAACGCTGTTTGTTCGTGTAAGGCTACACATTAGGGGCAGCAGTGCAGCTCATCATCTCTTTCATCCACGCGACACCAAATGCAACAATCTAGTGGATACCGACGATAGCTCCTAGTAGAAGAATTAATGCGGAAGAGGTTATCAATAGCATATAAAAAAGCGTACGATCCGAATTTCCAAAAGCACCTTCTCTGTTCGCGCATTGCGGATGGCTGAGGGAGGCATTATTGAATTACAAAAGCTGAGAAAATGGCAGACATCGCGGGGTCTAAATGGAGCTAAAGCATAAGAAGGCTTCAGCAAGTCGGGCTTCCAGGGCTTACGAAGCAGGTCGCAGGATTCCTGATTGCATGCGATGATGCGGCGCATCAACAAAGGATCCGGGTTGGCTACAAACAACAATGCATTCGCCCGAAAAGGCAGCTTCCCAATGTACTCGGCAGCATGGGCACGACTCAACGTCACAAGGGCATGGGGCTGGCTACAGATAATAAGATGCTGCAGTCCGCGGCACTTGTCACCGTAAGCTCACATTGCCGGGATTCGGGAACCCGGGCATGTAAGAAAACGATACACTACTCGTACGGCAACACTGAAGTTCCTCAAAACCTAGGCTTTAGTGGAAGGATCAGTCAAAATCTTCGATTTATGATATGGATTGCGACAGTGAAGATGAGGTCGATTTACTTCTCGCGTCAAGTCGCTCGCCCATAGGTGCTGCAACTCCTCTCCACAATGCGGATACGGAAGAGAGTCCCAAATTTAAAGCGGCCATACCCTCTTGGGCTCTTTTAAATAAATCAAGCTCGCACGAAACTGTCAGTACGACGTATCTGATATTGTTGACCTGTGGAACATTTGGGTATGTAATTTGCCCTGAGAAAGGTGTGGCGACAATTTGAGTTAACTCGTGCATTGTTAGTCTTCAAAATGTATGGTCGCTACTTTTGGCAAATGGAACAGTAAGAGATTTCCCTATTAAATTCCATGGACTTAATAATAAGTGATGCTAGCCATATCTTCTGTCGATTGGTTTCTCGCGATCGATCACAGCTCTCATTTGGGTGGCAGGTCCGCTGTCGGGGACGTTCGTTCAGCCCTTCGTCGGTGCCATTAGCGACCAGTATGTAAGCCGTTGGGGAAAGCGGAAACCTTTTATCGTTGCCGGAATTGCTGGAGCAGTCCTCTCGATAATGGGAATGGCCATCATGCGAATTTCTGCAACCAGGATCTACATCTGGTTTGCTCGCGACTACGTGGGTCCCCATACTATGGCCAACCTTGCTCGGGTATTCGTTATACTCTGGATATGTATTCTGAATCTGAGTTTGCAGCCTCTTCAAGTTGGTCTCCGGTCTTTAATCATCGATGCCTGCCCAAGTCACCAGCAAAGCCAGGCTAGTGCGTGGTCAGGACGTTTTACTGGGTTAGGAGGTATAGCAACTTACCTATTGGATGATTTCTTGATTCGACGATATCAAGACCGGACTTTTGAGGTCTTATGTATAGTCACCAGCTTGAGTTTGATCATTACCAATCTTCCATGTATCCTTCTCATCAGAGAAAGAAGAGGATCTCTGGAGACAGTTCCAGATCGTCAAACTTTCTGGTTGTTAAGATTGGCCAAGCGCCTCATTCGAACTACGCGGCGTATGCCAGCGAGCATCAAGTATATCTGTATGGTGCAATTTACTTCCTGGCTGGGATGGTTTCCGTTTCTATATTATAATACCACGTATGTCGTCGCGGCCATTTTTCAGGGCTATATGCTAATCTTCTTTTAGATACATCTCGAGTTTAGGTTGGTTCTATCAATTCCCCGTGTCCTCTCTTTCTAACAACCTATAGATTTAAGACAGACCGACAGCGAAGAAACTCCGAATTCTAGCGGAGTCCAAGCTTACCTCATTTTCGCCATTGTTTCATTCTATTGTTCCGTGGTCCTTCCATGGACCAAGCCCTCAGCTTCCAGATCTTCAAACCCAGTATACCCGGGCTCCAAAATGGATCATCTGGGGAAGTATATAAACATCATTCTTCCAAGACTCTGGTTTTTCTCCCAGATTCTCTTTGCCATATGCATGCTCTCCACGATGGTCATATCGGACACCCTAGGTGGTACTTTCATGGTGGCGATTGTGGGCATCAGCTGGGCACTGACTCAGTGGATACCATTGGCGCTGATGAGCGCGGAGATCGCCAATCTTCGTGATGCTAAAAGTTGCGAGTTCTCCCAGGAGGAGGGGGATGGAGATGATGAGACAGGGAGCTTGATGAGTTTGTTTAACGTGGCTATCTCCGCGCCACAAATCTTGGCTGGGATATTATGCAGTGGGCTATTTTGGTTGCTTGGGGGTGCTGGGACGGGAGACTCTCTAGGTTGGGCCTTGAGGATGGGTGGGATAGCTTCGATCATATCGGCATTTTTGATGGTTTGGTTGAAGAGATAGAGGAGTTAGACAAGGCGTCAGGGTTCCTGATGGTGGATATATCTGAGAGATCGACGCTTAGTAGATTTCGAAAAAGATCAACTTCACCATAGCTATGTACGTCTGTGCCCAGGATTTAGCTCAAGTAAGTTACAGTAAGGTCTTACATTCCAGAAGGTATTTTGACTGTTCTTACTCATCGCTTCATTCTAGATGGGTCGAACCGCATTAGTATAAATACCCAACGGTGTGATTCGTGTTGACTCTCTAAGCCAGCTGGTCAGTGGGATCTGGAAACTTGAAGAGTACGACGACAGCCAATGCCACTGAATGTCAACCCCAGTAGTGTTGCGACATTTTATAACAAAATCTCAACGGACTAACAATGGCAATCTTGATCCCAATGAAAGGATAATAGTCAGGGTATTTACTTTTATCAGAAAATTCGATCTCTCACCCAACTCATCGAGTATATCAATTTTTCAAACCCTCGATATTTAGTTCAAAGAGGGCAAAAAAGAAAAGTACTCAGAACTGAGGACACAATACCTGAGTATATCCGTACCTAGGATGATTGCATAGATAGGCTGCTTAAGACCTTGTCTTAAAATAACATCTCAAGCCTGATGACCAACGCTTCCGCAAATATCCCCCAGTTCCCCTCCGCTTGGTGTGGTGGAATGCACGAAATACGCAATTAACTAAAGCGCCCCCTTGGGACATGGGTCGAGAACAGGACTGGAATGTCAAGGAAGAAGAATCGAATGTGGTCTCTCGATATATAGTAATGGGGAATCTATTAGATTTGCTAGAATGCCTTGCCGCTAGCATCATTTGGGCGTCGGTCGATACAGCCACAGCGATACAAATAAATTGCATGGAAATTCCCAATCAGAACCCCCCTTAGGGAAAAATCTTAAGGTTCTCGACTCCGGCTCGCCTCGCTCCGAGTAAGCTTGAGTGGCGGAAGAGATTCTTAAACCTTCTTGCAGATGGAAGTAGAAGCCGTTTTGAGCACAAGTGACGCGTATTGACGCGAAGTGACGCAAACGTTAAGGGGCTGGCACTAAGTAAAGGGGGCACGGAATTTCCGGGGTAATCTATCATCACGTGTACGCTAGTTTGGCCAATACGCAATGCACGATTAGAATGATGATAAAGCTTCTAGAATTCCAGCTACTTTAGTACATTTTGCATTTACATTTACCACTTATACCATATTTTGTTCTTCATCATATATCTTATACGATCTCCGTTACACGCAGCGCATCCCACAAAGTAAAACAAATAAACCAGCCCTAGTGCAGCGCAGAAGTACTTTGTACTTGTACCTGTCCCAAGCCCTCGGACGAACTGTCCCGACAACCCCACCATCAAAGAGCACGTCCCATAGCGAGACCTCTGTGAACCACTCTTGAGTCTGGAAGCTGACAACAGACCTCCAGATACACAAAAGTACAACAGGCGAGGGCAGAACGAAGCATTATCGGGATATATAATCAAAACTCTCTGGCTCTCAATCGCAGCGACCCACCCTCTTAGAACCAACTCGGCCATGATGGCAGCACAACTTCGCGGGGCGGAGGAGACAGCAAAGGGTATTGGCCAGGCGCTCAAGTCTGGCCTAGGTACCGTCACCAATGTTGGGCAAGAGGCTTATAAGAAGCCGGAGCTTAGGAATAGGGCTGGGGAGAGTCGGAGCCCCTATGTTAGAGGACATGCCTCGAATCCTGTTGCTTGGCAGCTTTGGGGAAAGGAGGCTATTGAACTTGCCGGGAAGGAGAACCGCCTTATTTTCTTGAGCATTGGCTACAGTGCTTGTCATTGTAAGTATGCATATCCCCAACTTTAAGCAATGTACTGATTATCTAGGGTGCCATGTTATGGAAAGGGAGTCCTTCGAAAACGAAGAGGTAGCCGCAATTCTAAACGAGTCGTTCATCCCTATCAAAATCGATCGCGAGGAACATCCCGACATCGACCGAATATATATGAACTTTGTTCAAGCTACAACGGGTTCTGGAGGCTGGCCCTTGAATGTTTTTGTCACGCCAGAGCTAGAACCCGTCTTTGGGGGAACATATTGGCCCGGGCCTACAAGCACTACCGCACAAGTTGAAGACCAGGTCAATTTCCTCGGCATACTGAACAAACTATCCACAGTCTGGAAGGAGCAGGAAGAGCGATGCCGTCAAGATGCTTCGCAGATCTTGAAACAGCTGAGGGAGTTTGCAGCAGAAGGCACACTTGGTGACCGGTCAGAAAAAGCTGGAGATATGGATATTGAGTTGCTCGAAGAAGCAAACCAGCATTTCATTTCAACATATGACACCAAGAATGGCGGCTTCGGCGCTGCACCAAAATTCCCTACGCCTTCTAAGCTCTCATTCCTCCTCCGCCTAGGCCAGTATCCGGAAGTTGTCCGGGATGTCGTTGGAAAAACAGCGTGTGACAAGGCGGAAAATATGGCTATTTCCACCTTGCGAAAGATGGCACGTGGTGGAATCCATGATCATATCGGAAACGGATTCTCCAGATACTCGGTCACTGTCGACTGGTCGCTGCCCCATTTCGAAAAAATGTTATACGACAATGCGCAGCTCCTTCACGTCTACCTGGATGGATTTCTGCTATCGAATGATCCCGAATTACTTGGTGTGGTTTACGATATTGCCTCGTATCTCACCATTGATCTTGCGCACCCTAATGGAGGGTTTTACTCGAGCGAGGATGCCGATAGTTTTTACAAGAAAGGAGATTCAGAAAAGCGAGAGGGCGCTTTCTACGTATGGACAAAGCGAGAGTTTGAGAATATCCTCGGCTCAAAAGCAGCGCCTATTCTTTCGGAATTTTACAATGTTAACAGGAACGGGAATGTTGCACCAGGCAATGACCCCCACGATGAGTTCATTGATCAAAATGTGTTGGCAATTGCTAGCACACCCGCAGCGCTAGCGAGCACGTATGGTATGACGGAGGCGGAAGTCGTCCAGATTATCAAGGAAGGGAGGATCGCGTTGCGAGCGCATAGAGACAAGGAGAGAGTTCGACCTAGTCTGGATGATAAAATCATTGTCAGTTGGAATGGCCTTGCTATCGGTGCCCTGGCTCGGACTGCTGCTGTGATCAGAAGTTTTGACCCGGTAAATTCGGAGAAATATCTTACTTCGGCACTCAAGACTGCAGCTTTCATCAACGACCAGCTCTACGATGCTAAAACAAAGACCTTGTACCGAATTTATCGAGAAGGTCCCGGAGATACGAAAGGCTTTGCAGATGATTACGCTTTCCTCATTGATGGTCTTATTGACTTGTACGAAGCTACATTCGACGAGGTATGGCTCCACTGGGCCGATGATCTGCAACGTAAGTCAATCTCTCTTGAATCAATCGCTTTCGCTTACCTAGTCTAGAATCTCAAATATCCCTTTTCTATGATACGAAAGGAACTGGCGGATTCTTCTCTACCCAGGTTGACGCTGCGCACGTTATTCTCCGCCTCAAGGATGGTATGGATACAAGCGAGCCATCAACAAACGGCGTCTCGGCATCAAACCTATACCGGCTGTCAAATCTTCTTGAAGAGGAATCCTACTCAAAGAAAGCAAAAGAAACGGTCTCTAGCTTCGAATCAGAAATGACACAGTACCCTTGGCTCTTTGCCTCCTTTATGCCCAGCATTGTTGCAAGGAATCTAGGCGTCAAAGGAGTAGTGGTTTCTGGGGAAGGGGCCGTTGAAAAGATGGTCGAAGCTCACGAGAAGCAGCCGAGAGGGGCTATCGGAACTTTTGCAAGATTGAACAAGTCAAGTTCTTGGCTGAGGGGGCGCAATCCACTATTTAAAGAATTCGGTCTCGATGATAAGCCAAGGGCCCTTATTTGCGAACAGGGAACTTGTCTTGAGAAAGTGTTAGAGGACGACATTCCTGCGTTAGCAAATCCTCTAGACCTTAGCAATGTGGCTATGGCGTTGCCTGAGCAGCAGGGTGCTGTTGTAGACGGGATGCCCGAAGAGAAGCCTCTATAAGGGTGATTGGAGCCTGTAGACGCTGGCGTTGGTTATTTTGGGTTTCATATCACAATATCAATATGTATTGAAGGCATATATGGGCGGCAGGGCGTTAATGCCTGTGGTCCTAAACAAATGTGTATAATGCTGTCCAGAGGGTCGAGGTGTTTATATAACTAACAACATGGTACGATCCATGGCAGTGGAATTATTCATTTAACGATATAAGATATTCAACATTTAGTAAATACATAGTTATCATAGCTCATGAGCAAATCTATTATTCTCAATTAGAGCTGGTACTAAAATAATATCCATCCCAGAGGTACAAATAATCATCCAAGACTCCAGATACCAACGACGGCAGCTTCTCCGACGTTTTATGCAAAAAGCCTTTGGTAACATTCTCATAGAAAGCGCCCCGCATAGCCCACCATCCCATCGCCCAGCCGCGTTTGTTCCATTGCTCCCTCTCCAACGCTGTCGTCCGTAGACTATCTTTCCTCAACTGCCTTGCGGCATACTCAACACTCAAGCCAAGCAACCACGGCCGCCAATCCTTCTTATCCTTACTCCTCGACATAGCGACCGCGTATATAACTGGCTGCAAAACATGCAATATCTCCGCCAATTGTGCCGAGCCATTGACCTTGTTGAGCAGTGCGCTGGGTGCTTTAATATCATCCGCCGTGAGAACTTTCGAGAGCAGATAACTCGATATATCTCCCGGATTCGGTAATGCAGGTAGACTTAACCCGGTTCTCTTCATCTTATATTCTTTCTTTGCTCCTGGTGCTGGGCGTGACCCTGCCTCCTCAGCAGCAAACTCCGCCTCAAACTCATCCTCCACATCCTCTGCCGCCTCTTCTTCAGGGATAACATCCCTCTCTGGCAACGGCGGAGTAACAAGCGGTCTCGAATTCGTAATCTTCAACAAACAAAGCCTACAAACGGCCTTCACAACCTCCAAGGTAACCACAACTCTCCACCTCATGCGCTCGCCTCGTCTCTTGGCAGCCATCTCCCACAGCAACTCGGTATACTGTATCATCGCCAACAGCGTCGCAATCCTCCGGTAGAACTTACTCCGCTGAATCCAGAACTTTGTGTATCGATTGTGCGGGCTTTGCTGCTTCGGCATGCCCGGCAATTTCGAAACCGCACGTGCGAGGAGGGAATCGTGATACATGGAGAGGAGTTGGATGGAGGAATGTAGACTTTCGGAGGCGAGTTCTGCATCGCGGAACCGGCCGGGAATTATGTATGTTAAGGAGCGGAGGGCGGATTCGATCTGCGTTACTGAGGACTGGTTCTTCGATATGAAGTCGCTGTACATATGAAGCCATTTCGGCGGAAGGGAGAATGCATGTGGCAGTCGCCCCCGCGGGGTGGGCTTGAGGGTTTCCATCCTCAGCGTTTTGGTAGCGACAGGAATCGCATGAGGGATGAGCGATGAGCGATGAGGTTTGATGGATTGCGGAGAGATGAGGTTGGCGCGTTGAAGATGACTTTAGTCGTCGCTGTACAAGTTGTAACGCGCTATGGGCTCCAAGGGGTTGGGCGAACCTCGGCTTCGCGGGTAGATGGTCACGTGCCAAACGCGGCGATAAGAGATAAGATTGAGATCTCAAAGATCTCACAAGCTATACTGTAGATACTTTCGAAAGAATCCAATTCCATCTTGCGCCACCCTTTGTCGCGATGCCTCCCAAGCGTCGTCGATCTAGCGCCGGCGACCTTGCAATTCTTCCAGACTCCAAAAGAACCCGCATACGAAATCTAAATCCCCTCGACCATGTCTCCGACCTCTCTGACGAACTCCTCATCCGTATCCTCCACCATCTCCCTATCCAGTCACTCATCCGATGTCAACGGCTGTCTCACCGCTTCTACACCCTCGCAGGGGATTCGCAAATATGGAAATCACTCTATTATCACCGCTTTGTTCTTCCCCGAGCGCTGCGCATCCCGGGGGTAAAATCCGCGCCTCCTTCAGACGAAGCATTGCATTTCTCCTCCAGGAGAAGTAAATGGCTTGATGAGAATACACTGGTAAACCGCGCAGATGGGAAGAAGACAGATTGGAAGCGCCAGTATAAACTGAGGCATAATTGGTCGATCGGCGCTTGCGGTATCCAGGAGATCCATGTCGCGGATGGGCCGAGCATGCCAAGCATGCTTGTTAAGTTGGCGGAGAGCTGCGTTGTTACGGTTGATAAAGAGGACGGATTAAGAGCTTGGGATTTGAAGGAGAGGATCTTGGTTGCTCGGCGTGAGTTAGAGGAGGGTGATATCTCGACTTGTGTGGCTGTTGATGAGGAGGGAGGCGGTCGTGGCGGTTTGGGGATTGCGGTGGGATTTATGGATGGGAGCTGGGGAACTTGGAAGCTGGATGTTGAAGGGAGATCGTTCATCCCGGGCTACAGGCATCCGCCGTCGAGTAATGGGATGCTCAGTGCAATTGCTTTTGCGAATCCGTACATTCTTACCATTACCGATTCGCAGCTCCTGTCGCTTTACAACTTCCAGCCAGCATCTGGGATGCAAAAAGAGGTTGAAGGAACGACGATTGAAATCGATCCGGAGGCAGCCAGAAACCTTCCAAACGCCCAAGATTCCTCAAAAGCAGCACCTCCACCGTTAGGAACAATTGAAGACACCTCACCGCACCTCCTCGCCTCTCTCAAATCCCACACCTCCTGGCCGCCCCTCTCTCTCTCAATTCGCACGACTCCGACAACATTGATAGCAAGCATAGCCTACTCACTCCCAACCTACTACACAGGCTACACAATCGGTCTGCAAGAACTCCACCTCTCCCGCACAACAGGGACCATGACATTCTCTCGCCTGGCATCCGCATTACCACAAGGGTTTTCTTCTCTTCTAACACCAGCAGCTTCACCCTCGCCTTCGCCCCCCACACATCCAGGCGTAGTAGGGGTTATAGGAAGCACAACAAGCCGTCCTACAACGCTCTCCTACTCACATCCATACATCCTCGCCACACACCCAGATAACACCCTAACACTCTACCTCTGTACCTCCACCTCCTCAGCACTACATATCTCCCCAGGCACAAAATTATGGGGACACACATCATCCGTTAGCTCGGCGGAAATCACCGCTCGAGGCAAAGCTGTCAGCGTCAGTACACGTGGAAACGAACTACGAGTGTGGGAACTCGAAGGCGGACTACCTAGCACGGTATATTCTTCTCAGGCGCCTTCCAAAGGTAGGAAGATGGTTAAAAAGCTGAGAGGTGAAATTGCCGCAGGGGAGAGAAGTGTCAAGATCAGACATCCTCCTACTACGACTACCACCGTGGAAGACGGTGGTGTGAAACAACACAGACAGGATATAGAGGATATGGACATTATGGCCCGCAGACGCTGGGTTGGTTTCGATGATGAGGTTGTTATCGTGCTTAAGGAGTCGGAAGAGGGGACGCAGGCGTTGGTGGTTTATGACTTTACGTAGATACGATGGGATGTACTGAATTTGATGACAGGATTGGTTTGGTGTTGCAGTGGGAATGATCGTGGTATTAGGTTAGGTTTGAAATCGGCATATGGTACCATATATCCGGTGGAGTTATGGAAATCAATAACTACTTTACCTATAGATATCCCTTTATGATTTCTGGGACTTAGATGGGTTAGAAAGGTGTTAAGTACAAACGAAAGAAATGACATATATTCTACCCTCTTCTAGCCCTACTGAATCCTCCATCAACGCAGATCGGTCAATCGCCAGCGGCATTCAGCCCCTCTCCTACGAAGTACCTCCCGCTCAATTATACCCACAAGCTTCCCACCTTCCTGCCTATAACCCCTCGCCCCATTTTTCAATATTAAAAGTAAAAGAGCGAAACAATGAATATAAGACTCTATTACGTCTTTATCGCCAGCTACTAAACGCACAGTCACCCCCATTCTCCCTATCCCGCCCCCCGCTACTGCCTTCTCAAACCAAACCCCCTCCCCGCCATTAAACTAGCATGCAATCCGCTTACAAATTCCCGACTTCCATAGCATAGGGAGAACTCAATATGCTGTGCACTAGATTATCCGGGGCGACAGTGCTTTCTTTGTACATCCCTTCCTTTGTACTGGTATAGAGAGGTATGGGCACCAGCCTTTGTACTGAGCAGGAGCAGGCCCGGGGGTTAGTAAAAAGCTTGCTATCACAAGGTATTAAGTAGGAGTGGGATGCTGTAGGTGGTTTGTAAACGGATGTAGACCAGGTAGTTTATACGATATAAGGCTACCTAGATAGTATAGCAAGGCAGGGAAACCCGGAGTAGAAGGACCACGGCACTAATTTGATGAACGAGTTTCTACCAGTACTTACCTAGGTACTTAGGTACAATAGGGAGGGAATGTGGGTTACACAAGACAAAAAGAAATAGCAGTGGAGAAGTGGGACAAAGAAAAAGGCAGAAGCGCAAATTAAGATTTCTCTCGACGGAACAAAAGAAAAAACGTAGCAGGGACGGGGAAAGGATGCAAGCGGGATAAGGAGGTTACGTGGGTAGGGTTACGAGAGCGCGGCATTTTAAGGTTTCGAGAGGATAAGAAAGGGAAAAACGTGGATGCGGGTTAGGAGGACGCTAAGGGGAAAGTATCGAGGCTGGAACTTGGAGGGCGATAAGAGGAGGACGAGGAAGAATGTGGGGTTAGGGGCGGCCAAGGAGGGGGATCGACGGAGGGATTAGAAAGCTAGATTTAACGCGAGCGTCGTGATTGCGATTGCGATTGTGATTGCGACGACGGCCCTATTAATTAGGTGGTAACTATCTCTCACTTATGAACTATTAACGCTATAGAAATGAGCTATTGGCTATTAGATGAAAGCGAAGGGATTCACAGATGGGACGGTACGGTATGCTGTGTGGGTATAAATAAATCACATTTCGCACTACTATGTAGTATGCATGGGGTGGTTTCCATCTATGCAGCCCATCCATCCCTTCAAGCCTTCATGCGGCCATCACATACCATGCGTGTGTGATATGCAGCCACCGAAGAAGCCATGATCCAATCTGTAAGTACCCCAACCATGCTGCCCATGCAATCCCGATCCCATATCCCATGCAGAAATCCTTAGCAGGAAGAGCAAACGCCAAACGAAACCAATTGGTGTACCAACCAAAGAATGCAAATTCGTAAAAGCATCAATGAGATAGTCCCTGTGCGGTTCGGTGCACAAAGGGAATGAGAGTGGAGCTGGGCGGGCTCTGGGTATCAGCTAACCCAATGCAATGCAAAATAAGAAAAACCGCAAACATGAATTTCCCCGGAAGTCAATGACGTTCCTGATCCCAATCCATGACAAATGAAATGTGTAAAATTCTCAATCTGGTGAATTAATCGTTGACAAAATGCAAGTGCAAAATGCAAGCCGACTGGTGAGGCGGATATCAATTTCGTGTCGAGTAGGACAATTATCGTGTGAACAAGGCCATTGAGACGTTTATTTCCTTCAGAGGTACTTCTCCACCCAGCGTGGATCAAGCCAGTGGACCTTGTCAAATGCCGTCCAGAGTTTGCTAGCCTTGTTGACATCGATCTTGCAAGCCTGCTGAGCGTCCGTCTTTCTAAACTCCTTGCCGATCTTCAAAGCCTCGATTCGCTTGATGAATATGCGACGCTTCGATGTGAGGTAGGTGGCGCAATCGAGACGCAGGTTCGCTGCGAGGTATATCTCGTCAGGATGAAGAAGGTGGGCATGAGGATCACCCCTAAGATCGATAGGAGTACCTTTCCAATCGATCTTGAGCGAATTGGGTTTGTTTGGAAGGCTGGTGAGAGGCGGGCAGTAATCAGGCAAGGCGTTGAAGTCCTTGTCCTCGCGGTTTGTGACCTTCTTGTGACCATCCGGGGTAACTCCACGATTATCGTAGCTCTTGGGGGTTTTTGACTGTCGACTCAGGGGACCACTCTTTCCAACACCTCCATTGCTGGCGGTTCGGGCTCCCGGAGGCCGTGCAGGTTTGCGATGACTGTTGGAAGCCGGAGCAATTGCGGCCCATCTCCTGCCTCCCAGTCTCAATGCGCTATCCTCCTTCAGATATTCCCGTTCCCTGGCAGCCCACAATCTTGGATTGTTGCTGAAGATCTTCGCCACCTGCGACTTGAATTCCAACACCTCCCGATATTCTGCATCGCGAGGGGGCGACACCTCCCTAACCCTGAAAAAGCTCTCTTCCCTTGCCCGTACGTGCTCATCCACCACCCGTTGTGCAAGAGTCTCGTCGTAGAAGAGCGGCGGTTGTGAGGACGGGGTGGTCTGCGTATCTGGGCTTGGGAAGAGGATCGGATCACGAACGACGCTGGCAGGTGAGTCGGGGGTGGTGCTCTTTGATTCGGGCGATACTGGTGGCGAGAGCGGGGGCTGAAATCTGGCCGCGGGGGCGAGGTATGAACTCTTCATCTTGGAATCGTTGGAAGGTCTCGAGGAAGTCGGAGAGAAGCTGTCGTGAGGGATTGCCTCTGGTGGCGACATCAGGCTGGCTTGGATGTCCATTGGGTTCTTGCGCTCGGTGGCGGGGCGATTGATGCCAGAGACGATGGCGTTGATGGACGTTGAGGGGTATGTGTGAGGGCGAGATGTTGAGGATGTCGAAGGGGCCGCAAGTGAATGTATATGTATCGCGGTCGACGAGGAGTCATCGAAGGGCGTGGAAGGCTGCAGGGTTGGGCGGTTTGGGAGGGTTTTGTCAGCCATATCGGATTGCTTGCGCCTCGTCTGTGTTGTTGCCTTTTGGGGTGGCAATTCGCACGCAGCGGATATCTGGGGTTCTTAAGTCCGACGGAGGTGCGGCGGAGGCTGTGGAGATGCGAGATGGAGTTGGAGGGCGACGAGCGACGGGATGGAAGTGGAAGATGGAAGTGGGAGTATAAGGGCAGCCCGATCAGTGACAAATGGCCGGGTCAGCTGAGAAAGGCGGTTGGGTTCTTTGGGTTCTTTGTGTTGTGCGTGTGGGTGTGGGTGTGGGTGGGTGGATGTTTCTTGGGGGCTCGACGGGGTGAATGAGCGCCGCGGGACAATGCTCAAAGCAAAGGAATGCAATTGATCTTGGGGATTGATGTTCGTCTTCCAGGCGGGGCAGCACGCGCAGCGGGCAGCAGAGCGAGGTAGGAAAAGGGCAAGGCAAGGCATGAAACAAGAAGAGGATGAGAGGGGGGAGGCATAAATAAGGCGGGAGGAGGAGCGACAGAGGAGAGAGAAACAAACAGGTCGACCGCGCCAGGCCAAGGCCACGGCCACTCTACTTGCACTTCGTACACACACACCACAGATACACACCACACCAATCTACCTTCTGCCTGGGTGGCAGGGTGACGGGGTGACTGGTGACTGGTGACTGGTGACTGGTACCTGGGCCGGGCTGGACTGGCAACTGGAAGACACTGGATTAGGAGGCGGAGAGGGCGCCGGTGGGCGATGACTCCCTCGTGATATAATATGATACTAATCAGTATAAGCCGCCGTATGACCGCGCAACCGGCGACCACCAGCAACAAGCAAGCAAGCAGCAACCTGGTGGGCCACCCGGCCACGGCACCTGCAACCTGGAAGCGTGCGTGGAGTTGCGTTGCGTTGCGCTGAGTTGCGTGGAGTTGCGCTGCGCAAAGGTGCGTGCCATTATTAAATGTTTGAGACGCCGCGCATCTTTGATAAGGCCGCGCCTGCCATAGGGCTACGCTGCCTGCACGGGTGTTGGGTTGGGATGGGGATATGGATTGGGGTGATTTGGGGTTTGGATCTGGAGTTGGGCTGGGTTGGAGTTGGAGTTGGAGTTGGGTTGGGCTGGTGTGGGCACTGCCCTAGGTTGAGTTGAGTGCTACTGCTACTCTGCTCTCCCGATCACTCACTCTGTGAACATGAACATGAACATCGGCCATCTTTCAGGCCTCCGTCACATATATCCCCCTCCCTGCCCTACCTACCTACCTACCTACCTACCGTCCGTCGGTGTCTTGGGCTGCCTAGATTTCGCATTGCCTGCCTACCGGTCTGCCTGCCTACCTACATACCTGGAAGAGGAAGAGCACGAACCATTGTCGGTCCTGTCTCTGGGTTTCCCCGGGATGACATGACGAATTGACTCACCTTTTGATTGACCTTGATTGACCTTGACGTTGCGCTGACACGCAGGCAGATTTGGGGGCAATTAGCAGTCGGTCTCGCATCGCTTGGCCAGGCGGGTGTGCGACGACCACGACCGCAATTATGGGACAATCGGCCTTAATGGACGACAATTGAGCATTGGCAGCGGCATTGGCCAGTGGAATTGGCCAAAGGAATTGGGGCGTCGGGCATGGATGCCCCTCCATTAGGCACTGAGGCGCTGTTGCGGTGCTGCTACTGCTGCTGCTCCAGAGCCTGGAAGGCAGCGGTTAATTGCGCGGCGTGGGCATTGAGCGGTGGCCAGTGGGCGGTGCGTCGTGTGTGGCGGCTCCAGCTGGCTGGTTGGTGCAATCGGGGGTCGGAATGGCGGTGCTTTGGTAAGTCGAACGTAGAGTGAGTGGCCTCTCCCTCTGGGCCTTTTTTGGGTGCCTTTGCCTTCCTGTCGCCCACAAAGGGCCTTTTTTGGGTGCCTTTGCCTTCCTGTCGCCTTTGTGGGCGAATGCCGGTGGGGGTGAGCAGAGTAGTGTCGCGTAGTGTGTTATGGGAGCAGTAGTATGGGTGGGTAGAGCGTACGTGCTACTACGTACCTCGTATACTAGATACCAGATACTAGCACAAGTCTCCGGTATAGTCGTGTGTCTCTCGTCTTGTGTCCCCGTCCCGTCCAAGTCAAGGCAAGTCCAAGCATGAGGCAGATCTCATATCAGTTCCAGGCGGTGTTTTGGAGGCCGTTCTCAGCGTCCAGAGAGTCCAGAGTGGCCAACTGGATCCATTGGCCAATCACCTCCGCTCAATTGCTGGAGCAGAGCAACCAGCAATCAGCTGGATGCCATGGCGGTGTCAGGTTGATTGGTCAGATGAGGCCAATTGCCCCCGGATTCCCAAATATTGACGGTGCTGTTCGAGAGCGGTGGATGGCGGTGGATGGCGGATGGCGACTGCTGACCGGGGACTGCTGACTGCCGACTGGGGAAGAAGAAGAATGATAATAATAATGGGGGTCGAGCCTCGAGCCTCCAGAGCCCGGTCGTGACTCACCGCGAATTGATAATCCGTCAACTGGAGAGCGAGAAAACTCGGTTTCTGGACAGAAGAAACTGGAGATGCGAATGCGACGGAGGGCGAGAGGCAGGCTAGCCGGGCTAACGGGGGGGCGCTGACCGGCGCTAAGCTCCATCGAGGATCAATTGTATACACGCAGTATTACCTAACGCCTTACGGAGTACGGTATGGAGCAGCAGCATCATTGCTGATCGCTCACCTCTCACCTCTGATCAGTCAATCGGGCAGCAATCAACCCATCCATGGATATCAACACCCGATTTATCGTCCTGTTGATGGTTCCATATCGCCTTCACCTCGCCCTGAACCCACGCAGCTAGTACAATTGGACTGGGTTGGCATTGGTATTAGCATTAGCATTAGCATTAGCTCTTATACACATCTAGATGTGTATAAGAGACAGGCTTTGACCAGGAACAAGCACCCATTATTGCATTCCCAATCTGATAACCCAATTCCACAATCACCCAGCACCCATCAGCAAACATCAATCGTGGCTTTCTTATACCATCACACCCTGAGCCTCATTGGCCTCCCAATTCATTCTCCATCCATTGCCCATCCTACCAGCGCTCCGTGGCTTCTAGCATCTGCATCCGCATCTGCATCACATTCCTGCATTACCCGTCCATGTCCATGCTGCGATGAAGCTGAGTAGTTGGCTTGCTGGTTTGCCTGCCGTTCAGTTCCTGCTTCATGCCAACCCACACACCAACAATCCTGCATTATTACTGCACTCGGCTCCATCCCAATTGACCGAGCTGCAATATGGAAGTCCATCTGTCGGCGATAATGCGAGGGGCATCACAATATCCCGGGCGATTTTTCTGCAATGTCTCGCTGCGTCTCCGTCGTCCTTCGATTCCTTCCAGTTCCAATTCCCATTCCATTGCCCCATACGACCTACGTGTTTACCTCGTTGCCTGTCGCCCATAGCCTTGTCACTTTACGTCCTCTGAACGCGACGACTTCGCGGCGTCCACGTGTCCAGCCTCCACAAGGAATGGAATCCCCAGCAGCACGATCAGACGTGAGCGGGAGTACAGAATGCGATGCATCTCCCGCCATCAATTGAGTTGCGCCAGATATTCAATTGCCAAACTCTACAAAGTGAGATGCGATATAAATCTGTACGAACGTCCCGAAGCGGTCGAGCATCAATTGACCCCAATGTCCAAGGGAAACCCGGGCATCAGGTGGCACGTATCACGATCGCCACGTTTTGCTCGCAGGACGGGAACCGATGTATGGAGTACCAGAACGGTACCAGCACTATACGAAAGTAACTCTGTTCGGCATATGGTTTCCTTCGCACTCTTTGTTCCCAATCTCCATCTGCCTACGTACCTCTCTGTTTCCTCTACTCGCACCTCTCCCCCCCTCTCTCTCTCTGTCTCTCTTCTGTCTCTCTTTCTCCGACGTTCCCAGTTTTCCCTTCTCTTCAATCACCTCTCCTCCATCACAACCCCCCTTCTCGCTCAGACGGCGGCGCTTACCAGCAGCCCACCACACCACATTCCACCCAAGATCACTCGTGGAATGATCATCTGGCAGCAGACAATCAAGATACCCGATATCCGCTATCCACTTTTGAGCACCTCGTTCACACAAGGAGGTCATCTGTGACAGCAACCGTCGCATGCCCAACCTTCACATGCCGATTGTCTCAGTCTGCCCCCTTTCCCCCCCCACCCTCCAATCAGCCCGCCAGCTGCAATTAACCAAGGACCTCACCCGTATCACCCATCCGACGCTCCCTTCCAAGTTCCCCCTCTCGCTCTCGCCTTTGTCTCATGTACGAGAACCCGCTCTCCCTCCCTCCCTCCGTCCCGCCGCACTCTGCAAGCAGGGACTTTGACATCCTCTCCAGTTTTCGGGGCCCAACCAGGCGCCACCAGCCCCCGCCCCTATCGATAGCGCGATAAGAGCACGATAACCTTATTGCATTGTTCGCTCTGCCCCTCCTTCCCCCTCCCTCCACCAATAACGCCAAGATACCCTAAACGGGACAAAAACGAGATTAAAGGAAAGATAGTCAAGGATAATCCCTAGAGCCCGGAATGGAACATGATTATCGAGTTAATTGACTAGTAAGTATGCTTTGACCTGTGAACTTACTCTCTTCGAAAGTGGCCGCATTCGGCATTCGGAGACCCTCCTGCGGGGCAAGAGAAGGGCAACTCGCGTGAGATAGCCATTCCTTGGCCCCTTAGGGTCACAAGATCTACTTCAATGGAGGTAGATCCCGTCATCTACTATATTTGTGCATTGGCAATTTATTTAGTATTCAACTTACTTTTCTTGGTTTCAAGGTGCTTTACATCGTCTTGGAAAAACTAAACGTGTGTGGTATTAAGAAAGCATGCTGTGCAAAGATGATTGTAGATTCAATATACATACCCCCTTTCTTTTATAGAACTTATTCCCGTACGAGTTAGCTGGTGGGGGGTATGGGGTTCACACTTCCTTAATCTAGTGATACAATTACATCAATAACCTGTAGAGCGGTCAATTCCTTGCTTTTCCATTAC